ACTGCACGTACTTGCTCATGATCCGTAATGGCGACCGCGAATCGTTCCTGCACTACTATGGGCGTCTCTTCCAGCAGATGGTGGTTGACAACTACGCACGTATCGAATTTTCCCGCCTTAACTTCATCCTCACCCACCAACGAACGATACGTGCTGAGTTGTATAGTGGTGTTGGTGATAACGTCGATCCCAGGCAAATTGGTCGTGCAGTCATTTTGCCAGCGTCGTTTACAGGTGGCCCTCGCTACATGAAGCAGATGCTACAGGATGGGTTAGCAATCGTTCGCCAGCGGGGTAACCCAACGCTTTTCGTTACGTTTACTTGCAATCCAAGATGGCCTGAAATCGTTGCGGAGCTTCTTCCTAGCCAGCAAGCATACGACCGACCAGATATTGCAACTCGGGTGTTTCACCTCAAACTCACCCAGTTGCTCAAGGATATCAAGGAGTCGAAATGCTTTGGTCAAGTCGCTGGATACTTGGCAACTGTCGAGTTCTAGAAGCGTGGTTTGCCGCACGTCCATATCCTAGTCATTTTGGAGCAAGAAGACCGTCCACGCAACCCCACCGACTACGACCAATTTGTATCTGCTGAGTTGCCGAATCCCGTCACACAACCACAGTTGTATCGCACGGTGACAGCGTGCATGATACACGGCCCATGTGGTCCAGGCACCAATGCTGTGTGCATGAAGGATAACCGGTGCTCACAAGGCTATCCAAAACCATTTACCAACGAGACACGCGTCAACCGAGATGGATATCCCATCTACCGACGCCGTGAAAATCAACAAAACCGCCACCTCTTCCCTACTTCCAACTTTCTCGCCGACAACCGACATGTTGTGCCGTACAACCCCTACCTTAGCCACAAGTACGATGCACACATTAACGTTGAAATTTGCACATCCAACCGCGCCATCAAGTATTTGTGCAAATACATCACCAAGGGCACCGACCGAGCACAAATACAAACCACCGCAACCGCCACCACAACCACCACCAATACCGATAATGCCGCTGCCGAGCCGGTCAATGAAGTAGAGCAGTTTCAAAACGCTCGATACATTGGTCCGTGCGAGGCTATCCATCGTACGTTCGAGTTTGATGTGCATATGCACTATCCAACAGTCGTACGTTTGGACCTTCACTTACCTGGCGAACATATTGTCAATCTACGTGACGATATGACACCACAGGAAGTTCGTGCAGCGCGTGACGCGGCAGAATCCGGCACCAAGCTTCTTGCCTTTTTCCGCCTTTACAGCGAAAATCGTGCAACAGAAGAGTATCTTTACTCAGAGATCCCATGCCACTACACCTGGGACAACAGAAATCGCCGTTGGAATCCTCGCACCAACCCTCCCGTCCAAAATGTTGTTACGCGTATATTCCATGCTTCCCTCTCGAATATGGAATTATATTGCCTTCGCCTCCTTCTGCTGTCTGTCCGTGCTCCCACTGGTTTTGTTTCTCTGAGGCAGTATGAGGGAACAACATATGCGACGTTCCAGGAAGCTGCTGTTGCCCGTGGCCTTCTGGAGTCCGACGAGGAATGGGATCGCTGTATGGCTGAGGTTGTCCAGGTTGCCCCATCAGCTGCAGCAATTAGACAGCTTTTTGTCTATATTCTGACGAACTGCTCTCCTGCTGACCCAGCATCGCTGTGGACCACCTATCGCGAGCGTATGGCAGACGACTACTTCTTTGAGATGCGCAGGACGCTCTCTATTCCCAATGAAGCCGAATTGTCTGAGCAACAACTCGAACAGATCTACCAGCGCACCCTTGGTGACATTGAGACCCGGTTGCAGGTCACCGGTCATCATCTCTCCGAGTTTCCGTCGTTACCGCAGACCTTTGTGACCGAGCTGGATCTGCTACCACGCCTTGAAGGTCTGGCACTCCTTGAAGGTCGTGAATATGAGGTGAATGAGCAGAATCGCATCCTGCAAACGCTGCTACCTACTCTCAACGACGAACAGCGAGCTGCATATGATGCTATCACCAATGCAATGGATGTTTTCGCTCCACACTACTTCTCTCGCGTTTTCTTTGTGAATGGAGCCGGTGGTACTGGCAAATCGCAGTTGTTTAAAACGCTGTTGAGCTGTGTCCGATCGCGTGGTGAAATAGCACTGCCTGTTGCTACATCGGGTATTGCTGCAATTCTGCTTCCTGGTGGCCGTACCGCGCACAGTCGTTTTAAGATTCCTATAAACGCTGATGCTGATACGACATGTAACCTTCGTCTTGGTGGGCCACATGCATATCTGGTACAACAAGCCTCTCTCATTATTTGGGATGAGGCTGTTATGTGCAGTAAGCACAATTTTGAGGCTGTCGACCGGTCATTGCGTGACATCATGGGCGCCATTGATCCAGTATATGGACAGATTCCTTTTGGTGGCAAGGTCGTGGTGTTTGGTGGCGATTTCCGTCAAGTGCTTCCTGTTGTCAAGAGGGGTACACGTTCAGAGATAGTAGGCGAGACCATCCGTTCAGCTACCTTTTGGGAGAATCATGTCCAGGTCTTGCACCTCACTGTCAATATGCGCGTGCGTCAGGCTGGCCCTGATGCCGCTGCATTTGCTGATACCCTCCTTGCAATCGGTGATGGGCAGCCACCTTATACTGAAGCTGTTCAGATTCCTGCAGAATGGCGTATGGATGCAAGTGACACTATGTCACTTATTGATGTCGTGTATCCATCCATTCGAGCTTTTGATCCGCAACCAGAGCACTACCATGGCCGCGCTATTTTAGCCGCTAAAAACGTTGACGTTGACGACATTAATGTAACAGCGTACACGCTTTTCCCTGGCGAAGGCAGAGAGTATAACTCTACTGATCGAATTGTCGATGCGGATGACCCTGACTATGCTCGAGCCAACTATCCCGTTGAATTCCTCAACAGTTTGAGTGCCAGTGGACTTCCATCCCACATTCTGCAGCTCAAAGTGGGTATGCCATTGGTGCTTTTGCGCAACATCAATCCTGATGCAGGTCTGTGCAACGGCACAAAAGTTTTTGTCACCCGTCTTCTCGACCATTCGATTGCTGTTAAGCGAATCGATCAAGGCCATGCAGGGCAAGTGCATTATCTCCCTCGCATCCATATGTGTACTGCTGAGGGTGATTATCCTTTCATCCTTTCGCGCCGTCAATTCCCTGTCCGCCCGGCCTTCGCAATGACCATTCACAAAGCGCAAGGCCAAACATTAGAATATGTTGGCATTCGCCTTCAAGAACCTGTGTTTGCGCATGGTCAACTGTATGTTGCACTTTCCCGCGCCACCAACCCAAATAACATCCGCATTGCCATCGACCTTCAAAACATTACCGACCTCAATACAGCTTCCACTATCAACATTGTCTACCATGAGGTGCTTTTAAATCCTCCTCCACAACCGCAAACACAACCATCACAACCATCACAACACACACAACCCACTAGCACCGACGAGTAAAGCTTTACGCTGCTCTACCCATCATCACAATATAGATTTCTTTTTTTTCTGTTATTTCCATTATTATTATTATCCATCTATTTCTTTCTATTCCACTGTCAAGCATCATCTGTCGCCCTGTTTTTTGATTCTAAAATACAATATAATTAGGTCGGGGATCGGGTTTAGAGGGGGTGTTGGGGGGACGCAAATATGATCATCAATGTCATATTAGCAAAAGCATCTCCAGACCGTAACAATGAATTGGGTTTCGGTCTTTGCTTTAGTAAGTAGAGCGAGCTTGATTGAGCGTGTAACCATCGCATCTTTCATAATGTCCAAAGTTTTCCATCTCAACAAAATGTCCAAGACCCATTTCAAGAGCAAGAGAATTCCACCTTTGAAAATTCTAACGTGTAAATTTTGCGAAGAAACTGAACACGATCTGTTCAGTTGCGAGGTGTACATCGAATTGCACGACCACCTCATTATTTGCGAGGATTGCCGATGTGTTGGGCATGAATCATCTGAGAGTACGGAATGCATTAACTCGGGTAATTAGCGTTGACACGGTAAAATCATACAAATAATCTTACTGTGTATGAAGTATTAACTTTGGGCAATTTTTAAAGCAGTGACGGCATCCTTTTTTTAACCAAACAATAAAAACAATTTCCACAACTGTTTTCGACATCACTTTTAAGCAGAATACTATGAGAACATATTTTCAGCATTGTTTGAAGAACACTTGGGGGGCGGTAGGGGGGCTTTGCCCCCCACCCGGGGTCTGGGGCAGAGCCCCAGTAAACTGGTCCCTGGAGGACAGATGCTGACACGCAGCGAAGCGGAGGGGCTCACATCATCCGGAAGCGAAGCGGAGGGACCAGTTTATTTGAGGAAAAATGGAGTGTCGAGTCATTTTTTTGGAGTGTCCCTAGTAATACCCTTTTTTGGCACGTTCAACTGTTCTCTTCCTTTTACGCATGACGAGAGGATCTTCACTAACATCGACCCAATCATTGTCTGTGGTGCGTGATGGTTCAATCTGAGCTTGCGAATCGGAAGCATTACGTCCAACTAAGGTGGTCGTGTGTGTAAGCTTTTTCGTCCCATACTTGTGGACTACTCCAAAGGTTCGTTTGCGTTTTTTCACATTTTTCGTTAAGCAGCAAAATGGAAAGGGCCAGCGGAATATCGTTTATCCTGCTACTACAGTCACCCTCCTTTCCCCAATCAAAAAGGTATAAATTGACCACAGTAAAGGCGGAAATTTGTGCTGTTTTCTTTGTCCTTATCAAGGGGGAATGCTTGTTCAAGTGAGGGACCTACCGATGGACAACTGCCATACCCCAAATAACAAATATTATTCAGATCAGTGTTCTTTCATAGAATGCTGGTCAATTTTTTGGCAACCCCTTCATTGGGGTTCATTCAGAAATAATAAAATGATAAAAAAAAAACTGGATTCGTTTCACAACACCAAAAAAAAAAAAAAGAAACCTCTCCTTCCGGATCTCTCTCTCTCTCTTTTTTTTTTAATCTCATCCCCGAATGCCAAAAGGGCGTGATTTAAAAAGCAAATTAAAACATTATTCTCATAACTCACCACAACAACAACACACCCATAACCGACGAACAGGAGATTCTTCCTCAACAACGAGTACTGATACTTCTTTGGTGACCGAACGACTAGCTCAATTACGCATCGAACAATTACGAGCTGAAAAAAACAGACAACAGCGACTACTACAGCAGCAGCAACAGCAAGGAATTCTAGGACAAGTATTATTAGGTCAGAATGATCAAGATGAAGCGATAACAAGTTGCATTCCATCAAGTACAACAACACCGTCAAGGTCGACAAGTTCTTTGTCAGGATCCTCACACTATTATTCTCCACGGGTAGCAGGACCAGCGCCACCACCATCATGGACAAGAAGAGCTGTCGTACGTCGCCCTCCCGCAGCCAATCGCCCTTTTTCCGAAACGACGACTACGTCCGCCGCTGCCGCTAGTAGTAGTAGTAGTAGTAGTTTACGTGAGCAATGTGCATACCTTGCCACAGATATTGTATTGCAACAACCAAGCGTTGTCTCTACATTATCGATGGCGACCAAACAGCTTGTTTTGAACCGGCTTGGATTACGATTGACGGACGCGATCTTGCCGTATTTTCGAGACGAGCATTATAGTCAATTGTTTTTGCACAGTGCGCCCATTTCGTTTTCGGCCTTTGTGCGTTGTTTTTGGCGTATCGAGCCATTGTCTCCAGCAGAAGCTATCCAAGGTCATGACGACGACGCGATGGGAGAGGCCAAAGAAGATCTGGCCGAAGATTGGGAGGAGCAAGAAGAAAGACGGGACAATTTGGATGGCGATGTTGGGGATGTTGTACGCTACACATACGATCCGTCTTTGGACTGGGCCTTGGAACCCATCATTCAATTACTCAAACAACCGGTGGACCAAGACCACATCCTCACGACGCCGCTCTCCATGAAACTGATCACCCTTGATGTGTCATTTATTCCATTACCGGCCTGTGCTGCGCATTTGATTGCTGCGACATTGCCCCAGCTGACTAATTTATCCGTAGCCGGCTGTTTTGCCACGGATCCCGGGTTGGCCAACGTGTTGGCACGGCGTATGAAACAATTGCGACGATGGGATATCGGATACCATGGATGGCTTGATCTGACGTCGATCGGTACCATTGATTGGAAACGTGATTTGCTCCATTTGCAATGGTTGGGCGTGGCCATGTGTGGACGGGATTTCAATGGTGGACAAGAAATGGCTGAATCGATTCATCAACACCGACGTCAACAACAACTGCGCATAACAACTACCAGTAGTAGTACATAGCATGAATTTTGTTGTACACACACATTAATAATTATTTCCCCCCCCCTCTCTTTGCTACCATAGTTCTTTCGTTACCTTTCTCTCTTTTACTTTTACTTTTTTTTTTCCATCGCCTCCGAGCTTTTCAAAAAAGAAAAAGCCATATAAACAAAAGTAATGTCCGGAACACCACCTGGCAAACAAACTTCATCATCATCGTCCAATCAAATCAGTCGACCCGTTCAACGTCATCTCATCAATGTATACTTGGTACTTGCCGCCATGCTGGGCCTGGCAGCATTTGGCTCAACAACAGGACAGCCATTCGGTGGCAATGGTGTACTTGAAACAGGCGTGACCATTGGCAGTGCCATGGGCGTCATGACGCTTCGACGCGGCAATATGCTTCGTTGGGCATTACTGGCGGTAAAGTCCCTTTCGTTAAAACTTCGTGTGCTCGGGTTTACGCAAAAGAGAATTTTGAAGAAAATAGTACTAATATCTATTATATATACATTACAGACGTATTCGTTGTTTAGTGGCATGTCATTATCAGCACTGGTGACACAGTTTCTATACTTGGACCCATCAGGAACGCTACTGCTCGGCGTATTGTCAGCAGCCATGTTTATCTTTTTGGGACTATCCGCGTCGGCTACTCTGGCGAATCGACGTAGCATGCTCTATGTCGGTGGTATGGTTGGATCTTTGCTTGCCTTGTTGGCTTGGACAGGACTGGCGAATCTTTTCTTGTTACGTTCACCTGCATTGTTTTCTGCCGAGCTGTATCTTGGTCTCATTGCATTCAGCGGTTATGGTAATACATACCACCTTTTTAAAAGAGATCATAAAATGCGGTTCATTCATTGAAGAAATCACACATTTATTTTATGCAGTGGTGTATGATACGCAAATGATTGTGGAACGAGCAAGTGCGGGTATCATGGATATTCCCGGCCACGCCATGGATTTATTCATGGATCTATTTGCCTTGTTTGTTCGGCTTGCCGTCATATTATTGGAACGCGAATCACAAAACCAAAGAGGACGACGACGAGGACGACGACGGGATGATGATGATGATGATGATGACAGTAGGAATTACAGCCGACGGTGGCGACCCTCGTCAAGTAGACGTAGTCGATTTTAAAATAAAAACAACTCAAAAAGAGATTGCAAACATTACAAAAGTTTATTTATGGATGGTGTGGTGGTGAGTGGCGTCTGATTCGATGATTCTTAGAAGGCAAAGTAGATGACCATAGAAACATGTCGGCAAATTTTTTTTGATTGGAAGAGCGTAGTTGGACAATGTGGTCGAGATAGTCTTGCCAACGCATCGATTGATTGCCCAAATATATAACAAAGGAAGGATATTGTACAGTAGCAGCTTCTTGTAGAGAGCTACTACCAGTACTGGTGCTGCTATTTCTGTTGCTATTGTTTGTCATCGTTTTAGGGGGAAATGTCACGGTCGTGTTTTTCTTTTCATCGATGGCTTTCTTGTTGGACGACGACGCATGCAATAACCAAAGATGGCACTTGTGTCTAATACTCGTAGCTTCCTGCGTGATTTTATCCTGGAGCTGTTGCACCTGGCATCGTTTCCGGTAGAACTGGTTAGAAATCAGCTGACGATAATGTGTAATGGTATGATGTTCGTCTGCAGACACCCAGATATCTTGTGTCTGGATCAGTCGTAATTGCCGCTCCGTTTCTCGGTGCTCGTACTCCACCGCGTAAAGTTCATATTGGGAATACTGTAGCTGTTGTTCTAGTTTTCGCACACGCGCCTGACGGCATGTAATTTCTTGTTGTTGTTGCAATAAAAGCATGGTTATTATTATTGTTGTTGTTGTTGTTCTGCACGGGGATAATCAGATAGAAGAAAGAAAATAGTGTGTGGGGTATAATGTGTGTGTGTGTGTGTATGTGTAAATTATTATAAAAAGCACCAACAACCGGTTCTTTTTCTTGTTGTTTCTTGTGTTGACTATGATGATGACAAGCAAAAGAAGAAGAAGGGGATATAGGAGAAGGAAAGAGAGGGGTGTTCACTTATGATACAAATGCTATTTAATGATGAGACTATTTACAAGACCTTCAACCATGGCCAGCCATTGACCCGGTTATAGTCACTAGAAAAAACATACACCTTTTGGTTAGCTAATCTTGAATCGAAACACACATGTAAGATAAGATGTAATTTTACCTTTCGTCTGTGGATGAAGAGGAGGATGGGCATTCTGCCAGCGCGTGGGCTGGTGTAATAGCAGTGGTGGTGGTTGTGACCGTAGGATAAGGGGATGAAATAGTATACAAGGTATCCGATGCATGTTTGTTGTTGTTGCTGCTGCTGCTAGTAGCACCATTCGTATACGACGCGAGTTTGTGTTGCTGCCACGTCGTCAGTTGCTTACCGTAATGTGCAACAGTGTCCAAATAATGATGATGATGCTGGATAGGAACCATGGCAGCAGTTGTTGCTACTGGCGCTACAGCGGTGGTTGGATGAGGAGGATGGTAATAATTGCTATTGTTGTGGTTGTGATTGTTGTGGTGATACATATCCCAGTCTGGACACACTTGAAGAGGTACAGAAGGTACTGTCAGCAGATCCACTGCCTCAATCTCATCCATTCTCGGTCGTTTTGTGATTTTTTTGTTGGGTCGTCGTAATAACGCGTCGTTGTCGTCTTCTTCTTCTTCTTCGACAATAACACGCGGTCGTTTATCTTCGTGAAAGAAAGAATGTTCAAGTGCCTCGGAGGCGGCAATACGTCGTTGAGGATCGTAATATAAGAGTTTGCGTAGTAAATCAATCATGGATGGAGATGCTGTTGGAAATATGCTTTGTAATGGCGTGCCGGTCGTCTGAAGAAAAAAAAAGAAGATTTATATGAGTAAACTCTCCGTAAAGGGAGAAAAGCTTATTACTTTTATACCTGAGGAAACGCAAAGCCCATGCGATTGGCTAGTTTGGCGCCCTCACGCCACTCGTTATCGTTATTGTAGTCTGCTACTACTTGAGGAGCTGATACGTGTCCATTCAGAGTGGATGGCATGGATGACGAAAGAAGTGACGATGCATTGTTCGCTGGTGGAGATGCAGCAAGGGGAGACGACGCGTGATTGATAGTGATAGAAGAAGAACGTCGACGCTGGCGAGCAAAGCCAGGGCTAAGTTTTTCTTGCGGTCGTTTGGTATTGTTAGTCCGCCGAGTGAGGATGGCGTTGGATTTTCCGGGACTTCCCAGAACGGCACAAATGCGGTATAATTGGTCAATCTCGGTATTGCCGGGAAAGAGCGGGTTTAATGTGATGAGTTCAGCAAACAAGGTGCCGGCTGCCCACAGGTCGACTGGATACGAGTACGTGCGTGCGCGCAAGAGGATCTCTGGTGCTCGATACCAACGTGTGCAAATATAGTCCGTGTACGGCCCTTGACTGCCGATCGGTCGTGCGAGTCCAAAGTCGGCCAGTTTGATGACGCTTTCGCCGGACGGTAGGTTGGAAACGAGAATGTTTTCTGGCTTAAGGTCGCGATGAAAGAGACCCTGTCCGTGGATGTGTTCAAGTGCCTGTAATATTTGGCGGCTGTTCACCCAATGGTCTTTAGTAACAATGAAAAAAACGTGTGTGTGTGTGTGTGTGTGTGTGTGTGTGTGTGTCTGTTGTCAAGTTGTGCGTCAAGAAGAGAAAAGTCCTGTTGGGTAAAACTCACAATATACGTCGAATGTCGACATGCTCAAACGGTGTGGATCGTTTATGGATGAGTTGGTACAGGTTGCCACCGTTAATATACTCCATGACAAGATGGAGTTCGTCAGCGGTTGCTACAAATGTCTTGTAGAGTTGGACAATGTTGGGATGGCGATCGAGGCGAGAGAGTGATCTGTATTCACGAAGGCTGTAGTCGGATGTGTCTTGGACTTTAAGGGATTTGTGCCTGACTGTCTTTATAGCGACCTGTTGTTGTTGTTGTTGTTGTTGTTGGTGTTAATAAAAAAGTAGTCTATCAAAGTAGTGCAAATGTGCATGAAAAAAGAAACAACAACAAGACTTGCAATTTGTCGAGTGGCCTTGTCCCTGGCTCGGAAGACTTGACCGAACGCGCCATCACCTATTTTGTCCAGAAACACATATTGGGTCTTTGATGAACCTTCAATAGGCATGCTTTGATGTGTGGAGTGGGTTAAGAAGAGAGAAGAAAAAGTGAAGGGAAGAAAAGAAAAGAAAAGAAAGGGAAACGGATCTTTTTTTTTTCACAGAGAGACAGGGAGCAAAAGAGCCAACGACAATGGTGTTTTTTTTTCATACTCCCCCCCCCTCTTCTTCTTCTTCCACCCCTCATGCCCAAATAAAGAAAGGGAGGGCACATCATCATCATCATCATCATCTTTCTTTGCTCTGAATGGGGAAAACCTTGTACGCGGCACACCGTGGCATGGCACAACTTGGAAGCTCTAAATGCGGGGGGTTTCCCTTATTCAGAACACACATGTGCCAAAAGGAAATAGAAAAAAAGCACCCGATTTTCTGCTTTACTAATCATCATCCTCTTCTTTAACTTTGCCCATCGTTCCCTTTCATTGACTCATGCTCTCTCTCTCTCTCTCTCTCTTTTGTGACTTAAAAATGATGATCATTACAAGGTAGCTGGAGATGGAATGATCTTTATTACTTTTTGTTCAACAGGCAATGTTACAAAGAAAAGGTGTGGCTCCACCCCTTTAACTCCCCGCTCATTCTGCACCAATGACGTTTCAGGTAGACTTCTGCATGAGTCAAATGCTTAAAGTTTATTATGTTATGTACAAACGTTCACCTATATACAATTCATAAATCACATTAGGTACAGTAAATAGACTGCTATTTGGAAGGATGCCATTGCTGGTGACCCTTTCTTCGGATGTCAGGATCGTGCGTAAGTTTTCTGAAGCCTGCAATCATGCCAACTATAAATGATGCGTACATTATTATTAGGTCTGACAGCTCTCTCTCTCTCTCTCTCTCTCTCTCCAAGATGAGAACAACACTTGCCTGAGACAGCAGTGCCCACAAAGGTCACCAGAGGTAACACCTCCTTTGGCAATGTTTTACGATTTAAAAGACGTCCGACGAGAACCATGATTTTTTTAGGTTGAGTAAGTAGTAAGGAAGAATAATTTTGACCGTGCTTTATTTATATACGAGTGTGTGTCTGTGAGTGAAGGCTGAAACCCTTGCTTTTGGCTCGCTCATCGTGACATCACTGCACTGTTTCATGCAACTCCTCCTGCTCTTGCTGCTCCTGTCAACTTGGCATAGGCTTGGGCCAACTATTTAAAAAGAAAAACCCATCTTTATCGTCAAGTACTACTACACTGATGACCCCCAAGTAATAGTGGAGGAACAAACCTTGCTTTTTAGCATATCCCTTTGACTTGCGCTGCTGAAAAAGGGCAGCAAATCAAATGCCAGCTTGCACCACGCGCGGCCGCGGTGACTATCATTGGCGCTGGTCAAAAAAAAAAAAAAAAAGAAACATCATCATCAGACCCAACAAGCAGCAACACATAAAAAAAATGTGGTGTATATACTTGAACCATGTGATGCCCTCGTTCCAGCACACGACCACCAAGTAGTACAGCTCACTTTCGGGATAGCTCTTCCGTTGTTGTAAAATAGCAACACACACAATTAATTCACCTATTTGTTTTGGGGGGGAAAGCTGCTTAATTATTACCATGGAGTTCCCGCGCTGCTGTTGCTGCTGATGTTTCAGACGCCTGCACGTTTCTTCGAGGCATTGGAATCCCGTCTCTTTGCCTACCACCATGGCCGTCGATACCATCAGCCGTGTCCATTTGCTGAACCGTTCCACGAACGACCGTGACCATGTCCAAGCTGATGACGTGTTGTTGTTACTACCACCGCTATTTGATTCTTTCTCCAACAGTGTCTGATACAACAAAGTGATACTCTATACCATTTTATCATGGACACTCAAGCATATATCAGAATCATAGAACTGAGAAGAGCATGCTTTACTGCCTTGACTTGCCTGCAGCACCTGTAACGCGTCTAACAAACAATGATGAACAATTAGGTATTATCTACTTTACGCATCTATGGGAGAGAGAGAGAGAGAGAGAAAAAGACACCTTGACTACTTTACCTTGTTTCGAGCAGTGTGAGCTTTGAAGAACAGACTCTAAATAAAAATAATGTCACCCACGCTGCAATCTATGTACAACTCCAAAGGCAAACCCGCTTACCGACCAGCCGTTCACAAAGACCAAGTTGCGATACGCTTGAGACTGTTTTGCAACAATTGTCAATAGCCTTGATCGCTTCTCCGAACCTACTCAGGGACACATAGGCTTCCACTTTGAAGATTTCAACCAATGCTTGAAATGCTGTTTCTTCCTTTTGCTGCCGACGTTGCTGGCTTGATAGCAGTAGTGGTTGTTGTTGTTGTCTCTCACCGGTGGACGCCGTATCACTTCTGTCTGCGACCAACGTTTGTGCGATCGACAGTATTTCTTGGTGATCCGTGACCTATATATTAGATGCATATGTATCATATAATGTTATGCGCCAACCGTAGGAGGGTCCGTTCTTGTGATATCTTTTAGTTAAAACTCACTTGGCCATTGCCCGACAGTTGTCTTGCCACGATACACATGAACAAACTGACGCGTTGTCGCTCATCAAGGGTCGTCGAAGCACTTGCGGTAACTTGGATAAGCTTGAGAATCAATTGACAGTGTTAAGGGTAGTATTGCAACAAAAGCAAAGCAATCGTCGGTGGTTTTTTACCTTGCATGCTGTCAGTAAAAATTGACGACCACGATAATCCATTGCATGTTCACAACATTGTAGTCCCAAATTCCATGCTACACATAATATATATATACTTGTTAGCTTTTTTTTCCCCACTCTTTTGATGTACAAGCCCTTTATATTCTTACCGGCACTAATGAACCATTCGGACAATGGTTGCAGCTCAGGCGAAAGACTATCTGCGGATGTCAACGTCTTGCAAATTAAATCGCATGCTATGATATTTATTAAAAAGCAATCAATGGCAGTCCAATTTGTTTCCCTCCCCCACCTTCCTTGCTGTACCCTGATGGATGGTCTCGCCAATCTCTTGAATGTTATCCGCCACCTCGTGTCTATAGACAGCATCAAATGTTAGGCCACCCCTTGCTAATTCCAATATAACGGCATTACGTCAAGTTTGGAAATTCTTACCCTAAATTCCGATTCTGAAGCACGGCCAATTGTTCAAAGGAGTTACTGTTGCACACAATCCACCTAAAAGAAAAGGGGCACACACAATAAACATTATTTATTATCTAGTCAATGGATGCTTTGTTCATTTGCCCCACATTAGCTTTTTTACCGTAAAATCTGGAGCACCTGTGTCACAACTTGAGAACGGTTCTTTGTAGAAAAATCACTACGGGCTTCTTTCATCAATACCGTCGCCAACTCTTGAGCAATTTGCTGCAATATCAACTTGTTTCTTTTTGATGACTATTGGATATAAAAAAAAGAAACGTTTAAAATACAATTATCAGTGATTGGGGGAGAACAAGAACAAATGTCCAAGCTTTAAAACCTTGAAAGCCGTGGATGCTAGCGCCAAAAGCATATCCATCGTGAATCCATTCGATTTCTGTAACTTGTCCAAACACAATTTCACTTTTTTTTTATAAATGGGGTCCCCCGCATTATTATTAGTATGTGACTAATAGATACTTTTTAACGCCCTTTGCACACACAAAAAAAAAACAAGAAGTCGCTATCAAAAATACCTTGTGTCAGAGCATGATCCTGCTGTTGTTTTTGCTGGTCGTCGTTTTGTGGTGGTGGTAGTAGTACTGTTCTAAGAAATATATCAGCTTTGAGCAGGTAGTCAACAGCCGTGCAGTGCTCCGAACAATCTTCCATGGCTTCGGAGAGGCATTCAAGCGCATCTTGTAAGTGATTGTTTCCTGCTTTGTTGTCGTCCATCTTGAGATAGCACCGAGCCAGCTGCCTGTTGTTGTTGTTGTCATTGATGTAACGGTATATACAAACGTAGTGATCGTTAATTATCCATGTCAAGTATGCCACTTTTCTTTTCTTTTTCACTGTGAGAAAGAGAGTAAAGACTTTCCTAGCAAGGATGAGACCATTCTTGCTTCCTTTAAATGCAGTCATTGATAGCGCACGGGTATGCTTGTACCATTGTAAAGCGCTGATATAATCTCGATTCTACAAATGGAAAGGGAGATGGGCCAGCATGACAACAACATTAATATAGCTCATGATATAACGTATATTTTTAAAGTAGGGAAGCTTGATTGGCTCACTACATGTTTAAGAATTACCTCATAGAACGCATCACCGGTACGCCATAGGATCTACTCGGCGCTATGTTAGCGAAAATGTTTGCAATGTTTTTTTTTTCTACTGAAAAACAAAAACTGTATAGTGCTGCTGCTGCTGCTTCTCCCTACAACATGAAAGAAAAAGAAACCATGCTTTTTACCATTTGACATGCTGTAAGATCAGCCGGTGTGATTGCCTGTCTGTCCATGAAAAGATCTATAGAATTCGTTCAGATTCGTTTGTTGTGTAAGATATGTTATTGTGAGAGACCATGTTGAACAGGTCAAAACGTTGGCGCGCTTTACCATTGATTGTCTTTTTCAACGGTCGTTCAATGATGGAAACACAACCATCCAAAGTAGAAGGGTTGTGATGCACTGCTTCCGAGAGTAGATAAAGTTTTGTCATATAAAGCGTTCCCATAGTGAACAAATGTCTCGTCGGCGGCATGGTGCTCTGTTCATCACTGCCATCGTAATCATTTTGTTCTTCTTCATCGAGTGTGGTGGCGCGTCGTCGTTGCAGCACCACATCAAGTCCATCGCCGATGGTTTCTACACTATACAACAAGCAAACTCGCACGTAAAAACGACACACATGGTTCCAGACTTATATGAATGGTCGGTACTTACGTAAGGAAACGAATCACCAGCCGAGACACGGCGACGAGGCTATACATTCAAGGTCATCATGTTGGCTCCATAAAACAATAACACAAGTTTAGTCTGGTTAAGAAGTTACTTACTAGGAAAGCCGTGATGGTTCTGCTTGGAGAGGGAAATTCTCCATTGCTTCAAAGTATGCTAGTTGCGTGGACCAAAGACCCGTTAGATTGAGCGAAATACATGACATACCATTCTTCTCAAAAGGCGTGTGTATTGATATTATTGAAAAAAATGACAGTGTTTACCTATTTCCGGCATAATAGTAGACGTGCTGTCTTGTTGTTGCTGAAACAATTCGCCTTTTGTTAAAATTGCCAATTTTGCCATATGGTACTCCTTGGTCTCTCGAAGTTTCTATATTATATATTCGGCAAACAAAGGAACGCCATCCATTCTCATTAGCATAAAAACAATGAACGTAGTAAAAAAAAAAGAGAGAAAGATATAAGTGATGGTCAATTTCTGGTTTACATACTGGAAAAGTAGAGACGGTACTTTGGACTATCTCGATAAGCGTAGTCTGCAGTGACGAACTTAACGATGATTCGGTGGCAGTAGTAATATTCAATGCAGCACGAGCTATAGTGTATAAAAAAAGTGCAAAAGAGAGAAATCAGCAAGCGCATCAGTTCGTGAATTTGCATTTTGATGTCTCTTTTCTAATCACTCACCCATTGTTTCCAGAACTGTTTTCTTTTGTGGGAGGGGGGGGGAAAGATAAGAGTAAAAATGCGTGAGAAAAACTATTACATCCTGATCCGCTGTAATGAAAATTAAATTTACACACACCATGAATTGCTCGTTACAATAAACATATTGCAGCTTTGGAAGGACGTGAGCGATCAATTCCAGACAAGCTTTGTATTTTGCATCCTTCAACACTTTTTGACTCAGTGACATTGTGATTCGACAAAGAAACTCGTTCTGTTTAGATGAATAGTTTATATAGGGTTAAGAAGATCAGGAGCTACTCATCGTTTCTTTTTTTATAATGACTGGGTCTACCTTGATGTGATTGTCATCATCAATGATTTGTCGGCTGCTGACACAGTAGTCTCAAGTGGGAAATTGAAAGTGTGGGGGGGGGGTTAGTTGCTGTAAGAAGTAGTAGTTTTGACAGCTTTTCCATCTTTCTTTGTGACGCATAGGAAAAACTCACCCACAGCTTTTGAAAGTCGCTCTTTTGCTTGTAGCCATTCATTACGCACAATTTCCTAAAGTGCAAGCATGTTTATATGACAGAGCAAGCCGACGAAAAATCGGTACAGCGTTAGTAGTAGCATCAAACGACTGTAATACAAAAAGAAAGATATAGAAAGTACATACCCATTCTGCTCGAAACATATAGAGTTTCAAACGACAGCTTGCTTGATACATTACTTTTTCCAGATCACTCTCGCCTGGGGGCTTGGTATTGGATGAGATGGTTGATTCGAGTTGATTGTCGTACTATATACACCCATAGACAAAAAACAATAATAGCAAAGGTTGTAGGTTTCTTTTTGTTCTTCCCTATATCTTTTAACCACTATAAAGTTATATACGAACATTCTCAGCATCTTGAAAGGCTACATCAGCGCGTTCATGGTTTCCGCAATCTGTTTTAAGAAAAGCCAAAAACAATTAGATAAGTTATTGTTGGCGAAGGGAAAAAAAGGTAAGTTCTATCATTGGTAAAAAAAAAAAGGAATTACCCGTCCACGCTTTTCCAAGGGCACTAGCCATTTCTAGTTGACAAGTCCAGACTAAGTTTACACATTTGCCGTTCGTTTAGTAAGAGGGAGAAATAGTAATACAATGAACTCTCACAGATAAAAAGGAATGAGAGAGAGGGTTGCATTTACATTCGCTTGATGCAGAAGTAAAGGTCTCCACAGCCGGTCGCGTCATACGATAACCAATTTCACGCACTATGTACATCAGTTCAATGAGCAGTGGGTAAATGGGGCTTCTAATCCAACCTTCGTTCCTCCTCCCACTTTTCTGCTCAAGCCCACTATCGTCTCTATACTGCCAGTAGAGACAAAACTAACTCACAAGTGGCGATCACTTCATAGGCTGCAGCCGATGGCGTGAAATGTGTGTTGACTGCTTTGTTCCACAGATCGGTACCTAAATTTGATGATGCATAGTTCGTATCACATGGTTGAGTTCATTGATGATGGGAGACGACAATAAAAAGACTATATTATATAAAGCAAAACGAACAATACACATACCACACTGTTCCAGCATATCAATATCCGTGGCTGAAATCTCGAGAAAATCACGAATCGCATCTGCCTTTGTCAATATTCGTTTAAGCATGGGTAGAATGTGTGATGGCTGTTCTTGGGCATCAACAAGCGCAGCCGCTTCCTTCCCAAGGGCTGTGTAGTTTTTGATGTCATCGGAACAGAAGTAAAAAAAGGTAAGCAATCGTCGATCACCAAAACGAGTATAGATATTCAATATAGAAAAGTAAATGGAACATACTCCAAAGCTCGTTTAATGGTAATGTCAGCATCTTTATCATACGCTAAAAAAGTGAGAAATGGAAAAGAAAAAGAAGAAAGACGTCGTCGGGGGAAATTGAAGCTCTCCGCCCTTATCTTTTTGGAAACCTGATAGTGGGAGCCAAATCGATGCATCCGCTAAACTAATCCAACAACAATGCTATGGTAGAGCATTAAGCCGGAGCATATGCAGCTGCCTATGTAAATACGCTGGCAACATTGTACAAGGAAAGCCCCATATCTCTCCCCTAATAGAACATAAGAACCTGATCGGCATCATCATCATCATATCGAAATGATTGTTATCTTCTTCTTTTTCCAATTGGAAACACCCCTACCCAAAATGGCAAACCTGGTCGAGCAACAGCGCAAAGGATTGAAAAGATATCATCAATTCCAGAGAATGATGCTGGATATCGCCAAAAACTCAAAAGCTGGTATCAAAGACATCAAAGTATTGAACAAGGTTTACAAACAAGACTATAAAAATAGTATCTGTAAAAGCACCCGGCAAGCAGCAGTATTAGCAGCATCAATCATCATCATCGGCGCTTTCAACTTTATGGAAATCTGTAACTCAATAGCCAAGAGAACATTCAAGAAAAAAATATCTATGGTGGCTAGAAATTTTAGTATCCTGTATCAACGATGTATGAATTAGAGAGCTCAAGTTGTAAGAATATTTAGCTTTAGAAATCATCACTTGGCTTTAAAGTAACGCTAAGCACAATAATCCTATTTATGCATCCAAGGCTACATTCACCCATTTACTGTATAATTAACCTCCTAATATTCTACAGCGCATAATCATTCTTTTTCTAATAAACGCAACATGATGCTGCTATCCAAACATATCGCAAACAATAAAGTTAATCGCAACAGAGAATTCACACAGGTAACTACTGTGAGAACTAAATCGCTATTTTGAGGTGCGTTTGAATAGACACACAGCTTCTGAACACAGACACAAAAAATGCGGGATGAGGAGTCTTTTAAGAGAGGGGTGGCGGGATAGTGAAGTGTCAACTTCACTATGTACTAAAGACTTGTTCGTCTACATTATACTAACATTTTATTGTGTATTCAACGAATCATACAAAAAGTTAAAGTACATCAGCAGAATCGAAAAGCTTCCTGGTTTTGTTTCGTTTACATAAACCTGATGGTAAGTGGCCCTGTAGTTAGATCAATGCCAGAATTTTCCAGCACGACAACTAATGTAGCACCACTGTTATTATTGACAGAAACAAGGCTATGCTCCTCTCCATTGTCATATCTAGCCAGAGTCCAGACAAGGGATGATGCCGGTGGTGCAGAAATGATCTTGATGGTTTCCAGTTTTTCTGCTTGCGAATAACCAAACGAGCCTTGTATATGAAGCACCTGATCCTCCATTTTGAAAACAATATCCGATGTTTCCGGTTGCTCCACCGAATGGCCGTCATCTATATACAAGCGACCCTCAGCACTACCTTGGTGATCCAGAGCAATGAGCAAGGTATATGGCGTCGCATACGCGTCCTCCACCACACGCTTGGGCTCTTTGAGTGGCACAATGGCACCACCACGAACATGGATCGGCATATGCGTCAATGGGGCATCGAGAGTAACCCATCTGTCAGCGGTCTCTGAGATGACAGGTTCGTATGTATACCAGTCGTACCAGGTACCAAGTGGAAATTGTCCCTTGACTGAGAGGGCATTTTCAGTCACCACAGGTGTCAAGAGTATATCGGTACCAATCAGGACCTGTTCATCGTTGGTGAGATAGGCTTCGATCTCGGGATATTCAAAAACAAGGGGTCGCCACACCCCAGTGCCTAGACGATGTGATTCTTCATGAAGCGTGTACAAGTAGGGTAGCAAAGAGTAACGGATGCTGAGCGCTTTTCGACTGGCCTCTGCTGTCGACTCCCACTGGTAGGGTTCCTGTGCTATGCCGTTTATCACTGTAACAACCAGACATGCTTTATTTAAGTACATGATACCTGAATTGATACAATCCAATGTTTGTTGTTTACCATTGTGATTCCGTGCAAACGGATAAAAAGCGCCAAGTTGCATCCAGCGCGTGCATAATTCTTCTGTGGTGTTGCCGTTAAATCCACAAATGTCGGATCCGCTGTAAGATATGCCAAACATTTGGACGTTGAATACTTCAACAATGGAAGCTTTCAGGTACTCCCAGGTAGCCCAATTGTCACCTAAGGAGAAACAACAAAGAAAGAGCGAGAGTGAATTATTTTTGCCACCCGGACTGCATCAGCATTTCACTAGTTTTCCTTACCCATCCAATGACCAGCATAATGACCTGACCTAATATATTCCGCATGAGTGCGTCTTTTCTTTTCCAAAAATTACAAAATCTCTCGTTCTTTACCCTGAAAATGTGGATCGACTAATGATGAACGGACGCTCATTAGGTTTGTATTTCAAGATAGCCTGTATTAGGAAAATATCATTAGTATAATGTACAGTGTTGTGGGTAATGGACATGATTCTTACATTTCGTGTTGTACTGCACTCTGCATGACCATACAGATTATGCAAATCATAATGCGGAATGGTACCGTCTGCATGATAGGCAATCATGGGCGCCGTTTTCTCGGACAAGTTGCCTGCCATATTATGGATTGCATAGTTTGGATACAGCAGATTGCGTGTTTCTTTTTCTAGATCGACTGTCTTGGCCAGCTCCAACAACGCCTGTTCCTCGGATATGTGCATCATGTCTTGTTGTTCCTGAGGCAATGTCCATGGCTCAAAACTAGGCGGCAGTACATCCATTTTACCCGATCCACACGATCCTAGACAAAACGACGAGGGTTCATCCATGTCGATCCATAATCCATCCAAATCCATGCGGCTCATAAACGAAGCTATTTCATAGTCCCAGTATTGCGCTGCGTTTTTGTGGAACCAGTCTGGAAAGACGGTGTATCCCGGCCAAACCTCGCCAACATAGTATGATCCATCTATTATGTGTGTGTGTGTGTGCAACATAAATTCATGCGGCGTATGTGTTTTAGAGAGTAACATTAAAAAATAAGGCAGGGTGTTGTTGTTGTTGTACCTGGATTTTTCATAAACACATCGAGCTCTTGTCCGCGAATGAACGGCCCATAGTCGCTTCGGTATGCTTTGCCTGCATCCACCATGAGAACGAATCGTTGCTTGTTGGCATGGAGATTGTCACTCATTCTTTTCATCCGCTCTTCGGGAAAATGAACGGGATCGAAAGTAAAGTCCTTGTAAGTATCCATATAATCTGTCCAAAGAAAAATTATGTTTTGGTTACATCGTGAGTTCCCGTCGGTATCTGTAGGGTGATAGCGTTCTTGTTCATACCAATATCCACCCAGTTGACTTCCACTGATCAAATTATATAGCGTTGAGTACACGTATTCTACTGTCATGTAAAGACAAGCGTACGTACATGGAATTTCATGTTCTCTGTATTTCCGGACAACCTCTTCAACCTCATCAATATCATGATATCCCCACCGACAATGCTGGAAGCCAAGGAACCAGTGAGCTATGAGAGTAGCATGGTAAATATACATACATACAACTGCCCTGAGAAAAGAGAAAGTTCAGTGGCACCCTTACATATCATCATTGGCTTGCCCACCAAATCCGTGTATGAGCGCACAACTGAATTTGGCTTATTATCTGTTGGCGTGAAAAAATAAAACTCGAGCACACCGCCGATGATCTTGAAAGTGATACGGCCTTCCACAGTGAGCACGTCCATGCCATGCGCGGTCAATAAAAACATGCCGTGTGCCTTGCCATTGCGGATTTCCATTGCCATTGGATGCGAGCCATAAATATTTTCATAAAAACTATTTTTACGACAAGAAAAACAACATGGGTTGAAAAAAAGGATTTCCATATTTCTTGCTTTCTTGGGTGTATACAGTATGGACACTGTAAGTGATACTTACGGGCAAGCGGCATCGCGAGCAAAAACGGTTGTGGCGTTCTAATCGATGTGTTAGCATATTTCTTTAACAACCCCTCCTTTATTGCTCAAAGGCTGTGATAGTGATAATGTACCAGCTGGTTATTCCTTCGAAACGATGGTAACGGTGTCTCGCCAAATCCATAAAGATTGGCATCTTTAGGTACTTTTGTTGTCAGCTCGAGGTACTGGTCCTCAAACACCAGCGGATAATCCGTCGTGTCAAATACCACAGCATTGTCGCTTGTTCGGATGACCTGGAAAGTGAAAGGCTCGCGTGTGTATTTAAAACGATAATTGGGATTTTCAAAAGGTGTGTTCAGTTTGGGTCGTGGTAAACCAAGTGGTGAATCGGGTACTGGTATTTGGTTTTGACCCTTATCGCTGATCTATGTATGATAGGTCATATCAGAAACAGTATATATGCATAAGTAATGTCAGCTATTTCATAATAGGATCCACAAGCTTCTCCCCCCCCCCCCGCCCCACATCAGAAAGGCGCACCCGGTGGGGTCAACCTGGTATATGTAAACCAGAACTTACTGTGACATGGAGTCGATCCTCAGTTTCGTAGTCTACTTGGACTACCAGCTCTTTGATGGTTTTGCCGTAAAAGTCAGTCGGGCCGGGTCTTGCAGTCAAAGGAATTTGAAACCCGGATGTCGTGCTCACAGCTTCTCCAGCAACGTTGTAACCAGGTGCTGTGTACGACACGTCTAATTTTTGCGGTACTCACACAATTACAATCATGCGCCATGAACACTTTCTTTTTTCTTGTCGCTCTACCCCCCTCGGGATAGTACCATAATCGGGTCTCACTTGTGAAGAGTGATTTGCTGGCACCATGTGAAATACGTCATATTTTTCGTGTTGTGGTTGTTGCTGACCATATACGACTGAGATGCGAGGAGAGAACTGACAAAGTCCCACAAGCGTGGTCGTTAAAAGTAAAAGCAGTAGCCGTGTCATATTCTCGACTTGCTGCTTGTCTTTACTTTTCAATGCCAGAGAGCAGAAAAAAGGGATATTTTTTTCTCGGGTGGGTCTCGTTATTTATATTATGCAGCCCACGCCTGCAATTCCGTTCCCGCATTTTTCCGTCTACGTGTACATGTAAACAATAGGTTCTTGCTCGAGAAGGTAGCCACACACAGACCTCGGAACGCCCATGAACCCTATAGCATTGTACGGCTGCATCTCATGACAGCAACAACAACAACAACAACAACGAAACGCGCTATACCGTCTCAAACTTATCAATTTTCCCATTTATCATCGCTGCTGTTTAGTGCGTTGTGCCATGATGAGCATGTTTACCTTGAAACAGCTATCTTTATAAGGCAGCGATAGTTCACCTGGAAACTTTTCTTCTTCCCCTCATGAACTCCCACGCTGTAGAGACGCGAGAAGGGTTACACAGGGACCCGCTTTCGCTCTTCTATTCCTTTATGCAGGATGGCAAAACAGTAAATCTTTGTGATAAATGTCTTCAATATATATATATTTATGCCATCATAGGGTTCAATATGATATGCCTAGCAAAAAAAAACAAATCGACCTGGGCGCACAAGCGTTGGAAGAATGCAGCACAAAAGTTGAGTGGTACATAATATTTGGAAGTATGGCAACTGGCATTGGTTTTAATCGAGGGAGCACCCTGTAGTCCCACTTTTTTTTTTGATGAAAAACGATGGAAGACAATAAACAAAGGCTGCTTCGAGCGATATTCGTCAGAAACCTTCTCTCTGTCCTTACATCATTACTACTACTTGACACCTGCTTATCATCCTATGAATTAAAAAACGTAACCTTCTTAGAACCCATGCACCTTACCTACAAAACAAGAAGCTCATGTTTGGGGAAAGGATAAACGATTGGTATGTGTATCAATGTTACATCATGAGATGGATCTCTAAATGTTTGACCTACTGGTCCCTGTACTTTGCGGTGCCAGTGCTTGTTGCTTGGTAGTAAACGATGACTGATTATGGTTTCGTGGCCAATGGCCCCTCCCATTTACTATGCCTAAATCAGACAAAAAGACAATGAGTCTCTAAAAAAACTGGAAACAGCATCAAATGCCTGCATTCATGGAGAGAATACATGATAGATGTCTACACCCAAAGCGCGTGTGCGCACCCCGAACACAGCATAATAGGGGGGGAGGAAGTTTATTCCATAAAGTATTAAAATCGAGGTGGTCATGTGGGAGAATTAGAAGAAAAAAGGGCTTTTCTTGGCACCAAGAAAGAAACCATGTGTGTGTGTTTAATTATTTACATGTCATATTCCAAATGCTCATTCACATGGTGGTTCAGCGCCATGTTGTCTCCTTCGATGGTTTTATGACAGACCGGACATTCCATCTTACGCACTGAGTTTCCTTTCAAGTAGGCACTTGCATCAACTGGAGCATGTTGAGGCTGCCGTGGAAACTGTTGCTGTTGCTGTGGTTGATGCGTGGATGATAAGCCAAAATCGGGTGGAATGAACGTATTGGAAGGATCATACGATTGTGGCTGCTGCTGTTGGGGTGCTTGCCAGTAGAATGGCTGCGCTGGCTGCTGAAATGGCTGTTGTTGTTGTTGTTGCTGGTAGGGTTGCTGTTGAAACGACTGTTGTTGGTATGGCTGTTGTTGTTGTTGCTGTTGCTGTGGATACAATTGAAGCGATGGTTGCTGTTGTTGGCCATAGAAAGAAGATTGCTGCTGTGGAAACGAGGATTGAAGGTTGCTGTTTGGCTGTTGCTGTTGCGGATACGATGGGTTCGAGAAGCCAGGCGTGCTATAAGAAGGTTGCTGCTGGTACGGCTGTTGTTGAGGTTGCGTCGTGTAAGTGGGATTGAATCCACCCATTGTGGATTGTGGCATTGCATTGGTTTGTGGATATTGCGATTGCCCTGACGTTGGGCTAGAGTACATGTTTGTGTTTTGTGAACGAAATGGGTTATTGTCCATTGTATCGAATTGGGGGAGGTGTTGTTGTTGTTGTTGTTGTTGTTGCGAGAAAGGCTGTGTAAGACCACTGCCAACGGGAGGTGAAGCGCGGGGTTTTATTGGAACGTGTACGTAGCCTTGCGAAAAAGAGCGAATTTCCTTTTTCGGCTTGCATTGACGCACATACATTTTTAAGCTTGCTGAGAGTAACAGGCTGAGTCGACTTGACTGCGTAACCAGAATGCTCAGGATCGCTCTTGTACTCGTTTGAGACCCACTAACTCAGTTGAAAGATTCTAAAGAATAAAGTGTGAGTTCCCTTAGTCTGAAAATACTGGTGTAGCTCTCTTTTTCTTTCTTTCCTGCATCCAGATGGCTTTTGGCTTGTTGTCAGCAATTATACAGCAGTTGAGAGGCGCACTGGGTGGAAAGAGTCAATAATAGCACAGTACATCATATGCGATGACTAAAGAGAGGGCGTTATACTCTGGACGAGAAAGTGGAAATACCACGGTTGTTTATTTAAGAAAAGTATCGTTATTTAAGCTTTGTGCATACCACCAGCTGACAGGCTCACAGATTGTTTGTCTGATTTGTGATTCATAATATTTATCGCGCGTGGTATCATTCCACAGCGTCGGGCCGTCCTACTAGTTTTCACAATGGCAATCCTGCACGGTTCTCGTTCTATGATGGCTGAGAAGTTTATACGCATTTAGAGGGGAACAGGCAAATCTCGTGTGTTTATAGTAGTGGATGAAGGTATGATACGAGTCTCTATATAAACGCAATAATATAAAGGAGCGATGCGAATCTTACCGTTAGATGTCGTTAAAAGACCAGTTTCCTCCTCAGGGACAGTTGCAAAATGCAGTAGTTATTTGCTAGCCATTTGAGGAGGGTTGCTTTTGTAACTTCTTCACCGATATGTTTGCGGACACAGCAAGAGCATTGTAGTGCGACAACGGCCTTGGATCTGATATAATCATCCCTTTCAGCATTGATTGGATACTGACTATCATCAATCATCGTAAATAAGGTACTAGTAACTGCCATTCTTAGCTCAATAATATGCCACGTAAATTAACTAGGTAGATACTCTCGCTCACTGTAGAAATATGATTTTGTACAACATACCACGTAGGAGGCGGCACCCTCAGCATCACCACCCATCAGCCATGTAAAACCGTTTATTTTCAATTAAGCTAATCTTTTGCCTAATATGGCCTTATGTAAGCAAGGAACACTCATGCTTGCCTTTTTCTTTTTGCCATCCAAAAGATATGCACAATGCTGTATCCAGTATACTGCTGATGTGCACAAAGTAGGTCAGGTTGGCGTATATAAAATCTCCCCCTCTGCTTCCATTTCACAAGACCCAAACGACATTAGGGACAGAGCTACATAACCCAGGTGATCAAAATGAAAAAAAAAAAAAAGTCAAACGTGGTTGCGTGCACTGATATCAGAACGAATCAAAGTATTTTCTTTCAATAGAGACTTGGTAGAAAAATAAAAGGAAACGGAGCCGACTTTCAAAAAGAAAGGTATTTTATGCATGCATACGTAATGTGGCTGTAATAATGCACCCGTCGTACAACAACGACAACGACAACGACAACGCCAGCAACGACGTACATTGTAAAGGTACGCATGTACTGCCCAGCACCTAACGTGTACGGATACGCAAAAGTTATTACAACCGTAAATTATTAAATTAATAGGCCATCGTGACAAATAAAAGAAAAGTTGACATGTGGCTATTGACAGCTTATGACAAGACGGTATACACACACACAGCCCATCGCCCGAGAAAATAAAAAAAAACAATGACGAATGTGCTACTAGTGCGCTTTTCATATTTTCTGATCCATCCGCTTTAGGAGCCGGTGTATGATGGGATCACATGAGGTATATCAAAAGGCTTTTTTTTTTCAACAAATAATATGACAAGGGAGAGAAGGGGGCCGTACACAGAAAGCAAAGAACGGCAGCGTGGTGAACTTATAGTGCTTCCCCCTTCTCCCCTTCTTTTTTTTTTTTCTGCTCTTCTTATTTATTCAAACCAAACATCAGCAGCGTACATTTTTCTTTTTTTCCTCTTTTTCACTTTGTCATAAATACATAGTACAACATCTACTACATATATATATATATATTGCTACTTGGTGTGCTTCCCAGTCTCTAATTGTTGATATATACCCCCCCCCTTCTCTCCTGCCTCTTTTCGTACTTCATTACCCAATCGACGACACATCGACACATCTATTAGTATACTACGTGAAAACATAGACAGAAGGCAAAATAGCATGGCCATCATATGGATGTTTGAGAACCAACACTTTACCGATGCATGGGTGCCTTTCGATACCATCAACCAAAAGCGACTCGAATTCGCCTATAGACATCACGAAGCACTAGCACATCATTTCAAACAAGAACCCGTAAAAGCCAAACGCAAACTACCGCTGGCGGCGATCGAACCCATTGACCCGGAAGAAGAGGACCCTTCAGCATACGACCTTTTACAATTCAAACACAATTGCATCTCAATCGTTCTGAAAGATTCCCATTTCAACGAGCCCCTCACCCTTTACCCAAACATGTTACTGGCTTCACTGTCAGATAGAGACATCCTGGTTGCAAGGATGGAACAAGATCCAATAACATTAGATTATTTTTAATAACTACATTGTTTTTTTGTTTTTTGGCATATATAGACTATGTATATCTGAGGGGAGTGTGCGTGCGATATACTGTGAGTGTATAATGTACAGGAGGGAGGATGGTCCGGAACATATAGAAAAACGAATGGGCTCGGGAAATTATGGTTACATGGATGTGTAAATGAGATGGTATGAGGAGAGAAAGGTATTTTTTTTTTTCCATTACATTTGGTGTGTGTTTTTTTCATATGACATATGGGGGGAAATTGGTCCAATCCGAGCCGATGATGCTATGACGACGTGAAGGTGATGATGACCCTGCTGATTTTAGCATAATTTCAGTTTCAACCAAAACATACATACGCGCATACACACCACCACACTACCCACCAGTTATACTAGAGTGTCAACTGGCCGCGATGACCTGTTGTCAGGCTGAAAATACTACGGATGCCAGCTGTACTTGCATCCGAGATTCCGAGCGAGAGTCGATCCACGAGGAGCTCACCCATCAATGACAAGAATTGCTGCATAAATTCCTGTACACCGTCTCGTAACAATACGCACGCTGCAATCCAGTAGACTGTGTTGCGGTACCGCACTGCCTTTTTCAGCATGCGTATTACCATCATCCTCACCAGACGCTCTGCCCTGACCAACACACTGAGCACAACTTCCACAGCCACGTCCCGCCGCCGTTGACGGTCATGAAGACGCCCACTACTACTACTGCTACTGTTGCGACGTTCACTGGGTGTCAGCGATGACTGTCCCTCGTTTTGCTGTTCTTGTAGCGCAGTTAACTTTTCGCTCAGAAGCCAAGAGGATACACCGTCGTTGGGATCCAACAAGGACTTGAATGCAGAACGCATCCGAGGTGGTTTTGTAGCCAGGGCAACCAGGTTGCTATGGCTGGGTATAGGCGTCATGCCACCCACAGGCGTGGCGTAGCAGCTGCTGGCAGTTGAAAGTCGTCGTTGGTATGGGAAACGATGGGCGAGATGGGTGCTTGAAGCTGAGCGTGAAAGCGAGTCATGTGTGTCGTAGTAGATGGTGGAGGTGGAGTTGCGTCGGCTGAGGATGGCAGGAGATAATGGTGGCATTGGTGTCGTTGTGTGGCAGTTGTACACTGTGTCTTGGCTGAGATCCCATGACACTGGCTTTTTGGATTCGAGTTCTGAGAAAGAAAACAAAAAAATAGTTCCTGCATTAGCGCTTACTGTCGTCATCGATAAGCAAAACACCCAGCTCTTTGAAATCCCATTTTAGGTATGCTGCATCATTACCTGACAGTAGTTCTTCTTGGTCGATCCATTCACAGAGCTCCTTGACTCTGGGAAAGCATACACGGTTCTTGGCTTCCTCTGTCAACAGCAGCTTCACCATTTGCCACAGCCCCTGGTACATCCAGCCAAAGTTGAGCAGGCACACTGTCCCTGCAGACAGTGGGTAGCGTCTCAACAATTGGATAAACGCTTGCATCAACTTGGCATCCTATTCCGCCAATTTTTTTAAAAGTTTTTAGCATAACCGAAACAGATCCGAATAAAAGGGCTTTCTTCTTCTCCGTCGTCTTGTGAATATAAAAAAAAATTACCCGAGGCAATGACCGTGCGTTCTTGAAATCAACAAGCACAATAATGTCGGTCAAGACAGGATTCTCCATGCCTTCTTTCATACGCTCTAGCGTAGTCTCCCATGTGATTTTTCGCACTGTTTCCAGGACAAACGTTGTGAAAGGAAACAAAAATGCAATCTTGTCGTTTTCGTTATTCAAGGTGGCGGGAAGATGGCTGAGTTGAACGACAAGGATGGGACGGCCGCATCGGTCGTGGCCCCGAAAGAAACAAAACGGTTCGTCGAAAAAGAGTGAGTCGATGTTGGATAACGTTAAGCTGTCCACCGATTCGCGTATTCGCCATTTGATGGTATCCACGAGTAACGACAACGTGTGTGGCAACGAGTAGTTGTTTTTGCGTAGGAATCGGAAAATCGTGACTATCACTTTGAGTATCAGCAGCCTTCTTTTTTTTTTTTTTTGCCACTCCTTTTCGTAACTTTATTACCTCGATCCTCTATATATGCGTCTTGTGCTGCTGTTTGGTCCAAGGACAGTTCAAACTCTTGGACGAGCAAAGGGAGTTCTCTGCGCAAACCAGCTTGAACACTGTCAATATGTCCTGCGTGTTCTATGTATAGTGCGTTGAGGTCGCTCAATCGCTTCTGTTGGAAATCCATTATGTACAAAAAAAAAAAAAGTGTGGAGAAAAAAGAAAGAAAAAAGGGAAAAATAGAAAATAATGAAAATATACGCTCTTTTGGTTTGAACACAAAGCAAGGTTGCTAATATAATTTTTTTCATGTGAAAATTCTGGGGCTTGCCTTTTTTGGCGGTATCACAATTTTACACGTGCGTCATCCACAATGGAGGATTAAAACGTCGGTAACTACGATACCCAAAATGTTCTTACGTGATAAAGAAGAGCGTAGCAGCAAGTGACTGAGGAAATTGAAAAGAGTATTTGGTTGGCGGTCGGTGTGTATCAGAAAACCTCACTGCTATATGTATGTACAGTGTAGGCTCAAGCTACTGTAAGCAAAGTGTCAATGATAATATAATGCTATGCTCGTATGTCATCTTTTAAGCTAATCCACGTACAGTAGCTGTAAATTTGTCTATTTGTCAGCAAGGGAGAAGGTAGCGTTTTTGAGGCTATTGGTGGAATCATTTAGACGGTAGAGATGGATCTAAAATTTATGCTAGCGTATAAAAAATAATATATTTGCTCTCAGTGGATGAAGAAGTTTTTTTTTACCCTTTTTTTCAAAAAAAAAAAACAGGAAGGAGATCCCGATATTATGACAAGGGTTCTCGACAGACACGGGGATCGAGAGGTTTTGGCATCTTCTGGTCGTTCAGAAGCGTGTATCTAGAGATGACCTGGCTTCGTTGGTATAATAACATGCACTCATCGACTCAAGTGGTCATCCTTTTTCCTTTGCAACTACAGGCATTGCAATATGCTGATGATTGTCGAGACTGTATGTAACCCCAGGGAAGAGGTTAAACATTTGCCAACTACATACCGTTAGGAATGATAACGTATTGTTACAGTGCAAAACCGTTGTTTCTCTTCTTCTTATCGAAGCGTAAAGATAAAAACATGTGTTGCCTCCAATCCATAGTACGAAATGTTGACATGATCAGAATCCTGTTGATGCTTCAATTTCTCCATCACAGTGGTATATTTACGAATTTGGCAGCAGGGGGGCAAACTAACGTCAAATCAGGCAACACTGCACATATGTACGTGAATTTTGATATCGTTGGATGACGCGCTCTCTACATCGATAAACATATAATACCGTAAGTTTCTTTTCTGTCGCAATGTTTGAAAGACCTAGAAAAATTATGTTCATACCGCTCTCAACAGCGTTTTGTCATTTAAAAACGGAACCATGCAAAAACTGGACGCGATGACCCCACATGGAGTTAGGCTCCATTAATTTGAGATCTTCGGCCGGCTTATTCGAGAAACATGACTTTACGCATTTTCCTATCATTAGCAAGGTCAGTTATATCATTCATCGTGATGCTGTATACCTTTCAGATGTTTTACCCCTATTCAGAAAGTCATCGAGTATCTCGCTCACTTGAGTAGGTCGGAAGGCGCCAATAATCAAAATAAACGGTGATACACATGGCCTCCCCCATCTGTTTGTTGTTAATTTTCATCAAACCAGTCAGTACACATAATGTCATACTCTCTACTATACTAACCATTCCTTTTCCGGACTGTTGCCAACACATCGGCAATCAAACTTGGCAGAACCGCCAACGAAGTAACTATTGTATCGTCTTGCCCGTGATATGAAAAGCGGCCATACCGGTCGGCGCACATAATTTGAAAGAGGGTTTGTCTCGGTCGCGGTCTTGTACGTTTTCATCGATGACTCGGATAAGAGTCTGATACAAAGCTTTTATTACCGTGCTTTTCCCAGTGTCTAGAAATATATTTGTCAGTCATTTGTCAGTTTTTGAGACTATGGCCGCTAATTACCAAGTCCTAACACATCATACCTGCTCCACCAGTCAAAAAGTAATATAATGGTTGATCGTTGCTCTGGACGTGATGCTTTACATGATGAGCGAAATCTTTGTTCAGTATTCAACGCTGCAATCATGTTCTCATATTGATCATTTGGCAAACGATCTGGTTGGGCAAATGTTTCCTGATATGGTACTCGCTCATATGCTCCTGTCTGCGCCATCACGTCAACATGTTGCTCTCCTTCCAATTCGAATTCGTCAAGAGGGTTAGCGATTCTTCGCTGTGGATCCTCTTCTTCTTCATTATCTTCGGATCTTGCCGCTACATGGTCTAGTGCTGCCATAAGCTGCGCATCATCAAATGAACAATATTTTCTGCTGTTTCGCAGTATCTGCTCTTGATGTAGACGAAACTCCTCCTCGCGATTGACTAGCAAATTGTCGAATTCTTCATCACGCCAAGGTAAATAAAGCATGAGCAACTCTCGATAATAATTTGCTGGATCCTGTACAACTCGGTAGCCACGATAGCGGATGACTCTTGGCGATCGTCTTTTGCGGATGTAACCGTCATTGTCCTGAAGTTCGAGCACACCACCAGGAAGGTCATCCTCTGGGTCATCGTCGCTACCGTCAGCGTTGCTCCCACTATCATCGTCATCACCATTGATGCTAGCAGCAGTGGCAGCAGTAGCATTGTCAACATCATTCTCCTCATCACTGACCGCATCATATTCAGCAAACTCTTCGCTAGTGACGCTGTTGATCTCGTCATTGTCGTCTTCATTGCCTTCTTTTCGATTGGCACGGATCGGATTCCTTTTGCTGTACGCGTACCAGGCACAGAATGTAGCTAAGCAGATAACCATTCAAAATGGGAGGCCGTGCAGCATAATGATCCAAAACATTACGTTCAAAGCACTCTGTCGATTCCTGATCAACAGCACGCAACTCTCTTTCAGGTCGTTAGATACGGCGACGTTCTTCAGGTGGCGATGTCGGTATAAACGTCACAGCGTCGCTGCATACTGACATAGGCAGCTGGAGGATGTTGTATAAGCTGCCTCTTGAGCAGACACCTCACGGGTGTTTTAATACGCGTTTGAAAGTGAGCGTGACATCTGCGACAGAGACGCGTTGTTCGAAAGATGCTGTTGATAAATTTGTTCGATTGTATCACTTAGCCCTCGGTCACTTTTGTTGATATAATCTATTATGTACTGTATGTACAACACGCGTATGGATCCAGGACATATTGAATATCCATATTAGCCTGATGTAAGCGAAATATTTTTCGTTGTACGGGTTTACCAAAACGTCGCGAACCCTTCGTCGAAGATGGACTTTCTCCTTATCCGAAGATGTTCCAATGGCAATGATGTAATCGTCAAGGTCGGTGTCGTTAACTTCCAAAATTGGTCAAACGTCATATCCGGTGCAGTATTAGCGTTAAAGCCTTCAAAATGTCTTCGGATACGTAGATACAGCTATAACAATAGCAACAAAAAGTACTTTAGTGTAAGCAACATAAACACTGCGAACCAAGAAACGACAATTATCAAAGTGTAAAATACCACTTTAAATCTTCTGATCTCGTCGGCAGAAAACTCATCAGGTTCAATAGTGCGCAATATGCGGGTTCGCTCCATAGGCATGAAAGGGATTCCGAATCGGCATTTGATGTGAGGTCTGTTTCTTTTTTTACAGATCTTTGTGTGGCAGTGATTTTGGCGAGCCAAGGTCGATACCATTACAGGATCGTTTTGGTGCTGTGATGTATCGCTTGTAATGACTGAATTAATAAATTCCGTGACAGTATCATAGTCGTCGACATTGTATCTTGGGCTATCCGATAATCATAGCAGCATGTGTGCGTGAGGCGAGCCCCGCTGTTGGAAGTCGATACGGTGATAACGATGAATTATTTCGCGATCCCCAAATGGCCCTTCAGGTCCCTTCCACGTTTTCATGAGCTCTTTCAGCCTCATATCGAAATACCGGGCGCAAGATACAGCATCAGCTTGTATCAATCGGGCTTTTGTTGCATAATCCATTTCAGATATATCTTCGTCGGTGTAATCAGTACCATCTACTACAGATCCCAGTATCTTCAATAGTTCGACCCATTGAGTTTCAGCTGCTAAAAGTGTCACAAACAACGTTGGCAAACCGAATTGCCGGATCATTGATATCATAGCACTTTGATTTTTTGTTGAGGCCAATGCTCTGGTGAGCTTCTGATGCCACTGAACACTTTATATATGCTGCATCACGGTTCACCATAGATTCAATCAGCTCTCCGTTCAAAGTGTCTGCGACAGTGAAGTGCCGACCACCAGTCGTGTGCGTCCCGGATCGATTTCTCAAACAAACTTGAACATTGCTTGCAAGCTGACTGAGTTGACGCTTTCGGTCCATGTAGAGAAGATAATCTGATCTCGTTACTGCTCGACGATCATTGCGTCGTGCAAAGGATTTGCATATTTGGCTGCACGTTAGCGGGCGGTGAGTTTCAGTGCTTCCGGGACGCATTCGTGTGCCAGCAAAAAATCGAGGAAAAGCGAGAAACTCACTGTCTCTATCAAGAAAAAGCGGTAGCGGATGCTGACCTTCGCCAGGAGCCAAAACGAAGCCCTTCATCACCATTCAGCACTGTTTCCGCCTCACCAACATTGGCCGGTTCTTCATCATTGATATCGTCTTCATGTCCTTGTCCCAAAATGAGTGATTCCGTTGTATCATCACTTTCTTCGTTTTGCAGGTCTGCGCCAAGTGTTGCATGGGAGTTGTCATCGTCTCCCTCTTGAACATCATGCTGTTCTATGTCAAGTGCTGCATGGGAATTGTCTTCGTCTTGTAATTCATCCTGCGCCCCTGTGACCTGTTCAGCGGCTGTTCCCCCAGGATTATCGCGCCAATCGTTCACGACTGTGATACCAAGTTCTTGATATAATGGAGACGGTATCAAATCGTTTAGAGCTTGCCAAAATGATTGTGGCCGGACATTACCGTCGGTATAATTGTGGCGATAGATTAGTCTTCTGGCAAGCTGGACGCGGATATGTTCGACATGAGATATATTGGTATTGTCGTAGGTTCGTGGCAACGCAGTAACAGTGGATTGTACCGATATTGGTATATTGACAATCGATCCTTTCGTTCGGTACAGACCATTTTACCCCCAACACAGGTCAAATTGTTTGAAATACGTGGCGGGGGCACACGAGGCGCTCCTCAAGGCGTGTTAGCCCGAGGACTGACTCTGGGACGATGGGAAAACGCAGACCATTTTCCAGACAAAGCGTTGGCCTAGTCTTTTTGCTCATAATGTGCCGTTGACACGTCGAACAAAAGGGACCAGACGTCGCATCAGGATTAATGGCGAAAACAGCGTTGACAGCTTCATCATTGATGCCCGCGTCGATAAACTGCTGTCTTGATACTGTTTGAACAGAAGTAGCGAACCATAAACCTGCACAACAGTTGCATACATGCGTTGAACCATTTTGGATACGTCTGTTATATGTCGTGGAAATGGATTGCCATGAGTTTCTGTTCGTTCTTCTTGTAGCCGTGCCCCGTGCCTATATTTAAAATAGCTAGTCCGTTAATGTTTCAGAATAACGGTAACAATTTGGAAAGCAGTAACTATTACAATACTATACAAACCTGCTCATTAGCACGGTATTCAGGATCTTGGCGTGCCTCGCGCCTAGCTTCTGTGTTCCTGGTCTTTAAACGGTATTGGAAGCAAGGTAATGTCAAAAGAAAAGAACAATCATCTCCTATAAGTGCGATCGTTGATCCCCGTTCATTCTACTTGTTCATTGCGCCGGTACTCAAGATCTTCACGGCTCCGACGATGTCGAAGTCGATCTGCTTCTAGTGCAGCCTGGCGCTCTCGCTCATTTCTTTGTGCTCGTAAACGACGCTGACGTTCTGCTGCGGCTCCACAATTTTGGCTCCTATATTGCCATTTTATTGCTCGCAGAGAAGCGCTTTTTCCGTGAATCTACGTGCTCATTCGCATTCGTGTCTTTGTTTTCGCTTGACACGGTGCCGTGCACGGACCCCTCACAACCAAGCGGCGACAGCATCGGAGGTACAGCTGCCATAGTGAGAGACACGTACCAGTACCGCCGAAGCACGCTTGTCTACTTGACCATCAAGTACCACTCCTTTCATTTCCTTTGGTGCTGCATCGTTTGCTATGCCATAGTAGGCAACCCACAAGTTGACTCGCAATCCGTTATCCGGGCCAATGAGAATTCACGGGGATTTGAAGTCCCGAACGAGAAAAAATGTCTATATAAAGCGAGCAATTTCGCCTTTCTTTTTTCTCTTCTCTTCAGTTCGTTTTGGTACAGCTTTGGTCTGTAGTACAGATGCACTGCTCTGTGCCATGATCGGGTCATTGCTTGTGCTGGCTATTGTCATAATTCTTCTGATGATCGGCAGATTCAGTGGTCCGCGCCCTGAAGAAAATTTGCAATATATACCAGTGGGAATGTGGTCATATACTCCGGCAGCCGATCGTGAACCTTCGGGTGCATGTGATGCCAACGGTATATGTTGGGATAATTAAAACGAACTTTTCTTTTATTATTTATTACACACAAATAAGAAAATGATAAACAAAATAAAAAATATATTTTTCTTTTTCGCACTTTCCGCATAAACGTTTTACCGCTTTTGCCTCGCCTTTTTTTTATGTGCACGACAAGTTCCTTTTTCTTTTTTCGCGAACAAAAAGCTAATTACTCCCCTCTCCATCCATTCACAGCTCCGTGCTAAACCAAAGCGGGGAACAATGACAGTGGCTCAGTAACACGATCACAACGCGCTTTATCACGCTTTGGCACTCTTTTTCACCTTCTGTGTTCGCCTAAATTGCCAAAGCAATTGTCAAGAAAAATAAATTGTTACCTAGGATCCTCCTTTAGAAAGAGGTTATTTTATAAGAGACAACGCCAGAGCATACGCCAGCAGACATGTATAATTGCCCAGATCTGTAAATTGGGAATGTTTTTTTTTTTTCAGCTGTGCGTCTCTCACACTCTTCCTGCACATAGCTTATCACAACACGATTTTCTTATCACCTGGATCGAAAACCCTGCACTGACCATTTGTGCTGCGCCTGCTTTCAAAGCGTGATTCTTGGACCTAACGTCACTTTCAAGAGGCGACAAGAAGGCGATAAAGCTTGCGCAATAACATTGACACCTGTCCACTCAAGGAGTGTCGTTGCGGAGCACCACGCGCGAAATGGGAGCACTACGGCAGCTGCCCATCCCTGACACCACTACTCCAGCAGTTGTACACGGCCTTCGGCACTACACCAGCAGATCAAGACAACGAGCTACATACCACATCGACCCTATCAGGAACAAACTACCACGTTGCGATATAGGATCGTCTCGCGGTAAGTGGAAATCGACCTAGCCGGCATTACTTTGCGTGCTGCGTGAAATCGACAAGTTAAGCCACTCGAACACTGACTACCACCCAAGTACTCATCCCCACATCTCTCACTACACTCATAGCGTTCTATAGACAGCTCTTTTTTCCCTCTCCCCCCACCTACACCTTCACTTCTCTCTCTTCCTTTTCTTATTTAGCTTTACTTCATTACATATTTTTAAGGTAGGCGTCACCTATTTGAAAGTGATGATCGCTCACCAAAGATATCAGGAGGATCTGTTAAAAGATATGATAAATTTGCTCTACCCTAACATGCACGCACCCACACACAGTGTGTGGTACTAGTAAGAAGTAATAAAGAAAAAAAAGCGCGTATTTTTTATTAATATTTTACAAAGGGCCTTGACCCATGCCTGCTGCTGCTGCGACTGCTGCCGGATCATCATTCAAAGTAGGAAGATTGATGGCTTCATGATCGTGACGACACTCCCATAAACTTAATTGGTACAGCGTTACCACAACTAACAAGTGCAACAGTAACGAATAGATGACAAGAAAGTATCGAGACCACTTGTGCGAAAACAACATGCGTGTGAGGTTGAAAGTTAATTTTTCCGCTGGATTTAAGGCATTGTACCGACGCGTTTCCTCCTAACAAAAAGGTTGTATATTAGAATTCTTTGTTGGCTATTTTTACGGGCGATACCGTCAGAATGATTATTTTTACCTTGCGATGGAACTGGACAAACGGGTTCATACTTTCTTCATAAAGCTGACCATATTTGTCTGTTGGATCATCTTTTGTTTTGACAGACCCTCTTCTCACATCTCTATAATCGCTGCCACCACCCATATGCACAGCCGTTGAGCGATTCTATTCGGAAACAGAAAGAACAAGTTGAATATTAAACTCCCCATTGCACGTTAGTAAATACCACACAAAAAAAAAAAAGTGTGGTAACTTACTGCTGCGCTTTTGTTTTCTTCCTTCCAGACGTGCACAAATCGTAACCGTTCATATAGCTTAAGGTTATCCGCTTTCAAGGTCTCCACTTCTCCTTGTACATCTTGCAGCTTCAACTCCAAGCTTCTCGTCTGTGACTCAAGCTCGGTGTTACGTTGCCGGAACCGATCACGCTGACCAATGACAATAGGCAATATACTCTTGTCGTTACCGCCGTCTTTACCAGGAACACTGTTGGCGTCATAACTAACGCGTGGTGATCCATAATCAGGCGTGCGTGGACCTGAAGATTGTTGTTGTTGTTGCTGCTGTGCTATATTGGTGTTTGAGGGCGTGCGCGTCAACTCGTCCATTAATGAGTCGCTTGACGATGGCTTTTGGCCCAGTCGCAGCAAATCCTCTTCCAGTCGCTGTACAAGATTGGCCAACGTTGTATTCTTTGCCTTGAGCTCTTTGTAGGTGCTTTCCTTTGTCGCAAGCTCTTTTTCAATATTGGCATAGGACACCTTTAGTTGCGTAAACTCGTTCTCCAAACGCTTGTTCTTCTCGATCAAGCTGACTTCTAGACTCTGGCGAACTCCTTCATCCTTCTTCAATACATTTTGAGCATCGAAACGGTCCTCGTCGTCACCGGTCGAAAATTCAACGTACTAAAAGTTTTACTCGATATTTAATGACTTGTCCATATCCATCTTGTCCCCAAAAAACTACCACTTTACCTTCATGATCTCCAGCTCCCGTTTAATTTCATCATAGTCGTCAAAACCTTGTAATTTCTTGCTTAATTTCTCCTTTTCTTCAGTCTACATATTATTTCCCAGTTAAATAAGTTGAGCGTGCTATTAGATACTTGCTATACACAGACATGTCTCTCTCTCTCTCTCTCTCTCTCTCTCTCTCACCAATGATTTAACTTCGTTAGAAAGTTCTTTAATGCGCTTGCTTAATCGAGTTTCGGTACTTTGCAATAATTCCTTGTAAGTATCAATGTCTTTAAAAAGTTTGGAAATAGCAGCATCTTGTTGTTGACTCTCGGCAGTATCAGGCCTAAGTTGAAAGTGAACAGTCAATACGAGACATACTATTTTCCGCCCAGTCTTTTCCTGGGCCTAGTCACAGACACCTACACCCTTCATCCCGAATCACATACTTTTCTTTTGATTCTGAACGAGTGGCCTCAACCTCTTCTCGTAAATCATCATTTTTTCGTTCCAGTTCAACAATTTTGGCATTGGCACGCTCGAGATCCATCATGACGATATCCAGCTCGGCAAGTTTGCCTACCACCTCTTCATCTATTATTTTTGTTTTCGTGCAGAAATGGTATGTCCACATCAGTTCTTATAATCCGGGATAATATAGGTTTTACCTTGCGAAAACTATATGTTTGATCGAGTATATAGGCATACCGTATTTTTGATTGTGATTTAAAAGCTGCGCTTGTGTATCGTCATGCGTATGGCGAAGCTGTGTAAGCTGGTCGAGTGCCTGATTCAATTGTCGTTGTAAATCATGCTCCCTGTGTGTGTGTTAAACAAGACAGTCCGTCGATATCAGTAAATCCATTTTTTAGCCAAGGTCTTTTTTCTTAATACATTCGAAAGTAAATCCCCCTCCTTAAAGCGCACCGTTCTTTATACGATCGGATCTTTTCATTGTATTGCTGCTTCATTTGTTCTTCTCGCTGTCCAAGCTCCTCAACCCGTTTCTCATCGGCCTACAGATATAAAAAAAAAAAGTACGCTCAGAGATAAAACTTGATGACTCGAAACCCAGGATTATCTTATAGCGAGCCGACTTACCAAAGATTCCAATTTGCTCAACTTTTGTTGTAGTTCTTGGTTGGCTTTCTCGAGTGATTGCACGTGCTGTGCCTGACGTTGCGCTTCTTCAAGTTCGGATCGTAGCTTTGCATTTTCACTTTTTGCGGTTTCAAGTTCCACATTGTTGACGCTTTGATCCTATGCAATCGCCAGAGTTACATATCTCTTTTTTTTTTCTTATTCCCCTCTTCCCTTGGAACCCCCCCGTCATACAAGCAATGATGTGACACTTACGACAGCAGCTTCAAATAATGGGGCCGGATCAGGTGCGTCAGCAAGCACCTTATAAAGTGCCAAGAACGAGCTTTCTGAATATTTCGTGCGTCGTGTAATATTATCAATTTCTGCCTGATAACCTATAAGCAACTTACTTTAGTACCGTACGTTGTTTTTTTGTTGTGGTTTCTACGCATAAAAGCTTTGTGTATAACTTTACCTTTCAGTAATGATTTGAACTGTTGAAGCTTGTCTTCATCAGGCATCTTTTTGAATTCTGCGTAAAGTTTAAACTTGATACGTTGTGGATAAAAACTTTCAACGATATCATTTTTGGGAAAAAGGACATGTCTTGCTCATTCGAAAAGAGGCATACCTCTTGTTTGTTCAGCTAGCTTTTTACGTGACATTAAACCATCTTTTTGGTTTTCGACAATGGCGAGACCTTGTTGGTCCAACTGACGTTGGAGTGTGGGCAAACCAACTCCACGCCAGAATTCAATGGCGCTTGAGAAATTGCTTTGCTCCTCCATTTATTAAAATGATGCGTTGTGTTTGTTGCTCACTCGTTTGTTGAATATGCTTTTACGTGGTGTAGTTTTGATAGTGATGGCAGTGTAAAGAGTGCTTTGAAAAGAATAGTTCAAGTGCCAAGTGGTGCACTTTGGTATTTTCGGATGCCGCAATGTCTTCCCTGTTTTGGACCAGGCACATGCTTGTCCTGCATTAAAAGTCTTTTTGAATTTTGCGAAACACTCTTATTATTAACCATGCTCTTCGAGATCTCTAACAGTGCGTAATCAGTGCTATAAGAGTAGATAAAAAGACATGAAACACTTGATCATATATAAGCTTTTCTATTACAACCCAAAGAAATAGTCTCGTCACTCGTACTCTCGATTTTCTCAAGATATCGGCGAAAAACATAGCCAAAGAAGCACTAGACACGAAGTTCCAGGTTCCTGTCTGTTTGAGCATGACATGTAAAAACAACCGAACCGCTTGCTATATGACACAGCTAGTCATGCTCTACAAGTATGTTGTAAGTCGAGCTTATTTTCATAAGATCATTACTAATATGTCCAATGCTAATATATCCAACAAACAATGAAATTAGGTGAGTTACAGCGACGACTGGCAAACCTTTTGTCCATACCCAGTCCTAGCCGTAGTGCCATAATAATGTTTTTTTCCGCAGCAGAGAGGAGATACCATTATCATTAGCAGGCTACTTTGTCACAAAATACTATAGCCGTTGCTACTGTCGGAGCGGGGGTCGTCGTCAGTGTATTATCGTCGTACACAAGGAGAAAAAGATCCTACACTTGTCATATTTGACTTTTAAATTATCATTACATTTTGCTATGATAGTTACTGTTGTCAGGGCTTTATGCTCACCCACGGCGGGTTACTGATGACTGAAAGGTACCGACGATAGAGAGAGAGAGAGTCGTCCATGTTGAACAATGTACGCAATTCAGTTTAGAATTGAACACGGCAGTATCAAATTAAAAAAAAAAAAGTGCGTTGTTATTGCTTGCTTGCTAGAAACAACACCAAGCTCGCTTTGTGTTTGTTGGTAGTACCTCAAACGCTTATCGTATTGTTTCTGGAAAATGTCGACGCCGAGAAACTGTTTATGGTACCCGACGAACTGCTGGACGGCCAAACCTGCCATTCGTTGAAAGAAGAAATGAAAAGGAGGGGGCAAAGAGGAGAAGAAGTGCGCTGAGTTACCCATTTATATGTGATTGTTCATGCTGGCTTTTAGTATGATGTCTGTGCATTCCATCACTATCAAAGACTTTCAGTACTAAGTTTTTCTTGCTCAAGTACATTTTTACATTGACGCACTTGTCTTTAAGCGTCCGTCCGCTGTCCTCTGAGAAATAAACATCCTTGTTATGCTTTCGAGATGTTTGTTTATACACAAGAGTGTCATCCATTGTTTAAGCTCGTGGGGGTACTGATGATACCAACCAGTATGTACAGTCCGGGAGGAGACCCATTGTAAAACACCGACAAGGCCATCAAAATAATAGACGAAGGAAGAATAAGTCTTTTTTTTTTACACTGCCCGCCGTCTGCTTACGCGTCATTGATAACAAAGCAGAGCACTGTTCACATAGCTTGCTAAATGGATGGTCTTTTCGGATATTGATTAGTAGGATGGTGGTGCTTAATTCAAGCAAAGCGCGGTACCTGAATTTATTTTATTTTTTATTTGCTCATTCCAAAGTTATTTGGGACGGTACCTTTCGATTCATACTGAGGCGATCGTTAGGCAACCTTTAAAAAAGACAGATGCTATGTGTTTGAGAGAGGCAATGTGGGGATAGAGAGAGAGATTCGTGCTGTTGTGATAGAAACGAGTACTCCCTAGCAGCCATGGTTGTGTATAGAGTGTCGAATAAATTAACGTACTAAAAAATATATACAAGAGGTTACCGAGTTGAATGCCTCATTTCCAAATCGCGTGTTTGTGCAACCGAAACTGTCCAGGCATTGGCTTGTGCTTGATAAGTGTGTGTGTGTCTAGGTTTTCCGCTCTCGCGTTTTTGCTCTCCCTTTTGCTCTTTTTTTTTTAAAGAACAAAGCAGTTCATATACTCTCTCCCCCCCCCTTCCACTTCCTTTTTTCATTTTACTTTTTCCATCTTTCCTTACAGCAACACACTCAGGCAATCTACTCTCCCTCCTTCTTTATTCTTTCTCTTTCTCTCTCTCTCTTTTTGAACACATATTACAATGGCACATGTAAGGCACTCTATATTCACCATCAGCCCAAATTCCGAATTTCTTTTTTTTCTAGATGAAGTACTCTAGGAAAACTAATAAATCATCTAAACTCTGATGGGCAATTTGTAGAGACTTGGCGGACGTAGAAAGAACGTGAAGAAAGGATTCCAATTCACCTTGATGGTTGTCGGTATGCATTTATTTCATTCTTGTGTATAAAAAGTTCATCAGCGGCAGCACAAAGAAAAGAAAGGAAAAAAAAAGAAAGGAAAAAAAAGAAAAAAGGCTGAAATATATATATATGCTGTTTCGTTGTAGGTGCTTCTGGTACGGGCCGCACCACTTTTGTCAACACTCTTTGCAGCTCCAGCGTTCTGGCAAAGAAGGTCTGTGACAACCCTGAGGAGGCCCATAATGAAGAGGGTATCACAATCAAGCCTGTCTCTGTTGGTAAGAGAATTTTCTTGAATTTGATCTCGTTTCTCTCCCCCTCCCCCCTGGTAATTCAAATGCTGATCCCGCCTTGCTCCACACAATCACACTATAGAATTGGACGAAGACGGTGTCAGGTAGCGTATTTTTACCATTATTATCGTCATCATAAGAAGCAACGGCGCAGTGAAGAGAGAAAGAGAGAGAGAGAGAGAGAGAGTGTGTGTGTGTGTATACATATATAGTATGGTGAGGGAGGGCCTGGATGTGAGATGTAAGGGGGTGCTGCTGCACGACAAAAACAAGGGGGTTAGTGTGGAGAGTTTAAAGAGAGAGAGAGGGCTGGATTAATGCAGCAAGCTCCTTACATGAATGAATAAGTGACTGACTGACTGACTGACTGACTGACTGAATGTTTGGGTGATCTGCTTGTATTGTCCTACTAAAGAATTTCATTGACCATCGTCGACACGCCTGGCTTCGGTGACAACATTGACAATGAGCGATGGTAAGTGAAATAAACTTTACAGCTGCGTTTGTTTGTCTGTCTTTGTGTGTGTGTGTGTGTGATGTGTAGCACAAATCTCACTTTATTCGCTTTAGCTTCCAAGAGATCGTCGGTTATTTGGAAAGACAGTACGACGACATTCTTGCAGAAGAGTCGCGAATCAAACGTAACCCACGCTTCCGTGACAATCGTGTCCACGCTCTTTTGTACTTTATCTCGCCTACCGGCCACGCTCTTCGTGAAATCGACATTGAGCTGATGCGCCGTCTGAGCCCTCGTGTCAACGTCATCCCCGTCGTCGGTCGAGCTGACTCGCTCACGCCTCAGGAAATGAAGGACTTTAAGAGAAGAGTAAGCTGTCTTTGTAAAAATCCGCATCAATGAAAATAAAAGCAGCTAACCCCCCTACACTAGATCATGGAGGATATCGAGCACTACAACATCCCCATCTACAACTTCCCTTACGACGTTGAGGAAGACGACGAAGACACCATTGAAGAAAACAGCGAGTTGCGAGCACTCTTGCCTTTCGCCATCATTGGCAGTGACGAAGAGATTGTCGTGAATGGCCGTACTGTTCGTGGTCGTCATTACCCATGGGGTGCTGTAGAAGGTAAAAAAACGTGCAACATTGAAGCATTTTGCGTGCTGTCGTATCCCAAAAAAAAAAAAAAAAGCTGACCGATCCGTTTCTTGGTTTTTATTGCAGTGGATAATCCACAGCACTCTGATTTTGCACGACTGAGATCGGCCTTGTTGAGCTCCCACTTGCAGGACCTCAAGGAAATCACTCACGACTTTTTGTACGAGAACTATCGTACCGAGAAGCTTAGCCGCACAGTCAATGGTGGTGATGCCGAGTAAGTAACTTTTTTGTCTTGTATGTTGCGACAGTGGGAGGGAACTTGGAGTCAAGAGAGAGAGAGAGAGAGAAACCTAATTCTTCGATAACAAAAACAGGGATGCCTCGCTCAATGCTGAGGATATGGCAAGTCAGAGTGTGCGACTAAAGGAAGAACAGCTGAAGAAGGAAGAGGAAAAGGTAAGCAGAGTGAAAAGAAGAAGAACAAAGACGTCTTTTTTTTTTTTTTTTTTGCCTCGACAACCCTTTTTAATTTATAATCATAGCTCCGCGAGATTGAACTCAAGGTCCAGCGCGAGATCCAGGAAAAGAGAGCCGAGCTCTTGAGCAAAGAAGAAGCGCTGCGCAACCTGGAGGCGAGATTGGCACAGGCACAGATTTCCGATGCTTAGGATATCGATTACTCCCTCCCCCCCTCCCCTTTACACTTTCTCCAGCCATCTTCGCACCTCATTTCCCAACGTCAGTAACCCTCTCTTTCTCTCTCTCTCCAACTCTACACAGACAGCCCATACTTTATTCTTTCTTTTTTTCCTTAAAAATGTTATACCATTGGAACAGTCTAATGTTTTGATATAATCTTCTTATATAAATTTCCCATTTTCTTATACGATCTCTTGACCACGCCTGCCACTATCATCATGTCGCGTGTTGTATATATATATATATATACTGCCTGCACCATGATATCTTCACATGATGCTTTCTCGAGTCCTTCCCAAGGGGGCCTAATCAATATTCCGTGGCTGCCTTGCATGGCCATAACGCCTCAACGTTGTTCCCCTCCTCCGACCTAATAAGCTCTTTGGAAAAAGGACACACAGCGATTCGCTCTGATAATGTAAGCAGAGCCGGTTAAACGTATCGGTCTGACCTGAACCGAGAACAATCGGAAATCCTAGTGTGGGACCAATCAGCTTACTCAATCTGGTCCCCCACCATGACGTTTTTACATTTATGCGGGTCTATATTAGAAACATACATGCGGGGTAAAAAAGGGCTCCCCTTTTCCTCGTCTCCCCATATAAAAAAGGTGAGACAGATTATCTTTTTTTTTTCTCCCTCTCTCTCTTTTTTTCTCTCGTTTTTTTTTTCATAACGACACGCACACTGTTATCCCATGATTGAAGCAGCAAACAATGTCAACGCGAGTGGAGGCAAGACCTTCCAGTACCAATCCAAGCTATCCAAGCTGCCTATTCCCGACCTTCAAGGCACTATCAAACGCTATCTCGCTTCCGTAAAACCGCTCCAGGTAGAGTAACCTTGGCTCTCTAAACGTTACCCCAAGTAAATGAGGGGAGCATAGCAACAACTCATATCCACTCTTTCGTTTTTAGACCCCTCAAGAGTTTGAAAAGACCAAGGCTGCCGCCGACTTGTTCCTGAACGACGAGGGACTTGAACTGAATGAAGAACTCAAGAAATACGCTGCTGATAAGATGTCGTATATCGAAGAGTTCTGGTACGTCTTGGAACCATCGATCCTTTTTTTCCCACGGGGTCACAGATACAAGTGCTGACACGAGCTTCTTTTTTTCTTTTTTGAAAAAAAAAAAATTGATACGAATTGATTAGGTATGATTCGTACCTGCAGACCACGGACCCTGTGGTACTGAACCTGAACCCATTCTTCTTACTCGAAGATGATCCTACGCCACAACGCAACGACCAAGTCGTCCGTGCCGCCTCGCTGATCTGCTCCACCTTGACCTTCATCGAAGCCCTGCGCGCTAAAACATTGGAACCCGATGTGTTTCGCGGCACGCCCTTGTGCATGTCTCAGTTCACCCGCCTCTTTGCCACCTCACGTGTGCCCACAGACAACGGTTGCTACATTGCACCTGCTGAGGAATCACGCCATATTGTCGTCATGGTCCACTCGCAATGCTACCATTTCGAGGTCTTTGACGAGCATGGCGAGGTCGCACTGACTGAAAAAGAAATCGCCTCCAACTTGCGAGCCATCATCCGCGACGCTGCCCAGATCCCAGTGACCGAAATTGCCAAAAATGCGATTGGTGTCCTGACGACTGAAAACAGACGCAATTGGGCTCGTCTCAGAACGGAACTTCAGAACGATCCTGTGAACAAGGATGCGTTGCAGGTCGTTGATACGGCCTTGTTCGTGGTGTGTCTGGATCATGTCACGCCGTCCACCATTGCGGATCTTTCCACCAACATGCTCTGTGGCACGTACAAATTGGATCATGGCCTGCAGGTCGGGACATGCACGAACCGATGGTACGATAAGCTTCAGGTAAATTCACTCGACCTTCTAGCGCATTATAAAAAAAAAAGGTGTGGGGTGGGAAAATGACACAAAAAACTTTGTTTCCTCTCTCTCTTTTAGATTATCGTCTGCAAAAACGGTAGTGCGGGCATCAATTTCGAGCACACAGGTGAATTATTATCAAGGGCCTCGTGCGACATGGTCCCCCACCCCCCCGCCCCTTCTGCTTTGGTAAAACTCATCAATTTCCTTTTGGGTTAATAAATAGGCGTCGATGGTCACACCGTACTACGCTACGTCTCGGACATTTACACGGACACCATTTTGCGCTTCGCAAAGACTATCAACAGCCAGACAAAATCCATCTTCCACTCGCAGGCTGCACAGGACAACGCTGCCATGCGTCGTGGCAGTGCTGCCTCGGCAACGTCTCAAGGCTTCGACAGCAACCCACGCCGTCTCGAATGGAAGATGACCCAGAAGTTGACCTTGGGCGTCCGCTTTGCCGAGACGCGTCTCTCTGATCTTATCTTGCAGAACGAGGTCAAGGTGCTCGAGTTCAACAACTACGGCAAATACTTTATCACCGACATGAAGATGAGTCCCGATGCCTTTGTTCAGGTAAGACAGACTCAAGCTATATCATTTTTTATTGCTGCTGTTGTTTGTTTGTTTTGATTACCTAATCAACGTGGAACACATGGCTTTTAACCCCCACATTATTTCAATAGATGGCATTCCAAGCTGCTTACTACGGTCTCTATGGCAAGTGCGAAAGCACCTACGAGCCTGCCATGACCAAGACTTTCTTGCATGGCCGTACTGAAGCCATCCGCAGTGTCACTGACGCCTCATTGAACTTTGTCGAGACCTACTATTCCGATGCTTCTGACAACGACAAGCTTGATACCTTACGTAAGGCACTCAAGGCCCACACTGCACTGACGCGCGACTGTGCCAAGGGCCAAGGCCACGACCGTCATCTGTACGCGATGGAGTGTCTCTGGGACCGTACACACAAGGATGAAAAGAAGCCATTGCTTTTCACCGACCCTGGCTACAAGACCATGAACCACACTGTCATCAGCACATCCAACTGTGGCAACCCGGCACTCCGTCTATTTGGCTTTGGTCCTGTTGTCTCGGACGGTTTTGGCATTGGCTACATTATCAAGGAAGATGGCATCGCCTTTGTCGCTTCCTCCAAGCATCGTCAGACCGAACGTCTGTTGGCTACATTGGAATCCTATTTATTGGATGTCCAAGTCATGCTGACAAAGGAAAAGTACCCCGGTGGATTGTCTCAGCGCCAACGATTGCTGGCCATGGAAGAAGCGCACGAGATGACCAACGGTTACAGCTACTTTGATAATGGCGAACATGCTTCGGACACTTCTTCGCAAGGAAGCAACTCGAGCGCTTCGATTACTCGCAAAGTCGGCAAACGTCTTGTGCTTCGTGAATCCCACTAATTTCTCACATCTCATTCCTATCCCTCCCGGTACTTCCATACGGTTCTCATATTTCCATCCTTCCATTTCTTGAAAAAGACCCTTTTCTCCCACGCACACTATATAAAGGAAAAGAGTACTCTTTTGTGTATTTATGTCATATCACCTTCATAAACTTCTGTATACACTTATCACATATACATTTATATATATATAAACTAAAAAGATAAACAAATTGTTATATAACAAAAATAAACAATCCCTTCTTTATTACCATTACTTTTCTACATGATATGACAACGTTGCCGTGGTGATGAATCTTGTGCTTTGACCGCAGGCGGTGTTGGCACGACGACTGGACGATTAAGCTTTTCAGCCGCTTCGACATGACCTTTGGATGCCGCCTTCCCAAAATATTCCAAAGCGCGTGGATAATCCACACTTATTCCCACGCCTAGTTCATAATAGGTCCTACATATCAGATGGATTGGTTAGCTGATGTTTTCTTTTTTTTCATGCTCTCAATTAAAAAAAAAAAAAAAACTTCAATAATTTACCCTAATGTGTATTCTGCCTCTTTTAGTCCTCGCTCAGCAGCACGTTGACACCATCGAAATGCCGCATCCGGCTGTTGTGCAAGGAACCCTTGTATTCCGATCGCATACACTTTTGCCAGCTCGAGCATCGCCAAGTCATATCCTTCCTCAGCCGCTTTCATAAAACACTGGTACCCTTGCCAAGCATCACCTGGCTGTCCTAGTAGACCATACGTATGGACTTGACCCATCTGGTAAACGGCTTCGACCAAATCGAGTTGAAACGCTTGTTTGAGGTATCGGAATGCCCTTGACTCATTCTTTTCGACTTGTTCACTTTAAAGTAAAAGTCGTGTAAGTAAAAAGACTCGCCACCTTTTTTTTTCCTCCAAAATATATATATATATATTACCGTGTTTGCAAAGTGTGCGCATAGATCTTGCTTAAAACCAAGGCTGCCTTGCCACTCTCTGCTGCTTTACCACTTTTGGCCGCCTTTTCGAGTACCTGGATAGCACTCATATTTTGTCGTAGCAGGACCATCGCCATTTTCTAATTTTCACGTGTCAGTCCGTCAATTAGAAATACTCACATTTGTAGTAGTACATGTCTCCCTCGTAAATTACACACACAGTATCACAACAAACGTACATAATTCGCTTCTGGATGACCATCAGCCGCGGATCGATAACACGCCAACGCCTTGGTCCAATCGCCTTGCTCTTCAGCCTGATCCGCCAACGCCAAATACGCAGCCAAGTAACCATGCTTGGCAGCCTTTTCAAAACATCGCGTGGCCTTGGCTGGCTGGTGCGATTCAAGATAATGCTGGCCCTGCAGAAACACAGCCTCCCACATTTTCTTTTTGGCCAGCCGACTGATCCAGTACCTGCCTTCGTCCAACAGCCGTTGACGCGTGCTCGCGTTTTCATCATACAGCCGCGCCACGTCCAATAAATACTTTGCATAGGCCATTTGGACGTGTCTGTTCTTGGTTTTGATAGCCATGCGACGGTATGTCTTGATGGCGTCCTTTTGGTGTGTCAAGCTGTAGCTTGCGACAATGCATGTGAACCGTGCTTTGCTGCTGCTGCGTCCTTTTCCTTCTATTTTTGGTTCCTGTTGCTCTGGCGTTGTTCTTAAATGATTCCCGCTGGATAAGGTTGTTCGCCCTTTGTGTGTTGCTGTTGCTGCTGGTATAGGAGGCGGCGAACCGATCTTTTCAATCATGGCGGCTGCCATTTCAACGGGTGATGGCAATTCCGATTGAGGTGCCGGCTGTTGTTGTTGTTGTTGTTGTTCCTCCATTACAATGGGCTTCTCTGACATTGCTGTCTGATGTGATGCTACGGGTGACGATGGTGACGGCAGTGCCTGTTCTTCGTCACTGTCCCGGAGACAAAGCGAGACCATGGATCCCCAGGGTGACGGAATCTTGGAAGGTGTCGGTTGCTGCTGCTGCTGCTGCTGCTGCTGCTGACATGTGGGTGTTGCTGGCGATGCAGTCGACGGTGACAGGCAGCTGTTTGAAGGAGTTGTTGAAACGACGAGATCGTCGGGGGTATTGGGTGTTTGGTAAACATTATTATGATTGTTTGTATTTGTAGTAGTACTGGTGGTGCTATGATTGCAGGGCTCATAGGATGGATCAAATGGCTTTTGCATCATCACCATCTTGGATTCTGGCTCTTGGTTGGTTTCTTTTTCTCCTTGTTGGTCTTCTTCTATTTGTTCGATTTTGGTACTTTCACCGTGACGACCGCAGTCTACCGAAAAAGGGCGTTTCATCGTGTGGTTGTCTTGGTTACTAGAATCGTGCGTCGTTGCCATGTACATCCCCTCGTTGCCCGTTTCGCAAAAGCTGTGTCGCCTTGATTGGACAGCAGCAGGAACCATGATGAGACTCGAGTAAGGAGACGAGGGTCCTTTTTCAAGTACATAAACCCATTTTACTGAGTTTGCATTTCCTCTAAATCGATGCATTTGTTTACTTTACTATACCTTTTGATCCCGGTACTTGTATTGGCACTATGGTTGAAGGTGGTGGAAAGCCTGAGATGGATCCACAATAGGGTGCTGCTGTCGGAGGAAACACAGGGTCGAACGATGCAGGAATTTGTGGCAACGGCTTTGCTCGTCGTTGCTGCTGCTGCTGTTGCTGCTGATGGACATAATACATCTGAGGCATGTACTCGGTCATGTTCAATAAAAGGCTCGTATACCAAAGGAAGAAGACAAAAGGAAGGGAGAGAGAGACAACATAAATGGTTGAAAGGAAGTTGTGCAAGTAAAAAAATTGTTTTGATTGTTTTGGACACCGTTTACCATGTTTGGATAACAATTGTTGTTATTCTTTTGTCTCCATTTGGTACTACTGTTTTATGCTACTACATAGCTCTGGACCCTACCTACTAATCAAGTAAGCGTGTTCAGGGGACCGACCGTATTGGATCCACATGTGTGTTTTGTTAATTCATTTGCAACGGTACACACTTGCTCGTATAAAGGCTGTGTTTTCGGGTGGACGACGGAGAAAAAGAGCCGACGCCTGTCATGCAACATGTTTATGGTAACACAGAAAAATCATACTTGTAGTTGGATCAATAATGGTGCTACATGATCCATTCTTCTGGTCCGTATTGCACTTTCATTCAAAACAATACGTTATATTTATTCCTTATATATATGCTATGCGAGAATGCGATATTGTAGGGTTGTATAGTTTATTATATAGCAAATAGAAAGACGGTTTTATATGTACAGTATGAGGGAAAACATACTACGTGCAGAAAAGACTTTACAGACGACAAAGTCTTTATTACAGTATAACATCAATCAAGGGACAATCATAATGATTTGACAGCACTGCAATTTTCTTTCCAATTGTATTACCATTTTCAGCGCGCCTGCTACCGTGTTCTTGATTGGAACTGATTTAAGAAAGTCCTTATCCGTTCTGTAAAGAACTACACGCTTCGCCTGAGTTGTGGATATCATGTTGAATTCATTAACTGTAGTAGTTGAGTACAAGCCAAATGCGTCTTCATACGATGCTTTGTCAATCATTTACATCGCCGTACCAAGATCACACATACCGTATTCCTTAGAACTTTCTTTAATCCTACCAAACGTTCTATAAGATACTATGTTTTTATGTCATTTACATGGATCTTTTTTTATTCAAACCTAAGATGTACCGAAAGTGGGGGTTATAAACAGAGAGACGCGGGATAGAGAATTTATGAATTTAAGGTATAATAGTAGCTTCAACAATGCCAGAAAGGATATGAAGAGAATGAAAATCAATATCGATACGACAGTGACCAAGGGTTTCATTGCATAATTTAGCCATGAGTGACATATAATCTGATATTGGGACAAGGTCATCAAGTCCATCTTAAAGAGTGGTAACGGTGGAAGCTTATGGTAGATCCGGGACACAGGTCGACCAGAAACAATAGCTTACCGCAGCAAGGAGATCCAAAATTTTGCGAATTGCAAAAGTGTGTAAATTGGATAAGGAAGAAGCAAAGTCCAACGAGGCAATTTCCATCATAGTGTAAAGACAGTCGTGGCGTTTGGATACAATAAAAAAGGAAATGGAATATCCTTTGATGATAAAGGCCAAACAAACCAGTAGATCATGCCGTTCGATGGCGCGCTTGCAAGTGATACCAAGTCGGAAAATGTCCAAATTGACTGCTTGTTTTTGTGGTGGATACGTTGCCAGCCTTGGCTTCACCGAATCCAAGAGGACACCCAAAGTCATGCTGCACGAGCGTTGAACTGATGGCGTCTGGCCGAATGTCAGTAAGTTCTTGGTGCACAGATTTGTTTGCCTATCGTAGGGCCACTTATTGATCTTGGTCCACAATTATCTCAGATAAGAGCACGTCAAAATATGTGGATTGCAGTTCCACTTCACTAATTTTGGACATATCTATGATGGGCAGGCATGGCAATTTCGTTAACCTAGATTAATAAAAGGGTATATGAGTTGGCCAAAAAAATTAATTCATCAAAGATGAAGAAAAAATGACCCTACAAGTTTGCTAGTCCTTCAATGACATTGCCCATTGTATTGTTCATTGTCGCAGCCAAGGTCAACAGATCACGCTTGCCCTCGCGCACACTTATCTTCTTACTATCCATAGCGTTAATTGTATTGATCACCTTGATAAAATTGCTATCACTGATCTTGGCAGTGTTCGCAGCCATCAATTCACCCAGCACTTGATTGCACACATTGTTCAAGGCACATTGACCAAATATTATCTTCATCATAGTGGGGCTGTGATCCATTGGTGCATGAAAAAGGATGTCGGTAACAGCCAGCGATTCCTTCAACAATGTTTCAAGATGAAAGGGGGGGACAAGAGTATTAACATGTGGATAGTATTGTTGAAACAAGCCATTGATGTTAGCATTTCTAGGTAGATTATAAAATGTGCGACATATTAAACTTTAAAATTAAAATTGAATTTTTATATAAATAAAAAAATAAACATAAAAATAATTTATAAATATATAAATATCCATCTCATGATGTTTAATTGGTTATATATTTTGAAATAGACTTCTTAAAACATAGAGAAAGATATATTACTTCTGTTACAAAACTATAAATGAAAAATGAAATATATATTTATAAAAAATGAAATATAATCTAAATAAATATAAAATAATGAAATAAAATAAAAAAACTTATATTATAATAGAAACAGATAAAAATATATAGAAGTACTTAAATTAGCGTTTCTTAAGCTTCTTGAGTAATACAAAAACTTTTCTTCAACAGATAAATATTAGTATTAATTATTTTGACAATTGTTTCCATCACTAATAGTTATTTTTCTATTTTTACAATTAAGTTCAAAGTAGATTATTACAATAATTGTTTTTAACAAATAAGATAATATATAATAAGATAGAATATATAAAAAAAGACAGATTAAGATCTTTTAAAAAAATTAATTCATTTTATATATATAGTTTTTCTAAAATATTTTAGAAATAATGTCAAAAACAAATTTTTAATGAAATCTGAATTATTTTGACGGTTATTTCTATTATTAATAAATATATTTTATGTTATATTTTTTATTCTTACAAATCTATTTTTATTTTCTATTTTACAAACAATAAATATTCTTCTCTTTTTCTATCTTATTCATTTATCTTTTAAGTTTATCCTTATAAGTTATCTTATTCCTGAAAAAGAACTTAGAAAATTAATTTATGCTATATATTTAATTATGAATCTGTACTTCCTATGATCCAGGGCGTAGTTGGTATTTTATTGTCCATAGTACAGTGTCAAGGGTTGGAGATGAGGCATTGTTGTCAATGAAAGGAGTCATTGTTGGGATCTTGTACAATATAGGTACCCCCCCTTTATCTTGTGTCCACGTAATCGTACGGAGTTCTAATGTTAACCAATAAAAATGCAGCATCCGAAGTTATGGTAGTCCAAATTGTGTAGCTCAATGATGCATAACCAATGAGAAATCAGCATCTCAAAACAGGGACTCGCAACCTTTTTATGTCTTTGAAATCTGAAAAAAAAAGTAAACCTCAAAAATGCTATTTAGCTAAAGCTATCATCATATATTGGTTATTAACTAATATCATTGCATAAAAATAACAGAAAGAAGCTGTATAGATATAAGTATAGTAGTTTAATCACTGATAATATAAGAAAATGATTAAGATAGTAAGGATAAATAAAAGAGGATAAAATACTAGTAAGAGAAAGGGAAAAGATAATAAATAGAAAACGGAAATCATTATCACAGCTGGATAAGTCTTCTTGAATGGGGCGGTAGATGCTCGCTAATGTAAGTAGTTGTTAGTACTATATATAATAGTAGAAATGAAGTAGAAAAATTACCTAATATCAGATTCAGAGTAATCAGAGTCATAATCAATATGATCAAGTAACCCATGATCTCTGTAATCAGCAAGATCAACAAAACTCATGCTATCTTGACCACTGTTTTCCTCTGAGTTAGAACGATGATATCTTGAGTTATCACCAGGCGCTCTTGTAGGCAAATCAGTAGCAATATCCTCATAGTTAACAGAAGTAGTAGAAGTACTACCCTCTTCAAACTAAATATCACTCAAGCCTTGTAAGAGGGATTGCCACTGGTTCTGATGCTTACGGCGCCATAAGAACTCTAAGAGTTTCCAAGGATAAGCATCAACAGTACGTTTTACAGCTGTCCAAAATCCTATTACAGAAAAAATAAGTCTAAGAAGATAAGAAAGCAAAAATCAATAAAGTGAATAGTATACCTTCAATCATATTGGAGTTGAAAAGCTGATCACCATCTGTATTCCCTCTGCTGTAGTTTACTGTGGCAAAACCAACATCATGATTTACTGCTACATGATCATATCCTAACTGGCGCAACCTCATATAAGGACGATGGCAGTCTGAAATGATTCTTGTACCAGGCCCGACATATTATTGGATTAATGGAATCAATGCATCAGCTGTTCTATCTATCTGGAACAATACAAAGAAAGGCCTTTCCTGCTTGACCAGACCGGTTTTCTACCATCCCAAAGACCCAAACACCTAGAACTGGATGGCCACGATGGTACTTGTTCTTGCCAAACTTGCTCTCATCAATCTGTACCTCGGTTACACCAGGTCCACCTAATAAAAACTTTTAGTTTCTTTTAAATTAAGGAAGAAAAGAAAAATATAAACTTACCCAAAGTAATATCATCATCTGTAATATCATTATCCATGATCTGGTAAACATCAAAGATGATCTGTGCAACTGTATGGCGGTCAAGTTCCATCATCTTTGTCAAAGCCTTTACCGAATTACCAGCAATAAAACCATGTAGGGCCCATAGGATATCACGTAAGTCTGCCTTCCTACTATAGAAATATGACCCCTTGCTAACAGATTTTGTAGTCCTATTACAACAGCTTTTTGTGCAGCGCCATCTAGGACGTTTTTGACTTGGAGGCCAGGTAATATGCATCTCAGAGCCATTATCACAGTACATTGTTTCATTGAAGGCACCATTTTCGATCAGAAAACTATCTCAAGTAAATTTTCATAATAAGTAAAACTATTTATCGTATATTACTTATAAATAAAAATAAAGTGAAACCCTTATGAGATAGCATCACTAGGCTTTGCAATCAACTCGGCAAATCTCCTTGTAGAAGGGAATTGGTTATTAGGGTGGGTAAAAGACATAGTAAAATAAAAATGGATAAAGTTGAGGAAGATGAGATACTGGTTGGAAAAATTATACTTAGCCCTTTTTATATTCTAGGAGTGTTCTTTTTATTCCCACAGCAAAATTATTTAGTAATCAGTATTATGTCATTCTTCTCACACAGATTTATATTTGTCATCTACATTCCCGTATATGTCATCCGTTTTCCCATATAACAAGGTTTCTTTTTCCCATGTAACAAGGTTCTTTTATAAAATGCAATCATTATTAATTACTTTTAATGTACTTACTACTTATAACTCTTGAGCTTTATATCTTTCTCTAATTGAAATTTCGATCAAATATACCCTTATCCCTTAGATATCATAGTAACGATTACTTATCTTCTAGTATTTCTCTGAACTCAACACATCTCGCTACAATATAGCTTTTAGTAGTATGTTTCTGTAGCTATTATACCTAGTTATATAAAACTTCAAAATTTTAAGAATGTGACCTCTTAGCTTCAAATGGCTGGTTCTCTTGCAGTTTCTGCGCTGTGGCTTAGAAAATTGGAGATATAGAAATTCAGATACTGAACTATATATAGGTAAAATTTGCGGTCCGATGCGTGACTCTATCTATAATCCAGCGTTGGGTTTCCGACGTCGGTAATCGACAGCGTAGTTTCCAACCGTCGTAAATGTCGGAGATCGGAAATCGCAAATATCGGAAATGTCGGAAATACGGTATAAAGAATATATATTTATCAAAAGAACTATAACAAAACATTATTCGAAGCTTTCTAGTGGAGGCAAACCAGGCAGAAACAGCGATTCCAGCTTCCACTTGTATCTCTTATTTCCGGCTGGATGAACTTCATCACTCGCTTGGTCTTGGCAAGAATCTTAACCCTCTCCATCCAACATTTCGAACCATTCGTTCACCAAAACGTTCTATCTGGACGCCAAAACAGCGGCACTTTCCTCGTCGACATGTCCACTCATGGTTTCTTCATGCATGTCTTCGTCGTCAGGCTCCTGTTCGTCCATGTTGTCCATGCTGCCCTCCATATACAAACTTTGACTACTTTCCATCCGCTGTAACATGGGTCGAGCAGTGGGCGTGGGTGTTTCAGTGCGCATCCGTCGCATGTGCGCATCTTCTTTTCATAGCATGGCTCGGACTTGTGCAATTTTCAGCACCTTCTCCCACCCAAGTCTGTTTCGTCGATTGCTGTGGATGAATCCCATATCGCTAAACAGGCGTTCACAGGAAGCTGAGTTAACGCCAATTGAATGCACGCGGCGAGCCACGAACACCAGATCCTTGCACTCATCGTTGGCTTGCTCCATCATAGCCCAATATCGCTCCATTGACGGGAATTGCTTGGCCATATTTGCACTGAATGGGTAATCTTGCTCATGGTACCTTTGTATTTGCGCCATCATACTCTGAGATTCTTGTCCGGTCCACATGGAAAAGTATCGCGCAGCCCACAAGCCAAGCTCGAGAACAGATACGCCTCGGTTTTCGGTGTCTCCGTGAAAAGGATCCAGGAAAGTGTTAATATTGTTGAGACGATAATTCGGGTTTAGGTACAATGCCAGAAGCAAAAGTGGCTGCTCCCACTGATACCAGCGTCGTTCCAATTGACTGATAAAGGCACCCAACTGTTCTTGCGGTAACGTCTTAACAAAGTCGTTTGCAACGATGTGTGGGATGATATTTGCAAACTGATGAACAATATGATACAGCCTTGCTTAGTCGCTTTGCAAACAATCGAGGCTGGTGGCAAAAGGCTGGACCATTGATTGCAATCCTTGTACATGTACCCAGAAAGTTTCATCCTTGATAATGTTTGCTACTTCAGGTGGCAAACGAGTATCCATCGTTTCTTCCAAGGACAAGACGGTATGCTGTTTAAAGATATTTATGAATTAGTAACTTGTTGCATTAAGTTCGAGTTGACCGTGGATTACTACGAATTAAAATGGGTACCTTCAATGCAACCTGCGTATTACACAAGCTTCTGAAAGCGTCAAAATGGCTGTTCCATCGGGTACTTGCAGGTTGTCGCAAGGTAACCCTACGTCGTTGCGGTGCACCGGTCTGATGATCTTTAAGTTTTCGCGTCAAATATGGGGAACGGTTGAACGCTTCAATAACTTTGACGGCTTGGGCTACGTAGTCCTTCAGCGAAGTAAAGGCCTTGAACATGTCTGCGATACAAAGATTCATTTGATGGGTAAAACACGGAAGCCAAACGATATGTTGGTGGACGCGGCGCAATTGTGAACGAGCAGCAGTATATGCACTTGCCGAATCTGTAACGACTGCGATCACCTGGATATTGTTTTCAGGGATCTTTTCGGCGGCATCAAACAGCAAGCTTTCAAGCTTACTCTTGACCTCTAAAGTTCCTGAGATCTCACCAGATATATCCTTGGCATCCCAGACCACGCTGCTTCCCTTAGCCGTGTTAAGCACCACACCTAGGATTGACTCCTTGGATACGTTTTTCCAACCATCGCAAGTAAGGGTCACACCTTGAGACATTTGGGCTTCCTCGATGATGGATGCATTTGCTTCTATGGCAACGGCGCTCAAGATTTCGTTTCCGAGATATTTACGAGATGGCAATCCATTAGGTTTGAATCAAGATGATAAAAAAACTCCTGTTAGGTTAAAATTTTTTCAAGCTTAGTCGTTCAGTGAGTATAAAAAGTTAAAGCATTACCTGGATACGACTATTCAAATGAACAAACACATCACGAACTCTGGGATTCTCAATCCAACGGAAGGGCAAATTGGCAGAAACGGTGGCAAGTAAAAGTTTCCTATGGAACAATGCCAACCAATCTGGGTTCTCAAAGGAACCGTACTTGGCAATGGAGGTTTGGTTGAGTCTTCTTCTTTGAACCGATGTCTCTGAGTAACTTGATGCTTGACTTATCGAATCATCTGGAAAAACATCATCGCCTAGATCGATATCTTCCATTTGACAAAGATCCGCCTTGTCTTTATCCGAAAGATAAGGGCATTCCTACATGTATATATTTGTACAATAACAACCTTCTAGTGCCCACTGATTGTCGTTTTTAAAGCAGCACTTGATTATTGGACAACAAAATAAAACATACCCTTAGATGCTTTTCCAACGTCTTCTTTTTTGTGTTGCTAAATTCTTTTGCTCCTTGTGGATTACGTTCAAGACAAGCCTTGCATTTTGCACTTTTGTCCGACATCCGCTTTCCATTCTTGAATTGATCAAAGGTATCAAAAAATCTTGATGTAAGGGTATTAGCCCTACGGCCGGCCAATGGAGCTCGAGAAGCAGTTTGCGATGAAGAGTTAAAGCCAGTACGTTCGGCGTTGTTGGACATGTCGGAATGTAGTAGGTTCTTGTAAAAATATGAAGTTAAAGATGGAAATGTGGTGTACGTAGTTGATGATGAATTGTTGTGATAAACGTGGGTTGTGGATAGATAATAAAAGAAAAGAGGTAAAAATAAAAGACAATATGAAATACAGTGAGAGTCAAATATGAGATGATTTTTATTGAATGAATTCACAACCCTTTATATACTGTTGAAGATGCTGTCTAGACTTCCGTTGGGATGAACTGATGAATGGATCGCGGACATGCAGGATTTCGGATGTTGCGAAGATGAAGAAGGATGGGAAGGTTGAGTTTGGCGGTCAAGATAATGGACGTTGCCTTCTGATTGTAAAGAGTCATTATGCCTTGATCAGTGTGTTCCTTGTTTGGCGAAGTCTCACCTTTGTCAGTGCTGGGATTGGTATCCGCTCTTTGACAGGTACAATGCGCTCAACTCAGATAAACTAGATTGAAACGAAGCTGACTCAATTGTGATCCGTGTTTGAGAGATTATCGATATTGGACTGAAACGAAGTACTGACAATGGTTGGTCCTGAGTTATTCTCGATTGTGATCCATGTTTGAGAGATTATCGATATGGTATATGGACTTCATGCTGTGGTCAATATAGGCTGCAGCCAAGATACACTATGCATGAATTGCTGACTGTTTTTAACGATTTCTATACAGATATCATACAAATAACATTACCTATTTAACGTCAATGTGTGTCCTAAAATATAAAATTACTCTTTATTCATAGTTCGAAAATCACCCTTATGAATTTCCGACATTACCAACGTCGGAAATCATTTACGACCCATTTCCGACACTGTCGGAAAAAGGGGCCATCGGAAATGTCAACACTGCTATAATCAGAGGGGGGGTACCTATATTGCTCATTAGCCCATTGTTGCGCTGCTGCTTGATTCCAATGCTTCACCATCATTTTCTTATTCCACGACATTTATGTTTTGATCAACATTGTCTGGAAAAACCTCACCATAAGCTACCTGACTTTTGGGTGTCACTTCCATGATCAAGTTATCGACAAAAGAAGAGCAGGCTGCACGCGATTGTACTACAGTTGCCATTCTAGCTCGCTCTTGCCAAAAAGCGATAAAGTCGATGGTACCTGTCCATCTATTCAAATCATCAAGTAAATTGTTTTTGACAACGTCATCATTGACCCATTTGTTCAGTATATTTCAGTATATTGTCAATGTCTTGACTTTGTCTGTCAAGCCAAGGTACAGAGCAAAAGATTTAAAATTCAGGGTGGCCAGATTTCCCAAACACCATAATGCATCAGAAGGTGGTTGGCGCTGGCGTTTTATGATCGTCTCCCTTTGATCACCACATCCTTGTGGTGACTGTTGCTTTTTACTTGCTGAAGACATGACAGGTGTTGGAAGCTGAAGATAGAAGCCCCGCCTTTTTACCCTGCCTCTTATAAGGCCTAGAAAAAATGTGGCTGGACATGCATCCAATGAAAATCAAGTCCAGCTGGGATTCGCTAAATCACCAAATATCGCTAGCAAGTCTGCTGGACTTGCCCTTATGTCTTTCCTAACCCAAGTCAATAATCAAGATGCTTGAGACCTGTAGTTCTTTTAGGATGACCGTCCAAGATACTTTTCCATTGCAGCTTGACGCTTCGTCTGTCTTGTTCATGGCAAGGGTTCTCTTGCCGACTTCACAATACTACATGGTAAAACCATTCCAGATACTCACTGTTTTTTTTATTTCTTTTTTTCTGTAGTAGCGCATGTTATCTTCGTTCTACCATGAGAAACCCAATTGCTAGCTTGCACATGTGTGTGCTTTGGCTGCGTTTAGTTTATGCACATGGATATATGGCCTAGAGATTTGTTGATAGTGTGTATCGTCCTCTCTCTTATGACAAATATGTTTATTGGTTATCATCATCAGCTAATCCGCAAATATCTTAATAGAAGCAGATCGAACAAGGGTCCAGTAATGATGAGCGTATTCGATATCCACTCTTCAATAAAAACCTTAAGGGGACACGCCATCTTTTGGGGAGGTTTATTTCCCCAGATGTTGGCACCTTTATCCTGAGAAAACGGTACCTGACTTTTGAAAAATAGCTAGTCTCACTTATTGCTAAACCCGAGCCTTCACTATACATGTATTCTGTTCCAATTTCCCCATCTTTCTTTCTCTCTGCTCTATATCTCTCATAGTAGTCCATTTATCACCTTGCTGACAATAATAAACTTTAGCCAATAGCTTGTGATATTTAAAGTCTACCCACATCACACCTCAAGGTAGTCATGCGCTGTTATGTAAAAGCTGCTTATATTTGTAACATAGCTGATTCTTGTGGTTATCAGGAGAACCAACGTTTGGGCGATGACTGGTCCATTTACAGCTCCAAGAAGCCTGGAATCGCAAATCGAAGCAGAGCTCACACGCCTCAACAGTCTTTTACACCGCGTTCCAAATAATCAAAAAAGTGCGACTATCCTCGCGCACATACAGTCTATCAATGATGATAAGTTCATCGACGTTGAGCAGCTTAAGCAACCCAAATCAACCCCCAAAAGCACCCAAAAAACGCCAAGCAGCAGCAACAAGCCTGAGCTGATCGCTTTAAAGCATCAAGACTCTCAGAGCCGAAAGGAAGCAAACACCGGCATTGGCTGTGATGCTGCAGCAATATGGTAAAGTTTAATGCACTAAGATGTGTAGCCACCTCTTTATTTAATTAATATTTATATGAACGGAAAGATGGAGCCAACAACAGCAAATGAAGCATGAAGCAAGCAACACAATACCAACTATCACATCCTCAAACAACATGACACTTACCATCCCTCCTCCTCCAAAAATTCGCTTTGTACCTAACCTCAACCTTGTTTGCAAATGAATTCCATCATCAGCTGTTGAAATGGTGCACAATCCTATGCCAGACGGTAACTGTGGCTTTCGGGCCTTTGCTGTTGAGCTGTATAACACGAAGGAGCGATACGTCGATGTCAAGATCAAGATGCTCGTTCAGTACCTCTCCAACATCAGTATGTTTTACCCATGCTATGGCAAGGGTCCTTTACTAAAAGTATTCAATCCTTATTCAAGTGAATGGTTTGTCTCGCCTGAATGCAGTCGACATGCCACTGACACGTTTGGAACGCCAATCGTTATCTATACCGCACAATCGCACCTTTTCTTGCCATTAACAACCAACACTACTCTTGATTGCTATGTCAATTTCGACCTTAACATTGTAAAACATTCACATTATTTTGTTTGAAATGGAAGAGGTATTTATAAAATAAATAGAATTTTTGATATATTACATTGTAAATACAGATATATAACATTATTTGTAATTATTATATCTACTATTTCAAATATAATAAATTTTGTTGATTTTAAAAAATATTACAAAAATGAAAATCTATTTTGTTAGAAATAAAAATTAAACTTTTTAATTTAATTCATGTATGAATCAAAAATAAAAATTGAATTTTTATTTTATATATATGGTATATTGTAAAACTATATGAATAAGTTTCAATATATTGTATATTTAGGATAAATTTATAGTGATAATTATTATATCGTTAGACCAAATAAGGCAGAAAATTGTTAATTACATTAATTCAACATTACGTAAAATTTCGAAATGCCCATTCATTGAATGATGTCCTTACTATCATATAGTAGTTATTACAGTGCATATATAAAGGAATTCCTAATGTTATGCTTGTTTACTTTACCGCCTATGGAATTAGGAGCTTAATTTGAAACAACTCTTAAAATGATTGCGCAATCAACTAGGTAGACTATCACTTGTAGAGTATGGTATGCTTTACATGAAACGAATATAGTGGCAGCTATTTATTCCGAGATAAATAATAAAAGTATACTATAATAACAATATCATTATTTGAACCAATAGTAGCTTTTGTAAATAGTATATTAAAAAAATCAAAAAATATTTTTGTTTCCTGGTATAAATCTATCAGGTTTTTTTTAATTTGTACACAGAATGTTATTTTTTTTATTTTTCTGATAATTAAAATTCTGGTGATCTTTAAAAAAGTTCTGTTAGTAACTTAGATAGTGCTAATTCGATTAGTCCTCCGTGCCTAAGTCAAGATCGGATGGCAGAGTTTTGTAAGAACAAATGGGACCGAGGCTAGACCGAACGCCATTGTCTAGAACTGAAAGGTGTTGTTTTCCCAACGGAAACGATGATAACGACGGGAGTGCTGATGTAACAGAATATGTAGGAAAGTGTCGGTAATGCGATCGAGCAGACGTAGTCGTTCTTGCGAACCATCTGCACGATTTGTTGTAACATTTCCATCTTGAATCTTGGCGGTGGTTGAAGGTAAGCTTTGTTCAAATGTCAAGGTTGAAGATGGGACGATAACCACCGTTGTGCTTGGGAATCACAAACATTGGACTGTGGAAGCCAGCTGTGGGTGGTGCCGGCTCGATGGCACGTTTCCACAAGAGCTCTGCAATTTCCTGCCTCAGCAACGCCTTTTGCTGTGGCGATTGAACCTGGACCAGATGACTGTGACGAGACAGTGGCAGATGACGAGCGAAATGGAGCTTGAACCCTTCCTAGACTATCCCATGGACCCACTGACTGTCGGTCAAACGTTCCCAGGCCTGTAGGAACTGCTGGAGACGCCCCCCTAGCCCTACTGGCGGGAGCAGCTGTTGCTGTGCTGATGTGACCGTTGCTGTTGTTGTTGGGGTTGTTGCTGTGAGACTGATTGGTATTGTTTTTGTTGTAGGAGCTGTGGAACGGATTGTTAGATCGTTGGTGCTGCTGCTGCTGAAAAGTGAAACCAGGATGCCCGCTATCCTTTGACGGGCCCGATCAAAAAAATGACGAATTAGACGACGATGGTTTAAAACAATTACCCCCACGACGAGCATCTCGAATCGATTTTTGCATTGCTGTGAATTCAGTAACAGTGTCTTTGAACGTATCGGCGGACATAGTGTATTGCTTGTCTTGTGATGGTGCTTTTAAGGATGGATGAATAGCGCGAAGAGCAAGCTGATTACGTTGATTGTTTATAGTGCTAGCGGTATGAAGAACCAAAGTGTGGACGTCGTTTATGGTGGCAAAAACGCGGTTTATGTGTTCGTTTGGGAGAATCGGTAAAAGAGTATGACCTAACACATCAAGAGGTCGCAGAACCGCAGAAAGCGTGTATTGCAGCTGGCGTAGCATAGCGTCTTCGGCTTTTTGGCCAGGCTTGAATAGGCGGTCAGCCTGCGGCACCGCAGCAGGTGGTGAGTATTTCAGTGTGCGGATAGGCGGATAGCGTTCAATAATTGTTTTTCGCTCCTCGTCGGCAAGCGTACTGGTGAAGATGGCCTGATCCAAAGTCAGCATCAAGGTCGTAAGCGTGGCATCCGGTTGCCAATCAAAAGACGGCCATACAGGCAAGTCATGGGGGGAAAAGGAGAGGAGGATTGCGATGGTTGCCCGGGAGCCGATGAAGCAGCGTCCGTGCGTAAGCGAAAGAGCTCCTCAATTAATTACTGTTGCTGCGCAAGCTGTTCCATAAGCTGCTGCGTCAATGGCGTCAGTGGTTGCGAATTGGGAGTAGTAGAATCTTCCATGATCAAAATGAAGGGGCAAGCGGTATTGCCCGGCGAAGCGAAGGAAAAATGGTTAAGGATTCGATAGTTGACACTCTTGGCACTTTATAGACAAAATTTTTTCTTTTACTCAAATTTCATGTGTAATGTTTCTCTGATATATTCGACCAATAAAGCGGAAAAGATGATCACAGCACTCTGCACTCTGCAGTTCAGGCTCGGGAAGTCCGATGGACTCCCTCAATTATCTGGAGCTATAGCGATAGATAATGTGGTGTTATATCACATTATGGTTCTGTGTGATATAACATTGTGGTGTTATATCACCTTAAGGTTTTATGCGATATAACAATGTGGTGTTATATCACATTATGGTTTTATGCGATATAACATTGTGTTGTTATATCACCTTGTGGTTTTATGCGATATAACATTGTGGTGTTATATCACCTTGTGGTTTTATGTGATATAACATTGTATCTTTCAGCCGAGGCTATAGGCCGAAGGCTTTATCTCATTATTCGAGTATGGTGGATCCTGTGATTGTGTTACCATCTTTTCCGTTTTTATTCGAGAGAAATAAATAAATACAAGTGGAGTGCTACAAATGAACAGTATCATCGGGAAAGAGAGAACAAGCGACAGAGAAAAAGGGGTGGGGGGTGTGGACAATCATAGGATCCACCATACTCGAATAATGAGATAAAGCCTTCGGCCTATAGCCTCGGCTGAAAGATACATTATTCTTCGAGTGGTGGATCCAGTGATTGTGACTCCAGAGTATTCCAGACCGGGGCCGAGGAACCAGGGGCCGAGGAACCAGGGGCCAAGGACGAGAAATTGGAACGCGTCTCGCGTGAAACCCAGTAAATCAAATCGAACATCTGATGTGACGACCAAGAACTATGGGCGACTATATCGTCTACTGCAGCGCCCGCCCGTGCGGCTCGTGTAGAGCCAAGGACCCGAGCCCGTGTACGCCGTCCGCCAGGGGGGACTGGGATAAGAGCCATAATGAAATTGATGTGCTTGCCAATTCGTTGTGAACCGATGTGTTGAGAAGTATTGCGCAGATCACGGATAAAGAAGTTGATGTTGTGTGCGGATAAGACAGGATGGGGAGCATGACATGGCTGTGACGCAAAGCGTGTCTTGTATACTGCAAAAGCGGCCACTAGGCAGAAAAGAGGCTCCTCGTGCGAATCGATGCTGATGGTTTTGGTGATGCGCTGGCCTTGGCGACGTTCTTTGGGACACACAACGGTGAGCGTGAGTTTACCGGAAGCTTCGTCGATGAGACAACCGTCCAAATCCGTGCGTTCGATGTCCGAAGGGCGCATGAAACCACAAACGGCCAACAGCCAACAAATCTTGGCAGTTAATTGAGCTGGTGAAAGATGAACATTGGGGCCAAGGCGGCGAAAGTGATGTAGAACCGGTGTAATATCTAAGTTTGCAGGAGGAGCCCGTCGCAAGGTAGTACCGTCTAATGCCTTCATGAAAGAGGTATAAAGCCATGAAGAGAGAATCTTGTCTCGATCGTCGAATAAATTTAGGAGGGCCGAACGATAGACCTTAATCGTATTTGTTGACCAGTGTAGTTTGTCTTTGCCATATCCTTGGAAGTTGACCAAATGGTCTCCCGTTGGATCCAGGGCCTCGAGGCGACGAGATTGACACCAAGATAAAAAGTGTTGCTGAATATGCTGGTATTGCTGACTGGCATGTTGGTGGTCAGGGTGTAGAATCACTGCTGCGACGGCCTCAGTGGCTCCAGCTTCTTCCAATCGGCGCATCTTATTTGCTAGGCTGTGAGAGACCAATGGGGGTTCTTGGATAGCACGCTTTCTTCTTGCCCCGGAGCCGGGAGAACTGCTTTGCGGGGTATGCGCCAGGGGCGTGGTCGTGCTACTTGCTTGAGGGTCGGGAACCAAATCGCTGTCGGCTACCACGGTGTGATCAGTGTCGCATTGACCGGCTCCTGTTGAAGTTTGCGGAGAACTGCCGGAATCAGGTTCCAAGGGGGCACAGATAGACCTGGCGAAACTGTGACCAATTGAGGGCCATGGCGTCGGTGGCTAGTGCGGTCGGATCCTAGCAATTTTTGCAACAATTGACATTGCATCGTTTCGTTCAAATTCTCTGACGTTTTTGATTCCAACGTTGCCAAAACGTCTGCTCTTTTTCTGCCATCAACATCAAATTACCTTCACCAACATTGCCTTGGCCTTCAATGCTCAAAGCACTTGGGGAACGTTCGACTCGGCAGCTGAGTTTGGCGTACCAGACATACGCAAAAGAGCACCAGTAGCACCGACACCTTCAGCCGAGTGTGTCTAATCGGCGTAGCGTTGGCGCTTTTGCACATAGTCGTTAGGTGGGGACGGGGAGCGGTTGCGCTTTTCGTGTTCTCGCATTTTCGCGAAGCAGAAGTAAGAGAAAAAGTTTAGAGAACTCGCTTGCCGCTGAGGATGATTATATGTAAATTGGAAGCTTTTCGTCTGAAAGTCTGTGAAATGTATGACACTACTTTGCAGTAAAAACTAACAGAAACAAAGACAAGGGAAACAATCATTTCGCGAATGAGACGCCTTACAAGTTGGAAGCGAATATTCAGATGGCTTATATGCGAATAACATGTTTTCCCACTGGTGAACAAAGTGTCTTCAGTGATGAAAAAAAGACTTACTTGGTTGTGTAAGAATAGGTGTAATGGTTGCGATATTCCAACTCCAGATGTAAAAAACCTCACCTTCGCTTGTGTAGAACCGTGCTTTTCGAACGCGGATTTCTTCTTCGTCAGAAGTGAACAACAGCAACCTTCACTTGGGAACAACCTAATCCTTCAGTTGAGAAAATTATTACCCTTTGCTTACGAAAATGGCTCCCCTTCTAATGCGAAATTTAATAGCCTTTACATGCGAACATTTTTGCCTTCATAAAATGAACAAATCTCTTCTTCAGATGCGGACAAAGTTACGATTCACAAGCGAACAATCTTACAATTTGTATACGAACAACCTTACGCTTTGCAAGCGGACAATTGATATTTCACAAGCGAACAGTCTTGCCCTTCATAAGCGGAGAAGTTTGTGCTTCATAAGCGAACAGAGTTATTCTTCGTAAGCGGAAAACCTGGCGGTTCGTGGCCGGTATCAAATGCAAAATCCTGTATCATCAATTCACCACTGCTCGCCTTGGACAAGACGCGCTTAGATAAAGAGCTGAACATCTACAAGCAAACGCAGGACTTTAAGCGCTTTTGGTTGGAATGCACACGCAAACAAATCAATCTAGACGTTCATGATGCGTATTTATCCAAGATGTCGTTGATCAAGAAGCAGACTTGCTCAATATGCAACCCCGGAAAGTATCAGCAGCACCAGATACGTCTGATTTGTTTCTCACAGATGATGCTACAGCAAGCCGCAACAGCATCCTGCACCGCACGACACCCACATTACACGCCCTAATTGCCACTACCGATACTACACCAACAGATCACGATCAGGATATTTTCGTCTCTACTCCAGAAACCATATTGGATGATATGCGAAACCCAAATCCATTGCAGCCATGGATGTATCGAGGCACAAACGTGACTGAACGATTTACAAGTTTCAAGCAAGCCATCGCCACAATCACAACCAGCCAATTGCTCTTTATCGATCCATCTGTGCACGAGCTGTTGGCCTTTTCTAATATCTTTCTCTTGTGTACGAGTCAACACAGCCCGCTTTGCATCGATACTTTAATGATAGCATAGAAGCAATCCATCCGAATTATGTAAAGCACGACAACAATACACTCGTATGATCCAGTTTATGTAAGCAGTAGCCCGATATGGGCTTACGCGATATGATTTCGTTTGCGATCTCTTGATCTCTTATACGAATATTTACAAAGGCGGCTGATGATGCACTTAAGAATGGATGTCTTGTCACAAGTTATAGTGGTAAATTCAAATCCAAAAAGAAAAGTACCTGGCAGAGGCAGGTAAAAACGAGGGGTCGGGGGATGATGGCGGATAGTGTTATAGAAGTGCTCGAAGCAGTAGTGGAAGAAGAACAGCATAATCAATAGCTTATTACCAGGATGACTAGGAGTGTATAAGATTCGGTTAATGCAAAGCTCAAGCCGATGATCAAAGGGTCTCTCTACAGGGTTCAGGTCAATGTTGCTCATATTGAAAAAGATGTTTGTTTGGAAGTTGTACTGCGTCGATATTCATGAAACCAGTGAGATATTGTAGAAAGTCTCGGCCGTTGTTGCATCGACTGTGGTGTGATGTGGTGGATTGTGTAACAAAGATATAAAGAAAGCTCCCTTATACAAGTATATAGCCACGGCAATCATCGATTGCCGATCCACCACCACCCCCAAGCCCGCAATGATGGATGTGGCCAGCTTGCCAAGAAGCAAACTCTAGAGCAGCATGGCTGTTTTTAACATAGTAAGCGCGTCATCCTAGAACTACTATTAAATTATACAAGCTGCTTCTTGAAGTTGACCTTGTTGTTTGGCTTGCTCAATTTATTAACCACCTCCCTCAGCAGTAACAACAACACAAAGCCAATCGGACGTTGTGTTATTCCTTCGGCGTATGTGCGGGTGATGTATGATACATGAGAAAAACAAGGATGGTCGCGAAAAAAAATAAAAAAAAATAAAAAAAGAGCTCTGAACTTGTCAAGCACATAAAAAGGGCAAAGCAAAAAAAGCAAAAAACGGTAAAGCGTTTATGAGAAGAGTGCGAGAAAGAATAAAGATTTGTTTATAGTGTTTATCATTTTCTTATTTGTGTGTAATAATGTGTGTAATAAATAATAGTAATAATAATCTGTTCGTTCCTCACCCTCCACTGACCCGCACTGGTACATTGCAGTCGTCTCTTCATGGCGGACCACTGAGCCCATCCAATCATCAGAAAACTCTGAACAATCGCCAGCACTGGCACGGAACTGATCATAGCACGGACAGTGACTCCCGCGCATACAGCCCAACGCCTTTCCAAAACGAACTAAAGTGAAGAAAAAAAAAGAAGTAAAAGAAAAGCGAAACTGCTCGCTTTATATAGACGTTTTTTTGACTGTCACGCTCGGGACTTCAAAAAGTTCCACCAAGTTCCATGGATTTTCATTGGCTTTTGCTTAATGGTATGAATTTTAGCATATGGCTCAAAGGGACTATCACAAAAGGAAAGGAAAGGGGGTGTGCTTGGTGGTCAAGTAGACAAGCGTGCTGCGGCGGTAGTGGTACGTGTCTCTCACCATGCGGAGCTGTACCCTCCGATGCTGTCGCCGCTTGTTTGTGAGTGGGCCGTGCACGGCACCGTGTCAGGCAAAGAACAAAGACACGATGCGAATGAGCATGTAGATTCACGGAAGAAAAGCTCTTCTGTGAGCAATAAAATGGCGGAAATAGGAATGACTGACAAGATATATAGCGTAGTTTACAGACAATTTCAGTCTATTAGTACCTTTTGACTGTATGTGTGGTGCATAACGTTGTGCGTGTACGGGCATCGTTAAAATACACTTAATCCCATCGCATCTTTTATTTTGAACCGTGCTCGTCAACTGTTGCTTTACCATTTTCGCTATCCGTTAACAGTTCTCCGAACTGCACCGTGTGCAGTGGATGATTGCTCGTTTGTATATGACTGAGTTATAGAAAAAGCTTTCTCTCCAGTTTTCTCCTATCCATCTGACCAAGACCCATACAATCAAGCATCAAGTCGACCTTTCTCTGAGGATCCGTCATGTTGAAACGAGTCGCCGTTCTTTTTACATCGACATCAATAGAAAAAGAAGCTCTTATTTACAGATTTCTCCCGACACAGAAGAGACTCTGACGGCTTACCTTATCATTACAAACCAGCTCATCCCAAGTGTATGTTGATGTTGCTTCTAGAGTGGACCAGCCCATGATGAGTTTGCGTTGCTGCTGGTAAAGTAGAATCCTCCATCCTGAGTGTATACTGTTACTGCTAATGCAGACCCGCTCATGATGAGTTGATGCTGGCTGCTAGTAAAGTACCATCATCCACCATTTTTATGCTACTACTGATAAAGTAGACCCGCCCATGATAACTTGAAATATCAATTAGACCAAGTACTGTTTTGATTTTATCAAGAAAAGTGCAAAGAGTAAAGGAACTACAAACGCGTCAGCCGATTGTATTGGCTAAACGTTGCCCGGAAAGCACCACGAGGGGGTTCGTTTGCGCAAAATTCTGACCTAAATTGGAACTTCTTACTCACGTTGATACTTTACCTGTGCAAATGCTCCGGCTCTTTGTCCTGCCTTATTAAGCCTTATTAAGCCTTATTAAGCGAAGCCATGTTGGATTAACACGACGCAGATACTCATCTTTAACATTCCTTGATGGTCCCTTACCTTTGTGGTCGGCTGTCTCCTTGTGCGCGCCTCTTGCTGTGAGCCTGCCTTGAGGTATTTGTGAAACTGTTTTTTTTTTTTTCAGTCGAAGAGAGTGCGTGCCTTGCTATTATCTGCTTCAGTTGTTCGTTTTCGCTACTAGTACTACTACTAACGTTTGTATATATAGCAATAATATGTATGTATCTAGGAGAAGCTCGAGAATTACCCATAATAACGATTTATATAATATCATCTGTTTTCGTAGTACAGTTCACAGGTAAAATGAGCATACGTACAGTGGTTCCCCGTTTAATTTCACTTTCTCAATAAGAGTTTTTCTATACCCGCTTTAAGCATAGAACACTGCTTGAATTACGCTCGTTTTGTGTCAACCCTCAGTAATTTACAGCACTTTATAAACCCCCTTCAAGGTTGAAATTAAACGGGGAACCACTGTAGTACTACTTCTAGTAATGGTCGCCGTTGCAGCAACTACCGTTTATCGAGCCCACATTTTGTGCGCTTCTTCACGCACGAGCCACCACATACCAAAAAGATAACGTAAAAATCATAATCTCGTTGTCACCACTTTAATTCACTTAAAAGTCCACCAAGATATTAACCATTGTAGGCTATGCCATTAGAATTATGCATTGTGCCATATCCGGGTTGGAATCCCAAACGTCCAAAAATTACTGTTTGTTGTCGTTTGTAGCCTTTCGGACACCTAAAACGACCTTCGAAGGCTTAAATGGTATTTTGATATTTCAAAGATCGTTTCACGGGCCATGTCACGAAATATGGGTTAATGAAATGTGCTAGTCAACGGTATCACTAGTTTCTATAAAACACTTGAATACCCCAAATGCTACTACAATGCATGGAAAGAATACGAAAACAATAAAGCACAAAGAGCAGCTACAGAAACCTTACTCCAGTCCTTAAAAACGCCATACTGATCGGCGGACAGAAAGCAACACATACCAGATGCCCAAACACCCTCTCTGCTAATAGTTCCTCGCTTGCAAATGGCTTCCAACATCCATCACCAGCATCAGCAAAACATCCTAGCAACGACCCTATGCTTCTTCGAACAGCCACGTTTGACTTTGCCAGTGTTATCTAATCCAATGGCAGCAACAAACAATCATCAATACAGATAGATCACAGCTGCAGGAGCCAGAAACAGAACCGGCACCATCAGAAGCACCCACCAAGAAGCATCCTTGATGGTCTTCCCGCCAAGGTGTGCCAAATGGCGTTGTAAAACGTGCAAATCATCCGAATGTAGTAGCAAACTATCGTGCTAGATGTCCTCAGAACAGTCAGCAAAGTATCATAATGTCGCGACGAGTTTCTTTTTTTTTTGCGCAGATCTGTTTGCACCCAGTCTCTGCCCGGCCCCGGACTTTTATTTCGCTTCCCCCCCCCCCAACTCCACCGAGCCATTTCGTGCACACCACTTCATCCACATTCCTCAATCACAGATCGAATTGAAGCAATAGTCATCACAAGATTAAAGAAACGAAAGCATTAGCATCGGAACAAGTAACATAAAAAGAGAAGCTATAGAGTCAGTGTATGCCATTTTTTTACATGTGCCTTTTCAAGATAAATGGTCAGAAAGGAGACACACACACGCACAGTGCAGAATATTCTAATGTTTTATGCGTGGCTACATTTCATGGTAAATGGCGGTATACTTTGCGGGGACAGGTCAATTGGCAAGTCCAGATCTTTGGGATATAGTACGGTACAGCATGTCGAATTGATTGGTTGGAAAAGAAGTCTCAGGTACTTTCATGTGGCGCAAAAGAAAAATGATCTACGTGAGAAGGGCCCATTTAAGCTCTAGACTGCCTTTCCCACTACGCCCAACCCCCCCCCCCAACTCCCATTGCCAGTTTCCTAAAAGAGTGCAAAATAACACAAATGGAATACTCCACTCCCGCTTTCTCTTCCCTCTTCCCTCACTCTCTTCCTCTTTTCCTCCCGTCGCCGTCTTTCTCCTCGCTCAGTGCTTTCTTCAAACTACTTCTTCTTCTTCCTGCTGCTCACATTCAACTACACTCACCAAAAAATACCCATGCTGGGCAACAATAAAAGCTCCGAGGAAGATCGTGTGGAGCTTATCCAAGCCGAGGATCGACTATGGATCGACACTGATATTTCTACCGAACACGGACGACGATCGATGACGACGAAAACACCTGCTGTAAGATATATGCAAGAGTGCACACAACAGTAACGCCAGCCTTTCGCCGAAGAGATAACCATTTTAAACTCACCAACATCGTACCGTAATAATCTTTTGTGACCCATCGTTTTGCAGCAGAGCATTTGCAGAACCTGTGCAATATTCTGTCTTGTGTGTCTTTTGGTTATTCTTGGCATGATCATAGGGGCATGGGCCACCCCGTCCATTCTTTCTTCGAGCAGCGGCAGTAGCAGAACAGAAGCAACAGCGACGACTGAAACAGGTGAATTTAACTGTTTGAAGCCTAGCGCATTTCTTCTTAGTCTTTCTCGCCTGTGCTTTACTGTCTTTTTGTACTCATCCAAGGAAACGAGCCAATAGCACATCAGCAACATGAGCAGCAACGGCTTCAACCGAAACCACGTAATGTTGTTATGATGGTTAGCGACGGCCTTGGCCCTGCATCCGTTTCATATGCTCGATCATACTTTCAGCACCTCAACAAGCTTCCATACGATCATGAAATGCCTCTCGACACTGTACAGTATCTATTTTCTTTCACAACGGCTTGCGAGCTCCACTCCATCTAATAGGGATAAAACTGACTCTTTGATTCAACCCTGAAATTACTGCTGTTGCAGATACACGTCGGTCAATCCCGAACTCGCAGCTCATCCACACTGGTAACAGACAGTGCTGCAGGTGCAACTGCATTTAGCTGTGGGTTAAAAACCTATAATGGTGCCGTTGGAGGTATGTAAACATCATCTTGTCACCGTTTCGGGAACCCATTTAGAGTCACGAAAAACAGATGCGCGTGAAGAGGGGGTGTCAGGGATATGTAGCCTTAATCGTTTAGCATGTGTTTGAAATAGTGGACCCCATGGGTGACCCCTGTGGTACAGTACTAGAAGCAGCCAAACTACAACGTGGTATGCGGACAGGCCTGGTCGCGACTTCGCGCATCACCCATGCAACGCCTGCCTCGTTCTCAGCACACATCGGCGACCGCGATCGTGAAAACCAGATCGCAGTGCAACAAATTGGCAACACTCCATTGGGTCGGACACTTGACTTGATGTTTGGTGGTGGATTTTGTCATTTCTTGCCCAACGGCACAGAACAAAGTTGTCGGAAGGATGATCGCGACTTGTTTCAAGAAGCTCGGGATAAGCATGGTTGGCGGTCCGTATTCTACAACAATCGCACCAAATTTGATACAGAAAAGATTGAATTACCAGCCATTGCCTTGTTTGCTGACGATGTAAGCCTAAAGTAAACAGGTGCCCTTTTTAAGCTAAAGCAACTTGCATGAACTGATTGAATTACCTGCTTTTTTCTTAAATACAACTACTACTTAGCACATGAATTATGAAATAGATCGCGATCCAACTACCCAACCCAGTCTAACCGAAATGGCCGGCAAGGCGCTTCAACTTTTGTCTGGATCCGATGAAGGCTTCTTTTTGATGATTGAAGGAAGTCGGATTGATATGGCCGCCCACTCGTAAGTATCCAACTGTTTGTGTTTTGGTTTCACCTATACAAATTTGTGGCGTATGAGCTTATTTATAACTTGTACACAGTGAGTGAGTGATTGAGTGAGAGATAAACCTGATCGTCCCTGTGGGTTAATTTTAGGAACGACCCTGCAGGCCATTTGCATGATATTTTGGAATATCAAAACACCATTGCACTTGTCAAAGATTTTGTCGATCAGAATCCAGACACGGTCATGATCTCCACGAGCGACCACGAAACCGGCGGTTTGTCACTCGCTCGCCAAGTCAGCACAGCCTATCCTGAATATCTATGGTATCCGGACGTTGTTGCGAACGCTTCTCACTCCACAGTGTTCCTCGCCGACATGTTACACGACCAGCCGCGACCCGTGGAGGATCGCTATATCATAGAGACGATCCTCCAGAAAGGACTAGGAATAACGGATACTACATCAAAAGAACTGCAATGTCTGAAGACGACACCATCGATTAAGCAGTTGGACAAGTATCTGGCCGATATGCTTTCTATCCGGGCACAGCTGGGCGTAAGTAGCTGAACCCGTATAGATATTGAGACGCAATTAATAATTCCAAACATGTCCATGTAGTGGGCAACACATGGGCATAGCGCCGTGGATGTCAATCTGTATGCTTACGGTCCCCATGCCGACGAGTTGCGTGGTAGCCATGAAAACGTGTTTATTGGTGATTTTATCTCGAGGATGCTGGACTTGAATCTTACTGAGACAACGCAAAATCTGAACAAGTGAGTTTTTCATATACTAGCGGATTCGTTGTAAGCGCATCTATCTAATCGTCGGGTGTAATTCTTTTTGCAGAAACAACGACGGATTCCATGTGGTAGCTTTGTCGGATGACGACAAAATTGAATATACAAACCATTTAGATCGGTATCATTCAAATCCTGGTCTTCTTCATCACCTATCCTATGATTAAGAGCTCTTCTGTTTTATTTTTCAATTCCAATGCAATCCTTCATATCTTTTTGTACATTTTGCTCCTTCCTGTAAATTCTATAACGTTTTCAACACATATCTGCTACTCTACTCCATCCGCGTTAAAAAAACACTTACGGCGAACAAGTTTCCATCTCGTCTCGGAATGACCTGAAAGGGTCTTTGCTCGGCTATTATGTAAAGAACCAGCCCCTCGACCCCCTTCTCTTTCCCCTCCTCACACAGCAACCGTACAAGTAAAACATATTATCCCATTACGCATTGTATGCAATGAATGTAATAGATTGTAGTGGGTGGGTGAGGAAGCTTTATTATGCCTACCACTATCGCTCCACTGCTAGTGCGTATAACAGCAACATATATTATATCAACGCGCCCCCCATCCCCAACTATAATCATGTATTACCTGCAGCATCTTATTTAGACTGTGCTTTCAGAAGGCGCGCGCGCATCATCTTATGCAGCAGCTCATTAACAATTTGACGTGGATATTAGTGCTACATACGTTATTTACTTCAGCCCAGAAACCTTCTGTCTTTGATAGCTATCGTATAACTCACCTACTACTCACTAGATAAAAAATCATACGAAACTAGTACTAGAATTACTTTTTCCAACATAGTTGAACACAATCTTTTATTTCATTTAGAATGATTACAGCAGACGTTCCTCTTCTTGATGGATGATAGATGATCGATTTGCCTATCGAGGAAGCTGCACAGCCAATTAGATTAAAGCTGCTAATGGTACCTCATCAACATTATCACCGCGGCCATGAAGAGTTGCTCACTGTTATTCAAACACCACCTGCTGATTCGTACACTGCATGGTCGCACGCACACAGCTCACATGTAATGCAACACCTGCTCTTGCAAAAAGGAGAAGACGCCCGTCCATCAGTGCTCATATATCACCACTGACGACATTACGCATCCACAGCACAAGCATAAACGATAAACGAGCTCATGCAAGAGACAAAAAAAAAAAAAAAAAGAGCGCCCAATTTCTCCTTATTATACATCTGCTTCCAATATCTATTATCTGTGAGCTCAAAGAAGAAGGGCCACGTTTTTTAAATTAATTCTATGCGACGACTAAGCTGATAGGATGTCATTCATGTTAAATGACAGTGTTGATATAGTTCGGTTGTAACAGATAGAAATAAGCACTCCATCCACTTTATGTACTATTATGACTGCTGCATTGTTAAGATGCGATTGGTGAAACGTTCTCCATGTACCTGCATGTTAATCAATTTGTAGTTTGTTCTTGTCCTTGACCCGAAAAGAAAGAAAACGCCCAAATCATTCTGAAGGAACCGGGTTTATCCACTAATAGACCACTACAACGTGAATAGTTAAAAGCACTGCCTACTACTGCTCTTTCGCTACTCCTATATTTTTGGCAACTTGCTCATCATTTCCGCATAAAGATGCTCTGGTGTAACCAATCATCGTACTGATAAACATTCTTTATACACTTTTTAAAGAAAACAAAAACATACACACGGATCGATCGACGTTATGTTTTCGGTGATGGTAAAAAAAAAAGAAAAAGGTCGATGATGAGCGACAACAGTTTAATTCAGTTGTTGCTCTTGATGTTGTCAAGTGATAGCAAATAAATAAAGAAATCGATCGCACGCTAGCACCAAGGGATACCTGGGCGTCAGGGGCGGGGTGTTCCTGTACATTACCGTAACTTTTATGGGGTGCACGGGCCTTGAACCAAAATCGGTCCATTTGGTCACGATAGAAAAAAGAAATAGAGAAAACATTCTCAATAGAGCATACATTACTGCGACACTTCGCTTATAAATTCTTTTTAAGAAAAAAAAAATAGCAGGAAAGGATGGATGGTGCTGCATGTATGCGCTTATTAGCAGGAATTGCTTTTTCCGGATCTGCTGTGGCGAACGAATTTTCGTAGCTGTTGGTGCGTGTCTGCATAGAATATCAAACGTGATAATACTGCATTCAAACATCCTCGCAGCCCAAGCGGCATGTTTACAGGATATAAGTACCGGAGATGGGGACAACAACAAGAGCATACTAATGAACTGTCTGACTGATTGTTCAAATACAGTAATGATCAGTACAGAGTTTGCTGCAGTGAGTCCAGCATGAATGTGTGAGTTGTGTGGATCTGCTGCTTTGGTTGTACGAGATGATGTTTGGCGTAAATAAGTGTCAAAGCAGTTATATTGTCACGGTTATTACTGGCATGTATACGCAGTAATGATATTAAAGTGTTGCTCTTTCTTTTTATAGAGGTGCGATTATCCCTTGATTTCTTCTTTCCAAGGGGGCTTCTGTTGTTGTTGGATACAGGGCGCGCTCGAAGGATGAAGGACAGCAGCCAGGGGGGAGGGGGAAAGGAAACTGACCACCTTATATATTTTATATATAAAGGCACGGCCATTTGGGTTGCTCTAGAATTCTTTATTCACTCTCACTTTCCTTTTTGCTGTACATACTTCTCCTACGCTTGCACTTTCCTTTTCTTACTTCTTTTTTTTCTTACATCTTAATTCTTCCTTTTCGTCGTTTGATATGATGAACAACTATACCAACAGCACAATGACCGTGACAAACGCCCCCTTGGCAGGCTGGCTAGCCAAGCTGACGACGTTACCGTTGGGCCGGACTCGATGGCAACACCGTTTCTTTGTCCTGCTGGACTCGGAGCTTCGTTTCTACAAAGATGAGGTATGCATACATCCACATATCTCTGTTTCTTTTACACGCTCATTGTTTGCTGGCGTGTATATATATATATATATATAAACCAACTTTCTTCTAACGCGTCCTTATGTGTGTGTGTGTGTGGCAACTTATAGCACGCCGATTCGGCAACTCACGTCCTCAATTTGCGACACGTCCGGGATGTCGTCCAGATAGCTTTGCCAAACCACTCTTTCTGTATAAGGCTACAGCCCTGCTCGCCCACTGTAACGACAAAAACCAAGCCTTGGACTCTAGCATGCTCGTCTCAGGTAGATCTTGAGACGTGGATCAGGGCGTTACAAAAGCGACTGACAAGATCTTCTTGTCCTTCATCGCCTGCTGAGCAAGAAGTATCTGTGGGAAATCATAAAAGCCAGAAAAAGAAACGTCCGACCAACTCTTGGTTCAGCCAACCATCTTCCTCGTCTTTGCATAGCCATGATGGCCCCACCGACGACAGTAACGAAACGACCCAACAAGGCCAACAGAACAAAGAGTTTTACCACGCCATCACTTCATCGCACAACATCACTGTTCTACCACGTATACGTAAACAGCCTCCTCCATCACTTTCCCGGCGTCGAGGCATCTATCTCGCACCACTCGTGATTGAATCATCACCGTTTAGCAATACCAACAACAAAAACGACACCGATAGCGACTTTTTCGTACATGCGCTTTCGTCTTTTACGTCTTCATCAACCGCCTCCTCTTCGACAGATGAACTGATGCTGTTTCCCACACCACCTCCGCATTTACCATCGAACTGCGTTGATCCTAGTAAAGAGGAGCAAGAAGAAGGAGAAATCATCGACCGTGGAAGAAGTTTGTCCGCACCGGCCATTTTCCAAAAGCGCAAAGATGACGGTGAAACGTCACCCACGTTTCTTTTGTACAAGGAAAGATTTCACCTTTGCTAAATTTACCCCTCCTCTTCTCATCCCGTGCTTTGTATATCCTCAATCCCCACAATGTTTTCCTCCTACTACAGTACAATAAGACCACCTTGGAGACTACCAGCGTTCTATATACTAGCTGCTCATCACAACACCATTGCTTATAACATTATTTGTCCCTCCGTAAAATGTATTAAAAATAAAGCGTTAATAACTATGTTTCTGAATCTGGCAATCAAGTAAAGCAGTATAGTGCGAACATTGACCTGTTACTACATGCATGTTTGTTTTTGCATTGCATACAGCGGCTATTATCTGTGCATGCGCGTGAAATTGAGTTGCATGGCTGGATATCTTTGTACAATATGAAGCTGCTAATACACTAACCAAGAGGAAGCAGAGTAGTACCAGTAACTACCATTTATATTGCATTTGGCTTCTTGCAGTTTGAGTACTAACTGGTTATGTCCTAGCGGCGGTGAAGCTGGTTCACCTGCTGATGACATAAGACATTATGGTTATACACATTACACTTGCCCGAAAGAAAGAAGAGAAAACTAGAAGAAATTAACAAGGTTTGGCTAATTATGATATCGAAGATTTGTCAAAGTGATATCAAAGGCTTAGGATTTAACGGAGTCCTCAGTAGAAGTGTCATGGGTCATATAACTTACAGAATCTGATTACAGCTGTTTATCCATTCTATTGTCGTAATTTTTATATTGTAATTTGACAGCTACTACGAGCGAACATGTGGTCGTCGGAAATTCGTTCTACAAATGTTTCCATACTTATACCGTCGACTACAAAGTTTTTGACATCTCTTTACGAGGAACAGGAGGAGATCTGCTCGTATAAATGGGGTGTGTTGCTTTTAGTATATAGGCTGTTAACTTTAGCGCGTAAACCATATAGATGTGGGTCTAACATAATAAAGTGATTGAGTTGCTTTAGTAAACGTTAGAGGTAGTTTCCGGGGCTGACAAACCATACGATGGAGCCGTTTGCTGCATTATTGCAGATGATGTATCAGCGGCGCACGCTTACACGTTCGAGAAGAATCTTAAAAGTTAGGACAGAACCTGACTATATACTCATCTATGATAGTCGTTGTAATAGGAGCACAATGAAGGTAACCAAGACAAGAAGTACATTGTATCTCCGGTCTCCGGATGCTCCCAGAAGTCGCTGAGTTTCTACATGGGCATTCAGACTCCCACGTTATTAAAACACCAGGTACACCCAACCTCATATGACCATTCAAGAACATTTCATTGAATAGCAAAAGCCAAGTACTACATTCAGTATGAAATGCCAGTAACCTTTCATATTGCTTCCCATGTAAGCTGCAGTGATTGATTATGATCTGTATATTCGATCAAAACGCTCGGTGCGCTCGGGCTAAGGGTATAACCGCAGGTTTAAGAATGGCAAATCGGCGCTCCAATAAGATTGCAAGTTTTGTGATCGACTCGACCAAAGCTGTGGGCACTTTCCCATGGCCCCGATGTTGCTCAACGTTACGTGTGTTCTGGGATGAATAGCCCAAAAAAAACTTTCCCACTCACACTACAAAAACAGTTTCACGCCACTATGAGATATTGGCCGAGCGAATATTTTCCGTACATACACCATCCCATCAAGAAGGAAGGACCTATGTTATTGTCACAAGGCCGAGAAAGAGGAACACTCTTGCTGGCTTTCTCTTCCCCCCCCCAGCATCCAGCCAATCGGAAAAATGAGGACGAAGCAAAATAGGTTGGTGACACCAGGCCCACCACTTTTTTTACGATGTGTCCCGAGGTCGTGCAAATGGAGATATGCACCCCGCAACAAAGAGAGGAAATAGGCTGATCGGTGGAACATCCTCATCTCCAGCACCGTCATTCCTATTAGTGTTTATACATGCACAGTGCATGAGCAAGCGAAAGAGACTGTCACCCATCGCGCAGAGCATCGTTTCGCAGGATATGGGTCACAAAAGTGTCGTCCTGCAATGTTGCTATAATAAGCATTTTTGTAACGTGTCTTTTTTAATTCTGAATAGCATTTTTTGTGTGGAGTAAATGTTTTTTTTGGTGTTTGGTCCTCCCCCGCATTTGATTCCTTATATTTCTTTTTTGACTTTTTTTTTCTGTCTCCGTTTTTAGGCCTTTTTCCTCTTCCTTCCTCTCCTCCACACCGCTGTAAAAACTAAAACGTTACGAAGGCGATGGAGGGATCAACCGTACCGTCGTCTTCACCGCCCATTCCAACTACAAACACTGTCACCGCCACTGCTGCTGCTGCTGCTTCTTCTGCTACCACCACAACCACAACGACAACAGCGGCAGCAGCAGCGGCAGCAGCAGCGGCAGTAGCAGCAAATAACTTTCTGGCGTCACTGGCACCTGCACCTTCACCTCTGTCAACTTTATTTGCTGATTCGAACCCGAATGCCATGGACATTGACATTGCTGCGTCTATTTTTCCAACCACACCGTCTTCGCCCTTACCCTTTTCTCCGTCATTTCAAATGTCTCTTGAAAATGTTGTTCCGCCACCCAAGGTAACGCCGGTCCTGACACCAAGAGAGTCCCCCCGGAAAGAAGAGGATGCTGCCGCTGTTACTGCTGCTGCTGCTGCTGCTGCTGCTGCCCGCCCTCTTCCTCCTCCTCCTCCTCCTTCGATGATGGTACCTGCAAAGCGAGGCTACAAGTCGCATGTACCTAGTGCATGTAAGTTTTCTTTTTTTTCGTTTATAATTAAGCTTGCATGGAGCTATGCCTTTAAAAGCCACTCGCGCACACAACACCCCCTGATTCGGGCCTGAGCTGATCTTCTCATTTACCCTGTATAAAAAAAACACCAGGCATCAACTGTAAAAAGGCACACTTGGCTTGTGATGGTAAGTATCAAGGGTTCTCTTTAATTACTGTTTTGATGATGGGGCATATGGGTGGTACACATAAACCCGTTCCAATTGGACTTTAATTATTTCTCTACGCTACAGTGTCACGACCGTGCAAACGTTGTGTTGCGCTTGGCAAGACCGACACATGTCAAGACATTAAACACAAAAAGCGAGGAAGGCCACGATTACGGGATAAGCAAGCGTCGGGCGATGGACGGGGGAATGACAGTGGATACGAGGTGATGTACGGGACTATTCAGACGCCGAGCTTTACTGCCCAACCACAGCGGCCGCCCACACCAGCATCATCTTCGACAACTTTTACGCATCAACAGCCTGCACCACAGCAGCCACGCCCTGTTGTTCCTCTTAGAACCGCACAGGACGTCCAACAACAACAACAACAACAACAGCAACAGCAGCAGCGGCAACAAACCAGTACGATCTCATTCATTCATGAACCTATAGAATCTTTTCAGCAACTTTCTCACGAACCGCACCACTCTCCTGTTGTTCAGCAACAGCAACAGCAAGAAACTCCAAGTCCACCCCACAGTGATGGAAGCTTCTTACAACAGCCGGTGCAGTTGATTTCCCATATCCCCTTTGACGAGCTACTCCGCGACAGCAACACCATGATGCAGCAATACATGGTTCCGCCGTACATGACAATGCCTTTGCAGCATCAGAATTTCAGCCAGCCTGAACAACAGCAGCATGCTCCTGAGACCATGAGTCTCCAGATGAAGATGGGCAATGCATTTGCGCAAAGACCGACTAGTTTACCGCTAGCAACGCCTCCTCCTCCTGCTCCTCCAACAGTTTTTCCTTCTCACCAGCACCAACAAGTTCAACATCATCAACCTCAGCAACAACAACAGCAGCAGCAGCAGCAGCCACAACAGTATCAGGTTCACAACCAACAACCGACTAAAAAGCAAAACGATGTCGTTCAAATCGAACATACTGAAAGACAGGCGGACCAACAACGGACAAAAGAAAGCAACACGGTCAAGCCAGAAGAACCCCAGTCTGTCCCGGATTGCCGGTTGAGTAACAGCGCCAGCAGCAACAGCAAAGATAAAGAGGGGGGCGATAACAGTGCGGTGACAGTCATCTTGTCAATGGAGGTATGCTGTGCGCGCGTGTCCGAAGAAGTCACCGGGATGTGGGGCTACTACCCGCAGGAATTTGCGCATCGGTCACTGTACGACTTTATCTCTCCCAACGATACCGACAGATTAGCCAGGTTGCATCGGCTATTGCTGGACAATGTTGTTGATGTGGCCAAAAGCACCGAACCGCCGCCGCAGACTGAGCGTACTACTTCCGAATTGTTCCACAAAATGGATCAAGACCAACTAACGGCGGTTGCTTCTGGATCAAGCACCTTTTCGGATACTCTGCATGTCAAAAAGCGGTCTGGAGAGGAGGAGTTGTACGAAATGGTTGTCTGTATGGGTGGAGGTCTTGGTGCAGACTTACATCAACCATCCAGCCATTCCAAGCTTTACATAATCGCACAGTTCCGGAAGCATCGGTATGAGGTGTCGACTCTGAACCCTTTCAGTACCAATAGTGCCGCTGTGGCATCGTCGTCGTCGTCGTCGTCGTCGTCGTTAGCATCTTCGTCGCGTCTCATATCGAGCAGCTTCAGCCAAACATCATCGTCACCAGTGGCAAAAAGCAATAATGACAAAGGCAATCGCAGTCCTAAAAGTGATGCAAAACCATCCATCAACAACAACAACAAGTCATCGCTATCCAACAATAATTCTGGGCTGAAAAGGGGCAACGCCTTTTTCAAATCCAATCCGCCATTTCGGCATACTATGGCGAGAACCATCACCGACATTGGCCGCGGGGGTCCATCGATGGATATCCGGTCACGGTCAGCACTGCCGGCCCATTATGCCACATCCTCCCAGCTCAGCCTCCAATGTGAAGAGCTTTTAGCACTCGCTGGATTATCTCCCTTCAGCACAAGGGTTGAATTTAGGTAAGAGAGAGAAGAAAGAAGGTACCACAGAACGCTAGAATTGTGCATCATTGTGTACATACATGACCTGCATACAAAAAGAATCCATTCGCTTCGATTCGGAACAATACTCTGTGATACCTAGACACTTTGCTTCATCATCAGCCAAACCACCTAGAAAAATATGCCAAGCAACCGCTGTGATGGTGACAACCCCCGTTGACATAGTAACAAAACACAGCCATAGCACCGAGGCGTTGTTACGGTACCTACATACATTAAAAAGTGAAAGAGTTCGTTTGCAAATTTGAAGGGTGTGGTTTATAAAAAAGATAAGCCCAAATTTTTATATGAAGACAAGAGAAAAAAAAATGATGGAGGTGTTGTATGTGTATGTGTGGAGTGCATATCCGACATTTGTTGGAAAAAAAAAAAGAAAATACAAAGAGCTAAATGGGAGGAAACTGTTCTCTACAGCAAAAGGTTGCGTTATCTTTTTTTTTTTCTTGTTTGTAGCAAACAACATGATACAATCCGATTTGGAAAAGAGAGTAAATTGGAAGAGAGAGAGAGAGAGAGAGAGAGAGAAAGAGAAGGAGAAGGAGAATGTGGGGGCGTTTTACAGAATATGCAAAAAGAGGAAAAAGATGGGGAAAAAAGAAGTTGTAAGTATATAAAAGATATTATGAGATAAAGAGCTTTTTAATATATGTGTGAGAGTGTGTATATGCAATCTTTTTTCTTTTAAGACTGCTTGCACTCGGGAGCATTTTCACCCTTGGCGGCGGGAGCAGTGTCATCGTCATCGTCGCTCTCGTCCTCATCATCGTCATCTTCTTCAGAGTCCTCCTCATCATAGAAATCATCTTCAAAGTCATCGTCACCTTCAAAGTCTTCGTATTCCAGAGCCTTGCCAGTAAAGTAGTCAACGGCATGAGGGATGATCTTGTCCTTGAATTCCTCACCTATTGTTTTCGCGAAAAGTGAGAAATTAGCCCTTCTTATGTCCACTCCTGCTGTATTTTTTCATGCAAAAACAAAGAATGAACAAAAAAACTTACCCATCTCGTAATCAGCCTCTAACTTGGCATCCAAACCTTCTGCCTCTTCTTCATCAAGTTCTTCGTTCTCACCAGGGAAGACAGGTGGGCTGAAGAAAGTGAAGAAGGTATCTGCTGGAACGGTGCGCTTGACAACACGGGTCTTGTTGGTACCTTTATTTTAAGAAAATGATGGAAGCATCCATGTTAGAACGGATAAAGGGCTTTTCGACACCCACTGCAAAAAAAAACTCAGAGACACAAACAAACGACTTACCCTTGTGACGTTGCTTCTTGGTCTCGACAGTGACAGTCAAGTCCTTTCCCTCCTTCCAGGTGATCTTGGCACCTTCTGCGTGGTCATAGACAAAGTCACCACCCTGGGCATGTTCTTGGTAGTAGTAAGTCTTGGTGAGGGTCTTGTCGGTAAAGTATTCGTTTTCACTAAACTCAAACTCGAGCTTGAAGCCGGGCTTTTCCATGTAAGACATGCGGACATCGACCAAATGCTTCAAAGCATCCTCATCCGTATCGGTGATGGACTCGCCAATTTGAGGATGGTTTTTCAAGGCAGTCAACCAGAATTCGGGAATACCGGTCACATCCTTTTCATCATCGTCTTCCTTTGCTGCTGCTGGTTGTTGTTGTTGTGCCTGTTGTTCTTCATCGGCTTGCTCCTCCTCATCAACCTTCTTGCCAGCCTCAACCTCTGCCTCCGTAGGCTCGTACTTGCCAGAGACAACCTCGGCACGCTTGGCATACAATGGCTTGTACAGCTCCAAGTATTTCTTTTCCAAAGCCAACACTTCTTCTTGGAACTTGCCCTCAAGCTCGGCGTGCTGCGACTGCAAGTATTTCAAGCCGTTGATGCGGCGCTTGACGGGTTCGGGAAGTGATTCAATGTATCCGGACGATTGGCCGACGAGCGAGCCAAGCTTGCCTTGCAACATGCTGATCAGGGCCGGGTTGCTGGTGAATGCACCAGCCAAAGCGTTCGACTTGCCAGAGGCGCCTAATGAACAGTATATCCATCAATATTTTTTTTCCATATATTTATTTGGGGTATAGAGCAAACAAAAGGAAACTATTTACTAAAAACGAGTCCCGTGCCCAGATTACACTATCAAAGAAAACGTATACAAAATAAAAAAAGTGCCCCAACTTACCAGGTGTAGTGATAGTCTCCATGTCTTCGGAAATGCTAGAAATGTTGGGGCGATAAGTGGAAGTAATAGGTGCTGGGTTGATGGGTGTGTTCTGAGGTGTGGGTGCTGTGGATTGCTCCGATTTAGAGTTCTTTATATCAACGTTGGAAGCTACTCGATATAAAAAAAAAGGTTGAGGTTTTGCAAAAGAATTGAGTGAGTGGAATCCCAGTTGAAATTGAGTTTGTGATACTGATTTTATAAATCATTACCTGATTGCTGATCCATAAGAAGAGGAAGAGGAGAAAAAAAAAGACGGGGATAAGCGACCAAAGAAAAAAAAAATTTAACAGAGTCGCTTGGGGCTGAGAGAGAGAGGAAAGTTGGAAGAGCGTGCCAAGCGCGAGAGAGAGTGCGAGCGAGCGAGCGAGAGTGTTGGCTGGCTGGGCGGGCACCGAATTTTTTTTTTCGTGACTACATGTTCCCCAACCGTTAGATTTCTTTGGTGGGATTATAAAAAAAAAAAATTGATATACCCTCACGCAAGTAGTAAGTCAAAAGGTCAAAAAAAAACAGAAACTTGGAGAAGAAAGTTGTTGTTGTTATTGTTATTATTATTATTATTACTGTTCTTTTTCTTTTTCCTTCAGGGAGGTTGATAGAAAAGAGCGAGATAATGTGGGATGCTAGGGTTTTTTTTCCTTCTTAACGCCCTTGATCTCTCTTTTTTCGTGTGTGTGTGTGTGTGTGTGTGTGTGTCTGATTGAGATTGGCATATTGTATTTTGCGGGCCAAATATTGGGGGACACGATAAACTATCCCCAAGAAAATTCAAAACACGCTACTCAAAGTCGTCGGTTCCATGATCAAACAGATAGTTCGCGGCCAATTCTTTACAAAGTAACATTTCGTATAAGTTATGCTTATTTTGTATATCCCGAGCCAATTAAAAAAAAACACCCTTTGCTTTTTTTACCTTCATTCTTATCGCATGCAAAGTATGCTTCGATAGCTTGCGCCCGATCAAAGCCCAGACCTTCCAGCTATTTCATTTCGTCTGTGTGTCAGAGAGTCAAGTCCCAACTTTACCCACTTAATATCTCAACAACTTACTCGGTCAATGGCTTCCTTTTCCTCTTGAGTCACCTATCAATTTGTGATATGTCTTCTTTCTCAGTATCCATTTCTTCTGACTTTTTTGTTTCTTTTCCCCTTTTCTAAAAAAACTGCTCCTGCTTTGATAGTAGCACTGCTTTAATGCAAACAAAGAGTACCTGAATAACTTGCGATCCTTGTGGAACACCGCCACCTTCTGCATCATCAACACCTTCCATCAACATTTGGAAAAAGCTCTGTGGGTCGGCATTAATCTGTCGGAGCAGCTCGGGGTTGGCAGCTCCCAACTGTTGAAGCAACGGCTGTAACATGGCCGGATTGCTTTGCACCAGTTGTCTCAGTTGCTGAAAGTGAGGCGTATTGCGCAACTGTGAAAAGTCCACGCCACCACTCGCGGGTTGTTGTTGGGCTTGCTGCTGAGCTTGTTGAGCAGCTGCGAAAAGGTTTTGAGGTTGGCCTATATTCCATCGAATATTTAATAACTGATCATGCCCAAGACTCTTTTAAATACCATTTCCAACTTACCAGTAGCACCTGCACTAGGTGAAGCAGGCGTTGCACTTTGTTCGCGTTGCTGAGACTGCTGTGGTGATGACTGTTGTTCTTGTTGTTGTTCTTGTTGTTGGCCAGATGGCGTATCTTGCTGTTGCTCTTCAGCAAGCAAATGGTCAGGAATACCATTAAACAGATATTCCACAGCTCTATCCGGGTTGTTGAAACTCGCTCTTAAAGCGCGTTTGATCTGTTCTCTCTCAAATCCCATTTCCATCATGTTTTGGATCGCACTTTCGTATTGATCTCCTGTCACTGTATGGAGATAAAACGCGTACGTTCTTAGTGCATGGTGTATGTTATCCACAGTTTAAATCACTTTACCAAGCTGGTTAACCGTATTGCGTTCCCCATCACCACCAGCAGCGGCAGCAGCGGTCGCTGTGCTGTCTGTTGTGTTTGCAGCAGGTGCAGCAGTTGTAGTACGGGTCGTAGAAGTGGCTGGAGTTGCCGTAGCAGGTGCGGCAGCAGGTGCAGCTGGTGTGGGGGCCGTCATTGCTTCGAGCACGGCTTCTTTCTTGGGTGTCGCAGCAGCAGTAGCAGCAGACGATGACGATGCGGATCCAGCCTTAGGCTACCCAAATTGATACACGTAATATAAACACATCCTCATTAACAAAAATGAAAGAACCTTTCCCTTCGTTTTCTCTTAATCAATAAAAAACAACCAGGTACCGTACCTTGGAAACCATCAATACCAAGAAACCCTTCTCGTTGATACCGCAGTCTTCAACCTTTTTATCGTCGGTCAAGATCTTGCCTATTCATACAAAAAAAACCCATAATTCCTCCCCCACATTCAGTTCTCTCTCTATATTTTTATCGTTTCTTTTTCTCTCTTTGAGAGGAAAGTGTGTGAAATTGTAAACTTTACCAGAGTAAATGAGTTTCTGTTGAGCAACGTCATGACCTTCCGATTCCTGAATTTTTTGTTTTACTGAAAGAATCTAAAATGTTTCCGTTGGCAGACAAACGAAAATGAGCAAAGTGCTTTTTTATGGGGGGTTGCGTAAAGGACTATAGTTAAGAACACGTTACCGTATCGCTGCTTTCGACGTCCAACTTGAATTGCTTCTGTTGAAGCGTCTTGATGTTCAATTGCTATTCCATAATCATAGTGCGGTTTTTTTTTAGCAAACTTGCTCCTTTTTTTTTTCGTTGATTTGAGAAGTTGTCTTACCATGGCTACCATGGTCTACGTGTGTGTGTGTGTGCGTGTGTGTGTGGTAAGAATATATAGAAAAGCCACGGTCCGAACAGGTGAGAGGGAAAAAAGGGCGACGCATTACACCGCAGTTTCGTTATTCATCAAGAAAAATTACGTCAGAGAGTTTTCAAGTACCGACAGCAACGCGTCGCAACTACACTTTTTTTCAAAACAATTTGGACACTCCCCCCAAAATGAACTGTACACCGCGAATTAAGTTCGGACGGATTTTCGGACACTTTCTCAAAACCATTTGGCTCTCTTTCTCAAAATAAATTGGAACATTTTACCTTAACTGTTTTTTTGCATAACTTCATGGAGTTTGTTTATGAGGACGGGCATGGAAACGCCATAGACGAGGCAGGTCATCATGTTTTAGAGATGGAAGTTGACGAAAACGAGTATCCTTTGGACAACATAACGGATTTCGACGTGTACATGACCCAAAAGCCGCCTGAGCGACAGAAAAAAAAGGGGCAGAATGAGGCAGCACGCAGCGCGACAACGACCAGCAGTTCCAACACAAATAAGAGGACATATAACTCGTACTCAGATAAGCAGAAGGAGCAGTTCTTTTTTTTTTTTTTACCATGAAAAGCAGCTCTCGGCTGGCAAAGCTGGTGCCAAGCTTGGCATACCGCGCTCAACAGCTTATAGTTGGCTAAAAAAGGATGAAAACGACCCAAGCGACGAGATCCAGCCGCGCAAAGCGCCAGAGGCAGGTGGCGGCAGACCAAGACTGTTGAATGAAACGCATCGGCAACACTTGACGGCTTTCATTGACGACAACGCGTCCGTCACCTTGGATCAAATGATGACAAGCCTCACGGAACAATTTGATGGTCTCAAGGTCTCTGAGTCCACCCTGTACAGATTTGTACACAATCACTGCAACATCACGTTCAAGAAGGCACATTTGCACTCTAAAGAAAGAAATAGTCTTGAAAAAATACAAGGACGATACGACTGGGCAGCTGAAATGAGACAAACCGACATGAATTTTACGAGCAACTGTGTCTTTATTGACGAATCTGCTTTTCATATCAACCTCAAGCGAACCGGAGCCTGGTCAAAGAAAGGAACACGTGCTGAAGTGACCGTGCCGCAGACAAGGTAAGAAAAGGTACGCGAAAAAGCAAGAAGAGATGCGTGAAGTAAATAACGCGTCTGGTTAATGGTTACTTTTAGGGCAAAGACGACGACTATCCTTGGCGCTATATCTGCTTTTGGTGTGATCAACGTCAAGGTGCGACGGCCCTATCAACCGTCAAAGAAGCGCAAGGCAGTTGGATCAACAACCACGAAACGACCTGGCACCGTAACGGGTCATTATTTCAATTTTATCGCCCACACGTTAGACGTCCTCGATCGCCATCCACAGATGAAAGGCAGCTACGTCATCATGGACAACGCCCCGATACATACGACAATGGATATTCACAAGGCAATTGAGAATCGTGGCTATAAATGCGTGTATCTCCCGTCGTATTCTCCCGAGCTAAACCCCATCGAACAATTCTGGATGGTTTGCAAGAGCAAGCTTAAGCGTGAAAGGTTCCTTGATGAGGAAACTCTGTCGTCGCGTATTGCAGATGCTTGCAATCAAGTGTTCATTGCGGATATTCAGGGATTTTGTCGCTACTCTGCTGCTAAAATTGAAGATTGCCTGAACAAGATACCTCTTTAAAAAAGTGTCCCAAATAAAAATGTACCAAGGTGATTGGTCAAAATGAAGGTAGCTGGAGGTAGCAAACAGTTCAACAAAGATTGAGGAGCGGTGGTAAGAGGTGGTTAGCCCCAAAAAGGCAAAGCAGTCCTCTAACCACCTCAGGTAGTTAGAGGTGGTTAGAGGTAGTTAGAGGTAGTAAGACTTTTCTTTTTGCCTTGCCCCTTTTTTTTTATGAAACCAGGACAACAACAGAACCAACAATAGAGCAGCCTACATCAGCAGAGGTCACAACAACAGAACCCAAACTTGCCATTTTGAAGTTTAGTTGTTATGTTTGTCGAAAAACATTGACCCGGAGACAGCATTTACGATCGCACCTGTTATCGCACCAAATCAGTTTGAAGGCACCACCGCAAGGAAGAATGCGCTTTGACGATGACCAGTATACTTTTGTGACACAAATGAACAACACTTCACACCATTCAATCCTGGCACGTTATGCCTGTCCGTCTTGCCCTGGACACTTTTCAAGCCTGACTGAATTGAAGATCCACATTGAAAATGCAGAACACTCACAGCCGTCCCAACCAAACAGTAGTGCCGACACCCAAGAAAACGAACAAGCACGACCAGAGAAACGACAGCGTGCTTCAACATCAGCAAGTGTACAGATAGCAACAAGCAACAAAGGGATTATTACGTTTTCAGCAACATCGTACTCGTATGAAGCAAACTTGCCAAAGTTTCCACAACAAGTCCTTGATATGCTTGAGCCCATCGTATCCATCAATACATCCGTTACTCAACAATCGACTTTGGAGGTGCTCAAAACACTACCACCCGTGCACAAACTCCTCCTCGATGCCCTCGATCAGAACTTGGAAGATAAAGGAGATGCTGCATTCTTTTTTTTATTTGTAACTCATTTTGGCGGGGAACGGAGTTCAACAACAACACAAGGGTAAAGGGAGGCTAATAACAACACAAAGGGAAATGAATGAAGAAAGGTAATTGGAGAGTATATCAGAGAAAATAGAGTAAAGCAAGAGAGGTCAGGCGGATGATCGAAACTTTTAAATTTAAAATATGAGCATAAGTTTATATTGAAATTGAATAGATAATTTTGAATATAAAAGAGAAACTTTAAATAAAGAAAGCAACATTTTATTTTTGTATGAAGAATCAACATTTTATTTATAATTTTTTGATTTTAATCAATATAACTTTATCCGAAAAAAATTTCAATCTTCCAAAATAAATATTGGACTAATAGAAGATTTAGTACATCCGCCTCATCAGTGGCAAACGGAGTAAATTCGAGACTATCAGAGGCAGTTGCGAATCATGTCGGGGCCAAGCACTTCTACTTTGCTGGTCTCTTCATCATTCAATGACTCTAAATTGGCAACTTGTTATTCCAAAGACTTCAAAAGCAAGGCCAAAAGTTCGAAGATTTGCAGCCAATTGTTCCGTTGAGCGAAATTTGTGGGTATGGGGTTTAAACCTACAATTATTAAACATAACATATTTAATAGTTTAATATTGATTAATGGTTCAAAAATAATTTTATATAAATGTGTTTTTTTTAATAATAATATATATTTTTATATACTAAATTATTATATTTATTACCTAGCAACAAAAAAAAAAATAAAAAAAATTCTAAAAAAGGTAATAAACATTATTTTTTTAAAAATTAAGATTATCCATAATATAATTTGCAAAAGCAAATATAATTGTGGAATCTTTATTTTTATTACTTTATATAGTAATTTTCCTTGTTGGTAGGGAGAAAATTAAAAAAAATTATCGTTAGGATTTTACTATTATATTTTTACTTAATTTTTATAGAAATGATGTTTTAATAAATCACTATAGAACCTATTTATTTAATTTTAAACTTACATACTTTTTTTTTAAAAATTGAATTTTGATTTAATATATGAATTAAATATCAAAATATAGGATAAATAATAATTATAGATATTTAATTTTGGTATTTACCTAAGGTTATAAGTTTTCCCTGATTGCTTAATAAATAAGTTAAAAGAACGGTTTTTTACAAATTTCAAAATGGTATTTGATGAATATAATAGCTCACTAAATAAAGATGATATTTTAAAATATAAGACATTATTACAGGAAGAGATAGATAAATTGATTATAAATGAATGGGGATTTATAAATGAAAATTGGAAAAAAAAACAAAATAATTATAAACATCGAACAGAATTAAAGTATATTAAAGAAATAGATGAAATTAAAAAAGAATTATTAAATAAATTAGGATATACTTCAGTATTTTTCTTTTTAACTAAATTATATACACATAAAGATTATCCTACACCTTATTTTGAAATTGAAAAAGGTTTATACTTAATATATCATCTTGTATCAGGTATTACTAGTAAAGATATGAAACGGAATATACCATATACATCATTTTATAAGTTTTATAAAGAATTTTGGATTACAAATTATGATAGTTTGAATAAATATGTAGATTTATGTCTAAAGAATATATTTTCTAATATTAAAATAAGAGTTTATTCTGCATTAATAAAAAACCCTAATAATTTTAAAAATATTACTTTAATGCTTGATGGACATGATAGTACTATAGAATATGATAAACCAGATATTTCATTACAAAAAAGATGGTCATATAAATTAAAAACATCAGGTTTAAGAACACAAGTATTAACAGATATTAATAATTTTGTAATTGCAATTTCTGATAGTGAGTTATGTGGTAAAAGTTCAGATGGTGGTATGTTTTTAAACATGAAATTATATACTAAAATAGATAAAAGAGATGTTTTAGCTATTGATGGAGGATATACATTATTTGTTAAACAGTTTGAAAATTTATGTCAAAAGAAAGGTATACCATTAAATGATAATAATTTCTTTTATCCTATTAGAAAAGACCCTAAGGAAGAATTAAATAAACAAGAAAGACACTTTAATGATATATTTGGTAGCTTTAGGTCAGCTATAGAAAATCAATTTTGTGAATTAGGAAATAAATTTAAACGATTTTCTAATAACAATTCTACATTAAAAACAGATGATTATAAATATGTTAACTTGCAAATAAAAGTAGCATTCTTATTAAAAAATATACAATTATTTACAGATACATTTAATATCATTACACAAGAACATCATAAACTTTGGGCTGAAAAAAATTTTGAATTTCCTACAGATGAAAAATTAATAGATATAGTATTAAATAATGAAATAAAGCAAATGGATAAAATTAAAATAATGACTGAATTACAAAAAGATTTTTCAGATTTACTATTAGAAAGTGATAATATGATTATTGATGATAATAATAATGAAGAATGTGATAATAATAATATAATTGAAAATAATGAAGATGTAGATTTTCCTGAATATAAAAATATAAATAGAAAAAAAAGGAAAAAAGGTAAAAGTGAAAGAAAAATCAATTTAAACTTAATTAGAGAAATTAATAAAAATAATAATTTTTATGAAATTGAAACAATTATAGAACATAAATTAAATAAAAATAATGAATATGAATTTCTTGTTAAATGGAAAGATTATGATGAAAAAGATAATTCTTAGGTTAATGAGAAAGATTTTAATGAAAAACAATTATTAAAAGATTATTTTAAAAATAAAAATATTAAGTATTAAATCAACTAAATTTATATAAAATTATTATTATAATGTTTCTAATATTTATGTTTAAATCATTAAATGTTGCAGGTTTCATAATTTTGTTATTAATTCCTAGGATAAGGATTAATTCTCTATGTGGGCGGTTTGAACTTGTCTGTACGCGAATTTTTTGCGATTGTCAAATTGAATTTCTGACAGGACGAGGCATGTTCGAATTGACTGAATGGCGAAGATTTTTGTCTGCTGCAAGGTGTTGAAGCTGGCATTGGGGTAAGCGTTGGCAATTCCTCGGAGCATTGCCATCATGCTACTGATCTGTTTCACACTGTCATCCATCGTCTTTGGTATGCGTTCCTTGTGTTGTCCACTCGATGCTTCCATAATCAGTCGCTCTTCGCCACTCCAGTCGTAACCCAATCCGTCAGCGTAACGGGGTCGGCCTTTCTGCCAAAGTGCTGGATCCATTTCTGATAGTGCAGAGTGTCGGGTTTCGCATTCGCACCAGTCAAATGCTAAAAGATTGGTTTGGTTCCCGAATGCTTGAAAAATTGGTACCACGCGCCGTACCCACCATGAGCGTTCGTAATCCTTCGAAGATGGTGTTGCGATAGTCGGTGTGCAGTCGCTTGCAAAGTTTGTCAAGACAAACCTAGCCGTATTCCAAAGCTTAGTCTCTTGCGTTGTCATTCTCTCATCTCTAGACTGCATCCAGAGCCACCGGGGTAGACCTTCCAAGTTCTGATCGAGGGCATCGAGGAGGAGTTTGTGCACGGGTGGTAGTGTTTTGAGCACCTCCAAAGTCGATTGTTGAGTAACGGATGTATTGATGGATACGATGGGCTCAAGCATATCAAGGACTTGTTGTGGAAACTTTGGCAAGTTTGCTTCATACGAGTACGATGTTGCTGAAAACGTGATAATCCCTTTGTTGCTTGTTGCTATCTGTACACTTGCTGATGTTGAAGCACGCTGTCGTTTCTCTGGTCGTGCTTGTTCGTTTTCTTGGGTGTCGGCACTACTGTTTGGTTGGGACGGCTGTGAGTGTTCTGCATTTTCAATGTGGATCTTCAATTCAGTCAGGCTTGAAAAGTGTCCAGGGCAAGACGGACAGGCATAACGTGCCAGGATTGAATGGTGTGAAGTGTTGTTCATTTGTGTCACAAAAGTATACTGGTCATCGTCAAAGCGCATTCTTCCTTGCGGTGGTGCCTTCAAACTGATTTGGTGCGATAACAGGTGCGATCGTAAATGCTGTCTCCGGGTCAATGTTTTTCGACAAACATAACAACTAAACTTCAAAATGGCAAGTTTGGGTTCTGTTGTTGTGACCTCTGCTGATGTAGGCTGCTCTATTGTTGGTTCTGTTGTTGTCCTGGTTTCATAAAAAAAAAGGGGCAAGGCAAAAAGAAAAGTCTTACTACCTCTAACTACCTCTAACCACCTCTAACTACCTGAGGTGGTTAGAGGACTGCTTTGCCTTTTTGGGGCTAACCACCTCTTACCACCGCTCCTCAATCTTTGTTGAACTGTTTGCTACCTCCAGCTACCTTCATTTTGACCAATCACCTTGGTACATTTTTATTTGGGACACTTTTTTAAAGAGGTATCTTGTTCAGGCAATCTTCAATTTTAGCAGCAGAGTAGCGACAAAATCCCTGAATATCCGCAATGAACACTTGATTGCAAGCATCTGCAATACGCGACGACAGAGTTTCCTCATCAAGGAACCTTTCACGCTTAAGCTTGCTCTTGCAAACCATCCAGAATTGTTCGATGGGGTTTAGCTCGGGAGAATACGACGGGAGATACACGCATTTATAGCCACGATTCTCAATTGCCTTGTGAATATCCATTGCCGTATGTATCGGGGCGTTGTCCATGATGATGTAGCTGCCTTTCATCTGTGGATGGCGATCGAGGACGTCTAACGTGTGGGCGATAAAATTGAAATAATGACCCGTTACGGTGCCAGGTCGTTTCGTGGTTGTTGATCCAACTGCCTTGCGCTTCTTTGACGGTTGATAGGGCCGTCGCACCTTGACGTTGATCACACCAAAAGCAGATATAGCGCCAAGGATAGTCGTCGTCTTTGCCCTAAAAGTAACCATTAACCAGACGCGTTATTTACTTCACGCATCTCTTCTTGCTTTTTCGCGTACCTTTTCTTACCTTGTCTGCGGCACGGTCACTTCAGCACGTGTTCCTTTCTTTGACCAGGCTCCGGTTCGCTTGAGGTTGATATGAAAAGCAGATTCGTCAATAAAGACACAGTTGCTCGTAAAATTCATGTCGGTTTGTCTCATTTCAGCTGCCCAGTCGTATCGTCCTTGTATTTTTTCGAGACTATTTCTTTCTTTAGAGTGCAAATGTGCCTTCTTGAACGTGATGTTGCAGTGATTGTGTACAAATCTGTACAGGGTGGACTCAGAGACCTTGAGACCATCAAATTGTTCCGTGAGGCTTGTCATCATTTGATCCAAGGTGACGGACGCGTTGTCGTCAATGAAAGCCGTCAAGTGTTGCCGATGCGTTTCATTCAACAGTCTTGGTCTGCCGCCACCTGCCTCTGGCGCTTTGCGCGGCTGGATCTCGTCGCTTGGGTCGTTTTCATCCTTTTTTAGCCAACTATAAGCTGTTGAGCGCGGTATGCCAAGCTTGGCACCAGCTTTGCCAGCCGAGAGCTGCTTTTCATGGTAAAAAAAAAAAAGAACTGCTCCTTCTGCTTATCTGAGTACGAGTTATATGTCCTCTTATTTGTGTTGGAACTGCTGGTCGTTGTCGCGCTGCGTGCTGCCTCATTCTGCCCCTTTTTTTTCTGTCGCTCAGGCGGCTTTTGGGTCATGTACACGTCGAAATCCGTTATGTTGTCCAAAGGATACTCGTTTTCGTCAACTTCCATCTCTAAAACATGATGACCTGCCTCGTCTATGGCGTTTCCATGCCCGTCCTCATAAACAAACTCCATGAAGTTATGCAAAAAAACAGTTAAGGTAAAATGTTCCAATTTATTTTGAGAAAGAGAGCCAAATGGTTTTGAGAAAGTGTCCAATTTGGTTTTGAAAATCCGTCCGAACTTAATTTGCGGATTTGTTCTAATTCAAATACCGCATTGTGTACAGCTCATTTTGGGGGGAGTGTCCAAATTGTTTTGAAAAAAAGTGTAATTCTAATCATTATAGCAGTAATAGTATCATACAGTACTAGTAGTGGCAAAGTAAGTATTTAAGGCAGATTGGCAAGCATTAGTACTGTAGTGAGGAGCGTCGCCATGACTACCACGAGTCACCGCCACCACTAAACTACATCCTGGTAGCTACGAAACCGGTGACAATTTAATTCAACAACGCCACTGGGCGTTTTAAAGCATATGGCGGGTGGCGAACATGGTCAAAAACGTAATATCGTGAGAAGAAGAAGAAGGTGGTCCAGCCTAATAAGAAATATTCAAAGGTATGATGCGATTTGATGAGATGTTGGAGTTGTTTGCCAAGAAAAAGCTTCTCTACATTCCCCATTACTTGTGAAGCTTGCTTCGAGTGGGGAGCTTTATAGGCATGAAAATAATTGTAGGGTGCATACTACACAGTCAAGAACAATATTAGAACCATGGCGACCAGCATCATTTAGACAAAAGGCGTGATCGTATCATTAAAAATCAAGCCGCCAAATGCATCGGCAACATTGCTTTCTTTGATAAGAGAGAGGATAGGAATATTGTTATGATTGTGGCTCTCTTTTCCACCCCTCCCCCCCCCCTGATATTTTGTCCCTGTTGTCACCGGGTTGGAATTCGTTTTCGTTGACAAAAAAAAGTGTTACACCATGATTATTAGATCAGCATTATACCAAGCAGCATTCTTTTTCTTTTGACGAATGGACCGCATGACGAGAAGAAGGTCATTCCCCCCCCCTCCTCCTTCCTTTCCATCACATTAATACTTTTAGTTCTTATTTACCACTGCACCCAGCTTGTTGTCATTCATAAATGTGAACACGATGGGAGTGAGTGATGATTACCCCCCCCCTCCCGCAGCAATAGCCAGATGATGAGAAGGGTCGGTGAATTGCGAGACAATGGCAGTGACAACAGTTTCTTATACGCAGATAGAAGAAAAAGAAAAACCCGCCAATAGCCTGGTGCAAGTAGTAGATGCATGTCACAATAAATCTTGTTTGCTCGCTCGCAGAATCATGTGTTGAAGAAAAAAAACAATGAAAAAAACGGCTCAGCAGAAACAAAAAACGTTTGCTGCTATATACGTTGTACTGGTTACACATGCACACATCCATTGTGTTTGCCCAAAGCATACAATATCATTGTCAAATATTACAAATTGTTCCAAGTTCGGTTATGTGCCATGGGGGAACGGGGACGTTTTCTTCATTTTGACAAATAACAAAGGGGTTTTTCTATGGAAAGAAAGTCTGACCTGAAAAGAACGCATCCTATGGCGTGCCAGTAAAAAGCAAAGTCATGGTTCTTTGACCCGTGTAGGGCGGTGCCGTGTTAGAAATCAATTAACCCCAAAAACGATGCACACGTGTTCTCTCATTTGGGGTTCTAAATGATTCGGAAAAACTGACAAGGATAATGTGTGTGTGTGTGTGTGTTGTGTGTGGAGAAGTGGTATGATATGCATGTAGTATGTTCACGGAGATCGAGAAGAGCAAAAGAAGAGAAGATAGCCGAAATAGGCGGGCATTATGCTTCCAGGCTTGCATAAGAGATATGCATGAAAGGTTGTTCATGGGCGAAATCTTCTCTTTGGGAGATTGAAGGTCATGGCCCATGCTCCCAGCCTAGCCGCCACTCAGGAGGAGGGTGGTGGTGTTACCGTTGTCAGTTGGCAAAACAACGAGGAGTGAAACACACAAACACGCACCAACATCAAGTGACTCTTTCTCTATAACACACACACACACACACACGCTGATTAGCGGCAACTGCTGCTGCTGCTGCTGCTGCTGCAGCAACTGCAAAAGCTTTTCAGGTTCCCACACCAGAAAGGGGATGAAGTCCACGACCCAGCGAGAAATCCGTCAACGAGTGCTCCAAATGGAAACTCACCAGCAGCCACATATTCCATTCTTTCTTCTACATAACTACTTTGCCTTAAGCGGCGATCCTAATAAAACATGTAAACCACCTCATATTGATCTGTAATCGTCATTCGCTGCCACTCATATGTATTAGCAGATAGCGAATGATCAATACACGATAGAGAGTGTGGAAAGAAAGTGGGCACTCATAAAAGATAAACCGTGGGCTCATGGGAAAACTATTACATTTTTGACACTTGGCCGAAACGCAAAACAACAGAAAATATTTACATGGGTGGTTAAGCAGCCGACAACAACAACAACAACACTTTTGTGTGTTTCGATATGGGCCTTGATCGACATAGAGCCCGCACAGACAGAGAGTCTCAGAGTAACCGAGCCCAGATGAGATCACGGCAAAAGGACCTGCTAGTAGTAGGATGGTAACCGTTGGACTGTGATCATCATCCAACAGCCTGTATGAAGTAAAAGGAAAACAAGTGTGTACGAGTAAGTGAGTGAGTGAGTAAGTGAGTGAGTGAGTGAGTGAGTGAGGGTGGTCTCCCTGCTATTTTGGGCAAAGACTGATATGCGAGCGGGCGGTGGTGGGTCATGTACAGTATGTGTACAACCACAAGCCCTTTTTTGAGGCACCCTGCAAGGAAAAAGGAAAGTGTGGAGAAGGGAGGGAAAGAAGGTTCGGGTTAAACCGGTCGCCCCGCCTTTTTACAACAAAAAAATAAAATATAAAAGGCGCCTTTATCTCCCTTTCTTTTTTTTACTACTATTACTACTACTACTCCTCCTCAACCCACCCTTTATCTTTCGCCATGTACTATCATCAGCCTTGCGACGAACAAATTTCCCCATCCTTATCATCTTTGGCACTACCATGGTCAGTACCACGAAACAAAGAACAAAAAGCCTGGCCAATGAATCCAACGGCTGAAGAATGGTTCCTGAACCACTCGTCCTCCTCATCGTCCTTGCTATCATCATCATCATCATCGTCGTCAAATAAGGAGAAACCATCGCCAACACCTTCCTCCTCATCGTCTTCATCGTCGTCAAGTTCATTGGACATGCCGATCGCAAAGCCAAGCGGAATCCGATGCGCAACGTGTAAACGACGATTTCACTCCCAAGGAAACCTCATGAACCATCATCAATTATACCGACATTAAATCATCCATAGTCGTCCTTGTCATCATCAGCAGCAGCATCCATCACTTCATCATCATTATCATCATCATCATGAACATCATCTCTCTATCTTTGTCTTCATGGCATATTAGCAGTACAAGTCATCATTCTATTAATACACCTCCCTTGTTACCCCCCCCATGCAGTTTTTGTTGTAAATAACCCTCTAATTCTCATTGATGAAAAGCATTCTACCCTGTCTCATTAAAAAGAAACTACATTCCTGCAAAGTGTGTGCAGTACTACTAAATGAACGAAAGAATCTAAGGGCGGGGGGAAACCAAAAAAAAAGTGTTTCATTTCTTCCCATGTCAAAAGTGCTGCCATGGAACTACAAGCAACAACCGGCGTAAGGGTGTTCCATGATTTATCACTTTCGCCACCACCACACCCAAGGGTATATATATATATATATATATACAACAACAACCAAGGGTTGGCAAACTACACGATAAAGGGCTGCATTATTGAAGAAGGAGCTGAGTGGAAATTATTTTTAAAAAAAAGAGAAATATCCCGCATTTTTTTTATTACTGAATTCCTTTTTGTCACATAATGAACCCAGCAGCAGCAGCAGCAGCAGCAGCAACACGGTGTTTTCCGCTTCTTTTCCTCCTCCTCCTTACACTTGCTGCTGCCTTCACAACCACCCATGCGTACAAACAACTCTCCGACGACGCCCTCACACACATGGCTGGCCTCAGTGCATCCGTGGACGAGTTCCAACCCAATGGCGAACGCCTAAAGCCTTTACTCGTGCCACGTGTAGCAGGGACACCCGAAAACGCACGAGTGCGACAGTCCATTGTCGACCATTTCCAAACATTGGGCTGGCATGTCGAGCTGGATCCATTCAATGACGAAACACCGCTTGGCACCACATCGTTTACCAATGTAATTGCCACATTTAACCCTGATGCGAAACGACGGCTGGTCCTGGCGGCGCATTTTGATTCAAAGTATTACGAGGAATTTGAATTTATCGGAGCAACCGACTCGGCTGTGCCATGTGCGGTGCTGATGGATATTGCAGAAACATTGAACCCGATCTTTTCAGCAGCAGCAGCAGCAGATGATAATAATGTCACTCTGCAGATGGTGTTTTTTGATGGTGAAGAGGCGTTTGTCAGGTGGACCGATACGGATTCGATCTATGGTGCAAGGTAAAATGCTTAAACTTCTTTGAAAAAAAAAAAAAACACAAAAAAAGAGAGGGGATGGTTGATGGGTTATAATAATCATCATCATGGGTTGTAGACACCTGGCAGAGAAATGGGAAACGACCTATGTCGTCGATCCACCGATGCATACGATCAAAAGCGAAAACGAACTCAGCCGGATCGACGTGCTGGTCCTACTCGATCTTCTAGGCACTCCCAATCCGACAATTCCAAACTACTATCGTGAAACGAACTCAATGTACTATAACCTCGTGCGACTCGAAGAACGACTTGCCAAGCAAGGTCTTTTGGAAACGCACTCGCTCAAAGATGAGGGCCAAGCACTCAGGTCCATCTTCAACCCACAGTCAGCCATGACGTTCCAAGGACGCATGATGGGTGACGACCATGTTCCCTTTTTGCGTCGCGGGGTCAACATTTTGCACATCATTCCTTCGCCCTTCCCATCCGTCTGGCATAATCAGGCGGACAATCAAGACTGCATCGATCCAGCAGTCGTGCGTAATTTGGCAACCTTGTTTCGTGGCTTTGTGATGGAATATCTGGAACTGTCGATGTAGATCCTCCTCGCCTAGTGATAGAGTGTGTATCTAGTGTATGAATCGTTATAGTGTAAAAACCTTGGCTGCTTATATATCGAATTGCGCCATTTTATCTTTTAAAGAGAGAGAAACATTGCTCAGCCTCTTTTATCACTTGTTTGAAAAAAAAAAGCCTTAGTATCGTCACTGTACATCATTGTACTTGCAGTTAGGAAAGAAAAAGAATGATCTCGCAAATCACCCTTTTGGATTTGAAGCAGGCACATGAATTGCCCACATTATGTAACGCTCCTTTACAGAGCATCGCCCCTTGGGAATTTGCAATAGTGGGCCTTTGTAAAAAATTACTTGCAACGTATACGGGAGACGCTTAAGCAAATGAACTCAAATCGTCTTTTCTTGGAGTTGATTTATCCATTATTATAATGATAAATAAGCAAACTCAGAGAATCACTACTATCGTGTCCATGAAGCTTTCATGAATCTCTGACTAGTACATACCACCAGTATAAAAATAGGGCACTGGTAGATATATCTATCATTATAACTCTTTAAAGATAAAAAGATCATGATATACTACAGTAGTAGCTGCTTTATATTGATTAATGGCAGCGTCAATTCTCACCTCTTCAAGACAATAAAAGAACTTGAGGATGGCAACGAACAGCTGAAAATCACCACATAGGTTAACTCTATGTAATATAGTTCTGCCATGTTGTATTGTCAATATGTCTTGTTTAACTAGTCCTTTGGAAAATGGTTACCATTAACTAAATCCGATCAGATCATACTTATGGCATGGTATATGCAAGCGGACTCTTTTTTTAAATGGGGTCGCCCCGAGGGACATCCTCAGTTCCCCGTTTTGCAGCTGCATACGAGGCAGAAGCTATACATGCCACAACTGTGGTGCAAGTGAATGCATCTTTCTATGTAGCTCAGCAGAGCTGCTTTTGGGGGAGGTAGAGCATGCAACATGCAATTCAACCTTCTTACATTTGCTGAAAGAGTCACGTCAAAAAGTCGAGTTTGAGAATTGGGTCGTCGGTATCTAGTCCCCACTTTTCCAAGGTCTTTGAATCCTTTTTCCGATTACAAAGTATCGGTAAACTCATTGTAGTCGTGTCATTTATAGGCAACGTCTATACTCATAGTCCCACTAGGGACTGGTGTCTCCAACCCAGAAGGCAAAAGGGTGGTAAGCGGCGTTCTCTTGGCTATGGTCGCGATAAAATGCACAAAAAAAGTCGGACCCTATCGAAAGGGCTTAATACGATTGAGTATGTTTTATCTTTCCAAGTAGTCAAATGCTCGCAACTCTAATTAGTTGGTAAAGCATTGTCTACAAGCAAAAAGTACAGCGACGTTACTCTACTTAGTAGACAGCTATGCAAGCATCGTGCATAACCCATAGTGATGGCTGTAACACGTCGAATGCTCACTGGATGGGCCCTTGAGTGAAGGCACCGGAAAGCACTTAAAGATCCAGAACAAAGCTTTGACCTCCCACCTTTTTTGTTCTTCACTGCTGCCCGATCCCGGGTTGTTTTGGACCCAACACACCTTTTCAAAGATGTCCGGGAAATAGTACGCAGCTGTTTTTATCATTGTCGTTAACCGGTAAAAGCACATACATGTCACAAAAAAGCGTGCTTCTAAAAGCGAAGAACAGCTCATCCGGTGTTCTTTTTAGAATCTATGAAAAACTTTCTGCACTTTTTGTCCGAATACCCGACCGCCTTTTACATCATTGCCAAGAGTGGGGTTCATAAAATGCAGCAGCAGAAGCAGCAGTGCGCGAAAAAAGAGAGAGAGATAGCGCATTGTAGATGGAAAAGAAAAAGCTATACCTTATTTCTTTCATCCACTGCTGTTCTACATACGAGCTGCATCCGAATTGGAAAGAACCTTGGGGCTTGGGATGTGGAGGAATAAGAACATTCATGTAGAGCATTTGTTGTTATACGCACACCCACACCCGGGAATTGTTTGCTCAGTGCAATGTGTTGTTGTGTGCAGTTGTGTACGACATTGGCAAAAAACCCCGCTTTTTGCTTAGGGACGACGACGACGACGACGACGATGATGATGATGATCTGGCGCCTGAACCTGACTGACTACGCTTTTTCTTTTTTTTTCTTTCTGTTTCTTCTATACTACGTTTTTTTTTTTTAAATCCACACTTACTACCTTTTTTTTTCCCTTCTTCTCCACACCCCCCTCCCAATTAACACAGCATGTGTGCACAACGTACTCCAGTCACTGTTCCTTGCAAATACAAGACCGGCAAAGTGCTTGGTAACGGTACTTATGCGACTGTCAAAGGTATGTTTGTCCTTGGAGCCCAGTTTGGGTTCCCTAGTTTTTTTTTTGTTCCTTTGCTGGGCTAAGGGCTTGGCTTCACTCGTCCGCTCGCTGCTGGGAATTGCCAAGAAAAAGCTCGGACACGGGAAAAATGAGGGAACGGGCCCGAGAGTTAAGAGAGAGAGAGAGAGAGAGAGAGAGAAAAGAAAAACAGAGGTGAATGTAAGACAACTCATGGTTGGGAATGCTTTTCACAATTACGCTCAAAACCCCCCTCCCCAACAACAGAGGCCCTTCACGTATGTATACACAAATGAATTATATGTATATATGAAAGATATTAACACACCAAGTTCAATAGATTGAAACCAACAAGTTCTACGCGTGCAAAATCATCAACAAGAAGCTGATGGAAGGACGCGAGCATATGATCCGTAACGAAATCAACATCCTTCGCAAGATATCACAGGGCCACACGAATATCCTGAGTTTGGTCGACTACTTTGAAACGCTCAACAACTGTATGCATGATTTGGGATCGAGAGGGTCGGGTTGGTGATGGTCAAAGAAAAAAAAAAAAAAGAGGGGGGAATGTTAAAATTACATGTTCTTCGTGGACCGTGTATATATATATGTGTATAGTATACCTCGTAACGGATCTCGCCATGGGTGGCGAACTGTTTGATCGAATATGGCAAAAGGGCAGCTATTTCGAACGCGATGCAGCACATATCGTTCGAACGGTCTGTGATGCCGTGGCCTATCTCCACGACAATGGCATTGTCCACCGAGGTAAAAAGGACAAAAAAAAAAGAAGGGGAACAACCTCTCAATATTTCATTAAGCCTGTCATTGACGCATCCTGTTGCTTCTTGCCAACCACAATCGTTTGTTACTGTTAGATCTCAAGGTAAGGGGACTTAACGATTCAAGTAGTACAGTAGTGTAACACGTTATACTGAAAAATGCTGGTGGAAATGCACAGCCCGAAAACTTGTTGTTCCGAACACCTGACGAAGACTCTGATTTGCTGATTGCCGATTTTGGTCTCTCCCGCATTATTGACACTGACAAGTTTCATGTGCTCACCACCACCTGCGGTACTCCTGGATACATGGCCCCCGAGATATTCAAAAAGACAGGCCATGGCAAGCCAGTGTAAGCATTTTGGAGAGACACGTGCGTGTGTGTGTGTACGAAGACACATCTGGGCTCACAACAACAACAAAAACGTACTAGTGACATGTGGGCCATTGGTGTGATCACCTTCTTTTTGTTGTGCGGCTACACGCCCTTTGAACGCGAAAACAACATTGACGAAATGAACGCGATCATGCATGCCGACTACAGCTTTGACGAACAGTTCTGGTCTGGCATCAGCGAAGAAGCCAAGGACTTTGTGCGTCGCTGTCTGACGATCGATCCAGCCAAGCGCATCACCGCACACGAGGCGTTGGAACATCCATGGCTCACCTCTGAGCGCACGCAGCCCACATCGCCCGTGGACGACCAGCAGGATCTGCTGCCTTCTGTGCGCGGCAACTTTAATGCGCGCCGTACATTCAAGCGTGCAGTCGATATGGTGCGTCTGTCGTATCATCTGGGCCACAAGCACTCGGCATCCATGGGTGGTGGTGGTAGCAGTGGCTCGGACAAGACCCCGGACGAAGACGACGTCAAGCCAGTCAATGAGGGCATTGACCAAGTTCTCAAGCACGATGACGAATAGTCAATAAACCAACCTAACCAACTCAACCTATAAATACTACTACTTTGTATCTTGCCTATGTATCCATATAAAGAAAAATCTCTCCCCGGCGCGTGTGTGTGTGTGTGTGTATATAATGTTTTCCTCTCGTGCCGCGTGTGTGGGAGAGGAAATGCAGCTCAAAAAAAAAGAGGTTTTTCTTATTGGATGGTTCGGAACGCCCCGCCCCGGGACAAGCCAAAGCGATTCGGTTGTACTTTTTCACGAAATGTGAGAGAGATCAGAAAATTACCACAGAATTCCCCTGCTCATCTTTTTTTTTTTTTTTGTTGGGAAAAGTCGGGGGGGGTGGAAACTACATATAAAAACCCATCCCTTTCTGTCCTTTTTGGCACACGAGAGCATATTCTGTCAAAAGGAAAACCGGCTTCCTTTCCACTTTACAACACTCCATATGGCATCTACCGTCAGTGCAGCCTTGAAATCACGCGTCCGTCGTCCGCAATTCTTGGACAAAGTCATGAAGGCGGAAGACACGCTTCATTTCTTCAAACCTGGCCAGTATGTTTTCTTATTGGCAGTGTTTGTTGATAGCGCAAAAACATAAAAATGGATGGCGTGTCTGTCAAGATCAGAACAAACAAACAAACAAATAAACCATCTCTCGTCGATAAAAAATTAGGTATATGGGCTGGTCCGGTTTCACAGGCGTTGGCTATCCCAAAATGATCCCTACTGCCTTGGCAGATCACGTCGAATCCAACAATCTCCAAGGCAAAATGAAGTTCAACCTCTTTGTTGGCGCATCCACTGGTCAGTAGTAATACTCTTTCTTTTTTTTTTTTGTGTAGAAATTAGGTATGACAATTAAAACCGCTCTTTTTTTTTTTCCAATAAGGTGCTGAGACCGAAGATCGCTGGGCTAGTTTGGACATGATTGACCGCCGCTATCCCCATCAAGTCGGCAAGAATATCAAAAAAGGCATCAATGCCGGTCGGATCCGCTTCGCCGATAAGCACTTGTCCATGTTCCCCCAAGACTTGGTGTATGGCTATTACACCAAGGACAAGGAAGGAAGCAAGAACCTCGATGTCGTGGTTGTCGAGGCCACGGCCATCCAAGAAGACGGCAGCATTGTCTTGGGCGCCTCGGTCGGTGCTTCACCAGAACTCTTGCAGATGGCTGACAAGATCATCATTGAGGTCAACACGAGCATTCCATCCTTTGAAGGCTTGCACGATATCACCATGTGTAGACAACCTCCCAGCCGATTGCCTTACTTGCTTCTTGGTCCTGAAGATCGCATTGGCACGGTAAGTAAAAAAAGTTGAGTTCTTGTCCCAAAACAAAGAGCTTCGAGGCTAAATGTGTGGTTGATTTCTATCAAAAAACAAGTCTGCAGTGCCCATCGACCCTGAAAAGGTCATTGCCATTGTCGAGAGCGACAAACCAGACAACACTGGACCCAACGCACCAGCCGATGCCACATCTGAAGCTATTGCAAACCATTTGATCGAATTCTTATCGCATGAAGTCAGCCATGGCCGCTTGCCAAAGAACTTGTTGCCTATCCAGTCAGGTATCGGCAACATTGCCAATGCCGTCGTTGGTGGTCTGGCAAACGGTCCGTTCGAGGACGTGTCGGTGTTTACCGAGGTGCTTCAGGACACCTTTTTGGATTTCTTTGAGTCTGAAAAACTCAAATATGCCAGTGCTACCTCAATTCGTTTCTCTCCCGAAGGCTTTAAGCGGTTCTATGATAACTGGGAGTATTATCGGGTACGTTTAGATGACATCCCGCAGACAGTCCCTTTTTTTTTTTATGTAGATCTAAATACTCCGAGATTTCCTTTTGATAGACAATGCTCGTGTTGAGAGCACAACAAGTCAGTAATTCGCCCGAAGTCATTCGTCGTCTGGGCTGTATCGCCATGAACACGGTAAAGTGCCACAGAAAAAAAAAACCAATGATTGCTTGCAAATCGTCACTTGTTAAGAATGAGCCATGCAACTTATGCCGAGCCACTCTTTTTTATTACACAGCCTGTCGAAGTCGACATGTACGCACACGCCAACTCGACCATGGTCTGCGGTTCCGGTATGCTTAATGGTCTTGGCGGTTCTGCCGACTTTTTGCGCAACGGCAAATTGAGTATCATGCACACACCCTCTTCACGCCCCACCAAGAGTGATCCAACCGGTATTTCGTGCGTTGTCCCCTTTGTCACGCACGTTGATCAGACAGAACACGATCTGGATGTGATTGTCACTGAACAAGGCTTGGCCGACTTGCGCGGTCTGTGTCCACGCGATCGCGCGCTCGTCGTGATTGACAAGTGTGCTCATCCTGATTATAAGCCACTGCTCAAGGACTATTATGATCTCGCCTTGAAAAAGTGTCTGGCGGCCGGTCGTGGTCATGAGCCCCATATGCTGGACAAGGTGTTCAAGATGCACACTAACTTGATCGAAAACGGTACCATGAAGATTGACTCTTGGTAGAACGGCATTCATAGACCCAAAACAACCCTTGCTCCTTTTTTCCAATCTATTCTTCCATGTACCATATTCTTTTGCTTTCATCTTCCCACCCCCCCCCTTTATAATAAAACACCTGTGTTTCGCTTTTCTACAAGATCATCATCTTCATGACACAGCAAATCTTGATGCCATCATTGATCTAGTTGGGCTGTTTAGATACCTCTGATGCTACATGTATAAGGAGGCTGAGTCCGCTATCTGTTCTTCTGCGCCGAGGTATATCTTACACACAGTTGTTGGGTGCTGGGTAAATGTGTAAGACGCGCGGGAAAATATTGACACGTTGTTTATGCGGGCTCGTGTAATACGCTCACTCGGGCTATGGCTAAAATCTTCGGAAGATTGATTACGTATAAAAAATGGGGGGAAGCTGTCATGTCGGATACATAGATTCTCGTTTTCTGGTATAATTTCTCGTTGGCTGATGTAACACACACAGCATTTTGATCGTAGATCCCATCGGTCGTGTGAGAAAAAAGAACTAGATCAGAAAACCCTATTTGTAAAAAACCCATCCGATAATCAGGTAAACCGTGCCAGCATACAAGACGTATCTTTGGTCCCAATTGTTCCCAATGTGTGGTCTGCAAATGCCAGTCACCGGAGGAATAATCTTCCTTTCTTTTTCTCACCAGACATCCTTGAGGTAAATGTCTTTACGCATTTTGTCATCACTCGCATTTGAAGCTGGAACAAAAAAAGTGGTAATCGTTTATCCCCGTTCCTCAACAACCCTCTCTTTCATGACATTTCTCGGAAGGTATGACTACTTTGATCTCTTTACACATGCTATCAACAACGAACGGGTCCGGCACCACTAGCAGGGAGAACAAATAGCCATTCTTAATTTTGACGCGTCGACGAGTGCATCCATCTTGAAACCGGGTATTTTGCAAAGCAGAGATATCTTGTGTATGATAATTTATTGTATGCCCCTCTGCAAGTACGTCTACAGGCACCTATTGTTTGTCCTTTCAATCGATCAGTTTAACGGCACTAGTTGTTCCACCCAGACGACTGCATCAGATCCGTATAATAATAAGCTACCGTTTAAATGATCTATATTTGCTTAAAGTCGTTTCTGGATTATGGAATCATTACTTATCTTAGCTATCGTCCGAGCAAAGAAAAGACCATGACGCCTCTTTCCCTATCTCTTTCGTTTGCAGTTAAAGTACTATTTGCGTCTTTCAGATGACAAAATCTACTGCTACGTTACGTTTTTTTATTGTCTTTCCCTTCCTTGTCGTCCGACATATTACTACTATGTCCGAGCGGAATTATCCTGCCTATCTATTTTTTCCACCATGGGCCTTTTGATAAGTTCAACCCACCAGCTGTTGTTGCCCCTAGCATCTCGCTCCTACTTCATGCCTTGAGGCTCAAAAAGTACATCCTTTAGCAAAACAGTTAGTTTCACATTCTAATTGGCAATAGTGCATAGCATATATACATCGCCTACTCAATAGCGACGATTTAGACATGACTGCCGCCCCTTCTGCTTTTTGTTTTGGCGGGTTAATACATGTGTCGCATTTGCTTAGACAAGACCATCCATCCAACAATTGCTTGAGTAAGAAAAAGTTGCGGGCACGGGTCTAATGGCACACAACCCAAATCATGTAGAGTATTTATGCAGCCAGCAAACAAAAAAGAAGGAAGGGTGAGGTAGGGACTTGTTCTATCATAGGATAAGCTCCAATGAATAATTGGGTCTGCAGCGTGCTTTAAAAGGGGTTCTATATCACTTTGTATTGGGGCATGAGCCAAATTCAGTATATCTCTAGCAATGTTCATTACATACGATTAGCGATAAAATAAAGTATATATCGTGCTATAATAAATGAGAGTGGCGCGAAGTGGAAGTTGTGGTATATATGCTAGCAGTGCTAACAGTGGTGGAAAAAGCTAGTAAAAAACCATCAATGCATGTATTCGCACGAGTTGTAGTGCGTAGTGTTGTGTTAGGCGGGAAAGTAGACACCAAAAGTTTCTAGTGAGTCTCGTTTACGCAATGTCAACAAGGTCCTATGAATATCATAGTATATACTTTAAAGGAAAGCAATAAAAATGTACCTGTGTGATTTCACGATATTGTGGATCTCCGTATTTCGTGCCTGAAAACGGTAAGACATTTATCAGCAAACCATGTCATATGTTGTTTGCCGTTGAACAGCAGAGAATGAGTGTACCTTTCTCGCGTTCATGGTAGCTTGGATTCTGTCGAGCTGCGCGACGTGCAGCTGTCTTTTACGTGCCTGCGAATTAAATATCCGGCAACCACCACATTTAAATTATTGTTGCAGTAGAGCGAAAATGATAGATTTATCTGCTCAAGTTTAAGGTACTCCGGATCTTGACGCATTAGACGGCGTACAGCCGCAGTATCTCTTGCTTGAGATAGTGCAATGAGGATATATGAAATCATATTGAGTAGGAAATAATAGTAATGGCATTCGCAAGTAAATCATGAACTTTTTCTTGCTCTCGATACACGGGATCCGCACGAACTGGAAGCCGCTCATTGTTCCGCCGTTCCTTAACACGCAGGTGACGATGTCGTTCAGCTGCAGCAGCGCGTAATTGTGCTTAGCGATCCATTGAGCTAGGTCAAGTATTTGTGAATCTGTCCTCTCCGCCTTTTTGTTGTATAGGCCTAGGGTCTGTGCGTATAGTGTCATCAGTGGGTAGAAAGCACAGCAACTATATTATATAAGTTGATAGATGAATTTCGTACTATACTCCGTCACAGTTCCACTTGGGCTTGTTTAGCTAAAAGAAAAAGACTAGATTGAATTTTAATAGTGCGAGATCCTTGCAGATGTCTATTTAGTGCTGCTCTGGTAATATTTCTATCAAGTACTGAAAAAGTTCATTTCACTTAAGCTCTGCAATGTTGTCATATATACCTGAAGTAAAATTAACGCAAAAATTAGCGCTCACTCAATCTCATTATCGTCTCATTCACATCATCCAACATTGTTAGGCACAATGCTTCTAAAGATCTCACATGACGATCTGCTGTTACGTGTGGAAAAGACTGGGTCTTGATCTCATCGTCGGCGGGTATGTTCTCTGGTTGCATCAGCTTACATAATCTTCAAGGGTCCTTCTCTTTTTATCCGGTACAGTCCAGGTGCGACTGAATAACTTTAGACGTACCTGAAAAAAAAAGAGACAGAAATTGCGATATGTATAGCGTGTCAGTATGACGCAGAATTAGACAAATAGCTTTCATGAAAATCAAATGGGAGAATAATCTTATGGGAGAATAATTTGTTACTGTTAACAACTAGCTAACGTGAGCAACAAACAGCCGGAGTTTCTTGTGCTGTGTGCGCGTACATAAATTTAACGCGTGGCCGCAGCAACTTTGCTACTTTTTTTTACACCCTGCAACTTTCAAACATGTTCTTTGAAATCATCTTTGCGTTATTCACCTTGCTTGCTGCCATACGTTTCATGGCACAAAATATTACTATATGTTTGGAGCTCATCATTGCAACCGTCATTATTGCATTGTTATCAAGCCCATTTTATTATGCTTTGATTATTTCTCCTCTTGCCCCATATTTTCCACCATTGTGCGATCCTATCGATCCGCCTACCCCCAGATCATCTTACTCTCAAAACATTTCATCACCTCGTACCGTAGCTGGTTTGTCTTCTCCCGCCGTTGCTGGTTTGTCTCCTCCCGCCGTTGCTGATTTGTCTTCTCCCGTCGTTCCTGATTTGTATCCTCATACCACTGCCGATTTGTCTCCTCATGCCACTGCCGATTTGTCTCCTCATAGCATTGCCGATTTGTCTACTGCCATTGCTGATTTGCCTCCTCATAGCAATGCCGATTTGTCTCCTGCCATTGTCGATCTGTTTCCGCCTACCACTGCTGATCTGTCTCCGCCTGCCATTGCCGATCTGTTTCCGCCTATCATTGCCGATTGGTCTCCTACCATTGCTGATCTGTCTCCGCCTACCATTGCCGATTTGTCTCCGCCTACCATTGCCGATCTGTCTCCGCCTACCTTTGCTGATCTGTCTCCACTTGCCTTTGCTGATTCGCCTTCAGTTACCATAAAGAAAGATGCTGTCGAAGAACTCGCTGATTTGTTCGGTAATCTCGACGTGGCGGACGACCACGCACAAGTCTTGGCCGCGACAAACTCACACATTGAAAGATTCTGCACGGAACGTCGCGAGTGCCTCCGTCGCGAAGTTCTTGTCTACAACTTATATAAGCGTTTCTTTTCATAGAAAGTAAGTATCTATTGTCATTTATATAGCTAAAGGGAAAATTATAACGAAATGATTCTTTTATACTTTTTAGACATTAAGAAGAAAAACACAAAGATACCAAAAAGCACGTCAGAAATCACATCAGAAATATTTAAAGTAAGTCCTTTATGGTTTTAAACTGAAAGAAAATGCTGTCAAACAGTAAAGAGGAACGAACATTAGCAATAACGCGTTTACGTCTATAAATTTCTTTTCTGCAGAGCGCTACAAGATTATGTTACAACCGGTCGCGCCACTGCCACCATCAACGATATCAACTGAAGAACCGCCCCCGCTCTTTCCAGACTCCCTCACATTGTCTCCTTTCGCACAGAATCATCATCAACAACAACAAAGGCCACCTCGGCGCAAATAGTAACACTGTCAAACGCATAATCGAGCAGAATCTTTTACAAATATGATTATAACAACAACAAAGCGACGGCACCAGCAGCAGTAGCAGCAGCAGCAGAAGTAGTCAAGTCCGCAACGCCAGCAATGTTTGGAGGAAGATCAACCGGATGGACAATACGCAACAAGCTCAACAACAAGGAAAAAACTGCGTCGTCAAGCTAGTCGGGGCTCGTGGTTTGACGGCGATGATACCTACAAAGGCGGATGAGAGCAACAGATCTATCATTGATGAATCTGTTCATACTGCAAGATTCGTATAGATCACATTATGATATGCAAAGAACACAAGTGCTGTATCGCCTCTGAGAAGAATCCTATGGTTACAGCCTCTCCTGCTAGGAAACATACTACATGCGATACAACCGCACGTCGACCCATTCTAGGTATTACATAGATTATTGATATCTTTCTCTATATGAACATTTTACTTAATGGGATGATTATGGTTTACTAGATTCAATCTGGCAGCTCGGCCGCAGCAACGCCACTACCTTCGTCTCTCCCGTAAAGGTTGAGTGTAGTACATCCATAATACGCGAAGAAAGTCCAACAATCACTAATGATCCAACGCAATTGTACTCCACCCGTATCCCCTTTTCGCAAAAAAAAAATATCAGTTTGGGCCCAGCAGAAGCAGTAGGACGAGCAGCGAAGAGCAGACTATTTACGGCAATACTGACAAAAACCTAGCGGGTCTTCCGTCACAGAGCACTTCCTAGCAGTGGTGGCATTATCATCCCGTGTCCTCGAGTACGATCCAAGCATGCAAGCAGCAGCAGCACAACAACAACAACAACAGCGAATAGTGATGATACGATGCAACAAGTGAAAAGACCTCTTCAGAAAAGTATTGCTTATCAATTAGTGGAACATCACTGCGCCTGGGCATTTATACTAGTGTCGGGACTGGTTGAACAATGGAATGGAGCAGCACTGAAACTAGATCACTGAGTCAGGAATCATCCTGAATGCTCGTACTGCAACAACAGCAAGCCGCAAAGTCCTCAAGCATCGTCCGAATCGAAAACCATACCGGAAAACATAGGTACTTATGGATTAATCCTATTTTGTCCCCAACTGTTATAATTTGGTGTAAACTGACGATATCTACTTTTATTTTTGTTCTTCACCATTCCTGTTCACGGCCAGCTCGCCATTGAACTTTAAAGCTTGCATGATAAGCTTAATGAAAAGGGAATAAGGGAGTAATCGATTGACTTATATAAAACAGGCTCGGATACGATGCACACGGATCAAAGTAAGACGAGCATGTACCATCAACACCACCACTAACCACACCAGCAGCGACAAGACTTCCGCAAGTGTCGACATGCTCAACCGCTGCCCTATCATCGACACAGTAGAGCTGAAAGTTAGTTTGTCTCGACCACTACTCCTGCCAAACAAGACCGACGAACTACTGCATCATCATCATCAATCACTATGGTACCCTGCGTACCAACTTTCGTGCTACATTTCTGTCCCATTTTTCAGCCGCGTACGAAATCAAGATTATGTTGGAACGATTACCTGCTTTGAAGAGGCTCTTTGGCAGCACTCAAGGAACGCAATGTTGCTCACATTTGAAACTTTCACGAGTTACATCAAATACTGAGGCAGTTGTTTGACCTTAAGTGCTTCCAAGAAGAGCAAGAAGTTCAGCCCATGGACTGTCATTGTCAGATTTAGAAACCATCACATTCTCTCTAGTTTTTCCATTGCTTGGTGATTAAATAAAGCTCTCAAATGCCTTTGCGCCGATATCTAAAAACATGATGCAGATAAAAGTAGAAGAGTAGTAAGAAAAAGATAAAATCGATACTAGGACAGAAACGAATAATGCGGGGAGCGGGATGCACGGTTTTACTTCCAATTATCAGCGGCTTATGCGACACCGAGATAGAGACATTGAATGCGAGCACAAAAGCCGAACTCGCGTATACTGCCCCAAAGCTTTATAATACTCTACAGACAAAAACCACATGTCCCTGACTCTTATGTAGACATATATCATCCTACAGATTGTCCGTTGCGACAGTCAAGCATCATTTGCATGCATCGTTGAGGATTGCGCTGCTTGCCTTAAAGAAAGGACGCATTTATACATGTCCCTCTATGTTTAAGCTGGCATCAGGACGCTTAGGGGCACACAGATAGGGTAAACGGACGGGATACTTTTGCAATACGCACTTTCATAAACAGAATCCTTGCTTTCAGTTAATTTTTGTATGTGGTTTATTTTATGCAATGTGATGCGATAATTAGCGGGTTTGTGTTGCTTTGTTATAGCTATATACAAAGGCTGTTATGTCACAATAATTTGTCTGTGAACTACGCTATATACACACGCTGTTTGTCTTGTTGGGTGAAGGAATGTAAACTGGCTGCTTGGTGGATGGTGTTTTCAACATTCACTGGTGGTGAATTGTCTACTATGTCAGTCACTCCTATTCCCATCATTGACTGCTCATAGAAAAGCATTTCTTCCGTGAATGTACATGCTCATTCGCATTCGTGTCTTTGTTTTCGCTTGACACGGTGCCGTGCACGGCCCCACTCACAAACAAGCGCCGATATCATCGGAGGGTACAGCTCCGCATGGTGAGAGACACGTACCACTACCGCCGCAGCACATTTGTTTAGATGACCACCAAGCACACCCCCTTTCCTTTCCTTTTGTGATAGTCCCTTTGAGCCATATGCTGAAAGCCATACTATTAAGCAAAAGCCAATGAAAATCCATGGAGCCTGGTGGAACTTTTTGAAGTCCCGAGCGTGACAGTCAAAAAACGTCTATATAAAGCGAGCAATTTCGCCTTTCTTTTTTTTCTTCTTCTCTTTAGTTCGTTTTGGTACAGCTTTGGTCTGTAGTACAGATGCACTGCTCTGTGCCATGATCGGGTCATATGCTTGTGCTGGCGATTGTCAAGAGGATTCTGAGGATTGGCTGGAATCAGTGGTCCGCTCGGAGGAAATCTTTTGCAATGTACCAGTGGGAATGTGGACACGTACCTTCGGGTATGTGGTGGGATAATTAAAACGAACTTTTTATTATTTATTAAACACAAATAAAAAAAATGATAAACAAAATAAAACAATCTTTTTCTTTTCGCACTCTTCTCATAAACGTTTTGCCGCTTTATTTTATTTTTTGCTTTGCCTTTTTTTTCATGTGCTTGACAAGTTCCTTATTTTTTTTTGCCCACCCACAGCTCCGTGCTAAACAAAGCGGGGAACAATGACAGACGACGGTAACACGATCACAACGCGCTTTATCACACTTTGACACGCGTTTTCACTTTCTGTGTTCGCATAAAGTGCTTGTTACCGCGGATATGGTGCGACCCTCCTTGTGAAAAGGGGTTGTTTTATGAGAGGCAACATCATTCGCATACGCCAACAGACATGTATAACTGCCAGATCTTTATACTGGAAAGTCTGCTTTAATAAGTATAAAATACGGTCAAGTCTTATTTTATTTTAGCAAAAGATTTGTATATAATCATCATATCAAAGCGTAGTTGTAGCGACTCATGACAGCAAACAAACTCGGTTTGACAGAAACTGGAAAGATTCCGTAATTGCTGCTGTTAGCTCTTTACGTACCATCCTTATTTCTACATCATCAACACAACGTTGTACATACATAATGCGGAAACATCTTTTTACTGTTGAATCCATACATTTTCTATTAGTGTCCAACAAGAAATTGTTATTGTTATGCTACCATACTTTTATTCTAAGGTCGACAATAATCTTGCGTTGATCTATCTTATTCCTCTTTTATACTTTCAAGCTATACATTAACGACTGGACAGATAATTCGGCAACAACGCAACGCAAAGCAACAACAATAACAACAGCAAATATATTTCTAGCAACAAATTCACCAATTCAATAACAGCGATCTCAGGTTTCTGCACAATATATTTATTGGATTATTACACATAGCATAAGTGTCAAAGGTCTCATACACATGCTGCATCATAATTCATAATACAGTATACATTGGATTTAGTTTCCGGTGGGATAAACTCTGTGACTTGCTGACTTTGCATGCTGATTGGCGGCTGTAGAACCACTGAAAGTCAAGGTGCAATCCTGGCATGCGTATTCTCCTGTTTTGTCTGCCTTCATTGTTTCAAATAATTTGTCACGATAAAAATGTTCTAAAGATATAAAAAAAAAATTAGGTACAAGGCTTCCGCGCAAAGATTTGAGATTACTTACCTTTCAGTTACTGAAAGAAAGCTGTGAAAGAAAGCGAATTGCTGGGCGGGTCCTTTGCTTTTAACTATTGAGTGAAAGACCAGATCAGATGACTTATAAAACTATGTGAGAGAGATACTCACACCATGTTATACTATTTTGTAATCCTGTGGAGCTAATGGGCTATCATCCCTGGTTACATATCCCATAAAGTGACTTTTGACCAATGACTGTGCCTTAGGACAGTCATCGTCAGCAGAAAATGACCTGATCTAGAGGAACAGATACTACCAGGATGTCATTTGTACAGCGGGGAGCACTTGGGCTTAGTTGGGCGGTGATACGAGATGACTCTCAACTTCACTGTAGGGTAGTGAGTAATAAAGAGAAAACACTTGGGCTTAGTTGGACGGTGTTACGAGATGACTCTCAGCTTTGATGTCTAGCCAAGTCCGCGCTCTTTGAAGATAAAAAGAATAAAGCAACATGAAAGGATGACAAAGAACTAACTAAATCAGGCAGTCAAATTATCTCTCTGAAGGAGGGAATGACAGAACGATCACCGTACACACAAGTAAATTGCACTCTTCTGGATTGTCCAGAAAGCTTAAACTTTGTGTACTGTTCGTACATTATACTGGAAAATAGCACCCACCTTAAAAGGTTTGTTATGACGTGAGAATTTTACGATAAAAATTGACCTCAAAGGTGCCTATACTGTACCTGACTCAATTTTTTATAGCAAGCGTGTAGCCGGCCGGAGCAGGAAGGCGCACAGCAGCTCATTCCAAGTGGATGCTTGAGTATCCGATACGTTTGGGATACGTTGCCAATTTAAAAAAAAGGTGGTCTGTCATCACTGCAGGTGCAAGTTTTTTTTTCAATCGAATATATAATGGTTAAAGTAACAGGAACAGGTACACTGAAGTCGAAGACGAAGACTCGGGTATGTGTGTCGCTGTATATAACTCATCTATCATTACGAAAAAAGGTAGCGAGGCAACTTCTCATGCTACAGGACATTTTTGAAGAGACTTAACATAATGTTCATGGTGTGGTATAGTAGTAAGGGAACAAGGTGGGACAAAGCATGTCAGTCATTAAGGAACGCATTTGAAGATTTTGCAATAATCAACTAGTAGTGGAAATCGTGAAGCTTGGATCAAACATCTATTATAATTACAACCTACTTCTTGGCTTCGTTAAACAATATTCGACGATGATTCTCATACTCTAAGCTTAGTGTATCCATATCAACGGGCTAAAGTACGACACAATCAAGCCATATTTACAAATACTATGTAGTGTGATCAACTTGGTGGTAAACGCAAATTCTATATACTGTAAGAATATCAAGGATTGAAGAGTAGTCAGAGCCCATTATTTATACAAAGTTACAGCTGGTGTCTCGCAAGAACGGATGGAGATAAAAGGATCACTGTGCCATCTTTTGATCAAACTGTTAATTCTAGTTATGATCTTATAATTGGCAGGAGATGACATTCTATTTGTAGTGTGCTTGTTAAAACGTCTGATCGAGAAACTTGCCAAGGTGGTGATGGCAGCCAAGGTATCGTGAAAGAGACTCATCGTAAAATTTGCACTTATCGTCCCACTATCATATATACAGCAATAGCTAATCATCGCAGGTTGGGTAATCTGTTTAAAAGCTTCAAGACATCTACCAAGATATGGTTGGAAATAAAAACATCGTAGAGATCCAGTATACGGATATTTGGGTCTCGAGAGATTAATTGCGCAAAGTCAACAAGAAGGCGCTTTCCATCGTACAGCCAGTTGTGCAGCAGGTCGTTTGAATAATAATTATGGTGCAGTATTTGATCTGTTATCTAGCTAAAACGATCCAGAACCAATAGATTCATCTGTCGTCATCGCTAACTCGGCTACTGTCGCTGCTATTGCTTTTGCCATTATTCTTTGATCGTCAGGTTTACGTAGTTTTCGCTGACGATAAGATTCGTCAAAATTCTAGTTCGGCATCTCGTCGGCTCTGTCATGCTCGTCGTCGTCTTTTATTAGATAAGCTCAATACGAAATTACTAGTTCTTTTCTGGGTCAAGTTCGCGAGTGCATCATAGACTTGTTTGTTCCGAAGCTCAGATCCTTTAATGTGCACATAATGGAGGGATAGACAAACCGTAAATAGGTTCGAAACGGTGGCAGAGATGACACTTTCCAAGTCTCTTGGAAAAGAAAGCGAGAGTATCCACGCGGGTTGCACCCAATCGAGGCAGAGTATTCAGTGAATCGTAGATACTGTTACTTCTGCTGGCGATGTGAATAACTGGTGTATCAACGTCAATCACTAGAATTTCGATAATGTAGTGATACTTGCGAAAAATAGAGCAAAGGTTTCGATCAATAACATGGTTTGAAAGGTTGATCGTTCGAAGCACAAGTTTTTGGTGTTGTCGATATCATATTTGATGACCTTGTTAATATCGTTATCGAACTTGTAGTCTCCTTGTACCGGCGCAAACTGGAATTCTTTAAGTGCTGGAAGATCTTCCGCGGAGTGCTTCATTAGGTTAGCACTATAATTTGTATACAGACTACGATTGGATCGTGAGCAATGTCAATTACGTTGGTGATGCTTGTAAAATCTGGCTTGAGGCCTCGTTGGTAATTGTAAATGCAGCTCTGAGTGCTGAGAGGTGCAGGTTGGATGATGACAATACTTTTAAAACTTCTGGTGTGATGCATGAAGAATTCGCTATAATGTTCAGGAGACTGCAAGTTCAAGCATGTGCGTGCTGCAAAAGCTATTATTTGAGAGAAATGCGGTTGACACGACCTGTAAATGGTGTACCAGACGAGTCGTTTTAGAGTTTTTGCTTTTGCGACGCAGGATGTTTTGCACAAGTAATCTGTCGCCTTCGTAGCCGCCAATTGTCATGGCATGTGCAAGAAAGACACAACAGTTGAAAAAAGCAGGATAAAAGAAACCTTATTTTACCTAGTGACACACTTTGAATACACCTCTGTTTATTTAAAAACAGTCAGCACAGCAGCTGAGCGATCAATAGAAGCTCCCTAACTTTTTCATTATCGCTAGCACCAAGAATCACTTCTATGTTGCTTTCAGTCGTAATGATCTGCAATAATTCGCCAAAGCGCCATGAGAAATCAGACTAGACACTACGTGACTCCACATGTCGTGCCATATTTATCGATTTCCTTAAGGCGTATCACCTACGCGAACTGTAGTCGTGTCAGAAGCGTAATGCGTATGCAACATCATAAGATATCTGGTAGATAATTGCAGCAGGATAGAAGATGGGATTTCCTCTGATGCTACTTGTGCCATCCATTGGTTGCCAAGACAAGGTCATGCTTTTGAACATTCGATCATGAGCAAGGATCGATGGTAAAAGTGCTGCTGTTCCTTACTGGTATGTCACCATGGCACTGCATACGTCCTGTTGTGAAAGCTGTGAGCAGTCAATCGCCAAAATTGCGGCAAAGTACGACGCATTGTCGTTTTGCGCGGCATCAATGGCTTGGTGACTATCTCGGAGTGCAAGGTCATGGTGGGGTAGCAACGGAAAAGTAAGAAAGAGGAAGAAGGAACAAAAACGGTTGACACAATTTTTATTCAATCCAGTTCCCGAAGCCTGCTGATGTGCCAGTTGTTGATTCTTTTCGCGGAAAAGCGATGTTGTGGTACGATGTCGTTAATAATGTTTGATTGTGCTCTTGTGCTCTCAATTTAAACTTCATCCCCAAAACTCTAGTAGAAGGAGGATCCTATCGTCTATGACATAGCACGGATAGGGATGATGTATCGTGTATTATGTTTTGCTGGAGTGTATGAACCATATCGTATTGTCTACGGTATGAAATCATCGTATGAACAGCCCTATTTGTGCAGTTTGATGTTTCCGTACGATGAGCTGGGTATACTGTAAGTAGGTAAGGGCCGATATATTTTGTTCTACTAGAAGCGTGTACGATTGTGATATTATTTCGTACATATCAAAAGCCCTCCTTTAAGTTTTGATGAAAACATCAAGAGCGTAAAAGAGTCGAAAAAAGTAGTTTTACAAAACAAATTATGCAATCCAAATTGGATACAAGTGGAGATATATTATGAATTAGCAGCAAACAAAGAAGATAGACAGTAGCAATGATGTGATATAGTATATAGCAGCAAAAAACAATGATGCGAAAGCAGAAACATTGGTCGGCTTAGACACGGAGGACAATTTTACCAACGGTACGATGCGACTCAATCATTTTGTGGGCCTGAGCGCCATCCTTTAAATCAAACACCTGGTCGTCCTTTAACACCGTCTTGATCTTGCCATCAGCAAGAAGCGGAGCAACATCAGTAGCCAGATGGCTCCATGGAAGGTAGGTAACCACCTGGTAAGAGCGAGAGCCAAACAATTTGCGACCCAAAACGGTTGCGACTATCTTGGCACCACCAAAGAGACCCACTTTTTCTGATCCAACATGGATGGCTGGACCCACGGCTGTGGAAAACGTGCCTTTCTTTTTTAACAGATTGACGAGTTGGTTGTAGTAGTCGTCACCGCCCACACAGTCCACGATCAGATCATACGTCTCGAATTCATCTTTTACTAACGCATCCATGGCTTCCTTGGACGTATAGTCAATGACTCGATCAGCACCTAGACCGCGTACTAACTCGATATTTTTGCTACTGCAGATGCCAACAACTTGGGTCTCAGGGAGTGCCTTTGCGTATTGAACTGCGTAGGTGCCTACACCGCCAGAAGCACCGATCACCAGCACCTTTTTGGGGCCTTCCTTGGGCAAGTTGCCTAGGCGTGTGATCGCTTGGTATGCGGTCATTACTGGATAAGAGTTTGCGTAACGTGAGTTTATAATTTCACGTGAATCACATTAAAAAGATGCAGAATATTAAGCAAGAGCCTTACAAGCGACCCCACAGCCAGCAGCTTCTTCAAATGATATGTTGTCAGGCTTCTTCACGATGCAGCCGGAACCTTTTGATGCGAGAACCTAAAAATATGTATTTATCAAAGTGAAGTTAGCTCCTTGTTTCTCAGAGTGTGGGAGGGTTTATCAATAAACACGTTACAAATTCTGCATAAGATCCTATTTTTTTTTATCACACGACTTGATAAATTAATAACTTGCAAATATCATAAATCGCTGGGAGAAGAAAAGAAAGACTATTTACCATTTGGACCGACAGGCATACTGAGCGTTCCATACACAGCATCGCCAATCTCGAATTCCGTCACTTGATTACCCTTGTCAACCACGATGCCGGCATAATCGCCACCTAAGATACGAGGAGTTGACATAAAAGGAATAACGTTGCCTTGTCGGGCTTTGGCTTCCACAGGATTGACGCCTGCGGCCTTGACCTGTATCAAGATATCAGTGGGACGGGTCACTTTCGGTGTCTCGACTTGGACATATTTGAGCGACTCTTCGGCAGAGCCAGTCTTGACAGTTTGCAATGCGTGCATTGTCTCGGGAATGTGTTTTGAATCTGTCATTTCGGACTTTTTTATTGTTGGTGGTAGAAAAAACAAAAGGTTATGGTCGTGTTACAAAAGCACAGCTGTCGTTTATATATCTTGAATTTGGGTCGGAGCGGATACGAAACAAGCAATAGTGACGCGTAGCTGCCGCTTATATATCAAAGCGAATTAAGATATATTATTTCAACTGTACTACGAGCATTCCCAGGGGCGACTGTAAACCTACCGATTCGCTAGATTTAGGAGAGATGTTCTACCCCAGGGGCGACACTATCTTAAAATTTGAGACAACGTTAGCTAAAGATAAAGATGAGTTTCGGGCGCCGTAAAGTCCCTTGATTTAAATGCCTTTGTCGCGCAACACTTTGTCTCCCGCTGGCACCTTCTCGGATGCACCGCCATCTAGCGAGGGAAGGGGTTGTAGCCCTAACTTTATCACTGTTGAGGATGATTAAATATGTATGTCATAGTTGGAAACTTGCATGGATGCTGTAGCAGGTGCAGATCAGAGGGCCGCTACTCTTTGGAAACGGATCCGTTCTCGTTACATGGACGAGATGCCCCATAAATTGGACGAACTTTCCGATAAAAATAACAGCCAAGCGTGTTGAGGTGCTGGATCGCTGGGTTAGGGCATTGGCCGGACGTCGGGAGCAGATCCACCCAAAGGTGTCGAAGTTTTGTGGGGTTTTCGCAAAGATTGAGGGGTTGATTCATAGTGGCAACAAGGCAGACGAAAACCTGGGAGCTATTCGAATTTAGTAACTGGTAGCATTATAATATTTCGGTAACATCGTTACAGTAGTTGCTGCTGGTAAGCATCAATTGCTTAAGCACATGTGTATTGTCCATTCATAGTTTGACGAAGTACTGTAACTGAGATGTACGAGGCGCTCCATGGCCATAGCTTTAGCTTTGAGCAATGTTGAAAGACTCGCTAGAGCGTATCAAAGTGGAAGACAGAAGGGAAAAAAAGAAGAGAAGCAACGGGGTTGCCAAGGGGAAGGAAAAGTGAGTCGACGACAATTCAATCTGCTGGAGAAGAAGGAGGAGGAGAACGCGAGGAACATTCAGAAGGAAGGAAGAAAGAGAAGTAGCGTACTGGCCATCAAGTCTTCGAACAGTTTGGACACGAGCAGCTAGCGATCGCTTGCAAGCGACAAACAGCACTAGAATTAATGGCAGAAGAAACCTTCATGTCGAAAGATATATTCATGATGGATGACCTTTATCGTGCGTGGTACATAGCCCGAAAAATACAAATTCTGTAAAAACTTGAAGAAGAAAATGGAGATATAGTAGTACAAGTATTAGTAAAGATTAACATTTTGGACCATAATGAAAATGGCAATATATAATAGAGATGTCATAGATGCACTCTAGAACTCTACTTAATAGAAGAGAAGGGTATGAATTACAAGTTCATTATTGTTTATTATCGCCGTGACGAGACCACAAATATTCAATAAGATCACCTTTATCTGATATTAAGTAGAGCGATCACCGATGTTTCTATGTCTATAATAATACATGTCCTAATGACCTTGTTCACATCGTGGATCTTCTAGTATCTTGCAGGTTGGCGAATGATGATGAAAAAAAAAAATGTCCCTCATTAGACACCACAAGACCCTTGCGCGCTGTCCTCTTTCAACTTTGGCAAACAACTACAGAGCCAGCAAAGAATCAAGATATTTGTGATGCAGCGACAATCTCAATTCTCTGACTGGCCCATATACCTTCTTTCTTTGGTGACTTTGGAGCAGGAGAATAGACTGCATCAAGGTTGCCCACTTGGGGAATATAAATGCCGTGCGTCAGCCAGATAATAACTCATCTCTGTACTGATGGCCGTTGATGCTGCAATCAGCTGATGGTGCTTGTCCTGAAGTGACATTTTCAAAAACAACTACGATTGGTCGGGCACGTTGATGTCGGTCAAACTACCAGGGTAACCCGAAAAATATGTCATAGAATTCGGCCGCTTCGAGCACTAATCCTTCTCCTTGCCGACATTCCGTACCATGCAGTTGGACAATTTTTTTCCCACTGCCAATGCGTACAGTCCAAAGAGCCGAGCATTCCAGGAAACCCACGTTTCTCATCAAATGGTACGTGGTCATTCGTCGATGTCATTTATGTTAAGAGCGCGAAGGTACTATTGAATCATGTTGTGTAACGTTTTTCAACAATGCTTGCAGAAGCGACGAGTGAATATCTTTGTATTGTATGTCGAGATACGAGCAAAATAATCATTGGAAAGTCGATCATGTCCAGCGATGCGACGACAATCGATGGTAGTCCTGTCCAGCCAGGAGCCGACCGCTCTTTACTGATATGTCCATCATCCCCTCCGTTGACCTGTTGCAATCGACGCTTGTATTGAATACGGCGGTGCTGCTCTTTGTATTCTTCTTCGTCGATCAAAAAATTCCAAGATAGCTCGTTGCGTCAGTCATTGTTGGAAGGGGTGCTCGCTGACCACGCGCAACACAACACCATTTGTTATCAATAAAGCTAATTCAAAGCTAGTTACATAAACTCTATGATCGGAGTGCGCTGATATTAGGTCGGCGTAAAATAACCGTTGGGAATGCATCTTTTAAATAATGATTTCTCTCTCTCTCTTGCGATGAATACTGTACTATGTATATGTGCGCGTGTGAAAATGCATAAGACATGCTTATAGTTTACCGGAGCGATAGAATGCTTCAATTACGGGTTTTCTTCAACCACTACAGCTACAGGTGCAAATGCTCTAACTGTGATCTTTACCCCGTGTCAAAGGTAGCGCCACTGCTGCCGCCAAGAATGGTGGGTGCAAGTAAAAAAACTCAGATCGGCTTATGCAGGCTGTTGCCACACACCTGCCTTTTCTGAAATACGCTCTGAACTTGGCATCATCCCATCCCACTCTCTTTCTCTCTCTCTTTTATTTTGTCTTCGGTTGTAGTACCACATACGCAGCTTGGAAAAAAAATATAAAATGGACGACGATCCACCACCTACAGACACCTCGCCATTACCGTCACCGTCCCCGTCACTCCCACCCATCGACGATAATAATGACCCTGCCAACAACTACGCTCCTCTCATTCTCGGCACTATTGCACTTTTCATGATCGCAGTAGCTACCGTTTCACGCTATGGCAATGTAAAAGAGCAGCCCTGGTACGTTTCCGTTGTCTGCATCATTGGCTGGTGTTTTCCGTTCTGGATTGTTCTCTTGTTGCCACTCGACATTGCTTCGGTAATAAATCCAATTACTATTTTTTACTATACCCGCACCCCCAAATTAATATATCGACACTATTTTATTAACAATTAATGGCGGGGTTGGGGAACGACAATCCTTTCAATTGTTATTTAGACAATGTACGATAACTGTGAAGGCGAGTGCCAGACACCATTTGCGCACGTGTCACAATCATTCCTATATGTAGCTTGGCGGACACTCTATTGGACATCTTTTTGTTTGACCTGGTAAAAGAACAAGAAAAGAGGGGTTGAGGAACCCTTGTCTGTTTTATACCGAAAAAAGAAAAAAAGAAAGATGAGATATGTAGATATTCAAACCATGGTTATTTTTTATTCGGATATTCCAGGGTGATGATACCAATGATGCAGGCATATGTCAATACCGGCGACTTTGGCTTTACCCAAAGAGTCAAGGCGGCCGTGCAAGTCAACCTCCGCTTTTACTCCATCTATGTCGTTGTTGGATTTTTTGGATTATTGTATCTCATTTTTGGCAGTGGATATACAACAAAGTAATGAGTTCATAATATCGGAGTATTTCGTTGATACTAACGGATGTATGTTATTAGGGAAAAGATTCAAGGTTTCGTAATGGCAATGGCCAATAGCTGGGGCTTGTTCCTAGTCATTGTCTTTTTAGGATATGGTCTGGTGGCGGTTCCTAGAAGGTTGTGGATCACCGGAAACACAAAGCGGCATCTCCGTCAACTTTATGCAAATGCATCCAAGGGAAAGGAGGAATCCATGGATAGTGAGTTGGAGTTTATCGAACTGGCAAAGGTACTCTATCCCATAAAGCGTCTCTAACTATGCATAAATTTCAAGAACTCATGTGTATCTGTGTATATACTAGACTATGCACGCTATTGCACAAAGAATCACTCCAAGCGATCCCTTTGTCCGTAACCGCGTGGATCAAATGATCCGTCGATTTCCATTTGTACTTGACAATGACTATAGTGACCGAGAAAACTCAATTCGTCTGCCGCGAACAATTACCGAAGAGTATCTGGTCAAATTATGCAAGGATATGATTATTGCTTCGAGAATGCGTGATAGAAAACTAGCGTAAGTATCGATTATTGGAGAACATCCTCAACCCAGAGTATATGGGCGGGAGCAGGGAAGGAAGGAGATGTAGGGACGGGAATAGAGGATACTGGATGGATACAAGCCGAAACGGATTGAAAGTAGTTATTGATACCCTGCTTTATATTAGATTATGGAGAAACTTGCTACACGAGGCGTTTTATCTCCAAGATGTCATCTCCAATAGAAGCAACACTGACCAGTAAGCACATACATATTTCTGAAATTGAAGAGTTTTGTTTCGGGTGATTTGGAAAGGAATTGGCTCGATTAAAAGAAGGAAGCAGATACTTATCACAGTAAACATATAAATATTTATCCAATCGTAGCCGCTTTCACTCGACACTAAGACCGCTTTCAGAGAACACCAAGTGGAATGACTTTAAGGCATGCTTAGGTAAATGGTCAGGCTCGTATTTAGTGCCGTAAAGAAAATGTTTTAATTTTCAAAATGTATGATAGAATGGTGGTGGGTTTTACGACTTGAGCCAGTATTCCATCGTGGCGTAGCCATTTTGTGTGCACTTGTCAGCATCTGCATCCTCTGGTCAGAGCTCGTGTTTAATATCAAGAACCCTGTCATTTCTTTGGTAGCACTCGGATTGAAAGGATGTGGATTTAACTATGCTGCTGTAGAGGTAAAAACTACATAATGATTCTGTATAAAGAGAGGTGAACAGATGTTGCGCGCATACAAGTAAGACTCATTTTTTCTTGCTCTAGCTCATGGCATTCTTCACCTTGACGTTCATGTGCCTTTGCGTATATACTTCATTGTTTAAAGTTCGCTTCTTTAACCTATATCTACTCATCCCGAACCATCATACGGATGAAAACAGTTTACTGTGGTTCACTGGATATCTATGTAAAATGATGTTAGTATTTTTTTATTGGGGAATGCTAATACGATAGAGGAGTGCAGTGGGCTGATATCAAATGATTACTTTTGCCTGATTGATCTAGGGCCCCCTTATGCTACAACTATATAAACTTGGCAGGAAACTCAAGTGGTGCAGAAAAATCAGTGTTTAATCAGGTAAGAAGAAACACACATGGACTCGCTCTTTGTGTTATACATCACATCTTTGGTCGTCCCATATGACTTCTCGATTCCATAAACCTAACAGGCTTTGTATATCTTTTTTGGTATTTGTTGGATTGGGTGCTAGTTTATGGGTCACGCTGATCTGATACCTTTTCTGGGAACTACGTTCATCGACTGGTTCCCCGTGGTCATCCTCATCCCTGCTGTTTCGGCCTATTTCAATGTGGGTGGTCGATGTTTGAGTATTTGTGGCGTCAAGGATCCTTATGAGAATGACGAAGAAAATCCGGATTCAGAGGGTCCTGTCGCTCTGAGTGCAGATATTGCGGATGGCAAAGCGCTCATCGATGAAGGTATGAGATGATTCTTCTCATTACTATGCATTATGCTAACCAGAACCTTGACAATGATAGAACGCATGATCATGGAACGGAACATAAACCCAGATTTATCTAATCAACGGGGTATTCTAAATCGGGCACGAAACGCTTTGGAGGTACATATCTATAGTGGTATATATGTTTGTATAACAGAAGTATTTTGCTTACATAACCCTCTGTTGGCCCTGGAATATATGTAGGCATACACATCCAAGTATAATAATCGCGCATCCTCTGTCCACAGCACACATAGTTCTAGATCCTTGAACACCTTTGCCAACCACCGTTCGCCACTCTCTTCCAATATCCGACAAGAAAGAGATCGACGGATCGACGAGATTTTATCTGGTCGGACAACACCAAACTCGATTGCCAGTACAAGTAGTGGCAACCGATATGTACATAACAACAACAGCAGTGGACAAGATAGTACGAGCAGCAGAGAGACATCTTCAGATGAGGAATCGGGTCTCCAAGCATTTGGTGAAACGTTAAAGTCAAAGCTAAACACACTGTTTACAACAAAAAAAGGGCAACAGGATGCACAACCCTTATTGGATCCACAGCCTCAGACTCAGCATCAGCATCATCCAGGCAATGGTGGTGGTGGTAGCAGCACCAGAGCCGGCAGGGTACTTGGACGACCCACATCACCTGAGTATGCTCGATCACGGTCCCCCTCACCGACACCAGATACCACTCGATTTTCGCTGGCTGCGGTCTCCTCTGCGGACAGAAATAGCAACACCAAGCCTTTCACTCGCTACGAGAGTAACAGCAACAATAATAACATGTTTAATGGCATTTAAGCTTAGAGGAAAAGAGCGGATAGTATACAGCACATAGCATTATCATAATAGCAAACTATAATAATATAGTAAATACCACCACCATCCCCTATATTACTTATATATATATTTATTTATTTATTTTTCTGTACACAAAAAAAGAAAAGAAAAGAGAACTATGACATGACAATTTGAGGGAGGGAAAAGAAAAAGATATACTGAGTTGTGAAGGAAGAAAAAGACAGCGACGAGGAGAGAGAGGAGGGCATATGATGTTTCGACAAGGAAGAGGAGACAAGTTGCAAAGCGAGTGGTTAATGATGACGATGATGAGAGAGAGAGAGACAAGCAATGCTTATGCAGAGCATTTCTTGTCATCCTTTTTTTCGAGATAGTCAATGATGATTCCCATGTCTTTTTCGTTAAACCTTTCTTCGGAGCACTTGGCCTTATCCTTGAGCTCCCAACAGAGATGGTCTAAATCAAAGTCAGGACAATAGTCTTTGAGCTGACGATCAATCTCATAGGCACTTGGGTTCGTTGTCTTGTTGTCTCGTAATGATTTCATCAAGACTTGACACTTTGTATCCTGTTGTGATGAATCTGGCTGTGCATAGTAGTTGTTGTTGTTGTTGTTGTTGTTCAGAGCAGTAGGATCGATATTGTCGTTGTTTGGCGCTGGTGCAGATAAACCAAACAAATCCACATCGCCACCAAAAAGAGGCGGTAAATCTGCCTGAAATAGGAAACTGTCCGCGGACTGGGGCACCCGATAATCAGTGAATGCAAATTGATTGTGATCCTTGTTGGTCGGTGTGTCAAAGAGGTGGCCTGTGTTGCTGGCAAAGGGTGCAAGCAGATCATCGATCGACAACTCCTGAGAGTTCTGGAAGGTTGAAAACGGTTGTTCTCCAAACAATGCACTCTGCTGCTGCTGTTGTTGGTCATCATTTGTGGCGGTAGTTGTAGTAGTAGTAATAGTAATGTCAGCTGGCTGATGCTGCTGTTGATGCTGCAGATCGTTTCCTTGCTGCTGCTCATCATCCTCTTCCAAACTCGAAAGATGATCGAGCGTCATCGAAGGAGACTCGCCGCTACTGGACCGTTCGCTATTATTGCTCGAACCAGGTGATGACGATGATGTTTTGTCGCCTGTGATGCTCAAGCTGCCGCAGCTGCTGCTGCTGGTACTGTTGCTACTCCGATACTGGTACTCGTCCTCATGAATGATTGCTGCCTTTGGTGGGAACTCAAATGTAAATGGCGTCCCCTTGAGCGAGTAGTTTTCCTCCTGCAGCTTCCGGAGCTGCTCTTTCAAACGAGCATTTTCTTTGGCCAAGTGGCTGTGCGATGCATTTTCTTCTTCGAGTTCCCGAATCCGATCTTGCAGCTCAGACACATGACGCTCTTTACGTTCACGGAACGCACGTTGTGCTGCTCGGTTTTGTTCTTTCCGTTTTTGCTTTGGATCCAATGGTGCGTCCTGTTATTGTATATAACAGTATTACAAGGATTTAGTGCATGTATTATATGAGAAAATAATAGGGAGGGCTGGTAAGTCGGGTAATCAACTTTACCGATAGTACGGTCTTTTCTAAAGGCCTACGACCAGCTCGCTTGGGACCTGTTGCACTGGCTACATGATGTTAACATTTAAGGTTACTACTACGGAAAGTTGGAAAGATATGTGTCTCAATGAGGTTGTTTCGCTGACCTTTATTATTTGTTCTTTTGTTATCGGCTGAAGAAGAGGAAGTAGTCGAACCTTTACATTTCACAGAAATTATTAAACTGTGTGAAACTGCATTTCTTATCAACAGAACAAAAAAAAAAGCAACAAGCGGCTTACTGTCGTCTGACAATTTGCTAGCAGCAGCAGTAGCAGCAGCAGACTTGCGTTTTGAACCAATTCGCTTCTGTTGGTCTACTGCTGAAGCATCGGAACTGGGATCCTGGGAACGATAGTTGCTGGCAATGGCTTCATTCAAAAGCTCTTGAGCATTGTCATCAATGCTCCAATCAGGTGAACTGTCGCTGGTGGTTTGTGGGAAATCGTTTGCCGCTGCCAATTGCTGTTCGAATGATCCTGGAATGGTCGAGACCATGATTGTTTGCTGTTATGTATGCAGATTTATATTTTATATATACACAAAATAATAAAAAACAAGACACTAGAACTATAAGCAGAAGATTTGAGAAAAAGCACGAAGGGAAAAAGAAAAGGGTAAACGTGGGACCCAGCGAAATGGAACAGAAAAGTAAAAATACGAAGGAAAATCGAGACGGACGTTAAAAGCGCAAGTCCCGAAAAAGTCCGCTTCTTATGCGGTGCAAAAAGCTTAGTGGTTCTACTGTTTGTTGTGTATCATGTAGAAAAGAGGAAGAACCCCACCAACAAAATGTGTTCGCGTGGGTATTGTTGTGTATCAACTTGATTTGCATAGACAATCTGTACATCCCAGCCACTACAAGTTAATTGGTTCCGGCACAAATCATTATCATTTGGTGTAATGTGCTGGGATGCTATGTAGTATGTGCAAAGTCCATGATAGCTATATATACAAATCCTGCTGCTGTGCGCGCATGTATAACTGCTTTTTGAGATATACTGGTCTTACAATACGCTGTATATTTTTCACAATAGTAACTAGGGCGTCCAAAATTGGTAAAACGATTACGTATGCTTGCTGCAACGTTTTCGTATCTTCCCCTACCCCCTTTCTCCTCTTAAACACCACCCTTGATTGCTTTCTTGTCGTCTGATGAGCTGTCATATCCAATGGCTAAGCAGCAGAAACAGTAAAGCAGTCAGTAATATGTAGATAATCGTGACGGAATGGGTATACATGTACATTAGGCGTGTATTATGACTCATAATCAAGCTCACTATATATCGCAGTGTCATCAGCCTCGGCGTGTAACTCGCCGTGCTTTTAAAATAGTACGAAAGAAAGAGGAAGAAATGAGCGTCACATCCAGGCAGATCAACTATTATATTGTTGAGAACGAAAATATGTACAGTAATGTGCTCCACTACTCAGTTCTGTCTGTTAAACAGCAGAAGTAATGTTCCTTGGTCTTTTTGTCTGTTACATCTGCTGCTCCTCTTGCTGCTGAAGTGGCTGATTCGTAGCTATTACTGTTGGCTGCAGAAACATATCGAATGAAAATTTGCTCCAGCCGTACTACGTATACAACGCCTTTTTTATACTTTACTTCTTAGTTATTTCCGTTTCCTAAACAACTTCGTTCGTTTTTCACCAAAGATCGAGTTAACAGGAAAGATACTTCTGCTGCAGTTAAAAGGCACTCTTCCTCGACTGTACACAAAGGAGATTCATTTGCTACAGCATATCGCCTGCCACCTCTATCAAATTCACAAGCATACTGTGGTTCTTCTATTAACATCGACGACGCATTCGCTTCACAACATTATTCAATCTTTTTGTGCCTTTTTATTGAGATAAGATGTCCATGTCACACCGGCACCAACAGCCATACATACCTTGTAGATAATAGCTAGGATTTCTTTCAGTTAAAAAGGAGCAAAAACACTCTACTTATTTCATGGAAATTGATGCAATGCAAAGTGCAAAAGAATCAAATATCCGCCCACTGCTTACTATCATGTCACGCAGCATAATATGGATTGATTTTGTTTTCTTGATATTGTTAGCACAATAGAGTGACTAAACTACGCTATTGAAATACTAGACCTCATAGCCGAGGCGTAAGCACTGACTCACATTGTCCGTCCCTCCACTCACTTTTGTTTGTAGTTGATCCCCAGTCACTTCCAAATGATACAGCTATAACATATATATTATACATATTTTATTTCTTTGGACTTTCAAACAATGAGGAACGAAATGGTAACACATTCTGAATCAGTGCCAGCCGAAGATTAAAGATTGGAAACTCGTCTCGAGATATGAAAGGCAGTAGTCAATAAATTCATGTGCAGATATAATACTCGTGATCATGAATTACAAACGGTTAAAAGGCACTTAAATGTACCAATAAACAAAGGTGATATTCACTACGAAACGTTGGCTATACATACTATATCGGTGCACGATAATTATTAATTATGCCATCAGCCGCTGGAAGACGAGTTGATAGCATTAGCAATAATTGTAAGCAGCGCCCACACGACCGTACAAATATCGATTAACCATTCTGATGTTGCCAAATGCTTTGATTGAACTCGTATATAATGTTACAACGTAGCCATCAAGACATGTATAATCAACCATGCACCAACTGTTCTTGATGACCGTACCTATGCTGCTTAAGGACAATATACATCTTTTTTTCTCTGCTTGGCTGAACATCGCATCATATATATTCAATGATGGTGCATATACTGCTTCAGTGGTGTCGAATTAATCATCGCATTCTTTTGCTACACCGCCATCGAGTCGAACTAAATGAAGAAGAGGATATGCAATATGGAATGAGCACGTTCTAGAGAAACTATATAGTACTGTAGGGGTTTATGCTAAAATGTAAGCAATGACTACTATCTGTGCGACTCTCGTGATACTACCATCAAATTGAAACCTGCCGTCATTGTGTAAAAGTAAAGTGGCACCATCACTGGTAAGGGGGCATGATATGAGCGTAAAAATAACTAGGAAAGCAATCAAGGTTGATAAAGGTGAATTCGTTCTTCATTATACAGTTGAACCCCGGTTTTTGCAACCCCTGGGGCAACTTTTTTTTTTGAAAAATCCAAAAAAACTTAGTAGTTTTGCAAATTTGCAACTTGCATATATATGCAAATAGTAACATTTGGAGCTGTGTGAAATCCCCACAGAACGTATCGTACATCATCTCTAACAGATAAACAATGGGCTAGTGTTTATAGGATGACTTATCTAGCATCTATTTGAAGCAGAATTGTTTACCCCGTTACTTGCAAATCCTCACTTTTTGCAAAAAAAAAAAAAATCGGAAACCCTCGGTTGCAAAAACCGGGGTACAACTGTAGTACATACTTTTACTCCTTGTCAATTTACATATATATCAACGATGTATGTACATTTATGATAGCAACATAGAGAGCAAAAGCTAGTTCAGTCTTCCTTACTCTCAAAGAAAGAAAAAAAGAGATGCAAACGAATTATTGAAAAGTAATATGCAAAAGGCAACCATGACTGAATCAACCCACACTTGTGACAAGCATTTACTGACGTGAGTCAGCAGGAAGCAAAGGTAGTCTAGGAACGAGGAGCTCAGGAAGAGCGCAACACAGATCTTTCTTCTTTGGATAGTGACAAAGTGGTGCGTCTGTCAAACCTCGAACGTTCCCTTGAAACGAAAACTTCGTAGAGTGAAAGCGCCAATTTACTTGGTACTCAAAATGCACAAAGGGATGGCGAGCGAACAAGGTGATCAATGGAGCAACGAGTTACGCGCAAAAGGGTCAAAAGATGTACAGTAGGAAGTCATCGTTTATGGTGTTATTCTTCTGATCGTCCCAATGGATCTTGAAAGCTGCTAAAAAAAAGGTAGAACCCGCACAAAAACAAACGAACCGATTAACTTTATCAGCAGCAATGAAAATCAATGAAGGGTGAGTCAGTTTCACTAGCGGCAGCGTATACTTACCATGAGCGGACAGCTTATCTGCGGCAGCACATACATACTTGGATAGAGTATGAATTCGGAATGGATGGAGGGAGGTTACACGGCGTAGTTCAGAGAACTGTTGGCGGATGGCGAAAATTATAAAGCAACAGTAGACAAGCACGCTTCACAATAAAAGATAACGATCTTTGATACACTGCAGCGTTGGAGTCAAGTGTGTGTTGTATCTATTCCCGCACACCGCACATGCAGTCAAAAGATACTAGCAAAATGGAATCGTCTGTGGACTAAGCTTTATACTGTTTATCTTGTTGGGTGAAATGGAAACTGGCTGCTGGGAGGATCGTGTCCTTGATATTTACTAAACAACTGATGCCGGAGAGCCTTTTAGGTTGTCTGCCTTGTCAATCACTCCTGTATTGCCATTTGATTGCTCACAGAAAAGCATTTCTTCCGTGAATCTACATGCTCATTCACATTCGTGTCTTTGTTTTCGCTTGACACGGTGCCGTGCACGGACCCCCTCACAACCAAGCGGCGACAGCATCGGAGGTACAGCAGCCCATGGTGAGAGACACGTACCACTACCGCCGAAGCACGCTTGTCTACTTGACCATCAGGTACCACTCCTCCTTTCATTTCCTTTGGTGCTGTATCTTTTGTTATGCCATAGTAGGCAACCCACAAGTTGATACGCAACCCGTTATCTGGGCCAATGAGAATTCACGGGGATTTGAAGTCCCGAACGAGAAAAATGTCTATATAAAGCGAGCAATTTCGCCTTTCTTTTTTCTCTTCTCTTCAGTTCGTTTTGGTACAGCTTTGGTCTGTAGTACAGATGCACTGCTCTGTGCCATGATCGGGTCATTGCTTGTGCTGGCTATTGTCATAATTCTTCTGATGATCGGCAGATTCAGTGGTCCGCGCCCTGAAGAAAATTTGCAATATATACCAGTGGGAATGTGGTCATATACTCCGGCAGCCGATCGTGAACCTTCGGGTGCATGTGATGCCAACGGTATATGTTGGGATAATTAAAACGAACTTTTTTTTTATTATTTATTACACACAAATAAGAAAATGATAAACAAAATAAAAATATATTTTTCTTTTTCGCACTTTCCGCATAAACGTTTTACCGCTTTTGCCTCGCCTTTTTTTTATGTGCACGACAAGTTCCTTTTTCTTTTTTCGCGAACAAAAAGCTAATTACTCCCCCCTCCATCCATTCACAGCTCCGTGCTAAACAAAGCGGGGAACAGTGACAGTGGCTCTGTATCGTAGCCGAAAGTAACACGATCACAATGCTTTGGCACTCTTTTTCACTTTCTGTGTTCGCCTAAATTGCCAAAGCAATTGTCAAGAAAAAAATTGTTATCGAGGATATGGTCGGTTATTTTATAAGAGGCAACGCCAGAGCATACGCCAGCAGACCTGTATAATTGTCAGATCTGTAAAAAATTGGAATGTTTTTTTTTCAGCTGTTCGTCTCTCTCACTCTTCCTGCACGTAGCTTATCACAACACAATTTTCTTATCATTTTGGGTTTCACCTGGATCGAAAAGCTTGCACTGATCTTTCCGATGTGCCTGCTTTTAAAGCGTGATTCTTGTAACAGCTCTTTCCCTCCCCTTACACCTTCACTTCTCTCTTCCTTTTCTTATTTAACTTTACTTCGTTACATATTTTCAAGGTATGCGTTACCTATTTGAAAGTGATGATCGCTCACCAAAGATATCAGGGGGACCTGTTGAAGATATGATATATTTGCTCTACCGAAACATGCACGCATCCACACACACAGGGATGCTGTGTTTTCCAGGCCAAGCGATTCGTTACTTATATATGACTTTTGCAGCTCGCAAACAATAAACCCGAGTATTGATTGAAGCCTTTTCCTTCGTATCGAGAAGTCGATGGTTTTAGAAAGAGCCTGTTCTAATGTGTATCTGCGTATCGCTATGATAGCATAGATTTAATGAAGTTACTGGTGGTTACAATAGATCAATCTTCAGGGTCCCCCTTTTCCAAATAAAATTCAGGTGAGCTACCTGGTTCGACTTGCTTTTCCTTTGTCGGACATATTATTTCACGAGTCCGGATTATGTTATACAGGCTTTGTTCGATTAAAAGCCTCGTGCCAAATTTCTTTTCGCGCGTCCCCTTTCACATATGTAGCAGAAAATGATTTGCCGTCGGAAACATCAGAGTCAAATCAGTCATGCGTTTTTACATCATCATCCATCGACATAATTCTCGGGAAGCAGGCATGAATAAATCAAGGAGGGTGTGTATTTTAATTTTTTTTTTCATCTTCGAATAGCATATACAATAATGGTAGCACCTCATTTATTCCGTAATTTACAATTTACAATATGTTTTGAATATTAGCGCCAAAGCGTTGCTGTGCAATAGTGCATGATGTCAAGGACCTCTTCTAATGTATATCTGGTGTGCATATTGACACCTTGCATAGGCGGCAATTTGCACTGACAAATATTGGAACAGTGCGCTTGTTGTGCAGCGCATATGTAGCACACACCATATTTTAACATGAATGGATCGTCGTGTTGATTATGTTACAAATGATAGTTATTCTAAGCTATAAAAAGTCTTATTCTACTGTACATACACGAATTATGAGAATACGCACTGTAGTAATTTGGTCATCGTTCAGTATACTTCTAGCAGCTGTCCTTAATACCAAAGATGCAGTATGGCTTTTTCTCAATACCAAAACGATACTGCACATCGCGCGCATATGAGTAAAGATAGCCATTTGCTTGAGAGTGTACAGCAAGCATCAAATAAAAAAAAGCCTTTGATGAAACTAAGCTTTAGTAGTCATACTATATACTATATTGTTTACCCGTAGAAGTAAGCGTGTTTTACACGGAAGTGTTGTATAAATTGTGTTCTACAGACACGACTTCATTAATTAAAATTATGGTGTCTTCTCTTTCAGGTTATTAATATTTCGTCCAGTTTCTTTAGCTTGAGATTCAGTAACAGGCAGCAAAAACTTTTTTACATATAGAGAACCCCGAAGCTTCCGCACTCGCTGTTCGCTTAAACCATACTTTTAATTAGTAGCTCTTCTATGTGTATACCTCATAATGAAGCTGCATGTCCAAGTATTCTGTTACTGTATATGCCATATGTTCCTTTAACGTGATGTTTATGCAGTAAACAAAAAAGTAAAGCGAAAATGCCGGTAAGGCACATAATCACGCTTTTATGGAGTGTTAATGGTTTTTTTCGTTTAAGCTATAAGGGTTTTGTTGAAGCCGTTTTGTGTACATGAAGTAGTTAATGCGCAATATTTAGTTTTACATATAAAAGTGCGCTCTTACACTTCAAAAACGCCTACATTCGTTCTTCTTGGTGGCAGTATTCTTATTACACAATGTCATTGAATTTGGGACGTACCTTGAGAAAAACATGTATAAGAAACGCGTGATTTGCGATGCTCCCATGAACTATGCATATCGCCTTCTACGAAGCCCGCAAGAAATATGCATAAACGCTCAAAGCATGCATGAATGTGCATGTGCTTATCATCAGCATTATGATATTACTTTATACGCATATAAAATAACAAAAGCTGTATCATTTTCTGTAGTCTTACATGGTAGAACAGTTCTACCCCGTACCTATTTTCATTTTATCACGAAGCATAGGGTAATAGAGTTTGCCAGTAGCATCTATAGTTCTCGAGGAAATAAGTGTTAATATACAGTCGGCAACAACGTTCGAGAACGGATTGTGCATCGCTTATGCATGCAGTAGCTGTGCATGATCGTATCAAACTTGAATTAGCATCTAGGTCTTTATAAAGCCATCAGCTAATTGTTTTTTACACGTCTTTTACACCCAAAAACTTTTAGAGATATGCTTACAGATATATCAGTTTGACTCCACGAAACTTTCTCAAAAAGAGATAATCATGTCTCAGAGAACGTCGTAAAGGTCTCCGTAGCAATCGGCCTAGTAGCTCTATCTGGCATTTACTATCACTTTCACAGTGCTCATCACAATTCTGCCTTGGAAGAATCGAGGAAACAGCATCCTGGAGGTGCAAAAGGCGAGCCGCGAGACATTCTCTTTCTTACAACTACCCGCACAACTTTTGCACGACCTACATATACATCCCAGCCAACAGTAACATGTTTGAACTTCAGCTTGTGTTAGTGGGCTTCAGCAACATCCATCATTTTAACCAATTACCATGGTGAGTATAGTAGTGCTAGTTGTGAACTTCATAAGATAGAACGAAGCGAATAAGCCTAAAACCGTCGTTGCCTTTGTTATCATGTAGTTTCATCTCCTTGCCGTTAATTCGCGCAATCCCTTCACCAAAGGGCTCTATTCCATACTTTGGTAAGCCAGAAAACATTTTTTTATTAACGCAGCAATATAAAAAATAAAATTGTGTTAATTATATATATCGGTTACCCTTAATATTAAGGTCACTATTTCCAGGTTCCCATGGATGGTTGTGCTCTTAAATTTCACGAATGGCATAAGCAATATGGTTTGTTTTTCTGATACTCTCTTCCCGGACGATGTATTTGGGTATAATGCCAATGTGTCGAATTCTGATGATAAAACAACATATCCACTGTTAGGTCCAGTTATTCGGGTGAAAATGGGTGTTGTGTCCTGGTACGTAATTGGCGATCCTGACATTGCAAATGAAATACTCAAAACCAGGGGAAATCTCAGTTCTGGACGTCCACACCATCACTTTCTTTTATGGAATTAATCAAAGGTAGGTGTTCGATCATACAAACTCTATACTATATCGGGTATACGTACCCAATCGATAAGAGTCGAAATCATCGTCGTTCATCTTTGTATTTTCTTGTCTTTATTATTTAAATTTAAAGAGGTCCTGCCTTTACAAAGCCAGAGAAACGATGGAAAAGGAGTCGTGCTGCAGGTTAGTATTACGACAGATGTCAAGTAAATACACATAACACACTTGACTGTTTGTAAAACAGTTAGACTAACTTTGACATGAAGCGCAGCTTATTTTGAGTACTAAAGGCGTCTCCAATCTGAACCGTATTATCGAACGGAAGGCTGACCGTGCTGCCGCGCTACTTTTAAAAAGTACAATCAATGATGGGCATGTCAACTGCGTCGAGGCTATGTACCACTATCCACTCAGCGTAATGATGCAGGCTTGCTTCAGTATAACGAGCAATCAAGCTGAGGATCCTTTGACACAGGCTTTACTTGATACAGCAAAAAAAAACATTTTTGTGGGGTGGAGCCAGAGACAACATGTACAATATTCTTCCGACATTTTATGGTGTTACGAACCAAATATTTACAAAGAAAGATAAACAAATGCGTGAATTTGTTGACAAGGAACGCAATCCGCTTTATCGTCGACTGGTTAAGGAGGCCCTAGAAACAAAAGAAGATAGTGACAACTTTGTCAACAATTTGTACAGGCTCAAGGCACAGAACGAACTGGAAGATGAAGATATTCTTGTCCTTGCGGGTAAGTTATGTTTGATAGAAAATGCTATTATATTTTTCAGAGATTGCTAACTACAAATCGAATATGACTTGTATGGCGGATATGGTAAATGCCGGGACAGATTCCACGGCAACGTCAGTTGCATGGGCGTTTGTGATACTCAGCCATTTTCCAGATGTACAGAAACAGCTCCGTGACGAGGTCGACGCGTTCATTAACAAGCACGGACGGCTTCCAACTTATGAAGAAAGAGAGAACTTTCCGTTTTTACTTTCCACGCAAAAGGAATGCTTGAGATATAAGTCCCTTGTACATCTTGTGTTACACCAAGTCTCTGAAGATAGTAAGTTTTTTTTTTGACCAGATATTCCCTATATTATGCGAAGATACATAGTTTTATATTGTGTCCGCTAACAAGAGTCCTAACACGAAACAGTCGAATGCAAGGGATATATTATACCGAGAGTATCAATTGTTGTTTCTAATACATACACCCTGCATCAAGATACGACGTTTTATGACAATCCAGAGAAGTTTATTCCGGATAGATCCATGGAAGACCAGACGCCAATGTCCGTGTGTGCAAATTCGCGTGAAAAACGCGATCAATTTACTTTTGGTTGGGGAAGGTGAATGACGGCGAATCATAAGATACTTTATTGTTTCATAATATTTTACTCACTATTCCCGCCGCTCGCTTCGCATTGCTAGACGAGTTTGTCCTGGAATTCATATGGTAAGCTTACATTCTACGTAGTTGTGTATATATCACACATGTGAACATCCATGTACTAAACGCTCTAACGTGGCAATTATTTTAGGCTGAAGTTGAACTGTTCCATATCTGGGTGAGGGTTTTTGCAACCACAATAATCGAACCACCTCTTGATAACAGCGGGAAGCCTGTGTATCCAAATTTGAACGCTATCGAAGATTTGGGAATCATCGTTGCTCCAAAGGAGTCGAATCTTGAATTCATTGAACGCAGAGATCGTCTTATCTAAATCCCCACAACTGTTTGCAAAGGATTTAAATTGAACATATATAGCTGTGGATTGCATTGAATGTGATTTCTATCAACTGTGTCAGGTGTTTTTCTTCTTGCAAAATAAAGGATTTATCTTAACGTATTGCACAGTGTTTAATATATATGTACTTCCTTCCTAAACAACTTGTATTTAATTAAGAATATGAAATTTACAAGCAATGAAATACTTCGATAAATACGTATCATATTCGGTACAGCTGCGAATTGAATATTTATACACTTGAACTTTTTATCATATATTCAAGAGATACATTTTTCCCAAGTTGGTAGTACATAGGTATTCGCTACAAAGGTCTTGCAGTCGCTGCTAGGGTAGCTGTTTGTGTGAATCAGTGGTGTCGTGCATGCATTACAAAGTTGCATATATATATATATACTGATACTAAAGCCTGTATACTGTATTCCGCTCGTCATCTTGCTTTTATTACTATTGTTGATTGCCTCATTGGCGACAAAGAATACGTTATTAATCAAGCTCGATTGATTTGGTCTTAGGTAATTATAAGCAAGCACTTCATTTTTTAATAATTCAGCGGTACCATTCACTATGTATGAATGCATCAAGCCAAAAAACACACTCGCTTTCTGTAGTATTCTAATTGTTGATTTTGTGCAACATTGTCGGGCATGAATTCTTCGCCATTTCATAAGCGTAATTTATACTGTTTTGCTTTCTTCTTTTCACCTTGGTCATGATTGCGGATGGTTCTCTTTTCTTGTTGGGGCCAAGATATAGTATATATGTATATAAAATAACTTGGATATAGCAAATATTATTGTAGTTGGTTTGAGGATCTCATAGCTCTGGTTACTTTGCATATAGTGTGCTGACGAAGCAGACACATGTTGATTGTTTAAACGCAAGGTTTAGCGGGACTTAATACTTTATCATACTTTTTAAGATAGATCGAAACAGTAAAAGCAAAAACTTTTCTTTACTGAGTAGAGCAGACGATAGCTTTGATCCCAGTGATATCGAGAGTACGTTCTACTGCCTACTTTATACACGAAATAAAATGACTTTTAAAAGAACTTACATATACATTAAGCCGTTTTTTCGCTTCTGAAGAACTTTGTACTACAGTAAACGGAGTGCAGAGAAAAAAAGAAAATCCCACTTTTTTTTCGTTATTAAGCTTTTCCTTTCTCTTCTTTGCTTTAGCTTTTTTTTGCTCCATACGACTGATTGTTATTATGTCTGACAGCAGTAGTGCAGCAAACGAAGAAACTATGTATGCTTTACAGACGGTCGCTCTTGGTAAAGCCAAAGACAGTCTCAAATACGTCCAGGTACCCAAACCAAAGCTCAGTCCGAGTCAGCCTACAGATGTACTTATTCAGGTGAAAGCAGCTGGAATCAACCCAGTGGAAGCAAAGTTCAGAATGGGGAATGTTCCTTCGTTGCTGGTTAAACTGCCTTCAATTTTCGGTACCGACTATGCAGGCATTGTTGTCGCCAAAGGCGATAAAGTGACGGACCTTGAAGTGGGAGATGCTGTATATGGCTCGCTCTTCACTCCATGGGGTCCGAATGGTATGTTAAGCAAGCACCTTGTGGCATATATACCTATGTGCTCGTACTAATGCACCCATTATTAACTCGCATAGGTACTTACGCTGAATATGTAATTAAAAGAAGATTATTTTGTATCATTTACAGTATAGAAGGAAAACTGCTTGCTTATACTACCATGTGATATTTACTTATAGATTATCGCTAAGTCTGGCTATGACTCAATTGTAAAGAAGCCAGATAATATCTCGTTTGAAGAAGCTGCTGCGACTGGAATAGCAGGTACATTCGCAGTAAAAAGAGCGAGAAAAGTTTTCGTGTAGATAAGCGCGCGAGAAATTCTACGAAGAGGTTCTTTTAACCTTATGCTAATCCAAATTATCTATATTCAGCTACTACTGCATACCAAGGGATTATCGTGGATGGACGACTGCCTGAAACCGGATGTAAGAAGATCCTTGTAATTGGTGCATCCGGTGGTGTTGGAACGTACGGCGTACAAATAGCAAAAGCCATTGGTGCGGAAGTGGTAGCCATTTGCAGCGGCAAGAATGCCGACTTTGTGCAAAGCTTAGGCGCGGACCGTATTGTAGATTACACTGTGGAAGGCAGCCTTGACAAGCTGGAGAAAGAAGAAAAAGAAACTTATGATCTGATATTGGACTGCATCGGCGGTGAAGATTACTACAACAAGTTGGTATATACTCTCAAGAAACAAGGCGTGTACAGTTCTGCAGTTGGCCCAGAGATGCACGTTGGAGCAAACAAAGTGAGCATGTTGAGTGGAGCATCCATGACCTTTAAAACCATTTCTCATAAAGTATTTGGTCCACGGCGATATTCCCTTGTCCTGAAATACCCTTGGATCCGCTTTGCCAAAGATCTGCGTCCGTTTTTGGCCAATGGATCTGTCAAGAGCATTGTTCGTGAGGAAAATATCGTGGTTCTGAAGGACGGTGTAGAAGCCCACTTGAAAATCGAGTCGCATCGTACTGTTGGGAAAATTGTCCTTCGTGTTTAGTCAATATTATTTTATCGAAATAAATAGTAGTTGTACATTATGTAATAAAGTTGTTGGTGTACAGAACATGTGCTGATTCATAACTTCCATCCTTTCAATCAGTTTTGCTGTGAGTGGAGGCAGGAGAGATGACCTTGGAGATACGCACGTACGAATCGATCAAGATCATCAATGGGATAATGAGATAGGGAAGATAGAATCCACAAAGCGTGTAGCGTTCCATGTCTGTAAGACCGTATTCAGGATTGTACAACAGTTCAGCAAGGGTTGGAGCCAGTGTCGTTGCCACATGCGAAGCATACACTAATACAAATTAAATTATTGCATTTGGGCAGGTTAAGATAAAAATTCCAACATTGATTGATTGCCGTTCTTGTCAACTTACCAATCAAAGGAAGACGGATATAGAGAGAGTCTACAAAAGAGAGACAAACGATGTATTTAATAACTTCCCTCAAACTCGTCACTGCTCTTAAAAAAAACCATACTTTTCCAAAGGCCGTAGCAGGCAGCAAAGAAGAAGGGAAGCTGCAAGAACATTTCACAAAAGACAACACCTTGAAACCAGTACATAGGTGCGGTGGCACCCATGAATGGATCTTTGAAGGTCGCCACGTACCACGCGACAACGTCCTTTAAACCTTGAGGCACCATCTCGGCAGGATACAGAGATTGGAGATCAATGAATGCAGTGATCGGGATGTGCGAAGCAAAGTAACCAAAATATACGAGATCCAATGGTCTGGAAAACAGGCTCTTGGAAGTTGTTGCTTGATTCGATACCATTTTTTTTCGTGATATACGAGTTCAAAGAGAAGGAAGTAAGAAGGAGGAAGTTTAAAATAAGCGTTACATATCACATAACGTTTCTGGAAGCTCAGCTCTTTATTTTTAGTCACTCTCTCGTGCGGCAATGTCAATAATCATTGATTTTGTACGTCATGGGAATACTGATGCCAACAATGAACGATGGCTTCAGGGGCAAACAGGTACAACTGTCTCATTTTTATATTATTCTGGAAACAAAGCGCTGGTTTCGTACAAAATCGCTGAATTATATAGTATGTTATAAAGACACTCTATTAAACGAAAGGGGTTTACAGCAAGCTATCTTGGTCGGCAGACGTCTTTCCATCGATGAATATGACAAAGCATTCTGTAGCGATCTTACGCGCTGCAAACAGGTATTAGTATACAAAAAGACGCATCCTATAATTTGACACGATCACATATAAGGGACTAAAGAGGAAAGTTTGCATAAAGACTGCCCAGGCCATCATCGATCACCAACGACCTGGCGTGACGATCCCAATGGATTATCGATCTGATATCCGAGAACGTGGATTCGGTTCTCTCTCTGGAAAACCCATATCTTATCTCATGACCGAAGCTGCTCGTCGAGGTGGAAACATGGATCACTTTGTCAAGGATAATGGTGGTGAAACGACAGACGAGTTTGAGAAAAGAGTTATCCAGGCCTATCAAGACATATTGAAGGATATCGAAGAAACGGATGCGGATGTGAAACGCGTGCTGGTGGTGACACATGGAGGACCTTTGAAGGTGCTTGCCCGGTACTGGATTGAGCAAGCACAGTTCAAGGTCGACCCAGCCAACTTTGCGACGGCCGGTAACCACGGGAACACCGCTGTCACTCGGATACAGGTGCCAAGGCAACAGCAAGGTCAAAATGGCTTCATAGAACTTTTGAATTCTACCACGCATCTCGGTGACCAGCGTGGACCCGTCGATCCTCCACCTTCTGTTTAGTATAAAAATGCACCTATAGACATAAAGGTCTACACCGCAACATCTCACAAATATACATGTATCATATTGAAAGAATATTTTCGCTCGATGGTATGTATATGGTAGTTTGTTTAATGTGGTCTTTTATATGTAATTATCTATATGCATGTTAATGAGCAAAAGAATCGATACTAAAAGTAAATGCAGCAGCTGGATATAACTAATTCAAACAAAATAAAATCTAACAAATGATCTTGGCTGTATATATAGTATATGGCTTACTGTTGAAGCCATGGATCGTTCAGCACTTGATCAATAGATGGTCTTGATACAACATCGCGGCTAAGCATCTTGCGAAGCAGCTCTGTCGGCCCTAAACACATGTACACTTTATTATTAGTACCACACCAAAGAATAAGTTAAGCATTATGCGTTCATTACCTGGATAAGGAGGATCTCGTATACGTAATTCATCACCCAATATATCATCGATTTCGTTGAATGGTGTTTCTCGAAAAATCAATGTATGTAACAGGATTCCCAAACTCCATATATCTTGAGGTGGTCCATCATAACTAATGCCTTGCAATAACTCTGGTGCCCAATAATCCATTGTCCCGCAAAATGTCTCGAACTTTTTGTTTTCTCGGTAATATGCGGCACTTCCAAAATCAATGATTACAGCCGTACCCGACTCATCCAAGATAATGTTTTCATCCTTGATATCGCGATGTACGATCTTGTTTTTGTGGAGATATTGCACACCTTCAGCTACTTGTCGAAAAATGGTCTTTGCTTCTTGTTCGCTGATGGTTTCGTTCAACTCAATATAATCAAACAAATCCATCCCATCCCCGTGCAGCTCCATGACAACGTAATAAAATTCTTGATCCTCCATATGTGTTACTGACTTGAGTGAGATTATTATAAACATAATAGGTAGTAATGTCGACTATTGTAAGTTTTTAAGGTAAAACTTACATAGGCTGCAACAGTTTATGTGTGGTTTCTGCTTCAGTGTCCGTAAGATGTGGATTTCTGCAGGCACTATGTCTCCCACTCGTCGATCACTAGATGATACAGAATATATAAGAATAATAAGGAAAATGGAAAGATCCATATTCTATACCGCCATATATTAAAGTAATACAGCTTACCGCATCCACGAATCAACAATAATACGTGATTTGGTAATGGATTTAATGACGATTCTTTTCTAGAAACATCAATGACGCAAATCGGTTATACATTGGCTTTATGGTGAATATCATCCTAAAAACTCTGACTCTTACCTTTGTTTCGTCATCTTTACGATAAGCAAGCATTGCTGTTCCATATGTTCCTTCACCCAAAGTAGCTTCAATCACATAGTCATCCAGTGGGTGCTTGTCTCCATCGGTTGGAAGGGGAGGGGGCCATTGATGCTGTTGTTGTTCGGTTGTCGTCGGCGCCGGTTCCGGGACAGGTATCACAGGATCCGGCGCTGATTCCGCGATTTCTTCCAAAGGTGCCAAGCCTCTACGCACATTTCTTGTCTTCAGTATCCTTTTAGTCAGTGGTTGTCGATGGGTATCAGAATCTTGGTCAATATTGCTGTCGTCACTCGTAGCAGGTGGAGACCCGGACGCTACGGCTGCTCCTGGTCTTGATAATACATTTTCCTCTTGATCGTGACTATTACTTCTGTCCTTATCATCTTCTTCTTCATTGCGAGTGAGCGTCTTAGTAGTGGCTGAGGATGATAGCTGGGCGACACTGGCTTTCCGTTTATTATTGTTGCTTCGTCGAACAACCGAGTGTATCCGGTCAAAACTGACCCAAATACTAATCAAATCCTCCTCAGCACTTTCAATCGATCGTAATTGAAGCTGGACGTCAAAATGACTACCGTCACGATGCTTGGCATAAATACTTGGTAACCACGCCGTGCTGTTGTTGCTACCTCCACTTTGTAAAGAGCTGACAGACAACTTTCGTTCAGTATCTTGTGTCAATGGTCCACTACTTGGCTGCTGCTGTAGAAAAAGAGCTTTTCGACAAGTTTGATTACTGATCACTGTGCCGTCATGCAACCAAAGGCTGTTGTTCTTGTTGTCATCAAGGCGTAACCCGCTCAAAATGTCATGGAATTGTGGCAAAAGCTGATCAATATTCATCTTTTCCGAAATGGAATCAACGTGATGGTAACCAAATAGGTACTTTGCTGGGACTGGATTGATGCTTTGGATAGTACCGTCGCTTGTGTGTATTGTGATCATGCCAGCAATAGCTGGTAGTGATGTGATTTTAAGCGAAAATTGATGTCCTTTGTCGTCGTCGGGGTGAAGCGTTACCATGACCGGGAAAAATGCGCCAGATTTGGCCTGTGCGCCAAAGAATCTCCACTGCTCGAGCGACGTCAAAGTGATGTTTGCTGCAGGTTCAATATCGGTTGCGGTCGGTTTCGTCTTTAGTTGCGGAATCAACAAGTCAATGGGTTTGCCAATGACGTGGTTACTTTGATATCCGAAAAGTTCTTCCATTTTGCCAACGATATCAGTTATAATTCCCTGAATAGAGTTTAATCACAATAGTATATAGAACATAGACGGAAGACAGCATAAGCGAAACGATTATTAATGCCATTCAAGATCATTCTGACTTTTTGACAAATGAAAGAAAGAAGCTTACCTTTGAATTTAAATGTGCAGATAACGTGCTTTCGCAAATCTCCTCAAAAATCCAAATATATACAACTTGGCCATTATCACGCTCCTTTTCTTTGAGCCAAAGTGAGGCAGCTGATAAGTCGCCATTGGTTTTGACAATAGGCATCTAATAATCACACCATTATAGTCCATACGTTGTAGAAATTACAGAAATTTCCCTGCCCTCTCGCTCTCAACCTTGCCATTTTTTCATTTAGTTCAAAATAAATATCATACTGACCACATTGCCACACACCAATACGGAGCTCTTTCCGTGTCTCGTACCGACAACAGGCAAGTCCTTTCGATGCGACAATAGATACTCTACCTGCTTTCGAAAAGGTTGTTGTAGCACCGAGAGAATTGTCTTGCCAACATAAGACTTGTTGATTCCAAAGCACAGACTGGCAATATCGTTGAACAACAATATCGTTCCATCCACACTGGTTGTAAAAATCGCCTGATTTTGCGGTAAGTATCGCGTGGGTGCGTGGAGTGCCCGCCTGTAGTAATTTTCAGCGGCGACGGCTGCTGTTCTTGTTGTTTCTGTAGCTGACCGCGGAATGGGTGATACAGAGCCATGTGCGGATTCATATATCGGTGGCAATGAAGTGCTGTTTTGGTCTATTGAGCTGCTCCGCGGTAACGTTTGACGTCTTGCTGCTGAACCATTTGACGTACTACTGCTACTCCCACTATTGCTGCTACTGATACTGAACACATCATCTGTTGGTGGCGGTAGCATTGGCTGCTCGGAACTGCTACTGCCACTAGTAGCTAGCACTTCTCGAAATATATTACTGCTATTGTCATAATCAATGCTCGTCCGTGGAGTATTTTGGGCGCTCCAATAATTTGTTTGCCAGTCATACGTAGCCATTGCCCCACCAATGTCAGGATGGGAGAAACGCCGCGTAACACGATCATCCAGTTTGTAACGAAGCCGCTTGATTAGGTCTACTCCACGGCGTATCATGTGCTTCCGACTGGTTCTGGCGGACTTGGTCGTGCGATAAAACGCCGGATTGAAGCTATAACTGTAAAGCGACTCTTGTGAAAATTTCGCAATAATGTCATTTTCTAAACAGACAGAGTGTCGTGGATTATCTTCGCTATTTTGTCGGAGTCGTGTAAGACTTCGCTTGGAGTAATAATCTTCCATGTCATCGTCCTCATCCTCATCCTCGTCGTCTTCTTCTACCACGTTGTCCGTTGACATTAATCTTTTTGAAAACCGTATCAGCAACTCTTTCTTTCTTTCTCTAACCCTTCGTATTTGCCAGTGTATCTTCTGTGCCGTACTTTACTCCTTCAACCTGCTCAGCGCCACGGCCAGGAGAACTTGAATCGTTTTGTTTCGTATTTTGGTTTGTTACGGCATTGTCAAAGTCTGAAGATGTTCCGCTTGCAATGGAAGCTATTATTTAAACAAAAAAAAGCAAACACGTACACAGAACGTTGGAATTCATTAATTATTTATTAGTTTCGCGTAAACGTTCTCTTCTTAATATACCTGATGAAGTGGTTCGGTTCATTCCAGAGCAAACGTCAGCATTGCAAAAAGAGAAAGAAAGGGAGACAAGTGGATTGCGGGGTTTTTTTCCAGCGGAGGCATTATGCCGCTATGCTACATACAAAAGATGCGCTAACTTCATAGACAGCAGTTGTGTCCATTGTTAGTACCTAGGAGCTGTTTCGTGCTTGATGATGGCTAAACTGGATTTAAGCGCTGAGAAACTTTATGGAGAGAATTTTGAGATGAAGACTCTGAGTATGCGTATCCCAGCAATTACATTCTGGAGAAGAACAAGTATGTGTGTGTGTCTGTAAGAAGGTTGCACAACATCAAGCGCCATCTTGCCTGCAGAACGCGTGCACACCATCCACAAATGGGGGTCTGGATTGCTTTGGAAACAAAAGCTCTACATAATAGGTACTATACCTGTCTTCTATTCAGAAGGCTCCTATTTCCCCATCATTGCAACTCTATTGAACACGTAATACACAAAAGGATGTGCTTGCTCTAATAAGAAGCCCAACGATCTTCGAATAACACTACATGCATAATATGCAGTCATGTATGTGATCAATTACCTTAGTCAAGGGTTAAACAACTTGTGGCAGCAGCATGCTGGTACACACACATACAAGAAGCACCATTATATCATAGATAATACTACCTAAATCTGCTCTCCTCCAAATAAGAGACAATCGTCGCTGCATTGTTCATACATGCAGCATATGAGAAAATACTATCTTAAATGCTACTCGACCCAAAACAAATAAAAGTGCTTCATCATTAATGGCTTATTGGTTATGCGGAACCGCCCTTCAAAATCATATGATGAGCAGAATTCGGCCTTTCCGCCTAAAAAAGTTTCTAATATAAAGGTTAAAATCCAAAGACATCATTATCGCGGGTAAGATAGTGGTACATTGATGGCGCGTCCCATGCGTGCATTGAAAACGTGTTCTTGTGAAACAATATTACAGAGTTGCTGCTACATAGCAATGAGTGACACTGCTGTTGGTTATATTGTTACAAATCACGCAAAAATACATTTGACGGAACGTGTGAATGATATGTCTTTGAGCAATCGATATATTAAAAATATTGACATTATGGCTGCAGATGGCATAGGTCAATAGATAGATAATAAAGAAAGAGCTTGTGTACGTACATAATTATCAGATAGTATAGTCGTATAGTATATGCGACGGGTGCATCAGTTGCACTGCCATAGGGGCTGTTTGAATAGATGGAAGACAAGGAATTGGGGTAGGGGAAATTACTATTAAAATTATGTTTCTGGAGGAGCAGATGGTTCTTCTCCCCCCCCAACCCCCCTGAAGTTACTACAATTACGTCATGGGAAATATATGCAGTTTTATAATAATGGAGCTGACGCATGCAATTTAAGCTTTTTGATATGGCCAATAACACTTTTTCCGATAAGCCTCGAACGCTCTTTCAGAGCGACTTTGTGTACCGTGGGTCGGAGCATGATACTTGAAAAAGCCAAACTGGATCATATACTCGATTTTGTAAGATCGATTATAATATGTGTGTGGACAAAAAGCAAAAAAGAAAAAGCTATGCCTATTTCGGTTATGGTTCCCAATCGATTGGCATGTCTTATTTAGCGGCTGTCTGTTGTGATCAGCAATCAGGCTTCCCGACGCGTCAAGGAGCATCATTTCACTTGTTGTAGTTGAATTCTGACATATACTTGTCAGCGCTTCTCCTTACACCGTTTTACTCTTGCAATGCATTTAGTTGACGCGTGTCATCAGGGTCCGTCTTACCACCCTTCGTTTCTCTGTATCTGCTAACTCTTGATCATGAAGAAAACATTTCCTATATGAAATCAGCATTTTGATAACTAATAGTGAGTGCTTTCTACTACTGCTGTGACAATATAGAGTGCAGTACCGCAAACCCTGTCGTTGTTGAATCAACGTGTGCATTGGTCACATGGCGGGGTGGGCAATGTACCACAGCAGGCCCTGGAGAAGCATATTCTACGGGCTTTGTTCCCGAAATGTACAAAGTCGAACCCCAATTTGGAAGGGGGAGGCAAGAGGGTGGGGAGGCAGGCTGTGTGCAGGGTTGAATGTCAACGACAGTACACATTGAAGCAAGCGGCTTCTCCCTTTGCTCTCCCTGATAGCATCCGTCCGCTCCGTCCGTTTAGTATGTTTTCCTATAACGTTTTCCTCAACATCATCTTCTTCGCTTAGACTTGACGACACATCCTTACTACTATTTTCTTTTCATTTGCCCTTTCTTCTCCTCGTTTTAGGGATTTTCTTTTTGGTTTACGCAAAAAAGAAGAACAATGTAAGGGGCATATAACATAGTTTGAACCTACTCTGAAAAAATTTCCAGAGAACGTGAAACAGCTTTGTCATATAATTTAATAAAATTATCGTTAAGCAAGTAAAAGAAGTATGTCCTATGTGTTCCACAAATTTTTGAATTAAAAAGAAGCCTTGATCTAGAACGTGGAATCTTGGGGGGTAGGCGGATCTCGGTGATCATAACAAATGTAACCGCGTGGCTGTAGCTTACGTATAAACGTTGTACATAAAGGCAGAGGAAGCGGTGTCGGGGGGGATAAGAAGAAGCAGAATGCATGAATTTAGTCGCTATTTCTACATTCTTGATGGAAAGGGAAGGAAAGTGGAGAGAGCGTACAGTAATCGGGTTGGCGACAAAATTAGGTAGTCGATTTAATCTTTTCCTCACGCCCGGCCCTTTTTAGGCGTTGAACAGATTCCACCTCCCCCCTGGATCATGATAATGGTGAACTCTCGTCGCCCTCTTTCATGCGCATGAGTTCCAGCAGTAAGGTTAGCAAACTAAAAGCCTATAGCCCATTTTACCAACGTCTAAAAGAAGAACTTTGTTCAAATTCTAAAGATGCTTAACGCTCATACACAGCATGCTAGTTGCTGGGCTTGTTAGCACTACTACTGTTCGGTGAGCCTGTGGAAAGAAAATAAAAGTGTATATGTCAAATAGTGTCCTCCTGAAATATTCCCAGTAGCTCTGATACAAGAAGACGTTGAAACGTAGCATACCAAATGCAAACAATCACTACAATTACTTGTCCGTGGCTGCAACGTGTAGAAAAACAAGCGCAACGTTACTCTCTCATGGCTTGTGTTACACTAGACGGCGATCCCATGTAGAGTATCCGAAAATTCGGGGAGGAAGCGACTGTCTAGAGATAGTAAGTTCAGAAAAGCCTAATCAGGAAACGGCGTGATGTGGTAACCAGGGGAGAATCTCTCTCTTCATTGCCGCCCTTTAAAAGGCCCATCCACCCGACCGTTCTTTCGCTTAAATTACGAATTCCTTTCGCTGTTTCCCCCACTCTCTCTCTCTCTATTTTTTCTGTAACAATTGCTGTATTACACGCAGGCACACACATACGCTTATCTATTACATATACTTTACATACACGTACACGCAAATCCTTTACCCAAACATTGGTTCCATACCAATAAGGAGGATATTCATTTGATCTATCTAGTAGAAGGCACAATTACTTGACACATTTCTTGTACATTTATCGCACTATATAATCCTATTATACCACCATACGCCCAACAAGTCCTGTAATACACATACACACATAGGACTTTCTTATTGTTTCCGATTTTCTTCATGTTTTGTCCACCGAACTTCAGTACTACTTTGGACCTTCATACACCGCCTGTATTAGTCGACCCGCGCATTGCCATTGCCGATCCGTTTTTCATGTCTCATCCGTCGCTTCCTACTGGACAAGATAATTTTTATGTCAACCATCAGCACCAGCATATTCATGATGATCATTCCCAGAAATTCTCCCACCCCGAATCTGCTATGCGTAGGCAATCCTCGTCCTCATCCACCATCACAGCCGCAACTTGTTCGACCACCGCGTTCTTTAACCATCCACCACCGCTACCACCATCTATTATCGTATCTTCTTCTCATGCTGGCCTTAGTCATAGCACTGCTGCTGCTGCTGATGCTGCTGTTGATGCCTCTAGCAGCTCTACTACAACCATAAATGCACTGCAGGATAAACTAGACACGCTTTATGACGAATGGATCTCGGTGGACATTGTATACCGATCGTTGCAAACGGCATTCCCAGTTCGCCCGCTCACTTACCTCACCCATGAGGAACGATTGGAAGACATTGACCGAGAGTTGAGCATTGCTTACGACGATCTCATGACTCAAGTCAGACGGCTTTACCGTAACCTGAACCGTCTGAGTCGCGAAATGGCTCAGTACAACAATATTCAGCAACAGCAACAACAAGAATTGTTACAACAACAGCAGCAACAAGGTCCGAATGTTTATGCAACAACACACTATTATCTTCCTCCTTCGGGTTTTGCGCCAACTCCGCCTTGAAACAGGCACAGCAATGGATAATTCGACGGTCTTTAATATTCAAATTCACTTTCCTTTCGTCCCCCAACTCCCCACCATTACTACATGTTTTTTTTTAAAAAAAACAACCCTTATGTACCGATACTCTTCCCTTTTCCTTTTTGTTTTGTTTTTCTAGAGAAAAAAAAAGTATAGCTCCTGATATATATATTATATAATGATGTTGATAGCGCCATATATGAAAACTATTGTTCTTATTTCTTTTTTACTCCACACTATTTTCTTTCTTTCTGCCGTTCCAAGTACACCCGCATGAAAAAAACACAAGAAACCCCTTATGCCCATTGTTAACCATTCCTACACGTGCTTTTATGATCTTCTTTACCATTTTTGGACATTGCTCCGACTACATAGCGTTATCCTTATAAAATAAAGGCGGGTTCTTCTTTCAACATCGCTATCCAAGTTCTAGATTTCTGCACGTTTGGTCCATGCAATGCAACCTTTTTTCTTTGTTTTTTCTCCCCTCCTACATCCACACCGTGGTGTTTACAATAATCAAGATAATAAACCTTCTTTTAGGATCGTCAAATGTTTCACGGAAGAAAAAAGTCTGCAGTGTACAAACCCACAGCCCCCTGATCTTCTGAGTCTATCACCCTCTATAGTGAGCGTCTTCATATCTTTGTTCCTTGCTCTTATCCCCCCGCTCCCTTGGGAATCAAGATTAATTTCAACTTCATACCTTAAAAAACCCCCTTCTTCATTTGTTGCTATGTAGTACTTTAGTCATTTTGTTGTAGCCAGGGGTAGCAACAATTATACACGGTTGTCTATTGCAACACTGCTATGGAGACAATTTGGATTGTCATGGAAACCAGCACTATAACTCTTTCTAAAGAAAAGCGCATTGACCTGCTACGTCGCTCTGGACGATGTTGAGGTTGTCAAGGTAACCCTCACTTGCATTTGCAGATGCAAAGAAAACTCAGTGCTGCGAAATTTTTCTGACGAACTCATATTTACGCGTGTGTAACGCGTACAACCGCGTTTTGACTTTTTACTTTTGATTTTCTGTATCAGTGCACACCAGTTTCACATTTGTACAATGAGCGGCGAAGAACGAAATGAACAACATGCAAACACTGATGAACAAGTTCCTTCCTCTGGGTACATTGCTTGTTTTTTTTTTTTTTTTAAAAAAGTTATAACGAAGGAATTGACGGAGTCAACCCGTTTTTTTTGGCTCACTAACAAAGTGTATAATAAAAAGGGAGAATGCCACATTCCAAGCTGTAGCCAACGCAACTGACAATATACAATCGGCTTTCACCACTTTACTTTCTGTAAGCACGGTGATTGCTATTTCACCGTAATTAACTTTCTCAAATTTAAAGGATTTTGGGGGATCTTACTAAACCAAGTTTTGATATCCTACAACACGCGAAAAAAAGGGTTTCCAACAAAAGCTACAAATGACACAGTCAACCATTGACTTACTGGAGCAGGTGCTCAAGAATAGCGTTCAAATAGGTTAGTTGAAATCGATACAAAGAGAGAGCTCATTCAAAATTATAACGAAAAAATTTCTCTCTCTTTGTATTATCATTAGCAACTCAACTGGAACCGAACGAGCAAGGAATACAGCTTACAGTGACTATTATAAATACCATTCAAATGCCTGTTCCCGACGTACAATGTTGCGTCACGTTTGATTCAGATCAAGTTCACTGGTCACATTTATCAACAACACAAGAATCACTATCAAACAACAATAACATTAAAGGAGGAAGAAACCATGAAGAAGCAACTTCGATCTTTGACGCGACAGAAGCAATGCTGCCACCCTTATGCAAACATGTGGAAGTGCTGCAAATCATAACCGACCGGACAATTCAGTGTAATGCAGAAATCAGATTGCATTTTCCAGGACCCGTACCCGAGACCACGATTCCAATCGAACATACATTTGGCATATATATTATTGATCAGGTAAAAGTACCATTATGTATACTTCCGGCAAAACTCGTAAAATTATCACGCTTTGTTTTTTATTAACAATCTGCTGGTTTAGCTCTCCAAAACGGTATTAACGGATCAAAGGCGTGATGTTAAATGTGAAAAAGCACATTATCGCCAATGTTCTACGGATACACTTCGCCTGTTACTGCAAATTCCACCGCATCAAGGTCTCGAACCTGGACTATGTATATCGCTGCAAACAAAAAATGCACAGGTTCCCAAGGTAGAAGCAAATAAATCCGTTAATTGCATCCCCTACTCCTACCTAGATAAAGAAAAAAAGACATGTCCTCATAGTCTCACCTTTGTTCTTTGACAATTATCCGCAGGAGGAGATCATTTGCAAGATAGAAGAGTTCAATCAGGAAATGACCATGGCCAAACTGGCCTTTTCTGCAGAAGAACGATCGAACAGCACAGCACAAAATATTCTCGAGTTTTTGATGCGCGAATTGGATGCTTTGAACATACAATAATAATGTAAAAAAAATATTCCGAGAGACAGAAGCTATTTCTCTCTCTTATCTTTTTTTTCTGTGCATGATGTGACCAGCAGCTTACACACATATAACATTCCACATTGGAGCCGACAATACTTGGACGACAACGCTTTAAATTTGTTCCTGACTCGACTGTATATCGTATCCTTTTCTCTTTTTTCTTTCTTTCATTATTCGCTTAGTTAATTCTTCATTATTTCCTTTCCAAAAATATATACCATGCGGTTAGCAGGATTACCCACAGCAGCAACAGCATTTTCATTGTCGTCACCATTACTACTGCTAGTAGTACTCTTAATAGTACATCAGCAGGTCACACATGCATTTGAGCCCAACCCAATGTCGTTCGAACGGATGCAGAATGAACAGGAGATCAAGCAGCATTGTCTTGTTTTTGAAGATCATTTCAACCGGTTCGATCTCAAGAAATGGCAGGTAATATTTTATAAGCAAAATGACGTTTGACGGGTTCTATTCTGTGAAGAAGAAAAACAAAAGAGTCCGTGCGCATGCGTGTGTGTAACACCAACTCTCTCCTTAATTACGTATTTTATACCTCATGTAGCATGAAGTCACTATGAGTGGGGGTATGTACAGAGCAAAAGAGAAAAAAAAAGGAAGAGTGTCTCGCACGACACATTTTTTTTGTATATTTACTGGGGATCGACATAAGCTATTAAGGGCTGCGTTTAACCAAGAAGTTCTTTGCTTCTAACAACTATTGCTACGACTTTGACAAAATCAAGGCGGTAACTGGGAGTTTCAGTGGCAAGTATCCATTTGTATCACATTCTCAAAAAATGTACACGCCATTAAAAATAAAACCGACATGGCTTATATTGTTTTCCATAGGTATACAAACAATAGATCCAACAGCTTTGTTGAGGACGGTATTTTATATATCAAACCCACATTAACGAGTGACACAATCGGCGAGCAGTACATGCGAGATGGGGGTCGAATCAACTTATGGTGAGTATAGTGAGCCCCACCCCCTATAAAATATGTGCCTCACCCTTTTTGTACATCAATGATGTCATGCTCAACATTACACAAAAACAAAATTAAGGTCGGGCGAGCCTTCGGTTAGTTGTACAGGTATGGCAGTACTCTCAAGTCCCTTTGCTTATGGTCGCGCGCTCATGGCGAATTTTATCATTCATACCCCACATCCCCCACGTTTTTTTATTTAGACAATTCGAATTTTGGTAAGTGAATGTAGAGAAAGAAGAAGAGGTCTAGACCCCTTCCTTCTCTCCCGCTCCCCTTTCAAGGAAACATCATCAAAAAAAGCAAACTTGCTCACACGCGAAGAAGGATGCGAACGTGTTTCTGGTTCTGCATCTGGCGGTAATTATCTCAACCCGGTCCAGTCCGCTAGACTCAGGACGATCGATTCCGCGTCCATCAAGTATGGTAAAGTGGAAGTACGAGCTCGATTACCCGTGGGCGACTGGTTGTGGCCAGCCATTTGGATGATGCCAAAATATTCGGACTATGGAATATGGCCAGCAAGTGGTAAGTTTATATAGGACTATCTTGGCTTTATTGCTACAGGGTAGAGATTCTTTGTGCTAATGACTAACGCTTTTATCCAGGTGAAATTGATATTGTAAGTGTCGAGTTTGGAGGGGCGAAAAAAGATAACGATTCAGATAGATTGAACGAGAGATATATGTTTACCAACAACGGTATACATGTATTCAATACAGATGGAATCTCGAGGCAACCCCGAATATCCTTATGGTAACGCGACCAATGTTGGATCAACTTTGCATTGGGGAACACACTGGTCAATGGATCGATACAATCTTACACATGCCGAGGCGATACTCGATGACGGAACGACGTTTGCAGATGATTTCCACACTTATGGATTAGAATGGTCTGAAGATGGCCTTCGCACGTATATCGACGATGAAACGGTCCTGCTTGTCGACTTTGACAAAAGTTTTTATGAACGCGGTGCGTTCCCAGAATGGAGCATGAACCCTTGGGCTTCGGGTGATATCAATGCACCGTTTGATCAAGAGTTTTATTTGGTAAAATAGGCGATATCAAAAAAAATTCGAACAACAGGTTTTGTTTATGTCAATACTATATTTAATGACCCTTTTATGACTAGGTTCTCAACGTGGCAGTAGGCGGTGTCAATGACTATTGGACCGATGGTCCCGAAAAACCATGGCGCAATGACGACCCACACGCTATCAATGCGTTTTGGGACAAGCGAGAAGAATGGTTAGCAACGTGGGGTGAAGGAAACAAACGCGCCATGGCTATTGACTGGGTCAAGATTTGGAGCGCAGAAACAGAATGTTGAATCGAATAATAAATTCCACTTGTTCTTTTTTATTATCTTTTTCTTCGTTTTTATTCAATTAAAAGTCCACATTTACACACACATATATATAAACATGGATCCAATCGCAACTGAGCATAAAGTAGCTCTAGCAGAAGAAGAAATGGAGCTTGATCAACAAATTGGACAGGAGGCAGTAACAACAGAAGAGACGCGTGATCGTAGGACGATAAACAACGACAATGAACCTGTTGCAACAGCCGGATCTCAAAATAAGGACGATAAAGCGCAAGACGAGATCGATCCACAACAACAAGCATATCGATTGTACGTTTACGATCTCAAAACTGAACAGCAACAACAACAGCAGTGTCAGCTGTTAAGCTCGACAGGAACACGCTACAACACGACTGTACGAAAGACTTTGGAGAATGAGACGACTTTGTTTCAACAAAAAGTAGATCCATCACTAGTATATGACGGAAATAACCATTTCCGCAACGCCAAATGGTAGTATATATTTGAATGAGAGGCAGAGATAGAGAAAATTTCATCTCGATTGACAGGGAATGTATAGGTCTCCCGATGGGTGCTGTTTATTATCAAACTCGAACGACAACGTGCTTCGTTTATTCAATTTGTAAGTTAGTTTTGATTTATGCAAATTGCAATGAGACAACCATAAAATAAGCCTAACTTTCGGATTTTTGTAATGGAAAAGGCCGTATGAAATGTTGGATGAACAGGCTGGTAAATCAGACGGAACAAAAAGGGAATTTTAAGGACGGATGAACGGATCAAACTGATAAGAAATATTTTGGCAAAGTAGAGACGGATACAATTACAGAGCTTGCTACAAATTTTGGCATACGTGAAGGCGAAACGGTGTACGACTTTGCGTGGTTTCCGTCAATGAACAGTCAAGGTTTGATCCGAAAAGACACTGAACACGTTTCAATTTGTGCTACCTGTAATACGCTAAAAAAGAAGAGTCTGATTGTCATTAGATCCAGCGACATGCTGCTTTATAACGTCAGTTCGTGATCACCCAATGCATATGTGGGATGCATGTACTGGAAACCTCAGAGCGTCGTATGCTGTGATTGATCATCGGGAAAGATTTGTTGGTCCGAACGTTGTGTCATTTAACTTGGATGGATCACGGTAAGAACCTTCTTGTTAATGTTTATGTAAGAAAATGACTGATGAAAAAATCCCCATCTTCACCTTTAATGATTTCAGGATATACTGTGGTTACGAAAATATGATTGAAATCTTTGATATACAACGCCCGGGACAAGAATCACAAAAAGTGCCAACCATTCCACAACGACGAACCAAAAAAGGACAAAAAGGCATGTGTGAGAAGCAAGGGTATAAAGGGGTTTGTTGATGTGTTGGCGCACTAATACTTGTGCTTCTTTGTTTTCTAGGCATCATCTCTTGTTTAGATTTTAGCCCGGATTATGCCGGTCTGTATGCAGCAGGGTCGTACAGTCATACAGTTGGAATCTATGATGAAACAAACAATGAACTCTGCTTAAAGCTTACCGATATCAAAACGGGTGTTACTCAGGTAATTCTTGGGCGGAATTCTACCTTTATGGGGATAGATAAAACATAATGTTGACAGCGCGATTGATATCATTCGCTTAGGTGAAATTCTCGCCCGATGGCAGTCAATTGTTTAGTGCTAGCCGAGTATCCAATGTAATATCTTGTTGGGACATTCGTAACACAGCAGAAGTTTTGTATGAACTCCCGCGCCCGGGCCAAACCAGCCAAAGAATAGTATTTGATATTGATCCAAGTGGAAAGATGCTTATCACTGGCGCCCAGGTAAAAAAGACTTTTCTTCTCGTTTTTTATTATCATTTTTGATCACTTATATATATCACAGGATGGAAGCATATTATTCCATGATATCAGTAATGGGCCGGAAACAACAGCAACAACGGAGAATAGTGATAGCAGCAGGCTTGTACGATCTATTGATCATGCACATCAAGGTATAGAGAAAAGGGAAAGCGTCTATTACAATTTTAGACTTAAACTTCTTTTATACAATGTAGATTTAACGGTTTGTGCAACCATCAATCCAATGTACCCATGGCTTATCGCTTCGGCTTCTGGGCAGAGGAAATATTCTGCTGCTGCTGGTAACGATGATTCTAGTGACGAATCTAGTGATGACGATGACGAAGATGACAAGGACGATAATACACAGCATAAAGATAGTAATTCAATTGATAACTCGTTAAAATTATGGCGTGTTCCTGGCCATTCTGAATGGTACTCATACCCGGTCGAACAAGAAGAGCAACAGTAAAAACACACAATACAAACCTCACTTTACACCTCATCAATGTGCCATAAACACCCGTATATCATCCTGTGTACCCTTTTCCTCTCAAGATATAAATATCAACGACGAAAGCGACGAACATGTGTATTTCTTTTTTTTTAAAACAATTCATGAGAAGGATCAAATAACATGCTGACACTTTCACCATTATGGATCCTCCGTATGGCTTCAGAAAACAATGGCGCGACAGGGAACGTGGTAATTTTGCTGCAAACGCGGGTATGCTCGCCCTGTGGCACCGAATCGCTGACAATGACTTTATCAAGGTAGCTCTTTTCAATTCGATCCAGTGCATCACCGCTCATGATAGCGTGCGTCGCTATGCAATAAATCTCTTGAGCACCGTTCTCATGCAATAACTTGGCAGCCTTGGTAATCGTGAATCCTGTATCGACCACATCATCAATAAGACACACCCGTCTCCCCCGCACATCTCCTACAAGCATAAGGTCGTGTTTCTGCGGCTTATCCGGTCGACGACGTTCTTTATGGATCAGGGCAAAGTCCATATGCAGCTTTTCAGCTATTGATGTCGCTCTATCATATTAGTACAATATAGAATTTACAGTTGTTAGTATATACGTGCGGCATGCGTGAAATATGTGGAAAAGAGGTGAGATTTGAATATAGAATGTGTTTTTTTTGAGTTTCACTAATTATAGTTACCTTTTAGCACCACCTGCATCCGGAGATACAATGACAATATTTTTGTAATCATAGATATGATGCTGAATATACTTTATCATGATCGGAATTGCGGACAAGTTGTCAACGGTACAATCAAAGAATCCTTGGTACTGCGGATCGTGTAAATCCAGCGTAATGATATGATCCGCGCCTATATCAATTGAGTATAGTGTGTCCGTGTTTATTAGCATCCACCCCCAGGGCAAATATGCAATAGTGGTAGTCTATCACTTTTTGATCATCATCAATACCTGCACAAGTCAAAAGTTCTGCAACCAATGTGCCTGACCGAGCCACCCACTGACGATAACCACTTTGTGTATTCTGAAGAAGATTGCCAGTTGATGTTCCTGCTATTGCTGTTGTCATAGGTCCACCTAAACGGAAGACCTCCTGACTCAGTTCGAGACCGTCGAACTCTTCGGTCAACCTCGTGACACCACTACCACTACCAAAAAACTCGCCGTTTCTAGGCGTTGTGGGCTGGCTTTTGGGCGTGGACGGAATGGTGCGTGGTGTGGATGGCACCGTCATGGGTGGAGCTCGTGTCAGTGGAGCACCACTTCCAAAAGGCGCGTCCGGTTGTCGCGAGTATGGGAACAAAGGAATAACGGCTGTCACTTTTTTGGCCGATGCCGTCTTGCATGCTTGGATCATGATCAAGAGTTCCATGAAATTGTCATTGACGTGACCACACCCTGACTGAACAATATAAACGTCTTGTTCTCGAACGGATTCATACAGTTCGACTCGGGTTTCGTTGTTGCTGAACTTTGCCAGAAAGGATTTGCCCGGTTCGCATGATAGACGGTCGCAGATCCGCTGTGTGAGTGCTTGGTTGGATGATCCGGCAAATACGACAAGACCACGCATGGAATAATATGTGTGTATTATGAGTTTATAGAGAAAAGCAAGAAAGAAAAGAGAAAGAGAAAAAGGTTGGATGTGAAATCCTCTCGCTGTTCCCCTCAGCCTTTTTTTATGTCGTGTGTGGGACAAAGAAAAAAAATCTCAAGTCCTACACTTCCTTAAAAGAACGGGCCTTCTTCCTCCGCTCTCTCCCCTTTTCTATATATACAATGTCACGGCAATTCGGTTCACGTAGTGTAAGGTGGAGTTTTATTAATAACAAAAACACATACAAAACTCTCAAATATTCGCCTGCCTTTCCCTGCATGAATATAAGAACTGCCTGTCTCAAGATCGTGAACTGACTTTCCTTTTATTCTTTTATATGATAAACAGATCGTTCCAACATCTCCACAATCGTTCGGCCCTTTTGGGTGATTCCCGACAGTTCTCCACACCATCACCGACGCTGAACGACTCCCGGTCATCATCTCCAAATTCCAATGGCTCTACTTTTAAACCAAAAATGAACGATTCTGATTTGGAGCAACTAGAGAGCCAGAGTGATGAACGGATAACCGGCTTGTCAGCTAAAGTACAAGTTCTGAAAAATGCAAGTAACCGCCTTTTTTGTTATTTGGCTTATGTGGCTGCATAACTCATAAAGTAGCGTAAACTAATACGACATGGACTTGATATTATAGATCACTGGCAAGATTGGTGACGAGATTCGATCAGGCAACAGTTTATTGGATACCATGGTACGGATATAGTTATAGTTATGGAATTGGAAGAAGGGAGAGAAGGATAGATTTGATCTTTTGCTAATGACAGTTTCACGGTGGTTTGCTACAGAACAACCAGTTTGGAGATACCGGTTCGGTTTTAGGACGGACAATGCACAACTTTAAGATCATGGCAGAGAAGGAATCGGGAGCAACGATGTGTTATTTGATCTTCGTTATCGTTTTGGTGGTTATAATTGCATACTACTGGTTTTTTAAATAAGACGTTTTCAAAAAAGCATACTTTATCCTAACTACCACGCACTCGCAGGCATGTTGGCATAGTTACATTGTTACGATGACGTTTAATGTACTCCATAGCAACCGATGTGTCTTTTTATAACACTGACGTAGATGGTTGTTGCTGACTTTGGCATGTTCGGCATGAATGTTTTGCTGTAATTGTATGCAAGCAATTTCAGGTTTATGGATCACCACTACAGTTACTAACGCTGATAAAAACCAGGTAGCCTAACTCCAATGGGTTTGCTGGTCAGTTGCTAAAATACCAAAAGCGCTAAAAAAACATCTCACGGATGTGCTGATGAAGAGGAACAGTTTATTGATGTAGTCAGGTGGAGATAAGTAGAGTCTATGAACAATAGAGGAGAAAGATGTTGGAAAAGGGGAGTGCTATATGTTAAAGTAAGGAATGAAATGTAATAAAAATGGAATGCAAGAAAGAGTTAAATGGCAAATGTGTGTGTGTGTGTATAACAAGTGTAAATCTGTCACACGCGTTCAGCTACCCAGATGGCGGTTTTGCATCCCTGCATGATTACAGCCTTGAGAGCCGAATGGAACGGTGCTTCTTGTGCGTCGTGTGCCACAGCAATATCGTGGTGTTCCAGTTCTTCATCTCGGAACTGAGCAATCGTCTATTGATCCAATCATCACTCGATTAACTTACGGCTGTTATTGTCATTATCATTATTTGGCGTTATATTACCTTGCCCAAATCCTTCAACTCGGGATTTTGATCAGTAAGTTTGACAAGGTCACGCAACTGGTCGTCATAGTGATTACCAATCACTGTCTCCACAGCCTCAGTACAAGCCATGGCCGCCTCTTTACCCATCAATGCAGTGCCAGCACCCACGGCGAAACCAGCAACTTCCCACAATGGTCGCAGCAAACTAGGTCGAATTCGCATATCACCAACCAACCGGTCAAACGTCTCTAAATGGTTTTTCTCTTGGTCCCACATTTCTTGCAAGATGGGTCGAAGCTTCTTGTCTCGTCCAAGCACAGCAATTTGACCCATGTAAATATAGTACGCGCCCACTTCACCCGATTGGTCTACACGAAGCATGGGGTCTAATATATGTCGCTCATTGTCTGTAAGTGGTTGCTGCTGCTGTTTGGGTTGTTGTTGTTGTTGTTGCTGTTCATTGAATTTTACAATGCTTGTCGAGAATGTTCGACCATTATTGCTAAAGTTACTTTTGTGAACGGTTAATGCTGTGGAGCGTAAACGATAGAATGCGCGCGACATGGCTTCGGTGGCGGAAAAGGTGTGAGAATGTTAGGGTTGACAGAGAGAACACAAAAAAAGTGGCGCGATGTATTAACCCTGCCGAAATTGGCGCGGACTTCCGGGTGAACTAAAGACTTGTAGGGCGCGCCTATGCACTTCTTACCGAGTGTTTTTACTTCAAACTACCACGACCAACATGCGAAACCAGTCGCCTAACCTTAGCAAATTTATATATGCTTCTTTTTCTAACAATAATTTTATTCATAGAGAAAAGAAGCAAAAGGAAATAAAATATCTTTGACGGAAAGCTACTACGCTATACAGTCAACCCCCGCTTTTTGCGGCCATGGGATGCCCAAAATACGAAAGTGATAACTAAGGGAGGAAAGATATAGCCGTGAGTTCTCAATGATTATACACCAATGAAGGACAAACAGTTTCTATACATCAGTAATATAATTATTTTACTGTCAACTAAAACATATTGAAGGAGATCATTTTCAAATGCCTCAAGAAAACCAAGATTCTGGATGGCATGATTGCTAGAAGCAACACAAGAAGTGATGAATTGATCAATGCTGACAAGGACAAGGAGATACATAGAGGGGATATATCTGTATGACTGTGCTTAATGCTGATCTTTCAGAGTGGATATGGCTGCTGTGCATCCAACATTGACTGATGATGAAAAGCTACAAGAGACTGTAATTGCTGAGGTTAATAGGAACACATGTGAACCGAACGTCAAAGGGCCACCCCTTTCTTCATATAATGACTATGAAAAGGCTGATTTGATGCAAAGAGTCATTATAAAATCCTTTCGATTTGCACTTGATAACAGTTGTCAAGATTACTAAATTTGGGTATCATATGAATGGGGGAAAAGATCATTGCTGGTCGACTTTCATAAGCAGAGAATGAGCAAGCCTCAATCTTCTATACAATGTGAACGCATAGGCTTTTTTCAAACATAATGAAGAGAGGCTCTTCTTTTACCATCTGCTTGAAAGGTCTCGATGCTCTAATTTTTCTGGCACACAGTATTGCTCTATTTCATCATGGTATTTATAAGCGAATATATGCTCAAAGCACAATCTATTTCTCGTTTTATCGATATATATAGCGAGGATGACGTGCTCCGCATGAGTAGAAGGTTGGGTAATCACCTTGAAACTTCTTTATCATAACATTTCATTAAAACCGATTGTAATTAAGCATAGATATGTTTTCTAGTGCGGACGAATTATCAACTAGGGCACAAATTGAAGTTGGATTATAAAACAGTTATCTATAAATTGATCGAGCTTAATTAAATAAGAAAAAAGAGAACCTTTATTCGATTGTGAGTAACAATCCAGTAATAATGATTAACATAAAAAGTAAGACGCGGGACTGGAGGTTGGGGTAGAGGTAATATGCACATAACTCGGGAGGTTGTTTTTACAGGGATAGACAGAGGTAAAAACAACAGGGAAAAAAGATTTTCTTTCTCTCGGAGGATTGAAGAAGAATGTTGTGTGTGTGTGTGTGTGAGTGTGTGGTATGTAGGGTGATAAACGGGGTGGAATTTACAACTGGACAAGAGCATTAGCCACAACTCCCATCATGGTCATGCCTGCAACCGTACCAAACGACAGAGCATAGCGAGCGCTGGATGCATCACTATGGCTAGCAGAGGAGTGCGTTGCGCCGTTGCTGGCAGTCAATTCACGCAACGAAGTTGGATGTCCAGACTGGCTGCTTTCGGGTGCCAATGTAATAGGGCTGAACGTAAAGTCAGTAGCACTGCTCTTGCCAGAGGCAGAAGCACCTGCGCTAGGCTTGACTTTGTTGCCGATGGGTGGTGGAGCGGGTGTTGTGTTGGTACCCTTGGCTGGTGGAGGAGGGGGAGCATTGCCAGGTTTGCCAGGCTCGTTCTTTGGTGGCTCAGGACCACCCTTTGGAGCTTCAGGGCCGCCCTTGGGAGGCTGGTCATTCTTTGGTGGTTCAGGGCCCTTGGGTGGCTCAGGACCTTTGGGAGGCTCAGGACCTTTGGGTGGTTCAGGACCTTTGGGTGGTTCAGTACCTTTAGGAGGTTCGGGTCCTCCCTTGGGAGGTTGATCATCCATAGGTGGTCTAGGATCCCCCTTGGGAGCTTGTGGAGCACCTTTGGGAGGCTCGGGACCGCCCTTTGGAGGCTCAGTAGGTTGTGGTGCAGGGCCAGGTGCGTCACTGAGACCGCCATTATCAACACCGTGTGTTGGGGTTGGCTTTGCTTCACCACCCTCTTTTAAATGTCGCGCACCGATATCAGCTATTTACACTTATCTTTTGCCTAATGTTGAAAAAAAAACACTTACTCTCGTGGTCGTACATGGTCGTTGTGATGGTTTTATACTCGGTCACTAGATAATGCATGAGTCATTTGTTAATTAGAAGCTGCAAACTTTTGTAGGATTAAGCAATGTGATAGATCACGTCGTTGATGCTGATCGCTGACACTATTATTGTTGTTGTTGCCATCGTACCTGTTGTCTGTTTGGCCTGACCGAAAGCGGCAAGGGACAGACAGATTGCAGCATAAATGATACCGGAGCGCATGGTTTCTTTTGGTTTTTTATAACTTAGAACGAATGTAAAGTGCTAGCTGTAGTAAAGGAACGGCACGGGAGGATTAGGCGCAAGAAGATGCTATGGATAAAACCAAGAGGTGCGCGAAAGGAAAAGGGAAAAGGGTTCAGGCGCATTCATCCCAGTCATGGCGGGTTATATATTTCGATTTAAAAAATGGCTGCTAGCCATGCCAGTGCAAACGAAAGCATTCCTTGTCTATTGCTTCTATTCGATTCTAATAATGATAGCTGAGAGAGGGAGAGAAAAGTCACCTTGTGAATATATATGCGGAAATTTGACGTGAATACTACAAAAGTAATGAGGAATTTTTATGCTGATGCCACGATTCGAGGGAAACAGATCATTTTAGCAGTAAGGAGGGAGGGGATATACTCTCATCCGTTAATAGAAGTGGAACAAACACCTGTCTCTACCGTCAATGATTAAAGAGAGACAGAGAGAGGAATGACAGGAGAGTCAGTTATCAGTTTGAGCAGCCGAGTTCATAATGGCGAAGTCCCCGTTATATGGTATGCTTGTTCAATCGATGTTCGGGCATTTGTTCGTTTCTCTCACGTACGCATATACACACAAAGCATCAAAGCCATATCGCTACCATAGTTCCATTTTCAATTATATTTTCATATGAAAAAGAATTCACTGTATTTTTTCCTTTTTTTGTGGGAGTTGCCGTGGTTTAGTGCGTGTGGTGTGTGAGTGTGTGTTTTTTGTAATGATGATAGGATGAATTATATAGTATTATTGATAATACAATGAAAAGAGGTGTTTTGAAAAAGGTGGTAGAGTGAAAAAGACGGAAAGGAAGTAAAAGAGCAAAATGGTCCTCTACTGGCCCGTCATCATCATGCCCTCCAGACCGGCACCGCTTTCCATTTGTTCCTTGGCAAACATTTCGAAATACTAGAATCATGATAACGATAGTGAGCGACATACAAATTCCAACTTACTCCTGATTTCCACTCCTACCAAACAAAGGACAGTGTATATTTACCTGGAATATAATGGTGACACACAGCAAAATACCAGTACCAGAGCCAATGGCGCCAACCATATCAGCCAACACAGACACGGCACCAAGACAGGCACCACCGAACGAGGCAGCAACGGGAATAACACGCTTCAATTCCTTGTACATTGAGGTATCACGGTAACCAGCAATGACAAGCTGCTGATCCTTGAGCTGACGAGCGACATCACGGGGAGAGGATCCAGAGACCTCAATCCAGGTCTTTGAGAGCAGGGCGCAGCCAGCCAACATGATGCTGATATAAACGACGGTATGGATGGGGTCCAAGAGAGCGTCGGTAATGTTGCGAGGAGCAGAAAGGTAGTAGGCAAAGCCACTCTTGGCGAACAGCTGAGCCGAGCCTTCCATGGGTTCCCAAACACCCAAAAGTCTGACCAAAAAGTTATCGTCAAAGCGCTTGTAGAGCATTTGCGAGATCATGAAAATGTTGGAGGTCATGGTAGACTGAAGCATGATGGGCATATTGGAGGTATAAAAGAGCTTGACAGGGTAGGTGCCACGCTGTCCACGGACACGGTTGGATTTGACGGGCAATTCGACGCGGAAACCTTGCAAGTAAATGACAACGGCAAAGATAGCAGCGGTCGACAACAAGCTCATGACGTTTGGCAAAGGAGCGCGATAGAATGCTTCCTTTAATGCACGGGTCTTGTCCTTGCGCGACATGAGCAAATGAACCAGAGCAATAAGAGCACCCTCGAATTCATCGCCACGGCCAGTGTTGATGGTGGTCGGCGACAAGGCCTTCCAGAAGATAGTTTCACAAATGTTGGTTGCAATAAACAAGTTAATACCCGAACCAAGACCGTATCCCTTTTGCAAAAGCTCGTCCAACAACATGGTGATCAATGAGGCGACGACAAGCTGAATGACAAGCAACAAGCAGACACCAGCACCGATTTCTCTGGGGCTGCCGTACAGACCAGTAAGCACCGATACGGTAGCATGGCCAAAGGCGATGATCATAGCAAATACTAATATACCTTTCTTTAGTCCCATCCTTCTGTCTGCGCGCCTTATTTCTTCCCGACTCCAATCTAACGACACGACAGTTGATCACCCTCACACTGTTTTTCAATAGCACAATAACTTACACTTTTGTGCACCACTGAATAGTGCGCGGTCCTCCTTCAAGCTATAGTCCACTTCAATGATGTTTGCGCCAGACAAGAGTTGCATAATCATACCAGACGTGACAATAGGTGTGATACCCAGTTCCATGAGCGTACCACGATTCGAGGCAAGAATAACTCTCATCCAGAACAGGGGATCGGACGAATCAGATGACATGATGCCATACAGTGGGACTTGTGACATGACCAAAAAGATGAAGAGAGTAACTGCTGTCCACATTACTTTTTGGTTGAAAGGAACCTAAAAAAGCAAATTTCTGTTCTTTGAGAAAAACGGTTGCATACATTCTTTTCCTACTTTCAGTGGCACCCTTTGCATTCTATCCTTTCCGTTTCATTCTGTATTTCACTGGCTCCAAAAAGAAAAAGACGCGTATATTAAGTGATATTTTTTTACCTTGCGATCAGGAGTGGCAATTTCCGGAAGGATGGCCATAAACGGCCGGACCAGGTGCAGTACCCTGACTGTATAATGCATTATGATACGCGTCAATTATAGTGTCATATACTTGTCAAAAAGAGCGAGAAAGTAGAGAGGCGAATGCTTACAACCCATGATTTATATGTGTGTGTTTGAGGAAAAAAAAAAGACGATCAAGAAGAAATATATAAAGCGTTTCCTGAAATATTCAAAGTGGGGGGGAAACGGCATTACCACGAGCCAATCAACCGGTCTTGCAAATTCCAGCCAATAGGAATGGTCCACCTTTTTGTGTGCTGTGCCTCAACGTGGTCAGTCTAGTTTTGATTCCATAGTGTCAAAGAGACGTTTAAAGCTAATATACGATACAGTTGCGTATTCTTCAGATAACTAATCTTTTTCTTTTGATGGATTCCGTCTTTCCTTGTGCTTCTACATAACAGCATAATTAGACAGCAATTATCTTGACAGCTTTGATAACAGTATTACAGCAGCATCTTTTATTTTTATTTGCAAAGAGCAAACAAGAATATGAACATTCATGAAGGTTCAATATCGCTATTTTGAATTGAAAATCGAACCTCTCTTATGGACAAAAAGAGAGGCTTGATATATGGTTGCTATGGAAAACCAGCCCGTTTCTATGTTAGATACTGGCCACAAAATCGGTTGCTATGGCATATGCTGACTGCAAAATCCGTTGCTACGGGAACCACTAAACAGTACTTGCTTTTTCGGTCGATGACATGTTTCAAAGCAACAAAAACTTTTTTTTTTCATTTTCCATTCTTTTATAAACTACGGATAAGATGCATTGAGACAACACATGGTTTATATTCAGATCTCCCATAAACACGCCTTAAAGTAACAAGGTGGTGGTCCAGACGTGGGTCGTCATACCTCCATCTTCTCCCGAAAGAGATGACGGAGCTTGCTCGTTCATTAGACCAGGAAGTATCATCATTATTTCCAAAACTTGGAAGGATCAAAGATTTCATGGGTTTCCCAAGCAAATTCGAGTTCAGAACTTATACACAATCCTCACCAAGTTGTGGGTTCGTAAATGGCTTATCTTGACTTTTTTTTTTTCTTGCACCGAAACTCGAGAAAGGTGAAAAGAAAAAAAAAACTCCGTAAGATGTGTGCGTTGCTTCAAATTTCAGAGAGACGACAATTGTAACGTTTCCACTTCCCCTTGAACGGTTCAAACAAACAGGGTTTCTTATTCTTGGGTTGCAAGTAGTAACCATCAGCTTTTGATTAACTATTTTTGTGTCGAGTTATTCAATCACTTATTCAGTCCCATTTTTGACTTAGTATTGATTCCAAACACAGTGCATGAAGAAAAATATAGGGTTTCCAAGACCTCGATTTTTTCGATAAGAAATATTGACAATGTAGGATGTAACATCCAAAGGATAACAGTTCAATTATGTAAAAGTGATTCAATTGTCTATTATTATAAAAGAAAAAGAAAGTAATGGATATTTCATGTACATACAACATATAAAGCCAAATGCTTTTTTGTCCCTACTACTACTTTTTTTTTTGAAAAAACCTTTTTTTTTCATGGAGCCTTTCCCCCCAACTACTACAAATGCTTATTCCTTCTTGGCGTGGCCATCATCCACAGGGGCAGCGTCAGTTGAAGAGGATGATTCGGTGGTATCATTGCCACCAGCACCACCAAGCAAAGCAGCGAATGGACTCTCAGACTTGAAAGGACGCTTCAAATCACCTTCGGGAGCATCACCCCACAAATGGATAAGGGCTACCTTGTGCGTAAGCAAGTTCTTGACAGGCAAAATCGATTGCAAAACCAAGGGTTGAGTGAACTTGAAATACCAGTGCATGGCCGAGATCATCAAGATGGACGACATTGTCGACTGGATAAACTGCTTGACCTGAGACACGTCATACTCGACATTGGTAGTGGTAACGGGTTCACTCTCGGTAGCAGGTTGAGGGTTCATCAAAGAGGGAGAAGCTTGAGGAACATAACGCAACGGCCGAGTGTCTGTATAATATACGAAAACATCGCATCGCTCCTCCAATGAGTATTTTGGGTCATCCCAGTAAAAAAAAAGCCAAACCCCTGACTGATATTCTTTGTTCCCCCATCTTTACAAATTATAAAAAGAGACGCCAAGTACCATTTCGCTTCTTGATCAAATGCATAAGCATGTAAGCCATTATCACGACGAGAACCTGGGCACTGTAGTAACCAACGCGTGCGTAAAGCAAGGTGTCGGGATCGTCCCAGTTGATTCGCTTGCTGAGCTGCATGCTACCGATAACGAACAGCATATTGAAGATTGGCGACTTGACTATGCTTGGAGAACCCATGGTGATGTGCTTTGTGCTTTTCGAAAGATTAAGCTTTCTACTGTTGTGGGGTGTTTTGTGTATTGGGAGGAGAAAGAAAGAAAGGGAGCGTACGGATTTTCTTCTACCGAGAAGCCTAATCAGATTGAAGGGGCGGACATTGGTTTTTAGGTTTCTTATTACCTTTCCAAGTGTGCGTGGCACTACTGAATTCGTTGTTGAAACAACGCCCCACACACCCTCACCCCCGCACACCAATAAAGAAATAAGAGCTTCTTTTGTAAAAGGTTGTTTGTTTCTTACACTGGATCAAGAAAGCTTGGTTGTTTCCTACAATTGGCACTGCTATATCCCTCGGAATACAATGATTCCAAGTATTTCCTTGTCTACATCCTATTGCTGCTAGTAATGAAAGGCGTATTATACATAAACAATAGTCTGCTCGTAATAAAAGCGAATGCTGGCTACATCCAAGTTGGAAGATAATGCGTATGTGTTATGTACACTGTACAGTATACATGGGCGAATAAGCTATCGGTACCCGCCCTGTAACATGTACATCCAAAACATCATGTAAGGTGCAAAAATGCATTGAGAACATATTTGGAATCCAGATTACCGTTTTCGTCTTCCTAGTACACCTTTCTCGTCGTCACCTGCAAGAAGAGAAGAAAAATCACTTACAACCTCCTTCTTTACAACACTTGTTGTTCTTTTCCTTACTTTTTCCTCTTGTTGTTGACGGTCTATAACTCTCAGCTTAATACTTGCGCATCTCGCTAACATTTTGAACGTACGTCGCATATATGACTTGAAAAAACGGAATGGCTCTTCATCAGAGCGTTTCAAACTCGCTTGACATACACGTTGCTACTATAATAGTTGTTGGCATAAGACGCTCAATCTAGGGTTAACCTTTACTTTGATTTTTAGGAGCTCAAAATTAGTCTCGCAACTTGCAAAGAAAAGGTCCCCCTTTCCTCTTTTACTGTCTGATTTTTTAAATCGATTTAAACGATACGGTATAGCACACAAGAAAGGACATGAATCTGTCAACACCGGCCGAATATTCTTTTCCCGGTGTTCTCCATTACCTTCAAGTGGAATGGCGACGCTTTGAACGTGAGCGGAATGAATGGACTATTGAACGGGCACAGATGAAGGTAAAGAAAAGGAAAAGGGGCGGTGGGGCAAGGGGTCAGTAACAGTAGCAAAAGTGGGAATCGGATCCGGTATAGAATAAGGGACGTAAGGTATTGACACTCTGCGTGTTGGTTGATATCTAGGCACGTATAGCCTTGTTAGAAGGCGAACGGAGAGGCGTTGAACAAGTAAAGCTTGATTTGATGAAAAGAGTAAAAATGTTGGAATATGCATTAAGGCAAGAAAGGTGATGTATGCTTCCAAATACTGCGCGTGTTTACAGAAAACTGAAAATGCTGACATGCCATTTCTCATAAATCAAATAGGAAAAAGTACTTGGCAGCAAATAACAAACAACAACACCTGCATGAAAACGCAGACGTCGATTCGCCCAATGCTCGTAAGCTGGCATATTTTCTTTTACTAACGATATCATCGGGGGAAGGGGGGAAGAGGAAGCTAGAACAACCTATAACCGTGCGTGTAATATATGTGATAGCATCATCACCAGTAGTACGCAACACAGAAACTTCCAACCAACAAGAGGTGTCGGCCCCAATCGTTCCTTTAGCCAAACCAGAGAATACAGCTGAATCATCTGTCGCAAAGGCAAAGGAACGGAGTCGACATGCATTAAAAGCGTATGTTATTTCTTTGATGCGTAATAGATGAACCGCGAGGACTTATCACAGCGACGAATCTGTAGGGCTAAATCTTATTCTTAACTTCTGTGTGTGTAGTTGCCTTGACGAAATCAATTATTTGACATCCATGCCAACCAAATTCCCACTCATGCCCAGCTTAACAACCGAAACAATGTTGCGCACAAATACTTCTGGAAGTCCAGGATCGTTTTTCCGCCAAGCCGCCTCCTCATCATCGTCGTCCTCTTTTGAATACAGCGGTCATACATCCCCCGAACTATCAAACACAGCAACAGCAGCAGCAGTAAACGATCTGAGCAAAGGCAATAATAGTAACGCAAGATCACCTCCATCCAAACAAGCCAAAAATGCTACGCATTCCGGTTCAAAACGCTCCAACCCCTTTCTGACGCCCATACCCAAAAACAAAGAGAGCATGCGCTCCAAGCATAACACTATGTCTACCTCACCCACTACTACATCCGCATCAACAATTACTACTGCAGGAGAAGTTGAACCAATACCATCCGTTGAATCATCTCAGACGTCAAGAGAAGCAGCGAGAGTAGCAGCAGCAGTAGAAGAGCAACAAGAAAGTGTACCTGCCAATGTCGACGAAGTTGCCATGTTAAATAACAACAATAATAACAGTAGTGATAAGGGTGATGATGATTCGAATAATGACGATGTGGATATGGATACGGACGATACATCGATGGACGAAAATGCGTTGCTGGTACGGAAGATGAAGAAGAGAAAGCGGGTAATCTATCCTTAAAGTGTCATGTACGAGAAAGACTAACAACATAGTCCTGATGTAAGTCTAAAGAGATGCAAGAAAAGTATAATCTTTCCGAAGAAAAAGTACAGCGGATGCTCAAGAGTGCAAGGAAAGGAACGCGGCGTAAGTGAATACAAGAGATGAACATATGGAGAGAGAGAGAGAGCCAAAGTTCTTATCAAGTCAACTCGTTGATGATGTCTGTATAGGCTCTGATCGATCTTCGTCTTCCCCCGAGCCTCAAGATGGAGAATTCTCGCTAAAGGGAAACTTGGATCCTTCACAGGTAGAGTCAATCTTCTTTTGATGCTGGTTTTCATTGTTTTAGTTTTCTATTTCATTGATGTGATCGTACGGAACAGCTTAATGATATAGACGAAGTCGGCAAGAAACAAGAGCATCAACAACCGAAAATGTGGAAGCCGCGAGTGACAATCAAAGGGTATTGTGTCTATCACACACTTACTTGACATGAGTCTTTCCAATATCCCGGAGCTAATAACTTGCATAATAATCGTAGACATTTAGACTCAGTACGTGCTGTAGCGTTCCATCCAACTGAAATGATGGTTGCTTCAGGCTCGGATGATGGCACAGTAAAAATTTGGAATCTTCAGCGCACTATCGGAAAAGATGGAAATCCTGTGAGAAAGTAAGTTTCTGTATATAATGTGGACGAAATGCTCGAGATATCGACTCTTTTAATAACACGTTTGCTATATAGAGCTGCTCATGAAGAAGCTGATCCAGTAATTGCCTACCGTGGCCATAACCACATCGTAACACAAGTAGCGATCTCTGCGGAGCAAAAAAGAGTGTATTCGTCCAGTTTGGATTCGACCATTCGGGTTTGGCGTCTTCCGTCTGAAGGACACAGTTTGTATTCGCCTGTAGGCAAGTATCATATATCGGTCAGTCTATCAATGTGGGGGGAAGGACTGGAGAGAAAAAAGAACAAGGAAGAAAAAAAGGTGGGGTTTGCACAAAGGCAAAACAACTGACATCAGAGGTATTTATATTTTTCCAGATCCATCACTCAGTATGGCAACGTATGTCGGACACACCGATGCTATTTGGGACTTCAAACTCTTCCCCATTGCTCGAGAGGATACGTGCTTACTAGCATCGGCATCTGCTGATGGAACGGTGAAGCTATGGGATACCCAAACATCCGGACAGCTGTTGAAAAGCTCTCTAACCTTTGATGGTGTCTTGACCGAGAATGATCATCGACGGAGTAAGTCAAGAAAAGAGACCCAAGAATAGGGTGAAAACTAAACTCATACATATTCATACTAGATCTTCCTGTACCGACGTCGCTTGACTTCTGTCACACCGATTTGACAAAAATGGCTGTATCGTTCGCTAACGCACAGATCCGCATCTACGATATCGAAACTGGACAAGTAGTCACAACACTGGAAGGAAGTAACGACACTTATGGTAAGTACTGTTACTTTTCTTTCTTTCTGTTTTGCCCCCCAGTCTAGAACATCTCGGAAAAAAACGCCCAATCCTAATAACTTTCCTGCTGTGATCTCTCCTTTTCGTTCTTATCGGATAACTTAAAAAATTAACTATTCATTGTAATAGATGGCACAGTAGGCACACAAATTAATACTATTATTGCTCATCCAACAATGCCTCTGATAGTAACGGGACACGAAGACCGTCAGGTCAAATTCTATGATCTCAAAAGTGGTAAAGCTTCTCAACAAACGTCTTGTATCATTTCAGACATTGAAAAAAAGCAAACGGTAATAATTGATTATGATGGTGATAACTCATGATAGGCACATGCGCATTTTCTATGTCTGCGCATTTGGATTCTGTGGCGTGCCTGGATATCGATCCAAGCGGCATGACGCTTGTGTCGGGCGGACATGATTCATCGATAAGACTTTGGGATATTTCCATGTCAAAAACATGTATGCAGGAGTTCTCTGCACATCGGCGAAAAGGCCATGAAGGTGTATTGAGCGTACAATACCACAAGGCGTATCCATGGATGGTTAGTGGTGGCGCTGACAGTATCGCCAAGGTCTATCACCACGGACATCATCATTGAAGACCCAACAAAGCACACTTTTTACCCACATTACATGCATACACACCCTCTACTATATACACCATTAGTTATAGCTTTTCTTTTTTTTATCGTAGTTTCTTACACATCTCTTGCTTGCATATTTATATTACCACCATTATCTTTTGCTTCCGCTTACTGCCCCCAACAGGCATATTTGCCCTAACAATACACCTTATTAGCCGGTTTCCTCCGTCCGTGATTCACAACCAATAGGGAGGCGTGGATTGGGGTGTGGATGAGAGGTGGAGAAAGGCAACACAAGGGCGGACTTGATCGTTTGCTTTTTCCAAGTCAGAAACGATGGTTATATAAATACCAGGGTCCGCTCACAAAAAAATTTGTTTATCCTTTCATTCGAAATATCAAAATGTCTGGTGCTGCTCGCTCCTTCTGGTCCATCTGGTACAAGCCTGAAATTATCCCCATCTACGTTACCGTTGGTGGTGCCTGTGGTCTTGCTGGCTGGTACTTGACCCGTCTTGCTCGGTATGTTAGGAGGAGAGAGCGAGAGACTTCCACATATAAACAAAGCAGTAACAAGAGTGAAGAAAATAAACACATGTACCTGAAACTAATCTTTTTTCCCATACACAAATGAACATTAGTGGCCCTGATGTTGTCTGGGACCGCAAGTACGTATAGTAAAACAACTTGACAGCCATGACGTCTTTCCTATCCGGTATCTTTAATAATGCACTTGCTAACATCACTTCTTTGTGTTTAGGAACAACCCCTACCCATGGCAAAACATCACCCAGGATACTCAAGTCAAGATGATGACCGTCAACCAAGAATTTGCCAAGAAGTATTCCCGCGACCGTCTGTAAACGTATCCTGTCAATCCTCCCTGCCGTTTTTTTTCTTTCTCGCCAAACCCAAACGAAAACCAAATCAGCAAAAACCAGCTACACACACATTAGAAATGATTATATAGATTGTTTGTTTTATATCTTGATTGATAAACGAAAACTCTTTACTCAGTAGAGAAGAGTAAAACACAACAACAAACCCGGGCCATCACCAAGTTTGGACTGAGCAGTACTTTCGGAACAACAAACGAATGAAATCATATGAAAAAGAACAACTGTGATTTAACCGGAACGGCTCTATTGTTGGGTTCGTTTTTTTTTTACCTGATTTTCCATCTTTGTGAGGTGGCCCTGGTGTAAAGGAAAAATGTGGGGTTGCGGGTGCACGGTTGTTGTGTGATCAGGCTCATATGCTACGATAACTACCATCCCCTTCACCCAAGTGAAAACATGATACCTATCATACAACAGACGCCTGTCGTTTCACACAACTAGTACGTATACAATTACCTATGGCTTATGAGGTGCACTCCCTACTTATTACCTGAACGAAAGTTTTATCGTGCTACCTAACGTGTTTAGAAGTTTCTTTTTTTGCCCCCGTGAATGCGTTTTGTATGGGAACAAATTTGCCTTATGGTAGCAAAAACGCCGCCTTTTGAGTAACACTTTTGTATGTTTGCTTAAGCTTTTTCCACTTGATTCTTGTTGGTATTTTATATAAAACTACTAATAACAATCCAGAGTGCGAGGCCGCTCTTTGACCTTTCTTTTACTATACCTTACTCGACTTTTCTTTGTACGTGCGTAATATTGATGGCACCATTAAAAGTTATTGGGGCAGCCTATAGTCGAACAGGTACAGATAACTTACGTGCTGCTCTGGATATGCTTGGGTATGTTATGTTTGTACGCACGAATATAAGTAGTCTGGAACATTAAACTACTTTCTCATACTACTACATACTGCAGTTACCGCACACATCATGGCAAAGTCATGATCAAGGATCTTGTCGGTAACCCTGAGCTCTTCGAACACGCGTACGAGCATCCCGAAAAACCCGTGGTTTGGGATAATCTCTACGAAGGTTTCGATGCTGCCATAGAATTGTAAGTTATATATTCCTAATGTTGTATAGAACCACGCTCATATAGAGGTGTACGAATCAAATATGGCGATGAGCCATTACACATCATACAAACATAGCGTGAGTACTAAAAATGTTTTTATTAAACCATGCTTTTAATGTATTTTAATGCTTCATATTTCAGCCCTACGATTTGCTTTATTCGGGCCACTGATAGAAGCATACCCTGAGGCCAAAATCATTCTTGTCGAGCGAGATGCTGATAGCTGGTTCGATTCTGTCCAAAAACCGGGTACGAGATGGTTAAGGCCAAGTATGCCGCTCAAATGCCAGACTACAGCGCACGTCATATGCGCTTTTTCATGAAATTATAACTCAATGGTGTATTGCTCGATCCAGCGTTGATGGCAGATGCAGAGGCAGTGAAAGCTAGATACTTGGCGTATAATGCATGGGTTAAGGAGTATGTGCCACAAGATCGGTTGCTGGCGCTGAAGCTTGAAGAAGGCATTAATTTGGACAAGATTTGTGCGTTTCTCGATAAGCCTGTCCCCGCCGACCCTATCCACGGATTAATTCTACCAAAGAGCTTATCGAGGAGATACCCGATTTTTTAGATCCCTCAAAATCTAGAAATTAAAGTGTTATCATTGAGAAGAAGCAAGTTTTTGATCTCATCGTCCAGCGAGTTTTGGCGCTCAAAGCTATTTTTGCGGGGGGAGTAATTCTAACTTGTCAAGGGTGGGAGCGTGCGACAAACACAGTTTTGCAAAAAAACACGAAAGGAGATAACTAGTGCAACGTCAACTCTTCTAATACTGAAATGATGAGCATTGCAGGAAGCCTATCCCGAAAGTAAACGGGTTCGGTGTGTATTATGTGGCAGCTATGACAATTGCTATAAGCATGTGAGATATTTGCACGACCGAAAGTGGTCGCATATTACGCGATAAGCGGGATTGACACATTGCTAAGCACCATGTGTGTACATCCACCGTTTTAATTTTACCGTCTTTATAATAACTTTAGCTGTCTTCGCCAGTAGAATAGACAAGGTAGTCACGTCCAATTTCTCTATACAGTATTGATCCTGCAGCCGTACCATCTTTCACTTTGTGGTAAGCTATCATAGCTGTAACAATATGTGGCATTTGCATGGTGACGGCGTTGCCGTCGAAGGCAGAGTTGATATACAAGACTGCCACAAACTTAAGTTCAACCTTCTGCCTTTTGAAAATATCACATAATTGTACATGTTCAAGGAGGCTGTTCTTACACATGACTGCGAAGAGTTTATGTACTTGTTCATCATCACATATCGAAAGTTTGTTTCAAGAACATTGCTGCAATATGGTAAATATCAGTACACACAAGTGCACACTCAAGCATAAGCACCCCAATGAAATTTAGAATAAAAGCAACCTTTTTATACGTAATAACAGCACCCAGATTGAACTGGAAAGAGGTATTTGATGCCCAACATTAGCAAAATGGTTTTATATACTTTTTTTTCTATTTCATGCAAAATTACAGATACAACACCAACAAGTGGGGAAATGCTTCGTTATATTATATGTACTAGGAGAGGGGTGGGTGAGGGTGCGGGAGCGGAAAAAGATAATTCGTTTAATCCACCAACTTGGTAACGACACCAGTACCAACGGTCTTGCCACCTTCACGGACGGTGAAGCGCTGACCCTCTTCAAGGGCGACATCGTGGATAAGCTCGCATGCAAGTTCAACATTATCACCAGGCATGATCAACTTGTCATCAGGATCTTCAGTACCTTCGGGGTGGGTCAAGCTGACAGTGACATCGGTGGTACGGACGAACATCTGGGGACGATAGTTGTTGACGAAAGGAGTGTGACGACCACCTTCTTCCTTGGTCAAGATATAGAACTGAGCCATGAACTTCTTGTGGGACTTGACAGTACCAGGAGCGCAAAGAACCTGACCACGACGGATCTGTTCGCGCTTGACACCACGCAAGAGAGCACCCATGTTGTCACCAGCCTCACCACGGTCCAACTCCTTACGGAACATTTCAACACCAGTCAAGGTGGTCTTCAAGGGAGCGCCCATACCGACAATTTCGACTTCAGAGCCCTTGGTGATTGTACCACGCTCGACACGGCCAGTGGCAACAGTACCACGACCAGAGATAGAGAAGACATCTACAGAGAAGAATATCATGTTATAGACGATCCGTAGACAATAGTTCACTGATCCAATGATAATTACCTTCAATGGGCATCAAGAAAGGCTTGTCCAAGTCACGGACGGGAGTAGGGATGTGCGAATCGACAGCAGCCATCAATTCAAGAATGGCCTTCTCACCAATCTCGGGATCACGGCCCTCAAGAGCAGCCAAAGCGGAACCCTTGACGATGGGGGTGTTCTCACCATCGAAACCGTATTCGGCCAATAGATCGCGCATTTCCATCTCGACGAGCTCGAGCATTTCTTCGTCATCGACAGCATCGACCTTGTTGATGAAGACGGTCAAATTTTGGACACCGACTTGGCGGGCCAACAACAAATGCTCACGGGTCTGAGGCATTTGACCGTCGGTGGCGGAGACGACAATAATGGCACCATCCATCTAAAATTGGGCATATGTGCGTATAAGTTTTTTTTATTTTACCATATTCCACACACACCTCGTACTATTATCATCGACACCCCTATTTCACAGATTAGATATGATAACGAACCTGAGCTGCACCAGTAATCATGTTCTTGATATAATCAGCGTGACCAGGACAGTCAACGTGGGCATAATGACGGTTTTCGGTTTCGTACTCGACGTGGGCAGTGGAGATGGTAATACCACGGGCCTTTTCCTCAGGAGCCTTGTCAATCTGGTTGTAGTCCATGAAGGTGGTGCTACCGCTCTGGGTAGCCAAAGTCTTGGTGATAGCAGCAGTCAAGGTGGTCTTGCCGTGATCAACGTGGCCAATAGTACCAATATTGACGTGGGGCTTACCACGAGAGAACTTGCCACCAGCCTCAGAAGCCATACCGCGACGACCTATCCACCTTGTGTTATTGAACGATTTTCCCCTTTTCTTTTATTTTCATTTTTGGCTTACCGAACATCATCATGCGGGGTGCGGAGGAAACATAAGCTTCGTGCAAGAGGTTGGCAGTCTATAGAGCATAGAAATATCACCTTTCCAAGTTAATAAAATTTTTTCCCTATCATGTGCTACGCCTAAAATCCACATACCAGCTTGTTGCCCGAAGAAAGGGCCATACGAGTAGAAGCGAAAGCTAGCATTATAAAAAAAAGAAAGTTAGAACAAGTTCAGGTCCACGGATCCTAATTCCGTTATCCTTTTCGGAGAAAGAGAAAAGTATAAACTCACCACTGCGAGAGGCAGAGGAGGAAACACAACGACGAGTGGCGAAACGAGCAGTAGGAGCAGCAGCTCTGTTGACCGCGGTCTTCAAGGCGAACATGGTAGCAATGTGTTGACGATTGGAGAGGAAGTGTCAAAAAAAAAACCGACTGAACCTAGAAATTTACTCTTGGTGGCTCCGTCCGATTTCCAAGGTGACATCACGAAACGGGCAGTCACTGTTCCCCAAAGTGGCAATTTTACCCGACTATTGTAACCACCGTGGATCTGAGATTTGTAGTTGCTACGGTTTTTATGTAACCTAGCAGCAACACGTCGTCATGCGCATAATTTTCTCTCTTGGTAACGGTGTTCGTAGGAACATTTTTCGAAAAAAAAGTAAATAAAAAAAAAACAAAGGCTATTGTTACGATATGTGATATAGAGCCATGTGAGTCTGTTTTACAGCTTTTTACTACATTTTTTTGCATTTTTTCTTTTACTTAAACAACAGGGCGTGATCCAGAAACAAAAAAGAAATAAATCAAGCTAAAGATTAAAAGGGATACTAAAGATGTAAAGATGGAATCATTCCAGGAAGAAGGACGCATGGGGTGGGGACCTGTTATTAGGCTTCATCTCGATGAACAGTGAGTGAGAGTCTGCTCAAAAAGTACCACCATTGGGGAACTGTGGTAAACCAATCAGTTGTTTGGGCTGCACCCTGGAGCGCATCTTGTTCACTTGGATAGGTCGTCTGCAGTTGGCCAATAAACAGCTCCCACTTCTTTTTCATTTGCTTGACCGTAGTAGATTTCTTTGAAGCGAGCAGCTCAAGATCATCAACCTGCTTCTGGACGGTGGGATTACTGGATGTGTCTTCCATTTGCTTCTCTTGCTTGACAATCTCGTCAAACACTGCCTCGACCAGTTCGTCATCAGAGTAGTCTCCAGGCACAACGTTGATGCAACCGTATTGCGATCGTCCAGTATTGCAGTCGGCCTAATAGTTCAGTAAAGAGAGTTAATTATCAGAAGGAAGGAACATATATACGGGGGCAAAAAATCACAAGATATAAAAAATTACACAATGGATACCTTAAAGTCGCAGCATCGGATACAAAAACGCTTATTGGCAGGTTCTACCAAATTGACAAAGTAATTGTAACCTAGGCATTTGGCACCAATGGGTTTACCCTTGTTGTGGTCATCATACTGAAATATAAAAAAGAACAATGGTTTAATGAATGATTGTTCTTTTTTTGTAGATGTTTTTTTATATAAAGTGGAATCTTGTTTTCACCTGACCACCGTCATCGCTCGCAAGCAAGCCAAACTTTGTCGGGTCCATATAGCCTGTCACTTGCGTGTAATTTGACGTCTTGCTGTAATGCGCCTTGGTAATGAAACCTTTAGGGAACTCTTCATTTCCTTCCACGACTGATTTTGACGTGCAGTGAGCAACACCGTAGTCCTCGGTCGGCGCCACTTCAACATTGGGCTGAGGCGGTAAGAAAAAGCAATAGTCATTTTCACCAGCAATTTTGACACGAGGTCCCTGTTGCTGTTGATCTGGAGTAGTAGCGGTGGCTTTAATTTTGCCTGAGCCGTTGTCGTTCTTCTTTGCTGCTGCTGCTGCTTCTGTCGCAGTAGCAGTAGCATTATGCTTTTTGTCATTGACTGCCTTTTCTTCTTCTTCCTTCGTCTTCTTGTCTTGCTCATCCTGTTTTTCTTCGGATTTTGGCAGGTTTTTGTCAGCTAAGGCTGGAGCAGGAGCGTTGTGAGCGGATGCACCAGCAGTGTCGGAGACGGGCATTTCTTTGTCGGCAACATTGGCAGCACCACTGCTCTTTTTATTAGGATCGCTGGTATTGTCGTTGGTGGCAGCATGGGATGTCGCAGTAGAGCCGGCATTGTCTTCAGGCTTAATAGCTGCAGCTGGAATTGCGGCAGCTGGGTTACTCGCAGCAGGGGTGTCGACATTCTTTGGTGGTTGTTGTTGTGACGATTCAGGAAGCTGTTGCGGCGTGGCATTATTGTCGGTGGTGGTAGTCGTTTCGTCGGCAAATGTGGAAGCTATTAAAAATAGCAAAAAGGAAAGTATGACCAAATAGTAGCACGGTTTAAGCATCTTGAAAGAAAAAAAATATATAGAATTGATGGAAGCTATTAATATGAGAAACAGAAAGGAAAGAGAACCATGGCCATATTTATATACTATGTGGTTCCTTAATCGACGGATCCGTTTCGGGGAAATGACTGATAGCTTACATGTAGTATCAAGGTCAAGGAAGGAGAAAGGAAAAAAAATCTGCTCATGGTTTGAACGTGCATATGTGATAAAAATAGGACCATAGTAATTATACATAGTCGTTTGCTGTATAGACAAGATGGCAAGTGTGAATGTTCTCGGCCACCATTGCCCAGTCTCTCGCATCATGTAACTAAGTCTAAAAGATATCCAAGTCAGCCCAATTAGAACAGATGCAGTAACAGTAAGCACCAAGTGCCAACATTTGACTCCTTACATGTTCTAATGGAGACGAGGTGTCCTTGAACTCTGTTCCTGGAAAAGAGAAGCACTACTCTCTGGTCAGTAGTTATCTATTAAGGGAGAACAGGAGGGGTGTCTTGAATAACAAGAGGGCGGCAAAATTACTCAAGTTCTCAAGTATGCAAAGTCGTGCTATGATACTCGAAATATGTAATCATGTTTTTTTTAAACGTAAAAGTGTATATTGTCGTTTGCTGTCTGTGTGCTAAAAAAAAGTTGGTGATCTACGAAGGGGTGCTTTTTTTTTTCGATCAAAAAATAAAACATCAGACAACAAGTTCTGAAGAAATATACAAAGCGATAAATTTGCTTATACTTTTTACAGTAACACGTATGTAGAATTGATATGACCAAATAGAGAGAAAAAGAGAGGGGAAAGAGGAGAAAGACAAGATGTATAGTACAAAGGATTTACACCTAAGCTTGTTACTACTGTATACTGGTTTGCCCAACCACTGGTACACCCTCGTCCCCACCCGCCCCCAACCATTTTGCGGGATTTCTGTGAGCAAGAGGGTTTTGCTCTTTTACATACCTCTTCAGTAAGTATCACCACTGAAGCTGCGGCAAATCTTTCATGCCTCCTTGAGCATGATAGAAAGAATAACAGGGATAAATGTTCTAGGCCATAACATTAACATGTACAGTATACATAAAAACTTACCCTCAAATATGGTTTTTTGTTGTGTCAAATGTGTTTTGTACCCATCTTTAGAAAAGGACGTGCATTCTGCTTGTGGAAGCTGACGCGGAATAACTTTCTACTTCAAACGCTCTATATATCACTTAAGGCAGCGATCATTTCCTTCCCTATACTATCTTCTACTATGTGGTGCATCTATAAACTTGCTAAGGAGGTGGAATGATAAAATGAATCTCGGCCAATGAACTTCAAGGAGGTCGAAGAAAAAATTTACTCCTACTGCTTACTAGTCTACTACTTGCTACTTATTAGCTCTATGATATTCAACCCAGCCCGTAAAAGAGCAACCGAGGAGTAAGAAGAAGGATCAAATCTAATCCGCGTAGGACTAAACGTTTTAAGGGAAAGGGGAGTTGAAAAGAAGAGTTGACATCCGTAGTGAGGTACGTAATTGAACGAGTGGCTATTATTACATACATGAATTCAACCACGCACTTGTAATAGCAGCAGTCGTCAAATTTAGCGCTGCGCATGTATGCATGTACGCACAACCCGCTATTGTGTACGTAGAAGAGATGCACATCGTTTTTTTTATCTAGCTGTGGGACAAAATAAAGCGATATAAATTTACTACGCATTATGGCACATCAGTCCTCCTTTTTTCTAGGCAACCAATGTGCGCTACTTGAAGTGAACGACAACTGATATTTGTGTTCAAGTCTACCAACTGTTGCCAATTTTGTCTCGATCCTTTGACACATCTTAGAATCTAAAATTGACAGAAAAAGTATAGGTTTCAAAAGAATATGGCATTGCAGTCCTATTGAGTCTGATTTCTTTTTCTGCACGTCAAAGTCAAAGTTTATTGGGTGCAGCTGATTCACATTGTGTCAGGTTAAGAAAGTTAAAGTATGTCAGCATATGTTGTACACTAAAAACATCGCATGTATAAGCAAGTAGTAAATTACTGTTACAGTATGTGTAGACAAGCCAAACCTGTTGTATTATATCAACGAAACTGCCGTCAGCAGAGAATTGGCAGTAACAGCAAGCAGCAACAGGTTAATAAATTATTTACAGTAACTGCGTGGTAATCCTGGAAATAGACTTTACAAGGATAATATTTTTTAACGCATTTCCCCCACCTTTCGACCGCAAAACGCTTTTATACATAGAGACAGGTACTTAGTAGTACAGTAGCAACACAGAAAAGATATTTTCTGCTGTAGCCAAATATACAGCCTACATATAATATTATAAACAAGGTCTTCTTCTTTTCAAAAGCTGTCATTTACTTTAGCAAGTCGTATGCAAAACAGCAGGCAGGAAGAAAATACAGAATAGTAAATCAAAAGAACCCCTTTTCGTATTTACACATTCTCCAAAAGCCGATTACGAAATCGACATTTTAGCCCACTCTACTTTGATTATTTCGGCACATATAGAAGCAAACAAGTAAGAGCCACCATTCTTTGGAAAACCAAAGTTAGAACATGCACAGGAAAACAAGCTGCTGGATAAATTGAAAAGTGTAAGTGATTTTTTCTTCCTGGATGGTTGCGGAGGAATTGTGGATACCCGGAAGGTGTGTGCCCTAAACAATGCATAAAACCGAATTCCGATGCGCAATGATTCATTGGTATTTTCGGAATGCGTATCCTTTCAGTGATCATGTATGTTTGTTACATTTGTACAACAACGTACGAATGGCGGAGGTGCGTTTGGCGGGACATGGTTGGATAATGCGCTTCAATTTGTTCATGGAAGTCATTACTGATGAATAAGGAGGGACTTTCAAAGTTTCTATCTAGTAAAGGATGCAGGGACTCCGGTGCTTTGACGTGATAAAGATACCTATCATATACCAAATACATAGCTTTACGATGGATATATAAGCTTGTCATAAACTAATATATATAAGCTTTAGCAAGAGCTATATATTAGTCCTATTGTATACATACAGATCAAAAAGAACTCTTTAAACGATACTGCACTGTTCCTGCACCATGCTTTTACTACGTGTGTACTATTATACAACATATGAAATGCCTGTGACGAGGCAGGAATCGCGAGACGGAAAGAAAAAAAGAGAGATTACTACAAAAGCAACAAATCGATATATGATAATGTTACAGATGTCCTGTCATCTTGGCCCGTTGCTGCTGCTGCTGCTGTGGTTGATGATGATGTTGCTGTTGTTGATATTGCGTGGTAGAAGGCGCCATCCCAAACTCGCTGGTGACTGGTATACTATTTTCGATGCAAATAGCCTTGATCGCTGCGTAATGATGAATCTAAAAAGAAAACGAGATGCCTTGTGTCACCCCATTGCCACCCAAACCCTGATTCTATGTTTCACGGGCTGCTGTCGTAATAATAGTCCCCACAGAACAGTAGTAAAGTTCCCCCTCCCCCATCATCTTACCGCATGCATACAACAGTACCACAGCTCACGATCGAACGTAGAATGAAACAAGGCCCTTGGAACGCTGGCTGAGGCATCAATGGTGGCAGCGAGCTTCACCGGGGTATCTAGTGGCACCTTGTCTGCGATATCTTTAAACTTGTTTTGCATGTCCCGAAAACAACAGGCAGCTTCCCGACGGTCTCGTTCCATTGGTTGCTGTGCAAAATGAAGATGGTTCCACCAACGTACATACGTCAATATTAAGAAATTCCTCCTCGGGGCGTTCCTTCTTCTTCTCAATGTATCTATATCTTCTTTTTTATGACCCAACCTACTTCACGTGAGCGAGCATCAAAGTCAACGGTCCATAATTCATCATCATCTTCATGATGATGATGCTGACCTTGCTGGTGCTGATTTTTTAATTGTGGATTGCCCGCCAGCAAAAGATTGAAATGATCGTACACGTGCCTAAATGTAAAATCGTTTTTCCGCAATAAACATCATAAGCACCCTTCCACTTACTCTCACTTTTCCTCCCTCCTCCCTTTGCATTAGAATCTTTGATTTGAGAGATTATATACCGTATATGCTTGCCGATGGTTCCCCCAGGCATAACGGTGGATGGCCGTTTAAAGGCGTCATCGTCAGGAATATGCTGAAGTAGATCAATCACTTGTTGTAACAGTTGGTCTGTAGCCATATAGATTGCTGATTTCTGTTGACTATTGCTGTTGTTATAATGCGCTGTTCCCGCGAGAACTGATGATGACATGGCTAATTCTTGTAACGTTTCGAGAGAGAAAGAGAAAAAAGGGTCAAAAAGAAGAGGAGAGAGAGAGAAGGAAACTGCGCCAACCCGTGCATTTAATGCAAAAAAAAAAAACCTCGGAGAATCAAAAGGCACCACGTATTGCGCACAATCGGTCATGTCAGTTGTTTGCCCTCATTTTAATTTGCGCCATATTGCGCATTGGGATACACTGCTATTCTCGGTTGTATTAAAGTCGTCTGTTTATCTAGTTTTTTTTTCTTTTCACATGAGGAAGCTTGCATATACTGGGGTATAGCGCATGACGGTGTTGATACGTTAGCACCTTGTTATACTGTATTATTACAAGTAAAGTAGGAGCCAGGCCCAGGTGCATTCACACTTCACATAGCATCACATAGTGGACTCGATTCAACAAGGTACCAAGGGGGGGGGGTACTTCTTCACTCTCGGAGGTGCTTTCCTGACACATATATTTGGATGATGGGATATGCCATGCAAAAAGAACGCTAACGACGAGAGTCAACAAGGCTCTTTTGCTTCTGGTCATCCTCGCGGAAACAATGACGTACGTGCACGTCCAATTAATCGTCACTTGATTCATGCTGGTGCTCGAAACTCTTAAAGTGCCTGATGTTGAGATTAGGAAAATCATGCAAGTTGGCAGACTTGTTGTTGTTAAAGCGTTGCTCCTAGTAGATATCGACTTTCGCTCACGTAAGATTGGATCCAAAGAAGAGAAACCATTTGCTTATTTCTGAATAGCCGCGATTACTTCTTTATGTATGGTGTATTGATATCTGTCAATAAGAAACGTGCAACTGGGCGACAACTCGCAATCGCGTGTGATGAGACGCATGCAGAGTTCACCAGCAAATAATATTTGCAAGCGTTGATGTTCTATGAAGACAAATCGTATGGAGTCATAAGAGGGTGTAACTTGTTTCTATGTGTACAGTATCTAATACCTTTAATTTTCGGAGAGCACGGCAGTAATAAATTCAGACCAACGTAGAACGGTGCAACAAAAGAGAACCGGACAGCATTACACGTAATTTTTTTGTCCGCTTCTTCCTTTTCTCCAACATCACCCAAGCATCCTTTCCCCAATCACCAGAAAATGACGTCGTGCGGACTAGGACGTCTATCCAGGCTTCGTGTCCTCATTACCCTTGGCCTGGTGCTTACATTGGCTACTACTACAACTCTAGCAATGAAAAAAGATGACTTTAAAACTTGCGCACAGTCCGGATTCTGTCGCCGCAATCGAGCCTATGCCGACATGGTCACTGAAAGCACTTACCAATCACCCTACACACTTGTTGCAGAGAGTGTGCAGACGGTGGACAAGTCTCATATTCATGCCGATGTCAAAAACACAGAAACCGATATCCTCTTGACTTTGGATATGCACCTTTTGCAAGACAACACAGCACGCGTCCGCATCAATGAAAAGCAGCCAATCAAGCCGCGCTACGAAGACCACGTCAAACATATCCTTCAAGGTGAACCTAAACTTCGGGAAGCCGACACTGTGGAAACGGGTCCTGATGGTCAGGTTACTGTGGTCATGAATAATGATGGTGAAACGAACCGTAAAATCATCATTTATCCCAACCCGCTCCGGATCGAGTTTCTTGTCAACGACTCGCCTGTGGTTTCGCTCAATGACCGAGGTTTATTTAACTTTGAGCATCTCCGCACCAAGGACTCGCACAAACCCAAAATGATTCGTCAGGACAAGGAGGATGGTTCAGAGGAATCAGAGGCACCTTGGGAAAGCGACTCGTGGGAGGAAACTTTCAAGACATGGACGGATCCTAAACCAAATGGCCCTGAAAGTATTGCTATGGATATCACCTTTCATGAATTCGGTCACGTTTATGGTATTCCCGTAAGTATTACGAATTACTCCAGCGCAATGATTACAAAGCAAGTAATGTTAATGCAATACATTCTTTACGTAGGAACACGCTTCCAGTCTATCTCTCAAGGAGACCCGTGGTGGTGACAACGCATACACTGATCCCTATCGCCTGTACAACACTGATGTTTTCGAGTATGCCTTGGACAGCCCTACTTCATTGTATGGTGCTGTGCCACTCATGGTTGCCCATCGCGTGGGCCAATCGGCTGGTGTTTTCTGGATGAACCCATCAGAGACATGGATCGATATTGTAAAATCCAAGAGTGAACAGCAGGTAAAAAAAAAGGCATATCTATTAGTATCAGAGCCCACAAAGAAACCTGTTTAAATAACTTGAGACATACTTCTTCCTTTTTCAAAACATGCTCGGATTATCCACTAGAGCTCTGTTCAAAAAGTACTAAGCTTCGGCAAAAAGGGCAACGACAAAAAGACCTCAACACACACTCACTGGATATCAGAAGCTGGCGTTCTCGATGTCTTTGTGTTCTTTGGTCCAACAACGAAGGACGTTCTTCGTCAGTATACCAAACTGACAGGCACACCCATGCTTCCCCAACAATTTGCACTTGGTTATCACCAGTGTCGTTGGAACTATATCAATCAAAAGGATGTTCTCGAAGTTGACAGTCAGTTTGACGAGCATGACATGCCCTATGATGTCATTTGGTTGGATATCGAATATACGGATGATAGAAAGTATTTCACATGGGAATCCAACAAGTTCCCTGAACCTATCAAGATGGAGCAAGTGCTTGACAGCAAGGGTCGAAAGGTATCAATAAATTTTCAAGACATCAATAGTTGGCCAAAACAATCTCTTCGTTGCTGATATGGAGTCATTTCACAGCTTGTCGTTATTATTGATCCTCACATCAAGCGTGCAGACAACTATCGTATCTGCGAAGAAGCAAAGAAGGATGGTTTGTTTGTGAAGCAACCCAATGGAAACGACTATGAAGCCTGGTGCTGGCCTGGACAATCGTCGTGGGTGGATTACCACAATCCTGAAGCCCGTGACTGGTGGAAGGAGCAGTTCCAGTTTAGCAAGTTTGGAGGCACTCAAGAAAACGTTCATATCTGGAACGACATGAACGAGCCCTCTATTTTCAACGGTCCTGAAATCACCATGCAAAAGGAAATGATCCATCATGGAAACTGGGAGCATCGAGTCCTCCATAACCTTTACAGTTTGCTTTCGGTAAAGACGAGAAATAACTTTAAGCTTGTATACATCACTAAATACCCACACTCCTAATAGTTTGGAAGCACTGCTGATGGTGTCCGTGAACGTACTGCTGTTCAACATCGTCCGTTTGTATTGACGCGCGGCTTTTACGCAGGTGCACAACGATATGGTGCTGTATGGACAGGCGACAACATGGCCAACTGGGAAGCCCTGTACTATTCCAACCCAATGTCTTTAGCAAACAGTATGGGCGCTATTGTATTCACCGGTGCCGATGTTCCTGGCTTCTTCAATAACCCTACTTCTGAATTGCTTGTGCGGTGGTACCAAGCTGCCGTTTTCCAGCCTTTCTTCCGTGGTCATGCCCACATTGATACCAAGCGACGTGAACCCTATCTCGTCCCAGAACCTTACCGAAGCATGACATTGGCTGCTTTACGTGAACGTTACGCCCTTTTGCCTTATTGGTACACTTTGTTCTACGATGCTTCGCAGGTGGGCACTCCCATGATGCGACCCATGGTGATGGAGTTCCCGGATGATGAAAGTTTGTTTGCAACCGAGGATCAGTTTATGGTGGGTGCCGGTATCATGGCCAAGCCTGTCACTGTTGAGGGCGCAACAGAAACGGATGTCTACTTTGCTGGCGATCAGGTAAGAACAAAAAAAAACAGGAGGGCGGGGCTGAGGCCGGTATACTTATTAAATGAGATCATTCTATAGCCATGGTACGACATGCTCACCCATGCGCCCGTTCGCCTTACGGGTCGTCACACTGTCAGTGCACCACTCGGTAAGGTTCCTGCATACTATCGCGGTGGCCAAATTATCCCTCGTCGAGAACGTGTCCGTCGCAGCTCGCACAGTATGAAACTGGATCCATTCACTTTGGTCATTGCTCTTGACGCAAAGGTATATATATAACAGAACAATAGTGGGGAAATATGCGAATGATATTTCTAATTGAACGGGGTGTTGGTTTATATTGAAGGGTAATGCTGAAGGCACGTTATACAACGACGATGGTGAAACGTATGATTACCAGACCGGAGCATACATCCACACCAAGTTCCAATACACCAACGGTGTGTTAACTTGCGAGACCATTCACTCGGATCCAAACAGCACGGCAGCCAAGCAATACGCAAAGGATGTGGGGAAAACCTTACGCATTGAACGTGTCTATATCCTCGGTGTTTCCAAGAAACCTAGCCAAGTACAAGTCGAAGCAGACGGCAAAATCAACAAGGTTGTATTCGAATATGATACAACAAATGCTCGAGTGACTATAAAGGATCCAAAGACATCCATTGCAGAGTGCGGATGGACTGTCAAGGTGGTAGCATAATCATTATAACTAAAAGTGCAAAACAGGAAAATGTACAGAATAAAAAACATGATATCTATTAGAGATTATATTATTGATTGGCATGTGCCAGCTGGACCGATGCTTGGAGTGAATGCATTTGCTGTTTTCCTGAAGATAACAAAGATCGAATCTTGTCCTGGATATCATATACATAGTCAGTATAAACCATTCTTTTTTTTTTAGGGTGCATATGCTTACCAAATCCCTTTCGTTTCGGTATCGTTCAAAGTCTGCACGAGCAAAGTCTCGGATTTCTTGTTTGTCTCGTTTGGCAAGACCTAAACCCCCCTTTATGAGACTTCTTTTTTTTTCTTATTGTTATTATATGCTATTTTTCCCATACCTTTACCACAACGCAAGACCTGTCTATATAACGAGAGTACCTGACCCTTTATCATGAACTGGCAAATGATCGATCAAGAATCAGTTTCCTCTTTTTTTCTTTTTTCTCTCTCTCTCTCTCTTTCCTCAAGGTTGTCAGATTACATACATGCGCTAATGACATTTCAGGATCCCTGAAAAATTTAGGAATAGGAGGTGCCGGCTTTGCTTCACGGGCTAATCGCAGAAGAGTGGCTCTCATTTTTGTAATGTATATATGTATATTATATGTAGTTGGAAAGAAAAGCGGGGGAACCAGGTTCTGAAAGCTGCTGGATTAATAATATTCGGGGAGTTAAGCAAGTGGAAACCATAGTAAGACGTATCATGGCGAAACCCGTTTAATATCCATGACGACCAGTGCCCTTTTGAATGGGTGTCTATTAGGCCCATCAACCCATTTTGTTGTTTCACTGAAGATTGCATCTCTTTCCTTGCATCTATTTGCGCGTTTTTGATAGAATAAACAACCACTGGATCAATTCAACCTCCCAACATCTCCATCAGCTACCACTCGTAAAACACACATGACGAAAAACCCCATATATACAAAATGTCGCGCTCATCCAAGAATAAAAATACAAAATACTTTTTTTTGTTTATACATGGTTTTCCAACTTTGATGACGGGGGGGGAAATATAACAGCATTCGATGCGTCTGTGTCTGTAGGGTTTTGTTGGTTGTGTAAGAAAAAAAAGAAGCAGAGAAAGATACAACTTTTTATGCTGTACGTCTAAAAAAAATGCAGGGTTGGTTCTTTATATTCGTCGTTGTCGTTATTGTTGCTGGTAATAATATGTGTCATCGTCGTCACTCGTTCGTTCGTTGGGGCGATCTCTTTTATTTCGAGGCGTTGGCACTTCGTACAATTTCAGCAATGGCGAAATGCTTGTTCTTGCTGAGAGGTCGGCATGCTTCAATTCGTACAACATCGCCCAATCCACACAGTTGGTTTTCGTCATGGGCGAGGTAATTTTTGTGTGATTTGATCGTCTGTTGTTATTGTTTATTATTCTGGCATTAGGAAACTCACTCACTCATTGAACAAAAACAATAAAAACTTCTTGTCGCCCCATTGCGTATGTATTGTATTACCTTGAGAACGACAGGGTGCAACTTGCTTCGAGTAACCTTGACCTTGACGGTCTTGCTCATGGACGTGCTGGTCACCATGCCAAAGAATGTTTGCCTCATGTTTTATTATTTATTTTTGTTGGTTATTGGTGTGTGTGCCTTGCCCACAAAAAATGTATCCGTGGGTTGTACGTAGCTGAGTTTGTGTAAAGAGGAGCAAAAAAAAACAGCAGTCAAAATATGCGATTTCTAATGGACGCCATGATAAATGATGTTGTGTGTATGAGATGCTTTATAAGTGGGTGATAATGTACAAAAGATAGGAACACAAAGGAGGAGGAGGAGGAGGAGGAGGGTAACAAAGAAGACGTTCGATCATGTGTAACTTTTTCTTGTGATATAATGAGTGGTAGTGGTGGGTAAGCAAGAAGAAGAAGAGGTTTCACTTGATCTGACTGTCGCTACTATTTCGCTCACTACTGTAATACTTTGCAACAGAACGTGAGTCAGAAGACGATGATGAAGAAAGGTGGTCTACATCATCTGGCTCATCTTGCTGTTGCTGTTGCTGTTGCTGTTGTTGTTGTTGCTGTTGCTGCTGTTGCTTACGACGTCGCTTACTACTACTTACACGTTCTTTTCGTCGTCCGCTTTCTGTTTTGCGTACATTTGCTGCATCCGCTGCTGCTGCTGCTGCTGCTGAAGAAGGAAGGTTATTGATACTGCTCTCGCCCGCCACCATGCTGGCGGGCTCGTCGGAAAAAACCACTGTGCGTCGGTGATGATGATGGTGAATATCTGAAGAAGATAAAGGCGGCGGTGAAGAGGCCGATGAAGCAAAGGACGTTGCACTTCCTGGCGATGTAGCAGAAGCATTAGAGATCCAAGACCGTCGAATGTCGCTACCATCAATAATATCATCGGGCAATACACCGCCTACACCACTAAACCCAGAAGATGATCTAGCACGTTGTTTTTTAGCGTATGCTACAGGATCCTGGTGATGTTGCTGCTGCTGCTGCTGCTGCTGAGGCGATTGTATTAACAAGGATCGACGTTTGGCCCGATATTGTGAGGGTCGCATCGCAGGTGGTTCTTCAACACCACGGCGCGCTGGCAAGGATCGTGTTCGATGTAAATGCCGCTGCTCCTCATACCGCTGTGCAACCATCTCTTGCGACTCGCTAAGTGCAGGAGTAGGCGGGCTGTTGCTTTCATTGCTGTTCGTGGTGACCGATTCCATATCGGACATGCCCAAATACTCATAGTATGACGTTGACATGGGTCGAATATTTCGGTAGATGGTGCACATTATAAACACGTAGGTTGTCCACAGAAACGTCACTGCAATAATCACGTTGACATAGGTTGCTGGGTCACTCAAATAGTACCGCACATGGTTAACCCACTGGATATTGGCGCCCATGAAAAGAACACCAACTGCCATGGCGAGAAAAGATGCGAGCAAGCCACAAACGACGGTAATCGATGCGAATATCCACTTGTGTTTGCACGGTGCGTTTATCTGCCCTGTGAGTTGTCGATATGTTGCTTGGTATGCATTCGCTCGACCCGCTTCCTCGTCACCAACTTCCTCATCATTACTATCCATGGCGTCGTCGTTGTCGCTGACGTCGTTATTTATAGAGTCTCTGTTGTTGGATGCTTGTGCAATGAGGCGCGGCAAGTTGTCAGCAGGTGACTTTCTAAACATGATTTGCAATATCCGGGCAACAGCACCGATGATCAGCATGTGGCCCAGCATACTGTGTATCTGTGAGGCAAACGGGTCATTTTGTGTAAATCCTGAAATAATCGCTACAATATCCGAAAGGAGTTTTTGAGTTATCACTTTTTTGAATTATTTAATTATGCAGCAATACCCCCCCCCCCCAAAGTCCTGGAAATAATACCTCTACCCGTCAAACAAATGATCAACGCATTGACAATATTCCGCTCCCGTAATGCCGGCATCCACGTCTGTAAGCTGACGGCAACTGAAAAGATGCCTCCGGCGAACCATAGCAATCCAAGGTTGATAGCTTGCCAACCTGACCCAAGGATAGGCGTGTCTATTTTTTTGTGTACGTACATAGTTTTTTAATTATCGATCGACCCAACTGGCCCCAGCCGACAACACACACACACACACACACACACCCGCCTAATTTAGTCGCACTCCCACTCATTTCTCCTTCTCCCTTACCTGATGCGATCAGACATACGAACCCCCACAGCGTCAAAACCAATCCTTCATAATATTCGGGCGTGGACGATCGTGGCAACGAAAAGATATTAAGCAAATGCAATAATGCCAGTGATCCGTAACCAAGGAAGCCGCTTCCAATCGCTAAAGGCATCAAACACTGGCCAGCCGAAGCCGATGCTGAACAACTTTCCGTAAAGACCATGGCGCCGACAATGAGATACGCGTAAGCAACGATCAAAACGATCCATCCTATAGCCAAATGGATACTATCTTCCGGCAATATCCGTCCGAGCCAAGTTGAAGCATCGAGATCAAGGAACGATAATAATTTCTGTTGTTGTTGTTGGTGAAAGTGTTCAGGTGTTGCTGTTATGATGGATTGTCGGTATTGGTAGAGACCGAGTGCAATTTGGCCCGAGACAAGCACAAGTAGGGTATAACCGAGAATGCCGAGAATGACTCGTATTAACGTAAGCGTTTCATCGTTATTGTTCGTTGTTGTTGTTGTAGTTGTAGAGACCACTTGTGTGATCCAGCCAGCAATAAAACCCAGTATTGCTATAGCAAAGCCGACCGCCAGGGTATAAAAATGGTATCGACGGTGTCGGCGCGCGCCATGAATAAGGGCAAGGGGAAAGCAGCCGAGGAAAGCAAGAGCCATGAGCGAAAGGTGTGCAATTACAATGGGTTGACGGAATGGCGCATTGACGGAGAAAGATTGTCCAGGTACTTCTACGACGGTGTCCATATTTTATTATTTTATTTTTTTGTGCGTTTCTCAACTCTGCTGTTGCCGACGGTCCATCTAAAACCGCGTGTTTTTTTATGCCGCTTTTTTTTTCTTTGTTTATTTGAAGGAATTTGGATGGGGGGGGGTGGAGAGTGATGAGTGAGTGTGTGAGTGAGTGAGTGATGTGGAGAAAAAAGAAGAGCTTTGTTTCTTTAGAATGTAAGGAGGAAATGAAGGAGAGAGAGAAAGAGAGAAAGAGTGGAAAAGGTGCTAATAGTTAATAGCAATAGCAATATTAGGCAAGTGTATCACACAAAACAATATATGAATCGTCCTGGTACACCATTCATTCTTTCATCCTTTCGAGAGAGCGGGCAACATGTGCCAAAGCCAAATCAGGCAAAGTGAAGCGAGCGGAGCACTTTTGGAGAGACGAAAGCACAAGTCCGGACCCACCCCCCAACGGAACACGAATACTTTTTAATACATCTTGCAGTTTTCATTCAAGTGACATGTATTCTCGCGTGCATCGCTCAAGGAAACTCCCCTTTGGAATGGTCCATGCGTATAAGTACTACCGCGATACTGTACATGATCATGCCGGTCTGACTTTGTAAGCAGCATATCTGTTGTGCATCCTCATAATAAGCCTGCAAAACATCATGAACCGCTTGTGTAGTAGGCCGTTGCACAAATATGTGGGGACGCTACGATACCCAAGAAGCCTGCTGCTTTCCGTAATGTGTCCTGTTACCAGGTAGGTATGTATGTACCTCTTTTATTTTGTATGCCCTCCCACATCGGTGCTTCACGTGATCATGTGCCACTCTTTCTAGTCACCTTCAGCATAAAACTGTCAAATTGCCTCAAGGCAACACTTGATCTTTTTAATAGTACTTGTTTTGCTTCCTTTAGGTGAAAAGCGCACCATAAGATAAGTCCTGTATGATAGATCATTGTTTTTGACAATATGTATAAATTACGATGCGCGGATCTTTGTAATGGAAAATCATAAAGTTGGTTTACTTTTAGTCAAAACTCTTGTAAACCTTTGATGTGTGTCATGGAAACCATCCCATCGACGATACGGTTGCCATGGTGCGCGAGGACTGTCGAATGGGATCATACGTTTGCACCCCCCCCCTAGTCTAGCTTTCTTGGCTGACGGTCAGCTCACAGACGATGTCAATATTGGGGTCAATACGTGGGGGGACCTGGCCTGAAGACAACGAAACAATGTACGATTTGTTTCAAAGACACGCTTGATATAGCGTTCGACAAGGCAGTGACTGGTCCTACAGGGTCGATTTCACTGTGTGGTATTAAGGAGTTTGAGGCATATCAAAGTCGTGCGACAATAAAGTTTTTCTTTTGTTCGAAACTCATCATTGGTTAAATACATTTTTTAAAGATACGTTTGTTTCAATTGTACCATCCTTGAATATCACGGTTTATCAGGTAAACTCGCGTCAAGTGTTAAAGAAGGGTACATCGTAGCTTCTCATGAAGGTGGCTACTATAGCGAGCGGGTCTCAGGTGCTGGATTGGTTGCAATGATGACGCGATTAATGCTTTTTTGACGTCGCTCACTGTAACTATGAGTGATATCATGACTTGTGCACATGTAAAAAATCACCATTATAATTTTTATTCACTACTACTTTGCTACTTTTGCTCTTCCTCTGCTACCATCTTCTCCTCGCTCTTTCTGTTCAAAACATTATCCTCCAACTGTTCACTTTGAAGCTCCATGGCCCATCGTTTCTCCTCACGTTCACGCATAAGCTGCACCTCCTTGTTCGCCTCTTTCTGTTTCTCTGCCTCTAGCATCTGACTTGCAGTCGAAAAGATGGTCTTTTGCCAATCCTTGGCATAGGTGTTCGCTTCTGCGAGCACCTCTTGTACCTCCACCATGGTTTCTTGCTCAGCCGTCTGGAAATCGCGCCAGATATCTTCACCGATATGGCCTGAACGCATCAGTTCAATCAGCGCTGGTTTTTCTTGTTGCACAACCAACAGCCGTCGAACCGCTTCCATGGCACGACCCAGTAATGCCGCTTTCAAATGGTGTTCGCTCGTTTCTTCTTCGGTATTAAGGAGTGCAATGTATTGCTCTTTCTTTTGATTGGTTGGAAACCATGGCTCAATCGCTTTTGCATCTGTATTCATTGGGGGGCCAAAGGTTGGATTAGTTTCCCCACTGTTACATTGTTGTCCACCTCTGGTTATAGAATATACTTTTTGCTCTACGATAAACATGCGAAAAGATGCTCATGGCCGCAATGCAGCCGCCTAGGTATGCAGTAGGTAGCAATAGTGATGTCATGACAAGAGAAAGCCGAATAAAAGAGAGATTTTGTGCTGTCCAGGGGTTATACGTGTAATCCTATCTTTTGTTTCTCAGTGTTGCATATTTGATTTACTTCTCCTAAATTAACTTTGATCGACGTATACCACTACCATACACTATTTTTTATGCTTATAGTTTCAGAAAAGGGACATAGTTGTGAGAACAGATACAGTGAAGAGTATTCTGAAAACAACAAAAGGTGCAGTTGCAAAACAGAGTCCATGACGGCTACTACTGCTTTAACAACTAAAAGATACGAGTGGACATATAGAATGGATAATAAAGCGCCATATACAACTAACTATTTCTGTATTTTATTTAAAGATACACCCTTTTATCGCAAGAACAATGGAAAGGCAATCCTTCTGGTTCTTGACGGATACATTAATAAGGTGGAGTTTTCTTTTTTGGCATGAATAGAAAGTCAATTTTTTCGGGCGGTAGTCCTTCTTCTCCTTTATTCCACACACACACAAAACACGACACACGAAAACCATGACAGAAGAAAACGCGCACGAAAAGAAATTCCAGTTCGACATTGAAGAAAAAGCCTTATGTTTTCATGGTCCTCTAATATACGAAGCCAAGGTTTTCATTCCTTTCCTTGTCTCTCAACAGCCCCTCCAATCCAACCCCATAAATAATACTCTTCGTGTGTGACAGGGGGGAACCTCTAAATGAACTGTTTTTTTTTCGTTACCTAGATCCTTGATCGACAATGGATGGACAGTAATCCTGATTTTCAAGGACCTTATTATTTCGTTCATTACAAGGGTTGGAAGAGAACGTAAAGTTACAAAACAAACACACGCGTCTTTTTGGATCCTTAGAAAAGAGAAAAGGGAATTTTAAACGTGGTTACTTTTTTTTAGGTGGGACGAGTGGGTTCCTGAAACACGCGTATTGCGATGGACCGATGCAAACTTGCAAATGCAACAGAAACTGAAAGGACTTTATACAGTAAGCTCTACTTTAAATGTTTTCTTCTGCAAGGTTGAGGAGGTGGGGGGGAAAAGAACTTACGAAAAAAGTGATGGAAAAAATAGCAACAACAAAACAGTGACAAAAAACGACCAAGAGATTCGGCAAATACTGAAAAGGTATGGATTGTTGTTTTACTTGAAACCCGCGTTCTTTCTCTCAAAAATGAGGTGGGGTGGCCATCATATAGGAAGAAGATTATTTGAACCGACCCGAAGTTCGAATCGATATCCCGGATACAATGAAAGCACAATTGATTGATGATTGGGAGAATGTTACCAAGAACCAACAAGTAATGTAGTATCTTTATAAAGTGGAAAAAAGTGGTATCTATGTGTACACCTTGTTGTTATTAAACAAATAGAACTGTTCCTTTTTTTTTCAAGCTTGTTGAATTACCACGGAATCCAACCGTAACAGAACTACTTGAACAATATCGAAAGCAAAAGCTGGATAAAAAGGGATCAAGGTAACTTTACGGATGGGTTGTCGTAACAAAAAAATACACAGTTGGCTGAACATGGATTGCTACGTTGTGTGTATATTTAGTGGTACGGAGGATTTGTTGGCTGAAATCATTGATGGGATCAAAGAGTACTTTAACAAGGCACTGGGCACTATCCTTTTGTACCGATTTGAACGACATCAATACGCTACGATTCGGAAACAGTTTGCAAAGAAGGAGATGGTGGATATCTATGGTGCTGAGCATCTTTTGCGGTTATTCGGTAAAAAAAAAAAAAAAAGACAACAGCTACTACAAAACAACGAGACATGACTTTTGTACTTGATAAATTATTATTATTATTATTCAATAGTACAAATGCCTTCACTCATTGCACATACTGACATGGATGCCGATGCTACTGCTGTCTTGACGGAATATCTGAATGATATTACAAAGTAAGTGTTACCGGAGGGAGGTTTTCGTACACAATGAGTAACCCCATTATGACTATAACACACAATGTAAACACTAGATATATGCACAAGAATCAAAAACAATTCTTCTGCTCAGAATACGAAAACGCCACTCCGGACTATGTATCATTAACGAGTAGCATTTAAAACTATCCTCATAACATCATCATCATCATCATCATCATTGCCACCATCATCCAACGTCGAATCAATCTCCAAGAACTTTTTGTATAATCCATATATAAAACAGTTTTAATTTTCAAAAAACCCTGGTTTTTCAAACTCGATAAGACGAACGCTTGAATTGGGCAATCGGATCAAGGTCACCAAAAATATTTGTGTTTTTCAGTTCATTAGCAGGTGATGGCTGTTGTTGTTGTGCTTGTTGTTGTGGGACAGAGAAAGTTGAAGAAGAAGAAGCAAAATCGCCAAAATCGGCATCACCCGTGGATGTGGAAAATTCTGTCCAAGATTATAGATATGAGTCTTTTTTTTTTTTCTTGTAAAATGTTTCTTGATGATGGGGGGGGTTGCTCTCCACACTCACCGGTCCACGATATTTCATCCGAGTCTTGGCGCTCATGAAAATTGGGTATATCTGGCTCCTGCTGTTTAGGTGGCTCAGGAGAACTGATTGTAAGACCGCGTAATGCGGCATAAGGGTCATCTTCTGGTTTACTTGTAGTGGTAGTGGTAGTGGTAATAGCTTCTGTGACAGATTTCTTCTGCTGCTGCTGTTGTTGTGTAAAAGTGAATTTGAATGGTTCGTTCTGTTGTTGTGTATTTGTTGTTGTTGACGTCTGAAACATTGAGGAAAACTGTAAAGCAGTCGGACTTGGTGCACCAGGCGTCGAAGGTGTCAAAATACCACCCGTGTACGTGGCTCTACGTGCCGATTTTGAAGTTTCAGGAACCAATCCTGCAAGCTCTGAGAATATGCTGCTGGATGGCGTGGTGGGTTGCTGTTGTTGTTGTTGTTGTGGTAGTTGTGGCTGCTGCTGTTGCTGCTGTTGTGGCTGTGTCTGGTGGTATGGTTGTGTCGGTAACGGTAACGGTGGTTGCGAGATACGCCGCGGAGTATGATCGAGCTTCAATGGTGTAACAGGGACGGATGAAGGTGGCAAAGCAAAGCCTATTTTTGGGCAATTGAGCGGAGGATTTAGTTCATGCTGCTCAATGTACGATGTACGGGTGATGACTACCACCCCACCCCCTTCCTATAATAATACTAGAAGATATACTAAATGCCGCACTGCACACACATACCTCCTGATGGCACTGGTGACGAGCCACTTGGTTCACGTGCCGACATTGGCTGACGACGCTGTTATAGAATAAAGCGTGAGTGCAACGCTTCGATAAAAAAAAACAGTACTGGTGCTGGGGGGTGGGGCCCAACAAACTTACAGCGACTGGATCATCCTCAACAGCGGGTGAAGTGATCTCTGGTTTCCATGCTGAGCGCGTCAGTTGTAACGAAGCAGGCCGGGTCGGTTTTGGCAAAGGCGTCGGGGCCCCAGACACACTGGGAATGGGTGGTGTTTTGGCCCCTCTACGTCGAAAACCTTCGTCCGTAAACATTTCTTTCACGATCGCCTGCACCTTGTCCGTCTGCGACTGCAATAGATCGCGGTCTAGCCACTTGTGCTCGTCTAAGATATATGCATCTCTTTAGCCTTTTCTCCTTCCCCACGACCTCTCACCGGAACTGATTTGAACGGACTCTCCAAGAAGGAACAAAAACTTACAATACTTTTGGCGGATGAAGGCTCTGACATCATTGTCCGTCTCAGGTTCAACATTATCCATGCGATAACTACTTAACCAGATGGATTTCGCAACCTCATTGCCTCCTTGTTGCAACGCCACTACCTCTTGACCAGAAAAGGTGCTCGCTGAGATCGACTTGACGCGATGCCCTACTTCACGGCTGGATATATATATATATATTTTCCTTTTTAGATGTATGCAGTCGGCCGAGAATTAAAAAAAAAGAGCCCGGTTATTTAATACTTACACAAGGCCTGAGCATCGGCTGCATACAAACGTCTGTATGCTCACATTGACAAAAAAAGGACTCTAACAATGGAACACGTTTGTCAGCTTATCGTTATCACATACACACACACACACACAGAGAGAGAGAGCAACCAGTACCTTGGTGGGACAGTCAAAACACTTTTTGTTCGCCGGCAAACGAAGTAGTGCTCGTACTTTTCTAAAGAGTAAAAAGGAGCGAATGGTGATGTTGAGAGAATGAGTCATTGCGTAGTCATAGCGACCATCCCCCCCCCCTCCCCACAACTTACTGAATGTTCTGTTCCTCTTGTTTCTTTTGTTGAAGAGGAGTGGGCCCTATGAACGACATGAGTTCAAGTACACGGCAGGTTTTGTGGTGGAAATAAACAAAAAAAAAGAAAAAGAAAGAAGAAGAGAGAGAGAGAGAGAGATAGTAAGGTGACACTCGTCTTTCTTTAGACTTTTTTCTTTTTTTTTTTGGCACAGCCCACCCGAACTTTCTACACACACTCCACTCCCCCCCCCCCTTCTTTTGGACCGCGTGAATCCGATTACCCAAAGCAAAAAGCAATCATACTGGCGTGGCTTGTTCCATCAAGACAAACACCCCTCTCACTCTCTCTCTCTCTTTCCTCTTTGCTTACATCCTCCCCACCTTTTTTTTTCTCAGCATGCGCCTCGTCTCGTCGCTGAAAACGCCACTCCGGTCCCGCTGGTCGGTGGCTGGCAACGATACAGAAACACTCTGGTGGCCAGTCCGCAATGCCACTTGTTTAGAGAAGAAGAAGAAGAAGGTTCTGCTTTTTATTCCAGGCAACCCGGGTCTTGTTGAATATTATACCGATTTCCTTGAAGAGATTCACCAGAATGCGTCATTGCCACTCGAGATCTTTGCAGGTAACAAGCTCCCTGTTCTGGTTATTTTTTTTCCCCAAGAAGGATATAAATACACCATGTACCACCCACCCTACTAACAGCACCAACTTGTTTTGAATGGTATGCGTTATTATCGGAGAGCAGTTTCTAACTTGGGCATGATCGCAACAACAACAACAACAACTGCCAACAACAACAAGGACGATGGTTTGTTTTCATTACAGGAACAGATAGACCACAAGATTGCATGTTTTGACATTCTTTACAAAGAAAGCCCGGACAATACCGAATTCGCATTGATGGGCCATTCTATTGGCGCGTACATTGCCGTCGAAGTGTTGAAAAAGAGACACAGTCAACGCATCCATCGCGTCGTTACTTTGTTTCCTACCATTCGGGAAATAGGACTCACTCCGAATGGCATTACCTTCACTGTAACACACACACTCTTTATTTTTATTTTACATATACACACACACACACACAGAGGGGGGGACTAAACGAATTACATGTACTGTAATTGATAGAAACTATTTTCGTACCTGCCCATCAGTGTCATTTCAACATCAGCAACACTGTTGTCCTACATGTCTGCGCCACTGTTGGAACGTCTTGTGATGCTTTTGACGGGCCAACAGGGGCCGTGCGCACAGGTCACTGCCCATCGACTGTTGAAAGGCTCGGTGGTCAAGAACTGTCTCTACATGGCCCAGCAAGAGATGCAACATGTGGGCGAACTCGATCTGGACTTTTACAACGCGCATGCGGACAAGTTTGTCATTTACTATTCTCGCAATGACAAGTGGGCGCCTCTGGATCATTACGAGTACATGAAACAGAGATTCCCTGAGCATGGTAAAAAAAAAAAAAAAGTAACTGTTACTGTGTGGGCTTCCTTAATCTCACCTTTCTATATATGATCTATATAGAACATTTGTATTTATGCCAACAAGATATCCCTCACAGTTTTAGTTTAGGTAGTATATAAACTCTTTTCCTACTTGAGTGCTGTACTAACCACTTTTCTTTTTTTTTCTTTTTAATTCAGAACCAAAAAACTCGAGCTATATGGCAAACAAGGTTGTTTCTTGGTTGGAGCAACGACACTAGCCGATATAAAAAAAAACAGATTCTTCTTTTTTATATATTAAGATGCCTCTTTAAATGACGAACGAAACGATGAAAGTAAGGGAATTCTTTTTATTTTATTCCATACATTCGAATAAAAAGAAACTGCACCGAGGGCCGTTTAATCAATCGATCGGTCGATCGATCGATCCAAGCACTCAAACATCCGTTGCGCCGTAGTAGTGTACCCCAATCGGGGTAGGCGAAGCCCGATCATAGGGTTCAACAGCACTCGCTCCAATCCGTAAAAAAAAGAAGCTTTTTTAAGCAAAAAACAACACCCAAAAGAAAGAAAGAAAGGCCCACTTTTTTTTTCGTTTATTTCCCTCCTTTTCGTCCTCGTCCGAAGATGCACGACAGAGTGAACTACAACGACGACGACGACGACGACGACGACAAACACAAGAAAACTAAGATGATGAAACGTTCCCACTCGACAGATCCATACGATGATGATGATGATGATGCCGTTGTTGATTATACCGGTTACTGCTGTATTGCACCAATTGTTCATGAAGCGATCGATGATGCCGATGAAGCTGCTCACGATGATGGTTGTTGTTGTTGTAATCAGTACCCACGACATTCACACCTTCTGTATCGCCATCATAACCAGAAGTCGGTGTAGGGATATCATGTTGTTGTTGTTGTTGGGATGATGATACTGCTGATGTGCAAGAGCTATTACTGGATGAGGATGATGCTGTTGGTACAATCGTATGACTCGCATTCGCTATACCTGCCATAGCCATGGCTTGTTCTTGGGGTGGTAATGACTCGAGTGCTTGTATCGAAGAACAAGACTGTTGTTCCCGTCCTGTTTTCTTTGTAAACTCTTGTTGTCGATACTTGTGTGATGACCGTCGTGCACTACGTACTGCTCGTTGTAATAAACTCGGCTCTTCTTCATTACTATAAGTTGAGTCAACCCGTTGTTGTTGTCGCCGACAATGGTCATCCACGTCAGAGTCGTCTTCTTCATCGGCTGCAGAAGAAATGGAGGCTTCTATACCCGATTCCGACTCATTCACGTACATGGGTGGCGGCGGCTGTTGCTGTTGTTGTTGTTGTTGTTGATCGTCGACGAGTAATGATGTTGATGATTGATGAACATTAGGAGCACCTAGAGTGGAAACGGATGAACTTGATGTTGAAACGTTCATTTAAGAGAAAAGTGTGAGAGAGAAAGAGAAAAAGAGAAAAAGGCTGAGCCAGTTTAACGCAAAGGTGGTGTGTGGCGTGCACACAGTGATCGCTGTAGTAAGAGCTGCATGATTTTTCTTTCAAGGGTGATTTGGTCGAATCACGCTAAAGTGCTGCTAAACCCATGAACAGTATTTTTATTATTGTTGTTGATTTACAGCTAGTTGTGATATATACAGAGTGGGATGGGGGCTATGAGCTAAGGTCATGAAAGGATAATTAAATCGTTTCTCAAGCAATTGCTTCGTATCTTGCATTATGTTCAGCGCGATGGCTAAAGAGGCTAAAAAGAAGGATGGCATGTTATTATATAAAGAACTGCTTTTTAACTTGTTACGTTATATATTCACGCCACTACAAAGTACTACTGTACTCTACAACAAAAGCTCGATATACACACACAAACGAATGTCGTAGAAGGGTTTTCCCTTCTTTCCTTATAATTCCTCCCCATACTATGTAAATGTTCTTGCTCCTGAAAATAGAGAGAGCACAAAAGAATGAATAGACACTTACAAATAGAGAATGATGCCGACAATAGGGAAGAAAAAGACCAGCAGGGACCAGCCAACCTTGCCGCCCGTGCTACGGTTGGAGTTCAAGACTTCAAAGATGACAATCAAATCCAGAATAAGGATGAGCAGGCCCACCGCACCGCCGCTGTAGGAGAGCATGTTCTTGTCAAAGGGATTGCTCATAATGTCAATCATTGCTTCTTTTCTTTTGTGTGTGTGTGTGTGTGTGTGTGTGTAGTTTGGTAGCAAAAGAAGAAATCTAAAAAAAGAGGGAGGGCTTTCATGAGGTAAGTACTGTGGTGGTGTGGGGTGGTGAAACAAGTGACATCATTAATGCGTCGTTTTTTTTTGTTAGCAGACCCCCCCCCTCCTCCCCTTTTAATAACTCTTTATCACTCGTAAACTACCAAACCCCCAATCAAAACCTCTCTCTTGTTCATCACTATTTACACGAATAGCACTATTCCTGTGCTGCTGTCAATTTTATCAGTAACATCAATACTTTTTACCGGGGAGCTCCTGTAGGGATCAGGAATAGCGATGATGACTGGTGTTAAAGAGACATAAGTGATGCGATGTTGAGCATTCTACATAGTACAGCCTACAAAGGGTAACAAACAAGCATAGGGAGCTATGCACGTTTAGGTCATCTACATACTACATACTACACGTTGTTATGCTTATTTTCTAAAAGTACAAGATTCTAGGCTTCCCTCAGCCACAACACTCTTTCGTTGTGTTTTATACTACTATACTAGCGAAAAAAGCAAAACGATTGCTTGGTTATTATGCTTATCTAGTATAACTTGGTACACACACACACACACCTCCCCAGAACAAGATATGCCTTAGGGCACAAGAGTATAGTTAGTGTGCACGCACTTTATCCTCCTTTCCATCACGTTTTTCCCTATTTTTAAACAAAAGAGTAAACTCTACTATTAACATATGGCATATATGTGCGTGTGCACACCTTACATCATGTATTCAGAGAATCGTATACATGTAGATCGTAAGATGGTAGCGTATTCTAACCCGATCACCAAGGTGCATGATTGCTTTTTTTTTTCCCCCGGATTTTATACTATAACAGGAAGTGTTTATAGTTATACTTTTTTTGTCAAACTCAAAAGAACGTGCATATGTCTTTCTTGAAAGGGAGGAAGGGAGGACAATTGTCAATCTCGGTGGTAGTAGTAGTAGTAGTAGTAGTAGTAGTAGACATTCCAAAGAAATGTAGTTGTATATGATAGTAGCAAATGGTAACCTTTTCGTGTAAAAACAGCAATGGGATGATAATGTTATTACGTGCGTAGGTACGTGTAGTATGTAGTGTATGCGTGTTTATCCTGCACTATGCATATTGAGCCCGACCCAGCAATAGGGTAACGGGCTTCTTCTTTTTTTTTTTTTAACACCATTGAGAACAAGACCGCACCATCCCAAACGGCCAATCCAGAATACACACACAAGTCGGTCAACGAAACATCCCCAGGGCCGTAAGCTGGCGTGATGCTGCGTCGATACCACACACGGTTTTGGTGGCGCATTTGCATCACTCATTATTCCCCACCCCACCCCCCAACACACGCCAGTCTCCTAGCACAGGCATATGTGCCCGGGCAATCGGTTCCGTCGGCTCCATGTCCAATCTGTGGGCATCCAGCGTCGACCACTCTTGAACACTTCTTTTGTGGACCTGCCCTCTCAAATTTTGAGTGTGACATTATCGTACGTCATCCACAGCATCTGGCGTCACCACCATGGGCGATATCAGTGAGCCGAGTAGTCCTGGGAAGGGCAGTCTTTCAGATCATCGGGGGCGTACTATTTTGGCACCCCGTCGTCGTCGTCGTCAATAAATCATACATTGAGAGCAAACGGCTCTGGCGCGGGTGAACAAAAACTAGACCCGCAAGGCCCCGTTGCCTGGATATTATTTTTTTGCTTTCTTTTCACTTCCAAACCTTCTCCTCCTCCTCCTCCTCCTTCTTCTTCTTTTACGTCAACTTTGCTACTAGACAATAACTATATCCCCCCAAAAAAAACTCCCTTCCTCCCTGCCCTTGTTCGCTCTAAGGCTCCACACACACACACACACACACATATATATATATATATATATATCTATACATAGTCTGATACGACCCGTTTCTTCTTATTCTTTTTTTTTTTTGGGCGATTGCGACGACGAAAAAAGACGACGAGTAACCATGGCAAACACGGTTCCTAATTACATTTCAATATATGACAACAAAGCCACTGCGAATTTCATTTACCTTTCCGAAAGCGTGAGCGAAGTACTCGGGTGGACGCCGGAAGAAATGATAGGCAAAGGAGCATACGAGTTTTTCCATCCGGCCGACGTGAATGCATTGACCAAGATACATTCGGCCAATGTCATGAATGAGAAAATGTCGTCCATGACCGCCTATCGAACACGACACAAGGACGGACACTATGTGGTGATTGAAACATTGGTGCATTACTGCTACGATGTGTTAATGTGTACAAACTACTTGTACGATCCGACGGATGCGGGACACAAGATACGCAGCAATTCGGTCGACGAGGTGTTTGTCGTGAACGAGGACGGGTCCTTAGAGTTAGTGGGCGCATGGAACGATAGTCAGGAACGTATGCAGCGATCACTGGAGACGCGCCATCGATGGGTCAATAACCGGGTGGCGCATGTCCAGGAACCTCGCTTTTGCCTCATCCTGAACCGATACACCGAGGATTCGACGATCGTGTTTGTGTCCCAGATGGTGGAGCAGTTGGTCGGCGCACAGTGTGATCAGGTCCTGGGTCGGTCGTTGTTGGATTTTGTGAACGAGCGGGATGCACAGGTCGTGCTGCAGCAGTTGGATATGGTCAAGGGTTCGGATATGATCATGCGCATACGGTTTGAGTGGATCACGGATAGGGAACATGGTGCAACCCAGCCGGTCGAGGCGATCGTTGGATCGTCGAACGATGGGTTGGTCGTTGTCATTCGATTGGCTCCGCGGATGACACTTCCTTGAATGGGGTGATCTCTCTCCTTATCAAAAAGGCTTACCACTGCGAGATCCCTGCCCCACCCCCCCCTCCCCAAAACAACGTCGACATCAAGTACAAAAAGTGAGAGAAAAGAAGAACAAAAGCAAAAATAGAAAACATCTCGTCCAACACGTCAAAATGTGTTGTTGAAAAAGAAAAAGAGGTCTATACAGTCTTTTCCTTTCTCTCTCCCCCCCTCCACATCCTACACAAAACGCGCACCGCCACTACCGTCACCACTGCCTCATCAACCTTTCAAATCACCAACAACAACAGCCATTACTACTACTATTACTACTACTACTACTACTACCACCACCACTACTTTGCTTGAACAGCAGCACAAGAGTATTATTATTATATGTACATACATCTCCTTTTCATCTTTCTTCCATCCTCACTCTCTCTCTCTTTCTTTTCCACTTTTCCCGGATATCCTGCCATACCTTTTTTTTTTGTTTTTTGTTTAAAAAAAGAAAATACATCCAATATCATCTCCTTCTCCATTGTTTCCAGACCCTAGCGTCCACACACATACCCCTTTTCCAGCAAAAAGCAGTTAAAGTTTAATGACGCACATCTACTTTCAAGCAAGGAGGAGGGTGCGTATGAGACCTCCTTTTATGTTCGATGATATCATTCATCATTGTAAAAAAAGATATATTTTTTTTTTTGAAGACGATGATCCAGCATCTAAAGTTTTTTTTTTTATTTGAGATTTATTGGGTCAAAAAGGAACCGACGAATACAGAAAAAAAAAACTCTTCTTTTTCTTTTTTTCCCTCTGATCAACAAGGGAAAAATAGAGAGACGATGGGAAAAGAAAGTAAAAGACAAGAATCAATAGCTGTTACCAAGAGATGCTACTATAGAAAAACGAATTACAAAAAAAAAAGAAAGAAAGAAAGAGGAGGAGGGGGGAGGGGCAAATTGTATAACAATAATAAGGATAATTAATAGTAAAAGACGAGAGAGAGAGAGAGAGGAGTGCTGAGATGGACAAGACAAATAATAATAAAAAAAGATAATACCTAAAATTATATATGAAAAAAATACAACAAAAATTCTCTTTTTTTCTACTCGTTGTCACCAGTCAAGTTAGGAAGGGTAAAGGGCGAAAGATGATGATGATAATGATGATGGTGTTGTTGTTGTTGTTGTTGTTGATGGAGATGATGCGGTTGTTGTTGTTGATGATGATGATGATGATGATGTAAAAGTTGTTGATGCTCTTGCGGCTTGACCCAACTTGCTGGCTTCACAGCCAAAGGTTTCGCTGTTGTTGCTGAATGACAATGAGGGTCGATCCTATCACTCGTATTCGTGGCCACTGACGACGCGTCTTGGTTGTTAGAAGACGAGGAGGAGGAGGAGGAGGAGGAGGAGGAAGGCGAGGAACGTTTGGTGGTACGACCCAGACGATGGACACGCAAGTGACGACGCATGTTGCTCTGCACACTGAATTTTCTCGAACATCCAGGTTCGGGACACACAAAAGGCTTTTCGCCCGTGTGCGAATAGGTGTGGATCCGAAGCGACGATGGACGACTGAACCCTTTGTCACAATAAGGGCAATGGTACTTGTTGTTGCTGCTGCTGCTGCTTTCCTTTTTGTTGTGATTGCCACTTTCGACAACCACCATTTTCTCGCTCGCGTCCGAATGATGACCTCCTCCTTCTTCACTGCCAGTGTCGTCACTGCTATGACTACTCATCACGGGCGACTGAGGCGTTGTGGTGGTGGTAGTTGTAGTCGATGCAGTCGATGACGATGCATATAACTGAGGCGGCTGTTGTTGGTGGCGATGATGGTAGTCAAGTGGACGCTGCAGCGCAGGCTGCAGAAGCAAATCCATCGTGTTTGTTGAGATTGCGCGTCGGTGATATCCGGAGTGCAAGAAGGGTGGTCGGGTGGATGGTGTCGTGTTACCATCGTTCATCGGAGCTGGGGTTGTCGTAGAAGTGGTCGATGAACAAGTAGGCGTAGGAGTAGTGGTAGTAGTAGTGGTATTAGTTGTAGTAGTAGTAGTAGGTGTAGTATAGAGGGGCGGGTATGGATGCGAGTAATCGGAAAAGGAACGCGAGTGCATATTTCGAGGCGATCGGTGTTGTTGCAGCAGCATCGATGTGGGGGATTGAAAGTGGAATCGCTGCGGAGGTTCGTGAGGGTGGTGGTGGTGATGGTGATGGTATTGGTGGTATTGTTGCGGTTGCTGGTGGTTCAGGTTAGGCTCGATCGGCGCTGCAGGCTTGGATATCGATAGCTTTTGCATATGCCCTGGTAGGCCGCCTACTGTCATTTCCGGATGGGGAAACAGACTCATCGAAGGGGTCGAGGAATAGGGGACAGCACCAGCAGTGGCAGCAGTAGCAGTAGTATGAGTAGTAGCGTTGTGGGTCATCAGGTCGGATGCATGGCGCTTATGTCCGACGCTGTTGCTGCTGCTGCTGGTGGTGGCTCGATGCTCACTCAAAGATGGAGTCGTCGTCGTCGTGGCTGCTGTTGTACTCTCTATTATTATTATATATACACTTTGAGATTACCTTGAACTATATATATTTGCTATCTTTTTATTACCTTCAGCGCCAATGCCTTGCAGCATCAATTGAATAGAAGGAAGTTTCGGTTTGTCGAGGGATTCCATTGGTAAGTGAACTACTGGTTTGCTCGAGTGGAGAGAGAGGGAGAGAGAGAAGGACTGAATATAGAGGCAGCCCAAAAGACAAGAGACTTTTGGGGGTAAAAAAAGAAAAGAAAAGAGGTGTGTGTGTGTGTGTTTTTTTATGGGCAATGAGTGGAGAAGAAAGACGAAAAAATCGTAAGACTTTTTGTTGTTGTTGTTGTTGTTGGAGTGTGAGGAATGAGGGAAGGAATGGAGTATACGAAAGCAAAAGGGAAAGAGAGAAACAAAAAAAAAAAGTTAGAAATAAAAAGGGGGATGTGTGTGCAGGCGCGGGGCCAAGGGCCACCCACACTATTATTTTAATGGGCACTAAAAAAGAAGAAGCGCAGGGCGATCAGGTAAAAAGGAAAGCTTTGCGATGTTGATCGCTCGACGTGTGTAACATGAACTACTTTAAATAGAATCTCGTGGCCCACAACGCTAAGCTAATAGCGGGCGGCACTAATTACTGATAAAAGCGCGGTCGGCGAATGGTGTGTGTGTGTGTGTGTGCCCTGCTTTTACCCATCGTCCTTAATCGAGATGCATTTCACGAGCATGGACGGTTCCACAAGATGGATCATGCCTGTGTAATATCCACAAGCTATGATAACTTACACATTAGCCATCATCGCACGATTCTAGTTAGACCAAACCAAACCAAACCCGGGATGCCCTTGGTTGTTATGAGCACTATGGAACAGCCCTCGAATTCCTTTACCACGCACAGGACACTATGACCAGCGCATTCGATTTCTGAAACTACATCCCTAAGAGCATTTCTGGGGCAAATTGGGAGTTGCGATGATGGCGTAGACTGCTTGAAGGGGAGGGGAAGAAGAAAAAGTTTCTTCTCATTTAGACTCTATTCTTAGACCCAGAAAATCAGCTACTATTACTCTTTCATCTACTCTCACACTCAGCACCAAAGAAAAAAGGTAGATCCTGAGGATCCTTCTATCTCTCCCCCTTTTCCTCCGACACAAAAACCAGAGAAAGAGAGAGACAAGTATACAGATCGGCAAAAAAACATATATTATAAAAATAATTACGCCCTCACTCTCTTTTTTGCAGTTTACTGGTACCCTTGAAAAGCAGCGTGCTTTATTATGTATATGTATGTATACGATTGCTAAAAACAAAGGTTCTTTTTCCTTCTCTGTAATCCCGCGGACCTGAGGTGGATAGGGTGAACTTGTAAAGTTATACAAAACCCTCCACCCCGCTCTTTCATGTAGATCCGCAGAAAGGAAGGGGTGATATCCTTTGAGGAGGGGGAGGGGAGTGAGAAGCCGAGAGGGACTTATTAGAGAATTGTGCGCGTATTTGTTTATTGCATGGGGGCATTAAACTCATATGAATTTGAAAACGTACTTGATTTTTTGGATTGCCCCAAGTCCTACTAGTTTTGCACATAAGCATCCATCACAGTGTTATATGCACATAGCATTTCAAGAGCTAACTTGTTCTGGAATAAGAGGTTGATCCATAACCAAGAAAACTATGCCTTTTTCGGTTGATGCTTCGGTTGTCAGAACAGCAGCTAACCGCTTTTGCAGCAGTGGTTGTTAAAGTAAAAAATATCATTGTAAATTTATACAGACTTTTCTTTTCCACATAATATATTGAACACACACACACACACACACACACACGAGATGCGCTTGCTTGTTCGTCTCGACAAGAGGTGCTGTATCGCACTTTACCACAAGGCACTGGACTGGGGGTTGTAAACTCTGTACAACAATCAAAGCGGGCTTCTTTTTTTTTCTTTTCTCTTCTTTTTTTTTTCAAAAGGTCCTTCCCCTTTTGCCAATAAGGGAACCGGGTACATATCACTTTATACGTTTACTAACATAGAAATAGATTTGGATTTGAGATGTGTGTGCGTTAATTTCCGCACGGTGGGTAGATAGCCTGACCATACGACTTTTTTTTTCTTGAATTATTAGTTTCTTCACAGTGTACACCGTTTGAGAAACAGCGAAAAGGAACAAAAAAATAGATTGACACGTGAGAAAGGAGGCCTGGAAGGGGGGATGGGTCATTGTGTCGATCCTCCCCAAGGAAGACTATCGGTATTAATAATAAAAAGGCACGTTCATTAATATAATACAGGAGGTTACAAGAGAGCGTCATGAATTGCACAGCGGCTATCTTTATCCTATGGGTGTTCCAGGCGCCTTTTTCTCTTGTCTCCTCAAGGCATTTTCTGCAAAGGGCGGAGAGTTAATTAAATCAAGAGGGCTAGGTGATGGAACCGACCCTAAGTATACTCAATGTTTTGCGAGACTTATTATGGTCACGAGGGGGTTCGGGTATGAAAAAATCCCTCGAGAATTGATTATAGCACAAAGCCATGAAAGAGTGGATAACTATTTGGCATCCATCTCATGCGAAAGGAAATGAGAAAATATAAAATCGAGTTTGTGTGGGTTGAAAGTGACAAAATAGCAAACAACCAACAACGGTATACACAGCACTATTCTGATTTAATTAGTTGCAAAGCAATATCGCTTAGAATACGTATCGTATACGCCAATCTGTTCTTTCTCTCGCCATAAAAAAAAGCAACTTTTTGTACTTGCTGCTAGTATATTAAAAAATTACTGAGATTGCTATGACGATGGTTACCAGGTTGCTGCATTACTGGATTGCAATGTTACTACGGTTGCTAAATCGCTCGGTTGCTAGGGTACCTGTGACTGGGTCCACCGTGTGTTTGTTGCTAGGGATACAGCCCAATTCGCCAATGCTGAATAGTAAATCAACTATTTTGCACCCCCTACTTTATAAACAGTGAAAGCGTCAAAAGTGAACACTCGATATAAAGTTTTGTAAATTGGTAATGTCGAAAATGCTTGAGCTGCGCAAGTCAGAGAAAAAACAAAGTCGAACGACGAATGACGTCGTCGGTGTTTTTTTTTCTATTGGACTACGCACAAACCGGGGGAAATTGTTTAAATTGTTTTCAGCAAGTTTTTCTGTGAGGCCCCTTTGCCAAAAAAAAAAAAAAACCTCACTTTTTACCCCCACTCTCACTTTTTTAAAAGTTCATATATAAGCGCCATGGCCTCTTTGTCGCGCACCTTTGCGTCTGCGGTCTCCAACCGCTCGTTTGTTAACGTCCCTGCCTCGGCTCCAGCTTTGAAGAAGGTGTTGAGCGTCTCTGGTGGCAGCGTGTCTTTGGACCACCACGACGATCACCATGCCAGCAAGCCCGTCTTGGGTTCTTCCATCAAGCAGCGATCCACTGGCGGCTTTGTCAATGCCTCTGCTGTCAATGGTAAAAAAAAGAGAAAAGAAAAAGGCTCCACAATTCATTTTTTTTTATTTTTAGTTATAGTTTGATTATTCCGATTATGCATTTGAAAACTGACAAAAAAGAGTTTTGTTTTTTAAAATAGTGGGTCCCATTAACGATTTCCAATTGCGACGCAACCACACGACTGCCGTTCCCGATTTCTCAAAATACAAAAAGACCAACACCAGCGGTGAAGCCAGCCGTTCGTTTGCTTACATGATGGTCGGTACCACTGGTTTGATTAGTGCAGCAGGCGCTCAGGCTACTGTCAGCGACTTTTTGGCCAACATGTCCGCCTCTGCCGACGTTTTGGCTTTGGCCAAGGCCGAAGTCGACTTGAACGCTATCCCTGAGGGTAAGAACGTTACTATCAAGTGGCGTGGTAAGCCCGTCTTTATCCGTCACCGTACCGCTGACGAAATCGCCGAGGCCAACGGTGTTAGCGTCCAGGAATTGCGTGATCCTCAAACGGATGCCGACCGTGTCAAGAAGCCTGAATGGCTCGTCATGTTGGGTGTCTGCACTCACTTGTAAGTCTCTCTTTTTTTTTTTTGCTATTTCAGGGAAAAAAGAAAGGCGGGAATTGGAGGAATGGAAAATTATAAACTTTTGTGTTATGGGATTGTTGTTATTTATACTGTCACATTTATATAGGGGTTGTGTGCCTATTGGTGAAGCTGGTGATTACGGTGGTTGGTACTGCCCCTGCCACGGTTCCCATTATGATATCTCGGGTCGTATTCGCAAGGGTCCCGCCCCTCTCAACCTTGAAATTCCTGGTAACGTATCTATTTCTTATAGCATAGCAAAGTTGGAGGATGTTTCAATATAGTGATAAAAGGGCCAAGAAGAAACGGATTTGGACGCGTTGCATGTACTTACTCTTGCCATCTTTTATGTAATATAGAGTACTCCTTCACCGAAGACAAGCTCATCGTCGGTTAGACATACACAATGTAACATATACGCGTCGCCTCTTCATCCTAATAAATCATCATCATTGTCACAAGGAAAAACACTTGATATGTTGGATGGACTTCAGTGCTGGTTTTTTTTTTTTATTTTTGACGAAAAGGGAGGATCTTGAAACATATGGCAATGAATATTGTACTGTGAATTGGCGTTGAATACCGTCATGAATGGAAACTGTCAAAATAGAGACGACATACACTTTGGTAAGCGTGTCTTGTTTGTTCACGAACGGAAAGTCTATGTTTGCTGCTTCAACCTGCTGTAAAAATAATGCTACAACATCCTGTATATGTGCGGTTCCCCCTGTGGAAACAAGTGTTAAGAAGAGGTGATACTCTCCGAAAATTGATTTTCTTTATCTAGAAAATAAAAGCATCCACGGGTGATGATGATATGATACCATTGATTCATAGAGTCCCTCAGAAGTGTGTACTTGTTGAACAATCAACCGAGCAGACTAACTACTACATACGCAGTAAATAGCAGGATATAGTATTTTCTGATCTTCCGGGTCAAGAAAGTTCTCGTATCATTTGCTTTGCCATAGCCAGTGCTGCAAAAATCAGTTTAAATTTGCAAAAGTTGCGTAATCGATAGCTTCTCGACCAAACCGGGATTTCCTCCCAAGTTTGTTTCTTTCATCTCCATGCTCTTTTCCACCCCCGTTGTTTATTTATTTTTGCTGAATTCTGCTACATAACTTTCTCTATCTTCGTCGCGCGCCATGGTAGGTAAGGTACAGGTAGATGATACTGTACTAATGTCCTTTAATGTCTCAACTCTTTAGTAACCAAGACGATGTCAAATGATGGAAAATCTTAAACAAATACTGTACTAATATGTTTTAAACCCTTTGGATATGTCGAAAGGTATCCTGTCAACAGACATATGCCCTTCCCTCTTTTGTACTAACCGTTGCTGAACCGGTCGATACAATCCAAAGATGAAGTAGTGCGTTATATACTAATAATTCTGATCAGGCTGATCTACTCAAAGTTGACGCGCTGTAACCAATAGCATACTGATGCATCCGTTCTCGGATGTTTTCCCAAAGACCCTCATTATGCAACATTGCGTGAAATCAGTCAATCTTTCAAAATTCGTTCGTCTTTTGATATTTGGCACTAGCATGTGCTCTAATTTCTAGGGATCAGGTGGTGCCATCCGCTTCTTAGATAAGGTCGTTGATATGGAAGTTATACAAAACTGGGTCAAGGAACATAAATGACTTGGTATGTACTACTCACGAAATTCAAGCAAGTAATGCCGTGGCAACATTCGTAGTATGCAGACCCAGCTACGTGGTTTTCGATCTCCCCCGTTAAAACGTCGAATGGTACATATATACTGTATCATACGGGGATTTTAACCGTAAGAGTGCAGTTTGACAGTTTCTTTGGATCAATTACTAAGACATACACAGGTATTTCTGTTTTTCGTAGGATACTTCAGCAACAGTAAAGTAGTAGAAGCATGGTGGTAAAGTTTACCATTCTTGGTCAATGCGGGTACCATAGATCTGTACTATAGGATGTACATGCAACTGTTTTTTCAAAAGGTAACAAGTAATATTTACAAAAGAGGTATCTTTACTAAGCTACATTCAGGCCAGCTTTGTATCATCTTTTTGATTGGTCTCGACAGCCCTTCCTTTTCAATGGCAAATTTGAAACGTCTCAGTAAATCTTGGAAGAAAATGTGTTTTCGGCTAAGGATCCTTACGAAAGCAAAGTACAGTAAGACCCTTAGAATTGCATGATCCAGATGTTTTGTTGTATTTTGAAACGTTTGCTTGTGGGCATGCGATATAATTTCTGTATATATATATAAGATGGGTTGAATTCCATGATCCGGGGAAACGTGATAAATCATTCATAGCACTGGAAAAAACAAAACTTACCAAACAAGACATTTCCAGATATCTTTTTACGAGTACCATGTCGGTCCAGTGCTCGACAATAAGCGCCTACTTTTGCTGCTCCAAGCAAATAAGATTCGTACACATTTCGGTATACGGTATCTTCAGAATTGAAATTAAAGTTGAGAAAGATCTTTTGTTGCTTGGTCTTGATGGACCTATGCGATAAGATGTTGTCATTAGAAACTCACACTAAACAAAAAGCATTATACTATAGCAGAGACAAACACAAGAGCGATCTCCACTTACTGAACAAATTTATGCTTAATGTCATTATGATAATGAGTAAACCTCAAAGTCATCAAGTCTCGAATATCTAAGCAGTTGTTTCAACATTAGTACTTTTTCCTGATCCTTCTTTATCTGTTATCGCGACGTTGTCTCTGATGTCCTTCTTACTGCTTTTATTGAACCTTGAATAGTCAGAGCTGATATCTAGTGTCTTTGTGTTTATTTGCAACCCACACCATGGTAATTCTGACATTTTGATTATTCAGTGTTAGTATGTACCTACCCTACCACACAAGTTTATAAATACTACAGCAAAAATGAATAACTCACCAGTTTCAGTCCATAGTTGGACAGAGTCAACATTGGCAGTGGTGACAGATTTAGCAGCAGAAAATGTTGTTCCATATCGGTCGGCACCTAGTATAAGAATAAAAGAGACAGAAAAACGATAAGGATACAAGAAAACCTTGGTATATCTTGGTTTATATATACAAGTGAGTAAGTAAAAATATTGACCTGTATATATGAATTTGCAGAACTTTTCAATGGTGTCTTTGTTAGGAGTTACCAACAGAAAATCGTCAACATATCTAAGTAAGATCTATTCAATGATTTAATGAGTGCGTGTTTGCAAAAGTTAGCACTTGTTCAACGAGACCCGTACATTTTAAAGGAGTAATGAGACTTACTGCTTGTGGATCCTCTTTAATAAAGGGTAAACATTGATTTTCCATGTGGATATAGAAATGGTCGGAAAGTATCGTAGATAAACATGATCCTTGAGGTACGCCTATTTTTTGGCGATATACAGCATCTCCTATCTTATGTTGCCGAGAATCATGTATGCCACGAGGAGTGTTAGGGCAATTTGATTTTCTTGGACACGAATAATATGCAATGAAGAATGAGCAAGGCCTCGCAAAAAAAAAATATGTGCATTACCTTTACCACATTATATTTTATATGATTTTCTATAAGTTCGAGTAGTGCTTCACCGTCTTGAACACTATAGTTTGCCTAGGTATAGATTAAATGGACAAAAAACAAATAATCCATCAAGTATTAGATGTTCTGCAAACAAAAAGATATCTTAAAAAACGTTTTACACAAATGAGATCTTTACTCCTTCTATCCAAAGAGATTGACTAAATCGTTCGGCTAGCTTTATAATATCGTCTTTTGATGATGATTGAAGATCTAGTTTTAGAAAATAAAAACACAGGTTTAGCTAGTGTATCGACTTTGACAACAACATGGCCACCCGTTTTTTTTTACATCAATTATCCCACAAGTAATAAGAAACGCAACCTGATGTTCCAGCACTTATTTCTTGCTTCCAGTGCAGTTGACCCGATCGACTATAGGTTTTCAAATAAGGCTTGATGGTATAGCACTATATGAACAAATTTAGCCAAGTAGAATAGAACCGTTTTAAAGAGAACTCTGGCACAGATACGTACCTCCTTTAACTTTTCCTTCAATATCTCAAGTAGTAAGCCTTGATCGATGGAATCAAAGCAGTTCTTGATATCAGTTTTGACAAAGTGAAAGCGATCACTGCTGTGGATAATATGTTTGTCGTTCAGTTATTTAGCGGTATATACAGCAGTAACGGATGAGACACTGCGTGCAATAGATTGAAATAACTTGATATCAAATCACAAATATGTATAAACATTTATACCTTGAGCTTTTTTGAAACACCCTCTTTTTGTATTTTGAGAGTCTTGAGTATAATTGAGCGAGATTGCTGACTGACTTGCCTACATCGGCATGCTGGCTTTGATTTTTTTCTAGTACCAAAACTTGCGCCGCTTTTTCTAACTTGATCTTGTCACCTTTGTTTATACGTGACTACACGAGAAAAGTATCCGGTCAGAACACATAGTTCACAACTAATAAGAAAGTTTCTTTTTACCATGTTGGTAATGGGACGCATACTAGCACCCTTTGGTACGATTCGGAGTGACGCTACTGTTTCTGGAGTCTAGCAAAAGAATTTTATAGTTTAGCAATTATAAAGAATTTGTACTATTCAATTTTAAGTCTAGACACTAAACCATTACTTACGTATGCAACTCTTTCATATCGTTTCTCCACAAGTCCATCAACCAATGATTGCGTTTTTTGTTTCCATATATCAGCGTGAAAAAATGACATGCGGTTGTTGACGGTACTGGATTCTGTCACATAAAAGTAAGACTGCGTATATTGTAAGAAACATAGACATAGAGACAAAGGTAGAACACATTTGTCATTACCCGAATGAGTACGAATACATAGTCGTTATAGAACCATGACATGGCTTGGTATAGTAACTCCTTCCGTTTATTCCGTTCGTCCGCATGAAGCCTAGCTTTTGGATTCCACGGCGGAGCCAGCCACGCACAATCGGTTAGCTATAGAATTTATTCCCCAAGGATTAATACATGGATACGTTGATTAAAAGAAGCTTTTAAGTCATTACATTAAATTCTCGTAACGCATCCTTAAGATCTAATGTTTCTCGTTTTCGAAGATTCATGGCTTGTCTGATGACTAAGGTAGTATCATATATATATATATATATATATATATATATTGTATCGGACCCCGTGAGTATATGATGAGTTGAAAAGTATGTTCTTCTACTTTAATTGGAAAAGGATGTATTGCTAGCAATATACATACCTTTCAGTACCAGAAGAAGATTGCGTTCAGATCCCCAAAACTCGATAGGAAACACCCGTTTAACTTGCTTGACAGCGAATTGGTATATCTAAATTTATGGCATGTACATGTAAAGCACCATCCAATTATTTTTAGTTCCTCTTGGTCCATTTCTTCGTTCCGCAATTAAATAACGTTTAAGGAAGCAACATACTTACTGCATTGGGAGAAGTCGTCATTTTATCCATAGGACCGTCCTACAAGAAAAAAAGGGAACCGTATCAATGATACAACGTACAAATACTATTCTCGGACCTAAAGCTGTAAGCGTTTCATCACTTGAGCCTTGTCGTCTCGTACGAAACATTACTTTAGGACGTGCACAAGTATGTGCTAGCGCTGACATAGGTTTGGATCGTGCGTTTTTCTGTATAATTTGCTCCACAATATTATTAACTGTATCGAGCCGTTTTGGGAACTTTCTGGATCTCTACACGATATATACATATATTGAGCATTTATATACATTCTAGTGCTATCAGATTTCGAAAGTAGCGTAGCAACAATTGGATCATTATTTACTTTTGAAAACTCATTGGGAAACATGATTTTTAACTGCTCCAAGGAGTTCTCTTTCATCATTGTTCGAGGCCGTCCATCAAAACGCTTATTATACATCATTCTACCCGGTATAATGCTGTACGTATTCATGTCTATTTTCACATCAGAGCGCACTGTAGAAGGAACGCAATCCACAACCACGTTTATCCGCGGGCCTGATAATGAGTATATCAGTATAATGTCCTTTGATTATTATTTTCTTTGCGGAAAATAAAAAAGTCTAACCTGATAGTTGGTAAAAATTACCGTTGTCGATCCGTGCGAGCATAATGGTATCCTTCAACAAACGGCGCATGACTTTTTCGCCAACACTTATAAAAGAACGGATAAAAAAACCTTCAGCACGAAAGAAAAAAGTAAGAAAACTAAGCAGAGACTTTACCAGCATAGCATGGCATCCCAAGCGGGAGACAATAGTTCTTGCGTCGTCGTATTTGTATGATTAACTTGTATAATTCGCTCGTCATTTTCGTCCTTGTTCATACTCTGCATACAATTCAAAGTTAACAGACAAATTATGCTCTTTCTCGAGGGAGCTCTCATAACGATCTGCTATTGCAATCCAATAGAATCCAACATGCTCACAAAGTATACTCCTGCCGTCAACATATGATCGTTGCCTTTACCAACGACGAGAATTTCGCGTCTGACATTATCGAGGATCTATATATAGTAAAAAAAGCGCGTCAAAAAAGAAACTGGCGATACAAAAGACAAAGAAACAAGGTTTGAGATTTTTTCCAACCTCGGACATGGATCGTGAAAAAGATATGGCGCATCGTGATGATTTCGTGTCAATTTCCACGTAATTGCTATTTGTTAGTGGCGTTGCAATTACGATCCGACTAAGAATTTGTTGTTTGATCAGGACACGGTCGACATGCTTCCCGGTTCCAGCAGAGTCGCTTAAATTAACACCGTACGCCGTTATGAGATGCTCTTGAATTGATTTCACGTTGTTAAATAATTGATTGAAAAGAGGAGGGAAGTTGGCTGCGCTGGCAGTGGCGTTGGTCATTTCACAACTCAACGAACGTTTGGGGGTAAAGATGAACCAACAAACTGTCTTTTTGCTCCTCCCCCCTCACCCCACCTTTTGCAACTGACTATATGATTCCGCTATGCCTGGTGCCACATTGATGACAATATTCACTTATGGAAATACCACTATGACTAGGAATAACAATCAATATGAGCATCAATGAAAGGACCTGGCTCCATCGCACATAATTACATAATCTGATCGCTATTTACTTCCAAAAAACACAATATGATTGCAACAAAACATCGTGGTATCGGCAGTTTGGGAGTCACTACTTAATAATGAGATAATCGGGACTAGGCGTACATGCACCGTTTTGTTGATGTGCGTCGCCTGATCGGATGAAACTATCAAGGAAGAAATTGCTTTGCAGGATGTTGTGCGACCTCACGGGCAACAAAGATTCGTTTGACGTTGAAAGGGGGAATGTTATTTTTGAAGCAACAGTGAGCAAGTATTTAACAAACAAAAGCGCATTTACTGTCATACGTCCGGGTATGCATGACCATACCTTTCTTCTAGCGTTGAAAAGTGCAAATTGGGGGGTACTTCTTTTCTCTTTTTTTTCATACTTTACCCATTACCTCTTGTGCGCATCTTATAATGGCACCTTTAGAAGTAATAGGCGCAGCTTATAGTCGATCTGGAACAGATAGCTTACGTACTGCTCTTGATATACTTGGGTACGCAGTTATACCGTAGGAATAGACTCTAATTACTAATAAGAATCTCGGAATACGTGCCACTAGAGCGGTTGTTGGCGTTAAAGCTTGAAGATGGCGTTGATCGGCACACGATTTGCGCTTTCCTCGGAAAACCGGTTCCTGCTGTTCCGTATTCACGAAATTAACTCGACCAAAGAGTTCAACGACAAGATACCGGATTTTCTTAAACAGTTCCAAGAAAATAATCAGTAGCTACTATGGATGCTGCTGAAAGCATATAAAATTCTGGCGTTTGATCATGACATGGTTTAGATTCTTTGCCGTTTTGAACAGAATCTTTCAGGTTGATGCCAGATTTGTTAATGAGATAATCATGAAATGATGTGTGTTATGAGGAGGGGATATGGTTGCCAACAACTTTTTTTGATTTGGGAAACACTACTACCATGAGGGTATATTTCATTACCTACCCAAGCAACTATGATTCGCGCAACAGCTGCTATGTATGCATGCCTAAATATATCACAATGATGATAATTTCTGTATTGATAGCACTTGAACAGCGATATCAGTAAATATATTAGTATCACTTAAGGACCTCACTCCATCGCAATATAGTACAAACGTCGCTTCACCATACCCCTATAAGGACATTGTGCTTTCATGACAACTAGAAATGATCTCGACAGTATTGCACCATTTGTTGATGAAGTACTCGAATAAATGTTACAATACTGTATGTAAAATCAAATAAAACAGTGATTGGCAGATGCAATGCAAACTAATGTACGCACATGCATTTACTGCAGCCATAACGTTCAGCCCCCTTAGAAAAAGGTGCAATCTTCTATATAAAAGAGCACAAATTGTGTGGCGATTATTTTTCTCTACTTTTTACTTTACCCGTTAACTCTTGTGTGCACCTTTATATAATGGCACCATTAGAAGTGATAGGTGCAGCTTATAGTCGATCTGGAACAGATAGCTTACGCGCTGCTCTTGATATACTTGGGTACGTAATTAGGACACAAGGAATAACCTTTTTTTGCTGACATTATATACTGTTACAGTTACCGCACCCTTCACGCCAAAGTCATGTTAATGGAAAAAGTTGGAAGGCCTGAACTTTTTGAAGACGCATATGACCATCCTGACAAGCCCGTGGACTGGAATTACCTTTTCGATGGCTTTGATGCAGCCGTAGAATTGTAAAGTATAGTATGATAATAGCCTTAGGATATGATTATGAGTTAGGTAATTAGGGTCTTACAGGGCGATTAACCCGTGTTTTATCTCATTATTTTTTTTAGCCCAGCGATCTGCTTTGTCCGACCTCTTTTAGAAGCATACCCAAACGCCAAGGTCATTCTTATTGAGCGAGATGCGGACAGCTGGTATGAGTCTGTCAAGAACAATGTCATCAAGATGCTTGAAGTTGCGGAGGCGCGAGAACTTTCAGAGCATGGTACACATCTAATACGCGCATTTGAAAAATTATGGCTCGATGGTGTACTCCTCGATCCAAAGTTGCGGGCAGATGCAGAGGAAGTGAAATCAAGATACAAAGCGCATAATGCGTGGGTCAAGGAGCATGTGCCACAGGAACGGTTGCTAGCATTGAAGCTTGAAGAAGGCATTAACTGGGATAAGATGTGTGCGTTCCTCGGAAAGCCCGTCCCCGCAGAACCGTATCCACGAATCAATTCTAGCAAGGAATTCAACGAGGAAATACCGAACTTTGCTGAGAGACTAGAAGATTTGTGATCACATTGTTATCCTGGTATAAAAAAAGCATGTAAACTTTCATTTAAGACACTGATAGCGGTTATTTTTGAAGACATACATGTGTTTAAGCACATATCATGAGTTATAAAAAATTGCCCTTTTTATCGAGAAGCACCTATTATCACTTATTTCCATTCAGAAAAAAGGTTCATGAATGTACTAAGAACGAATATGTATGATATGAGAAGTGGCGTGGTTTGCCGCCGCGATGCGCGACTACATATCCCACGAGAGCCACGGCCTGCAATAAGAAGCATTTCTACTCCTACATAGAAATCATGTCTTACACTATGAGAATTGATAATAAGATCGAGGAAGCACCTAAAAATGACCATGGGTAATCATATGAATAACACGTTGTTAGAAAGCAAACAATTAGAATAAACTATCCACTTTAGCTTTAACGCCGTGCTTGCCAGTGTATTTGTCTATGAGATGTTTAACGGTACGTTCACGATCACCGCCAAACGTATTCGCCACGTGAAGGATTTCAGAGCATTTTGGCAACATGAAGCGTGTGTGTAGGTATTCCATGTACGTTCCTCCTTGGTCTATTAAAGGCACCAAGGGTGTGTCGATGGGTGCATCAAAATACTTGCGTTTCATTTCACTAGCATCCACTTGTTCCAAAGTTGGTGGATGCCACTTTGGTTTTGTTCGAGTCACTAGCGTTGATCGTGTTCCTTCTGTAAATTCTCACTCAGCCTGTTAAGATATTTTTTTACTGTGTTTAGTATAAAGAGAAAACTAGTAGTAAGAGAAATCTTTACGTCGTATGTGCTCTTATTATTTTTTCTCGGATATATCTTTAAAGAGAAAAGGTTTGATAATCAATACTTTACCAGGGTTCTGTGGGCCAACTGATACTCTAATTTCATGCAATCCAACAAAGAGAGGCGGGATCCGCTATGTAACAGCTGTAACGATCGTTTCAGTGATGTTGGAGACATGCACTTCAGTTGATCCAACGTTTCTTTGGCCCAATTCACTGCTGTCGTTTCATTCTTAAGAAAGCAATGATTTCTTCCACAGTATTGTGTTGGAAAGATCTACAGTTTTACAAAATCATTGAATAATGAGTGCTATGCTACAATTTTCTTTTCGCCCAGCCAAAGCATCATGATAGATTATGCAAATTGTAGCGTTGGTGTGTGTGCTAACTACCATACCGATTGACAGCTTCGTAAATACCACCACCTAAAGAAAATGCAGGTGCCTTCTCTTCTTTGTCTATATCTTCCGCTGAGAATTTTTCGATCACTGCATTGATATCATCCTTGTCCAACGTATTTTCTTTTTGTACCGCAAGGTCGTCAAGGGTAGCTTCCAACGCGTTTATCCTTTTTGCTGGGACATAATGTGTCGCAATGCCGGAATAACTATGAAACTTACAAATATATCGTCTTTACCGTCAGTACCTGCCTTGTAAATGAAATTCAAAAGAAAAAGAAAGAAAGAAGGCTTACAATATATCCGGCCCTTGCAAACGCTGAGCTGTCAATGCAAGTTAGTGTCCCACATATCCATCCAATCGAGGCATCCAGAAGCTTGCACTGGCATCGTTAAAGTGACCAATGATGTTCTCCGGCATGGAATAGACCGAGTTTTCTGTAGCAATACGGAACGGAGCATTCATTGCTAAGCGCACAGCAGCGCCCACTGCATACATACACACACACACACAGATATTAGACACGCAATCGGTTAGTCATCTTTAAGTTTCTCATGTTTAGTTCTATTCATCAATTTTTTTTACACCTACTCGTGATACCACCCATAAGGGCTATATATGGCTTCTTTAAGCTGCCTATCAAATGTTGCAATTGACAGTGCCTATAGAAAATATGGGCTGCCTCATGGTGACGACCAGCTTCTTCCAGATCTAACAAAGCTGGAATGATGATTACACGTTAATAATTCTTCCTCATGATATTTTGAACAGTTCTGTATTCCTTCCCACCCTTGAGCCACCACTGGAACTATCATATATTCAAAACGGAAGCATAAATTATAGAATTACCTTTGATATCACCACCTGCACGAAATGCTTTGTTACCATTGCCTTTGACAAAAATAACCTTGCTGCTTTCCAACTTTTCCCACGCCTATATGCATTTTGCAGCAGAGGCGGGGATGTTCATATCCTTATTAGTTCATATGTTGTCAGGCTCAAAAAGACATGAAGAAGGTACGTACCAGTAACTTTTCAATCATAATTTCGCACATTTCGGTGTTAAAAGCATTTAGCTTTTTGGGACGATTAAGTAGGATCTCACAGACACCACTTGGATGTTCATGAGTCAGTGCTGCTGCAGCAGTTGCCTATATATTAGGTGCAGATAACGAGATGTTAATGGGTATAAATAGACATATGCATGATTAGTCATCAATAAATAGATAGCATCTTTGCTGGATGATGCTGGGGTTGTCGTTGACGATGATTATGTGGTGACGAGACAAAACCGTGTTAGAGAAAGCGTATACCTCATGTTGAAATTGTTGAGGCGATGTAGAACGTTCTTGAGCTGAATTGGTGTGCTATGTAGATGATACAGCATTAATATAAACTTGCAACACCACTGTTGCTTTTAAACCATCTTTCCAAGGGCAAACAAGTTAAGAGTATACCTTGTCAACAGTCTTCTATATGACTAGTCCATCATTATGAAAAAAGAGCAAGGGTGTACTTGTTGTAGGTAGCGAGCCAGTAACAGTAAAAACACTCTTGTGTGTGTTGGTTGTTGGAAAAACCCGCACGCTGTAAGGTAAATTACATTACCTGTCATTTTTTATCCTGGCATTATTTTTGTTTGTCGCCTTTTTCCATTCCACCACAGCCCGCAAAAAAGACGCGCACCCGCTTTTAACTCTCATAGATAAACAAACGTCATGGTAAGGCACTCACTCATTTTGGAGTAGATCAATGCTGGTTAAATAATTGGGAGACTTGTAGATTTTTTTTAAAAAGAAAAACTAATCTCCCTCACAATCATTAAAAAAAAAAAAGAGCAAGTCAAAGAAAGGTTTATCACTTGAAGAAAAGCGCAAACGACTTGAAGACAGTTTTCATGAATCGGTAATGATTACAGCTGTTGATACATATTTCTTAATGATGAAAAAGAAGGCTTAACATATCGGCAATCTACAAGGGCGAGTTTTATCAGTTGAAGGAAATTGAAAAGATGGGACAAAAGAAAGGCGTCGTATTGCAGTCAGTCAAAGAAGTGCTTCAAGGTCTGGTAGATGATGGACTAGTGACTACTGATAAGATTGGCACGTCAAACTACTTTTGGTCGTTCCCATCCACTGCTGCCAATGCGGTAAGAACCATAAAGCAGCAGTCCTCCCGACCTTTTTTTTATTTAAACTTTCCATGAGCGTGTCACTGATGGCTATTTAAACTTGACTACATTATATAGAAACGTCGACAATTACAGGACCTACAGGAAAAGGTGCAAAACGAACGTGACAAAAAGGAGCAATTACAAAAGGCCATTGAAGAAGCCCGATCCGGTCGTGAACCAACGGTAAAAAAGAAACATGAACTCCGCTCTCTTTCTCTCTCTGTGTGTGTGGGGTTTTGATTGAACTCGCATATTTTTTTTTTGGGGTGTTGCCCTTTAATTTTAAATAGCCCGAACGCGACGAAATTCTCCAGAAATATCATGAAGCACTCCGTTTAAAGGACAAGTTGCAAGACGAATTGAAGCAATATGTCGATAATGATCCTGAAACATACCGAGCCAAAGGTTAGTAGTGTAGTATGTGTTATGTGGCGTTTTTGAACTTGCCCCCCTCCCCTCCCCCTGAACTCTGTGTGTTGGTGTTGATGACGATGATGTGTTTCACAACAGAAAAAGCAGCTGTCATTGCCAAAGAAGCCGCAAACCGATGGACAGGTGAGAGTATATTCCACATATAGGAAATGTATTAAAAGTGGTTGGATATATAACTGATGCATATCAATTGACGATTGATTTAGAAAACATCTGGACGATAGAAGGTTACTGCGTCAACAAGCTTAATGCAAATCGTCAGGAAATCGAACAGATGTTTGGCATAGACAGTGAGCTGGATACGTTTCCTTAGGTGGCCCCATCGTTTGTGTTGCATTGCATGTGAACTGTCCGATATATCTCTTTTTTTTTAATACATATCCCACCGTAATAGTGTAACTCCTGCTCCTCCTCCTCCTCCTCCTTTCTCTTTCCGTTTTTTTCTTCTTTTTTTCAATCTGCTACCAATACCCGTATAACTGTATATATCAATAACACACCACTACCACAAAGGAAAAACCTATACGAATGGCTTCTAATAAGCGTTTATCATTTGCAAACTTCCCCATTCCATTCGACCATCCCTACACACTACCGAGTCTGATCGCCGCGGTGGCCGCTTCATCGTTCGCGTATTACTATCTACAAAGCACGCATACTGCCGAGCTCATTGAAGCCGTTCGAGTTCGAGATATTAATAAACGACGCCAACTGAAACGACCCGAGCAACGGTTTGCGAGTCTCAAAGTAAAGCTCTTTCTCCTTTTTTTTTTCCTATCTGTGCCTTTTTTCCAAGACTTCAATCCTACCTCTGTCCGTCCGTCCGTCTGTCTGTCTCTTCGATAGAGAGAGAGAGAGAGACAACAACAAATAGAGGAGGAAGGAAAGGAACTTTGACATTTGACACATTCACCGTTCCCTCCACTTTGACTCGTCCGCAAAACTGACAACCTTTTTTATTTAACTTTCCTTCAAAAAGGTTGAACGACGCTATGTGAATCCATTTGGTCAATGGCGGGAAGTTCCTTGGTGGGAAACGGCACTATTTTGGTTATGTCGTTACAAGGGCAACGGGTTACCAAAGACAGAAGAGGTAACCATGGTGATTTTTATTCTTTTTTTTTTGTTGCGCGTGTTTCATGCTTCGTTCGTTCGTTCGTTCGAGAGAGAGAGAGAGAGAGAGAGAGACACGTATCACATATACCACCTTTCTGACCTCCCCCACCCACCCCCTCTTCAATGCAAATAACAGGAATTGAACAAGACAATGCCTGTTGTCAAGCCATCACTGGATGTGATTTTTGCCAAATCGGATAAAAGTAGTAGTGGATTAACCGCATCTTGGGTCCAGTTGGCCGAGGAGAACAAAGACGTATCACGGTCAGCATCATCGCCGTCGGTGGCATTTACATGGCTAGGGTAATATTTCTGATATGGAACGGTATATATGTTTGATTGTGAGGAGGGTGTGTTTTCTTTTCACATACACTAAAGAAACCCACACATCAAATGATTAGACAATCGACGTGTTTGATCCGAGTAGACAATATCACCATATTAACCGACCCTGTGTTCTCCAAATGCTCAATTAACGATTACCTCGGTCCGAAACGTCTAAGGCCTATACCTTGTTCCATTGATGAAATTGCTTCCCATTTGGATATGGTGTTGGTTTCCCATGACCATTTTGATCATTTAGGTAAGCAAGCACAAACACACACACACACACTCAGACACGAGCTATTCTGAAACACTTTCTTATTTTTTGTGATTAGACGAAAGCGTAGTACACAAGCTTGGGAATTCAGTAACATGGTATATACCCTTAGGACTTCGGGACTGGTTCGTCAAACGAGGTGTAGAGAATGTAAGTGGAAAAGAGGGGGATCAGGTTGACGATCTCAAAGTAAAGTGGGAGGAAATGAACAAAGGAAAAACAGAGAGAGAGACACACACAACTAACGCGTTTGAGATCTACTATGATTAGGTGATTGAATTAGACTGGTGGCAAGAGATCCATCATGCTGAAAATCTTGATACAAAAATTGCGTGTGTTCCAGCCATGGTAAGAGAGGGTTTCTTGAACGCATCATTGGATTTGTAAAACATATTTAAAAGTGTCTGCTGTCGTGTGGGGTGAATGGATACATATATAATAATACTCGCTATCCATGTACATTTTGTTTAGCACTGGAGCGGATCACGTACACCGTTCGACAAAAACTCGACATTATGGTGCAGTTTTGTTGTAAAAACGAAATCCAATAGCATATTCTTCTGGTAAACAGAGTTCTATAAGCGACCAAGACAGAGAGAGAGAGAGACACACAGACTAACAAGGATTGGCAGTGGTGACACAGGCTACTGTCCCGAGTTATTCAAAGCCATTGGTGAACAGTATGCGCCATTTACACTCGCAGCTATCCCAATCGGAAGTTTCAAGCCCGAAATACTTATGCAGCATTTGCACATGGGCCCTACCGACGCTGTCAAAGTGCATCACGACATTGGTTGTCCTAAATTGTCGGTGGGCATTCACTGGGGTACCTTTATGATGTCCGACGAACATTATCTCGAACCTGCGCGACAGCTTAAAGAAGCGTGGGACGATATTGATATTCAACGAACAGGTGGTAAACTCATCCGTGCTGCTGCTGCTGATGGAGAACAAGAATCCTCATCTTTTTGCTCTACTACTGCTACTGTGGGTGCTGTTGTTTCTGAAACTCGCTTCATCACTACATTTATTGGAGAAACTGTCTGCTTGAATTAGGAGCAGATGAGTGCTAAAATGCTAGATCAACTTACTACCTGTTACTACTACTACTACTACTATTACTACTGCTACTGCTACTGCTAATGCTAAATATATATACACACACACACACACATATCCGATACATATGTATAAGCATAGACGGCATGCATAAACACACCACACCCTGTTTTTTATACGCAATTGCAGACACGATTTACATATCATTATGCCAATTACGACACACACACATACGCAAACACTTATCAACATATTTCTACTTATACATAACCTTGACACACGCATCCCTTTGTTTTTCTTTTGTAATATATCCATTCTTTTCTCTCGTACCCCTAAATAAACTATTATTCTAATGAGACATTCACATGGAGGCTTCTTTTATTACGATATACAAAATGGCAACTTGGCCATTTTACTGTTTTTTATGATGACCTATTGATTTTTCATGTACTCTGATGAGAACAAAAGTTTCACTTTCTCAACTGATTGGGCGAGCTTGTTATCTGCAGCCATGCTGCCTGTTTGCCTTCTGGATCCTCAAAAACACTCTGGAAACTCACACCAATTACATTATTATTTCGGACCATACAATACCGTACGCCTCCTTTGTCGTATATTATAACATGTAAGCTCTGATTTTTATAAATAAGCTCTCTACCATCATTTAGCTCGTTAGTTCTTCCTTCTTTGAAATTAAAAGAACGTCTCTTGTATCACTTTTTCACTCTGACTATACGATACATTACCTCTTTACATATAATCAGCGCCATATCACTAGTACATTGAGCAATTGAGAATAAACAGAAGCCAGCCTTTGTATACTCAATGCTCTATGTATTCTCGTAGTTAGTCAACACTTTTTTTCTCTCTTGATTCAACTATCTGAGTTGACCGAATCGTAACCTGTCAAACAGCATGAATCAATTCCAACACAGACAAAGGTGACACACTGCTATCGAGGAACACACTGATCAAGACTTTACACTCGAAAGACACTTATCTCGACATCTCTATTCCACCTTCCCCATCTTCAAGAAGGCTTAAATAGCCATTGTCCATCAATTTATTCAAAGCGGAAGTCTAGACAGCATCTCAAACAGTATAAATATAAGCTAGTATTGCATGCCTCACGATCATGAGCGATGCTTTCCCCAGAAACTTACCCCGCTCAACTTTTACACTTGACAACTGGCCAGAACTGCTCGATTGGATTTCAAATGAGGGTAAATAGACGTACCAATATCGTCGAGAGTGGGTTGTATTTTCCTACATCCAAAGTGCTATGGATAGGACGGGTGTGAACCATTTCGTCCAGCGTCGCGTCCAGTAAGCTCAGTTAATGTCTCGGTCATTGTCCCTGTGCTATATAATGGCTATAAGTTGCGCGTATACAAGCTTTCTCTTTTTGATACGCTTTGGAAACTCTCAGGCTGACATTTATAATCGTTGCACCTAATATGGATGTTGCCTTTTGCCTTCGTTGTAAGCATTGTAGATTTTGCATGAGTGTACTTTCTTTTAACCAAGCCCATACCTCGTTTTGTAAATTAAATATGGAAACGCTAGTTCATCAAGAAAGACATAATTTGCTGTGAGGTATTCCAGGTCAGTCTTGCTACCTTCTTCTTCCTCGCTCTTCCTCTCCCCAGGATGAAGCTGTATTTGCTGAATGGACAGACTACACAGAGTCGTAAGTCGTAAACAGTGCTACGAAGGAAACGTTGTTGAGATACAGCAGATTCACCACCGACTTTATTGACAAAACGGCCGACTGGACACTCGGCAATGATGTAATTAACTTTTTGCTGTTCCGACCTGACTTGTTTCTTTTCGCGAATGCCCTTTCAGGCTTCCTCAGAGTAAACTGCATAACTCAACCCTCTTTATAGTTCCGTTTCATCTGCAGCTGTATGCATTACAGGTTAAGGTCTATTCAGCAGGAGCCCAAGAGTACTAGAGCTTATTGTTGTTAATGATAGCAAACCAACTCCTTGTCAGCAAGTGGGGGGCCTCAATTCCATGTTCATCAACAAAAACCCTGTCCATCCTTACGGACAAGTCAAGAAGATATAATGACATGTTCGTGTGGCACGTGAACACTTTTATTTTTGGATTCAACCGACATCATTGTTGAATGCCAATTTAAATTCAGCGACCTTACTTTGTGAAATGACTGCGTGAGAGGAGGGTGGGGGGCGCGCGACATTCTGTGTAACAATGGTGTTGCGGGCTACGTACACAGCATACTAAATTTACATACAGTTACAGGGCGGAGCGGGTATATATCTCTTTTGATTTTGCTGGATTTCCATGAACATTGAGAATGTTACCATTCTTCTTGCTGTTCTATTGTACTGATCTGGTATATATTATCCCACATCGCGCCCCCCCCGCCCCTTGGTCCAAAGGTACACACATATGACAGAGCTTTATTTTTGTATGTCAATAGTAAACAAAACAGTAATGGGATGATGGATGATTGTGATGGGTGATGACAAGTAAATAAAAAAAAAGTTTATTTCATTCTGGAACAATTGTATGGGAGGGAGTGTGTGTTTTGTGTGAGAGAATTTAGCGAATTGTTTGTAAAAGTACACTTTATAGAAGGGAGTGTGACAGGGAAAGGGTGGGGGTGGAGGATAAGATGACAAGAGAGAGAGAGAGAGAGAGAGAGAGAAAATTACATGTAGTTGATGAGCTTACAGCCACCACCTTCATAGACATCAACATCGCTGACACCATGTTCGCTGTTCAAGGACTGGTAGTTGCTCATGGTGTAGACGTAAAAGTCAATGTGCTTACCAGAGAAGGACCATCCACGGTCGTCGACAAGGAGACAGCCATTGTGCTTCTTGCCACCGGTGCCAGGAAGTTCCCAGCCGTCCAATTGAGGCACATAGATCTTGGAACCCTGGGGAATGTCGTTAGCAGCAGCAGTAATGAAGGGACGGAGAGCAGAGCCGTACGAGGTCAAGCCATAGGGATCCTCGCTCTTGTCGACTTCCATGAAGCAGTTGTAGTTGCTGCACGAGCAGGCACCGAGGTTGACAACCTTGTTGTCCAGCTCACCAGTGCCTTCCATGACGAGGGCATCGGCATATTCAACAGAGGTCTTGCCAAGCGTCTTGCCTTCACAGGTCTTGATCGATACCTGACGGCCGCCCAAGTCGTAGTCTTGGGGTTGGGCAATCCAGTAGTAGGTCATGGGGACACCGCTGGAGATCTGCTTACGCTTTTCGGTCGAGCTAGAAGAAGAAGAGGAGTCGTCGTCGTCGTTGTCGTCATCGGAGGAGGTATCTTCAGCAGGCTTTTCGGTGGATGACCAGCCGTCGCTGCCAGAGTTATCTTCTTCTTCCTTGTCGTCGTCACTGTCGCCCTTGGTCTTGGCGGCAAGATGGGTGGTCTTTTGCGAGATCTTTTCGTCTTCCTTTGGTTCGGATTTCTCGGCTTCAGAAGAAGAAGAAGAGTCAGAAGAGGAGGAGCCAGAGTAGCCACCGCCGGGAATGCAGACTTCCTTGCCAGTAATCATGTTGGTGCAGGCGCTGTTGATGGAGGGGTTGGCGCTCAAGTAGGCATCACGGTCAACGCCGTACTGCTTAATGACAGAGGTGCAGGTATCGCTCGAGGTAACTGATTTATCAATTGCATGTGTGTGTCAGTTTGTTGTTCAGAGCAATTCTCTGCAAAAGAAGAAGGATTGACTTACCGGTGTGCTTGAATTCGCAAGAGCTGGAGGATTCCTTCTTCTCTTCCTTGGGCTCTTCCTTGGACTCTTCCTTGGACTTTTCTTCTTTTTCCTTGGGCTCGGGCTTGGGCTTGGGCTTGGGCTTGTGCTCCTTCTCCTCCTTGGAAACACAGTAGGTTTCGCCAGCCCACATGTTGGTACAGCCCGAGTTGATCGAAGGGTTCAATGCCAAGTACTGGCTGCGAGGAATACCGTAGTCCTTGGAGATCTGAGTACAGGTCTCACCCTTGATGGCTAAATCATTCAATTGGAGAGGGCCAACCATGATTCATTAATAAAAATCAAAACGATACTAATATAAAATGTTGGCTTCATCTGTTCTTACCCGTGTGAGTAATGGTACATCCAGAAAGACCACGCTTACGAAGCGAGACGACCTTATTCTTCACGTCCATAGGAACCAATTCGAAATCAACGTCGGGTTCGTTGTCGCGAGCAAAGACGGAGACGTAATTGGCGCTGAGAGTGCTGGTTTGTTGCTGGCCGCCATGGACAACAGCAAGGTTGTTCTTTAAGCCAAAGGATGGAAAGGCGTCAACGCCAGACAATTGCAAAGATGCAAGCAAGCTGATAGCTGTCACGGACAAAGATTTAAAGTACATCGTGCGATAGTAATAGTAGTAGGAGTGTGTGTGTGTTGATTTCGTCGTCGTTCTTTTCTTTTTCTTGTTTAGATATCACTCAGCACCGGGCTGTCGAAATTCACAAGGAACCGAATAAAAAAAAAGGTACAAAAGGGAAATGGAAGGGGTTGGGTATTAGCTTGCCACAGAGATAGAAGCTAAAGGGTTAATGAAAGGAAGGGCCGGGAAGTGGTCCGGGTGAGAGAGCGCGAAGAAAGAAAATAAAAAGCGGGTAGAGGAAAAGAAAGGAAAGACGGAAGAAGAAAGAGAGACGACAAAGGGATAGTATTTATATATTATTTCATCGGGACGGATTGTTCAGCAGCAGCAGCAGCATTGAGAGATGAAGGGGGCGGGACTACAAGTGATCCGTCAGCGTATGTACACTAGCAACACAGACTCGAGTCTCGGACTGGCGTGGTACCATTTCTTCGTTTTCATTATTTTGTGCCTAGTTTCTATGGATTCCATCGTTGTGGATGAAAAGTGTGGGTAGTTAAATGGGCAAATACTAAATTACCAAGGCAGCAAAAACCCAGCCCCCCTCCGACTATCTCTTCTCAGTCCAGTGTGTGTGTGTGCTATACCTTGCACATGGCTCGTTCGTTCGCCCTTCTGTGCCCTTGTGCGACCAGTTCATTAACGAGGCTATACAAAACAAGCAGACCAATCGACGCTATAGTCAATTAAACCCACGTTTAAAACTTATTACTATTGTGATTCTACAGCCTCAAGTTCCGCAAAAGAGTCCTCTTGTGTAGCACCAATGCAAGATCTGTCTCTTCTCTTCCTTCCCTTCCTTCCGCCCGCTGCACCTTATTTATTCCAATATTGCTTGTAATTCAATTCCTTTTTTGCGCGCGATGAAAAAGAGTTGCCATCAAAGCACTGATCCAATATCACTGCCGCCGCCGCAGCCTCGACCACATACATAAGAACCGTTTACCATATCTAGAATTGCAAGTCTCTCTCTACTAATAAAACAAACAAACAAACAAACACCCAGCTGGGGTCCAACAACGGCGGCGCGTTGCCTTTGCTGCTGCTGCTGTGTGTTGTGTGTGTGTGTGTGTGTGTGTATCATATCTCGCTCATATAAAAGGTCAGGAACTCCGCATGAAAATCCGAATCGTTCAGCGCTTTCTACTCATTTCCCAAAAAGCCGATCGAAACATATGAGAGTGGAACAGTGAGTCCTTTTGCTGCATAAAGAGATAGAGTGCCCGTTACTTCTATTGTCGCACCGTCGTGTCCCCCCACCACCAACACCACCACCACACCCGATTAACAGCCTCTTCTTTGTGCAATCATGTAGCGACTATCTCTTTAAGCTTTTGCTCATTGGAAGCTCAGGTGTGGGCAAGACGTGTTTGCTCATGCGATTTGCCGATGGCAAGTACCCTGAACAATACGCAAGCACGATCGGCGTTGATTTCGTAAGCTTCCGTCTACCCCCACCTCCCCCTTTCTTTTCCCTTTATTTAAATTCGCTCAAAATGCAATTGACATTATAGAAAGAGAAAACGATCCATATTGCAGACGAGAGAGTCAAGTTACAAATTGTAAGTATTTTACTCCATGTATAGTTTGCATAATAATAATAGTAACAAGGATGATTATTGTTGTTATTAGTGGGACACTGCAGGACAGGAACGTTTCCGCAGCATCGTGTCATCGTACTACAAGGGCGCCCACGGCATTTTCGTCGTCTATGACGTTACAAACCACAGCACATTTGATGATGTCAAACTATGGCTAAGGGATATTGAAAAGCATGCTTCCGACGATGTGTGTAAGCTGCTGATCGGAAATAAGTGTGATATATTGGAAGACAGGGAGGTGACGACGGCAGAAGGCAAGGTAAACATCAACACAAAGCGGGAAAATTCCCGTTACTGTGATCTCTTGTTCGTCTCTATTGTTGCAATAGTCTTTTTTTTCACTCGTATTACCGTGGCCTTTTGGAAAAAAAAAAGAAGGAGACTGGCACTTGAATTTGATACCCACTCCTCCCCCCTTTACACATATTTAGGAACTTGCCGACTCATTAGGTATTCCTTTTTTGGAGACTTCGGCCAAAGAGTCAGCCAACGTGAGCGAGGCCTTTTTAAAGATGGTTGGGGAAACTCAATTGGCTAGAGCAAAGCGGATCAAGGAAAGGATTCAAGCAGACAATCGCTTCAGCAGCAGCAACAACAATCGATCTATGGGCAGCAGCAATACCATCGTCATAAGTGCTGCTAATAGTAGCAGGCATCGACATTCATCCACAGGTGGAAGACAGGATAACTTTTTCTCTTCTTGTTGCTCATGAACAGCAACAACGTCTTCTTTTCGGATGCTGTCGTCTTTTTGTGCAACCCTCTGTGTCTGTCCCAGTGGTAGAATGTTCTGCTGAACACAAACCACCCAAGCAAGAAAACATTTTATTACACTTTTTACATATACGAACATAAAAAAAAAGAATTGCGGAATCGATTATTGCATGTTACATTTTGAGGGTCTTTTAGGAATACGAGCACGCATATTATACCAAATTGTACCGTTTTGACTTGTTCCTCACATTTGGCTTCTATCAACATTTGATGCTGGTACACTTGGTGATTTCACTACCGAAGATGATCTATCTACTGTGTGTGGAGTAGAATTGGCCCTGCTGTTACTATCAGTCCATCTCCTCACTTGTTCACAAATAAAAAAGCAGCGGTTTATGATAATGCATGGACCAAGTGGTAAGATACAAGCCGTAATATATGAATTGCAGGTTCCAGACAAACATTGCATGAACTCTCTTGCCTATTATCCTACTACATACGTAATGTACGGTATGCACACCGCAAGAAGAATATATATTAAATAGAAAGAAACTTTGACCACCTTCTATGTAGCACATACTCTTCTTTTTTATCGTTCCCTCTTCTTCTCTGTCCACTCATTTAATAAAACCATCTTGATAATACATCGCTAATAAAGTATAATCAGTGGCTCAGAAAAGAAAAACCCTAAGCTGGGTCTATATTTATAGACAATATATAGTAGTACGAAGATACTAAGGACGTGTCCCTTTCATTTTGCTTGATATCAAAAATGGTAAGCAGCTTTTCAATACTAGTTTGCATAAAAGCGTTCTGCTCCAATCATTGTTAACGTGTTAAACCCTAGCTCATTGTAGTACCCAGAGATGACAACCTATTTACCTCTTTGCAATATTTATTAACAACGCCATCACCCACTACCGTGCCACTAACGTAACACAGGCTATCCAAAAACTAATGAGGTCGGTCCCCTGAATAGTATGCTCATATGTATTATACATACAAACTTTCAAGATCGACTCGTTCCCCTCTTGTCACGAAAGACAAAGCAGTTGATTAGATACAGGGTATTCGCTCTTGTAAATATTAGATGCGTCGGATGGAAAAATTTAGTGTATGACATTATTAGTGCCTTGTCTGCACCAAATGAACCAACTATAAACAGAGACCAGGGCAATCATAAGCGACAGTAATTTAAAGCAGAGATTTATTTAAAAGTGTTGGTCAGAAAATGTGGGTGGAGGACAGCCGAAAGGTTCTAATCTTTCTTGTTGAGTGATTACATAAAGTATTTATACACTACAAATGAAAAGGTTATAAAGTTTTTTAAAGTAGATCAAGTAGGTATTACTAGTGCATCGTGACCGATCTACTTTGGATTAAGGGAGCAACCCAATTTGGTCATCCGATAATGATATTCTTCTTTTCGGCATGGCATTCATGGCTTCCTCGCTGGACATAGGCACACACCATTTCTTGAAACAAGATGATGCTGATGCTATGTCGTCCAAATACTTCAAATAGGTTCCCACGTCTTCCAGAGATGAGAGTGCTCTAATTGTGCAGAGCTCGCTGATGAGAAAATATAAACATCCGCGCAAAGCCTTTGTAATGTAGGATGATATCACAACATCTAAAAGAGGAGGTTATTCCATCGTATACCCTGATTTTTTTTTTCTATTCCATCGCAAAAATGAAGCGCTTACCAATGACTTGTGTGCATTAAGTTGGGAACGTTCACAGGAATTCTTTGTCATAATTCCTAAACGTACCAGGTCTTTTGATACCGCGTACTTGTTTGTTCTTTCACTGGTAGGTTTGACTTTTACACAGTAAAAGAATTACCAAAGGACAACCCATCGAACTCAGACACATGAATCGGGACGTTGTGCCGAGACGGAGTCCCCATATGATATTTTATAGATCCAAATGTCCACGACCTGACGAGGTAGTGGTGCTGGTCCTAATCATAGTAAACACAAAGTCAGCATCAAACCCAGAGTTCGTTCTACCGTTTTCAGTAATGGCTGATGCATACCAAAGGAACACCATTATAGGGATCATCCAATAGAGCAGATAGGATTGGATCTATATAATGGTTCCCAGCTCAAATTCCTTGATCTCGTCTTTAAGTCTTTGAGATGGGAACTTGTCAATCCTGAGTTTTTTTGAAAAAAAAGATAAATAACATAATATACACATATCATTTTCTCTTCCCTTTTTATTTTGATACGTACATGTGCGCAACAGATTTGTCGATTTTATCATAGTTATAATAACGGGTCAGCATGAAAAGTTTAATAAATTGCTTTGTTAACGCATACGATTTTGGCATCAATCAATGATCGCATCCGTTCGAGCCATCTTGTTCAGTTTTATATTCTGAATTAAAGGAAATGTATTATTAGTGACATAATCTTATACCTTCATATTACTATCATTTCCCTTTTTTTTACCTTGATAATCTTCTTTAATGACACCTCAAGATCAACAGGATTCTTTAACCAGGTAGTGGACGTTTGGATTAATAAAACAACCCGTGGTGCTTGATCGAAATTCATACCGTGAGCACCCACAAGATACTCTTCTTGGGTATCATCGAATATCTTGTTCCATTTGTCAAGGAGCACCACGAATCCAACATCATTAGCATTTCGATAGTATGCTGTTGGAGGCGGTTTCGCGTGTATGGCGAGAGAAGTCGAGTTTGGGAAAAGCAACGCTCGGATGGTGTGGAAGTGACTGGGACCGCCAACGCCAACGAGCCTCTCGTAGAATCGATTCCTCTGTATCAGAAGTATCGATGAAATAGAGCTAAATAAAAAATTAAAATACGAATAATGATGACTCTTTCTTATTCGACTTTTTCCCTAATCAAAATCAGTTTGTATACGTACAGTATGTGGTGCACATCACGTTCCAATGTGCAAAGTATTATAGTTGTTCTGCGATACAACTTGAAAAGCGCAGAACACCAATGACACATCGTATTCCCCTATTTCGTAACGGTCGTGTATCGAAGGCACCTTCATATCAAGAGGCAGTGACAGGGTGGCGTCCTCACAGCCTTTGCTGTCGTCGAAATCAATGGTGCTAACGCTGGCGGGCCTGCTACTACAGGCATCGCTTGTGTGTCTTTTACATAGAAGGCGATGAGCGAAATGCTATGAGGCCTAACGCACCGTAACTCACTCAACTCCTCGTCCATTTCTTACCGGCTTCCAACGTTAACACTTTGACCGACTTTTTCAGAGAGTTTCTCCAAAATGGCCATAGCCTGAAGACGATATGGTGTTCAGTGGAAGTCTAAGAAAACATAATATAGCGAGTCAAATCAGTTCAACGCATCGTTATTGTTCTTTGCTATCTGCATCAATCTCCCTTTCTAAACTTGTATCCCGTTTTGTGCTTACTCATAAATTGGTTTCTTTCGCGATGCCTTCCCATTCTTCACGGTCAAGTTTGGGGCTTACATTTGAAATAGCGTTACTTGTCAACATGCTTCGATATACAAATGAGGGGGCATATAGGGAAGTCGATTTTCAACCACACTTAAACCATTCTGCTTTCTTTATAACATGTGAGCCCAAGCCAATTCTTTTGTGATGGCACAAAACCCTTTGCCTTTAAGAATAATCACACAAAACGTAGATGTTGCTAGCACTGCTGACAATTGGTTTGTCAAAGTTGACAGACTCTGATAGACTCGCTAAGATTATATGTGAGTCCGCTAGCAAAAGCTGGTCCGCTTGCAAAAGTTGGACTCGCCCAAAAAAAAATAATTGGGGAAAATTTAGCGAGTAAGCTGGACTTGCTTCAGATGCTATATTATTGTCATTTTCTTTTTTTTGTGTAAAAAGTGGGGAACGAATGGGAAAAGAAACTGATCATTCTTGTGTAGAACTTTCAGCTCCCCACTCCTACTTGAAAAGTAGAAGCACGATGTCAACCCGGCGATAGCTCGAAGGCCCCCGAGGCTTTATTCACCGCATCCAATTCGTTGAGAATTTTTTTTTTCGCAGCGAATGGCACAATTTATGGGCAACGTCCGCTATTGAAGCGACTTGTGGGTCAATTTTCAAATTTCGCTTGCATCGCTTTAACCCAACAATAGAGGCGCTTCCTGTCATGACTATTCGTTGACCTCTACTCAATCCCTCAACATCTTTATCGTCAATCATCACCCAACTTATCAACCTTCATAAATGTAAATGTAATCACTCGACTTGTTCCTTGTTCCTTTCTCATCATCTGGTCTCCTTGACCTTCCGATATTCTTCTTGCCTTGACCTAGATTCATCTCTCCTCTGTCTTTGGCTTGTCTTGTTTTGTCGTCGCTTCCGGCTCACTTTATGACGCATGCCCGTAACACTAATTCAAGTGCCCGTGTATGATCCAGCCTTCGGATAAAGCTCTTCCAAGTGCATGTCAACTGCAAGATTGTAACTTGAAAAAAGATGTTGACGACCTTGTTCGACATACAATTTTTTTTTGGAACATATTGTATCCGGAGATCTTTCCAGCAAAGAAAAGGCAACTTTGGTGGATCCAAGGACTTTACGTCCTCTCCGTACTTCTCGGCAATCGGGGGCACGGCGCGTGTCCCTCCCACTGCTCAGTGAGCTCCTTTCTCCACTGCCGCAATCTCGGCATTCATTGCCGAGTTTTCCCCAGCAAAAAAGTGGAAGACCTCGTCAGCCTGCTGCACAGTTTCGACAATGCAAAGAGCCGTCAAGCGAGCGAATTCGCTTTTAAGCGTACAAGAACGGTGCACGTCTTAACCCGCGTTGGTCACGAGGAATCGCACCACGTTTTTCCTCAGTCTCCAGGAAACGCTCCTCTACGTCGCTTCTGAGGCGCTCCTTCCTTGGGAAAAGAAAATTGCAAGGGTATACGTGTAAAGAGGGATGTGATTGGTGTCTTTTGTTTGGAATCACTTTTATCAGTATTGCAGTGTAGTAAAAAAATGAATAGCTATTCTTGCACCAGTCCTGGATTGAGGTCAAATCATTTAAAACCTGTTTTGCGGTTAGACAAAAGACAGGTCCTCTACCACTGGCGATAGCCAGCTAGAAATTCGTTGGGTGAACGTACAAAGTGGATCCACAAGGCGACATAGCCATCGAAACAAAGTAATTAGACCATTTACAAGAGAAAGAAACAAGAGAAAGAAACTGTAGTGGAAATCGGATTATTATCCTACCATTATTTCTTAAGGATCTGCGAGCATGCCTACACGGTATACCATGTATCGCGCTTTCCTCTATGATAGGTAACGTCGACCGTTTTCTTAATAGCGATCACACATCTGTGTCGACTTGGGCACTTGTGGCTCGTAGAAAGGCAACGGCATTAGAGATCATATAACTAAGTCCGTGATAAGGGTTCCAGTCCCAGATTTGGTTCGTTATCTCAGTTATGTACTTTTGTGTAAGCCTTCCATGCTCTAGTCCAGTACGACTTCATATAATACGATAATACGCGTTTCTTTTTTATGATAACATATAGAGAAGCATCGCAACGTACGCTGCTATTACTTGTCCACGAATATCTGACCTGGCAAATTCATGCAAGTGGGCCGTATATGGGCTCGATATGTCCGAAGAGTAGTATCTGAATCTCATCAGCACGAAACAAGATAGCTTTCATAATAAAAGATGTTGTAGAAGGATTACAAAGCAAACAGATAATGACAGCTCATATATGCTCATAAGAATTGCAACCAACTTTTTCTGCGAGCAGCAATGCCATCGACATGGACTAAGTCTAGCTCCCATAAAATAGATATCAACAACAGCGTTACTATCGGCTGCAGACTCATTAGCAGTTATGTTGTGATCAATCTCATAACAACAACAACAGCAAAGCAATTTCCTGTGCACTTTAAGACTGATTAAAATTTATAGCATTTGGCCGTCTAAATTTCTGGATATCCCTAACCTACTACCATGCTGTAAAACGTAACAAACGGAACACCTATTACACATAAAATATTGGAGAGCTATAGTTCTACCCATGCTAGATATAAAGCGCATGTATGCAACTTGTGTTTCGTAAAATGGTAACAAAATCATTGCGAGGTACTGTACTTGACAAGGGAAAAAGACCTAGTGTGTCATTGTTGGGGATGATAACCCCAGCACACAGAACCAAGTGCACAACGAACATCAGTGTAGTACTTGCGAATGAGTATGGCGTCGACTTGATCCAAGACATACTGATATGCAGAAGGAAAATCTCAGAGCGCTCTTTGTTGAAATCATTATCTTACAAAGCCATATGCAGTTTTTTCTTTACTGACAATAGATCGGCCTCCAGAAGTAGGCGCCCGCGACAGCCAAAAAAATAAAAAGCGGACAGTGCAACGGTACGATTGATGTGAGCCAATTTCGATAACCAGGGCAACGGTCACTTACCAACAAATGCAAAGCGAGCAGTGCCACTTTAGCAGTTCAGAAACCTCACACTGGGCTTGCCCCGCTTTATGGCTTCAAATGGCCCACCTTACCCCATTTCGGCGCTTAAAGCTCCAAAGTTATGTGTGTGTTCTTTAACAAAAGTTGAAGATCGTTATAAAGCGACACACTATAGTTTGTGGGGCTGAAAGGTGTTCAGGACAAAGGGCTACTAACAGCCTCTCCCGGGTTGACAGGGTTACCAGAAATACTTTTTTAAATATATACGGAAAGACAGGGAAAAAAAATAATCAACAAACAGAAAAAAAAATATAGGTGTGGGTGTGTGGGTGTCTCTGCAGCCATCGAAATTGGAACCCCACCTGCTTCTTTCCTATTGCCTCCGGTACGTCTTCTTTCTAAAAGAGGTCAGAAGAGCTTCCACCGAGTCAACACGGTAAACCTATCGCAAAAGAGTTCTCTTAGACAAGGTTCCAACAAAATATAAAATAAAGAGAGCGAGAGAGAAAAAAAAACTTTTTCTTTCCTTTGTTCGTTTTTTCCTTTTTCCCCCACCCCCTCACCTCTACACACCTCTACACATACCACAACGCAATGCTCTCGAGATTCCAAACTCGTGCTTCCACATCGCTTGCTTCCATGGCAACCCGTCCTGCAAGCAAGCGTTTCTACGCTGCTGCTGCCGCTGCCGGTGAAGAAAAGGTACGTTTGCTGGACCTAAGTGGGTTGAGAACGAAAGGAAAAAAAACTGACGCCAAAACGTCTTGTACAGCTCAAGAAGACTGCATTGTATGATTACCACGTGCAACAGGGCGGCAAGATGGTCCCATTTGCTGGTTACTATATGCCTGTCCAATACAAGAACATGGGCATGTTGGCCTCACACTTGCATACCCGTGAAAAGGCCTCCATCTTTGACGTCTCTCACATGCTCCAGACTCGGTAAGGATGATCCTCCCTCGCTTTTTATTTCATGGTAAATAATACTCAACAAGAAAAACTCGTTGTTATCCTTAGCGTTGTTGGTAACGACCGCAAAAAGTTCTTTGAAACGCTGGTTGTGGCTGATCTGCACGAGATGCCCGTGGGTCAAGGCTCCTTGTCTGTCTTTACGAACGAGCAGGGTGGTATCATTGATGACACCATCATCATGCAACAAGACAAGTGTCTGTACGTTGTGTCGAATGCCGCATGTGCTGACAAGGACTTGGCCCATATCCGCAAGCATCTTGCTGACTTTCAAAACAAGGGTGGTGATGTGGATCTTCAAATCATTGACGATCACTCGTTGATTGCTATCCAGGGCCCTAGCGCTGCTGCTGCTTTGGAACAGTTGGTCGGTAAGAGCCTGAATGATTTCGGCTTCATGAACGGCCGCTTCATGGATGTCGCTGGTATTCCTTGCCACATTGCTCGTTCCGGCTATACTGGTGAAGATGGTTTTGAGGTAAATTCAAAAGAGAGGAATAACGTGAATTTGAATATGCACACGGGATTACTCACACTGTTATCTTTTTGCGAAAAAAAGCTGTCCATCCCTACCTCAGAAGCTGTTTCCATTACCCAAAAGTTGATGGCCAACCCCGACGTTGAATTGGCCGGTCTTGGTGCCCGTGACAGTCTGCGTCTTGAAGCTGGTTTGTGTCTCTACGGCAACGATTTGGATCACACCACAACTCCCATTGAAGCCGGTTTGACCTGGACGATCCCCAAGTCGCGTCGTGAGACCGGTGGTTTCTTGGGCGCCGAAAAGATCCTTTCGCAGATCAAGGATAAGAAGAGTATCCAGCGCCGTCGTGTTGGCTTGATCGTCAATGGTGCTCCTGCCCGTGAGGGTGCTGAGATTCTGGACAAGGAAGGTCAGGTCATTGGTAAGATCACCTCGGGCTGCCCCTCGCCTTGCTTGAAGAAGAACATTGCCATGGGCTATGTCAAGAGCGGTCAGCACAAGCGTGGCACTGAATTGAGCGTCAAGGTCCGAAACAAGATCCAGGATGCCGTCATCACCAAGATGCCTTTTGTCGAGGCTAACTACCACAAATAAGTTACTGCCATCACAACTTTTTCGCAACACATCATCCTCTTCATCATTCTCAATCATATACGCTACCCCTTCGTTCTTTTCCCACTACTTGTCATGTATAAAATTCCTGTTGATTTTTCTTTTTTAATGTCATATACATAAACAAATGTTCTGTGCTTGCTTCGTCACGACTTGTGACAAGTCCATAATACAATTGCTTTACACGTCACTTGGTATACAATCAAGCAGAAATTACAAGCGATAAAAAGAATGGTATATGAGAAGAGAGTCAGATAGCGATTGCATGTCTAGGTTCTTGGAACGAATCGAATCTCGAACGGACTCGGGCCTGTCACCAGTGGACCACTTTTGGGAGGAACCGAGTCAAGGCCGAGAGGTACCTCTTTGCCAGCGGCATCTAATGCTGGTTTGACATCGCACCTGCGAAGCACACGGACCCAGATGTTGAACATTTGTGTTTCAGCCTATCATATGCACATCAATTTTAGTATATAATGGTACAAAAAGTATGTAGATGAGAAAAGCGATATGCCGCCACTGCTTACCAAGTGCGTACCAACACAAACACGTCTTGGATAAAGAGGAGAGATGGACGTTATCGTGAGTGTATAGACATTAAAGCGAAGCGATAAGAAAGGAAATATGTAAATCTTACCGGCCCCATCCAAAGTTAAATTGATCTCGATCCTCGGCTTTTCTATTAGCAGAAGCAGCCATGGTTTCACTTGACTTGTCGAGGAAGCGTTCAGGTTGGAATTCTTCCGGGTTAGGGTATTTGATAGGATCAAGATGCGTGTCACCCATATTGGACATCATCATCGTACCCTTTGGGATGAGCGTACCTCGCCATTCTACTAAGAAATAGAAACCATTTCAGATTCAAGAAAACACTGCCTGAAAAGTTTTTGCTAAAAATGCTTACGATCTTCAGCCGTAACATGGATGAGCCCAAAATCTGTAGTGGGTCGAAGTCGCATGCATTCGCGCTGTGTAGCAACCAGGTATGGAACTTGAGCGCGTTCCCAAAAATAAGGTAGACGACCGTTCTTTTCTACAAAAGCATCAAGTTCATGTTGGATCTTCTTTTGAACGACAGGCTTGGTGGATATTTGGAGGAACCCCCATGCCAACGTGACGGCCGTAGTATCTGTTCCAGCGACGACCATATCAACTACAATTTTGATCGAATAAAATGTGAGCATGGTCACCTATCAACGAGAGAACAACTACTACTTACGTATAACACGCATCATATTGTTGTAATATCCCTTTTTGCCTCCATTCATTTCGTTGTTCAATGCCTTGGTCATATTAGGCTCCTCCGAGTCCAATGCTCTTTCAATCATTTCTGTAAGAAAAGGTTTGCAATCGTTTTCCAGATACAAATATCCCTTCTTGGTTAGACCCACAAACGGATCTAGAATCCGCAAAACCGGGATAAACCGACTAGCAATATTTCGGAAATCTGTAAGGCCCATAAATCTCTTGATAATCAAGACTGACTGCTTGTAAATTGGGTCCTCAATCGATGTCGTGCGTACACCAAAGATGGCAAGGAGAATAAAGTTGAGAGAGACTCGCATAAGCCGTGCCATGGGGTCCATGTTTTCTCCGGTGGCAACAGTGTCAACAAATTCGTCTGCTTCTTTTAAAAGTAGAGGGCTGGCTTCTTTGAGCTCTCTTGGTCCTAAAGCATTTAGCACTATATGTATATATTGCATTAATACTATGTTGTGCGCTCATTCTATATCAAAAATGATACTAGTACTAGCTAGCTGTATGACTGGAGTTACCTGACTTGCGTGCCCTGCTCCAATGTTTGTTTTCTGGCTGCGCTGACGCAATGCCACTTTGCACGTACAACGCGAGGAAATGATATCATGTCCACACAATTGTTGATGTTAACTACTGTTTTTTCTTATACATAGCCACTAACAACGGACAACCACACTTACATGTGACCATTGGAATTGAAATCATGAGGAAGTGTTGGAGGTGCGCGATTTGAAGTGATTTTTCCATTGGTGACGAATAGCTCGTGTGTCATAATAGGATCTGCAATGACAATAACGTTCCTGACACCCATCTTGAAATAGAAAATCGGACCTAGAGAAAAAGTGCCCTAATTTAGTTTCTGGTGTAATGTGAAAGGGATAAATTATTATATCCGAGATCTTGTTGCATCGCACTTACCAAGTTCTTTGTGCCATTCATGGCATTTTTGCACTCTGTTCGCACCGATAGTCAGCATGTGGCCTAGATAGAGACCACATATACACAGTTATATCAGAGCAGGAAGCGAGAAAAGGCGTTATTATTACCCTCAATCATACAAGCAAAGATAGTGTGGTTTCTTTTTCCAAGGACAAGAACATACCAACGAGTGGATGGCAACCTTTGGGTGTTGGAATTCCTTGGAAAGGAATGGGCTTGTTTTTCGATGAAGAAGCGTGCTGCCAAGCAACTGTTGTCGCGAGTACCACAGCTGCAACGGCTGCAGCGCCTGCAGCGGTAGCCGTTGTAGAGTCTTCGAGACCAGTGGTGTCGCGTATCCACGAAAGCACTCGTTGGGCAAATTTATTGTTGTAGAAGCTCGATATCGTCAATTGTTGAGACATGCTGCTGGTTGTTGTTTGCTGTTTTACGTGGGGTTGCTTGTTTTCTTCACTTTCGGTATCTCGTAGTCGTTTGCCGCGCACCCAACCACTGGATTATTTCAGCAGTAACAACAGCGATCAGGCCCCATCCTCAATTTATATACACAACCTCTATATTCGGTGGAACACCGCCGTCTTCCAATAAAAAACGCTGTTCGGGGAGTGGAAACTCTGTGATACCATTACCACACACATACTTTGCTCTTCAGTTGTGTACCCTTTCTCATCTTCTATTCCATCATCAGCACAAGATTTTAGCACGCACTATTTGAAGCCGGGTAATATTTTTTTCAAAACCAGAAAGAGCGAGAGAAAAAAAAACTTTGAAATGTACAAGTGGGTTGTTTTTACCGCGCGTTCTTACCAGCAGAACAACAGGAAATAGGAACTCAAGGTATCAAGCCAAGTGGCATTGCAAAGTCAAGTAATTTGCAAATATACAGCATGCATTTTTAGTCAACCTTTATAATTTTCTGTTTTTCTTTTCTATGACTATGTATATCCAGTAGTCGTTACTGTAAGACTAATACCAAAATACAATTCACAGAATTTCCTGCTGTTGATGATGCCGTTATTAACCAACAGCTAAAGCGGCGATATGAAGCAATACCATCTTCTATTAGAAATTGCAATTGCACGTAGAATGTGAAATATACCGAAAAAGGCGAAAAAGCGGTGAAATGATCAAAGCACAATCGTTCTAAATAGAATCACGAGAATGCAGAAAACAACTTGATCCGCATGAATCGCGTAAAGTACGCATATATGCAGAAAAAGACTTTTGTTATTGCTTCCTTCTACTGCATGTAATATTAGCAAATTCTATTGCTCATGGTGAGCTTAAGCTTAGTCCGGCTCATAGAGTCTGTTGTGATACCCGTCCATACCTCTTTTGGGTAATATTTTATCCACTTTTTTTTTCCTCAGCGTTTACTACCATTCAATTCACGCAACAACGCACCACTGATTTAGCATTAAAAAGGAATGCAAGAACCGACCTTACCGCCAGCCACCAACGCAACAATCTTCACGACACTTACTACCTATAACAAGACTCAGGATTAAATCTACTACGTGCTACGTATCCAACAGCAACAGCAGCAGCAAAATTTTTCGATACAATCGGAACCCGAGCGCAATCGGAAAATGGGTGCAAAATGTTGGAAAAACTACTTACCCTTGGAAGAAAAAAGAAAACGAAACATTGTACTCAAAAACAATAACGATTATGGCGGCATCAAGAGTCTTCTCGTGTATACAAAAAACCGCCACCAGCGGGTCCACCGTTTCGACACAAACATATCCCTTTAAGAATAACAGGGATGATGCAATTGTAACACAACTAGCACCAGGACAAATCACCACCATGACCGTTAATAATTGCTCTACTGGTACATATTGGACGGCAGTATGCTCATACTGCGAATTAAAACGTATTTCTACAAAACGGAAGGTATGTACATCGTCATTATATATGAGACCTTGTGCAAGATATACCTAAGTTTAACACTGGCGTTGACAGTAAACGGAAGGTGATACCACCGTAAGCGCGTAGAGTATTTATTAGTTTTCGAACATTCTATTGCTACCATTACAGCTGATTCTCTTTCGCTGCAGTCCTAGCAAAGCATTCTCGGTATGTATCTGACTTTATGCAGCATCTATCAAATCATTACTGCAGTACAAATGGTATGATAACCGTATTTGGTAATTTATCTTCCCAGACCTCTTCGCCGCACGCTACCAACGACTTCCTAAAGCTCCAATGCATCCAATCGTTCTAACCTGACATACTCCTTGACTCATGTGTTATACGCTATAGATTTAACTTTCACAGTCTCTGCATCTGTCATCAGTTTATACGTTGAGCAACACACCATTCTTCAATGATTCATTGAACGCGTGTCTTGAACTTGTACCATAGTCCATTATCAAATGGGTATCGTTGGTTTCAATCATCTTGCTTGCAAACCGCTTTTCCGATATAAACCATATCAACATTTTCTCGACAAGAATTAGTCAGGCGTTAGAATTTGCTTCTAGTAGTGGCAGAACAAAGCAAATCATTAGGATGAAAATGACCAATCGTATTTATTAAAGCATGGTGCAGCTTTTGCTAGTCGCACTAAACGCTCGTATATATAAAAGCTCATTACCATACTAAAGTCATACTAGTATAAATGTAGTTGTATACAGTACAATGTTAAAATACTTTACCTCGTTAAGATGATTCCAATCCACTGGCTTATCGCGATGTTCTCGTGCTTGTTGAAGAAGTTTAGGGTTTCCGACATGTGTGTTGCTAGCCGATGAAACGCCACACATTGTACTTTTTCTAACAAGAAACGAACGAAAAATTTAAAATATAATTAGCTTCGTCAAGCTATACTAGTTCAGGTAGCTCCTTACACATATCCCACAGGGTTTTGCGTCATGTAACTGTAGGCTCAATAATATCAACACTTCTTCCACATTCATCGGCTGCTGATTTTTCTCAAGTTTTGGGAGCGAGAAGTTCGTGCTTTCGTATCTACTAATTAAAAAATCAGTTTTGACATCAATTTAAAGGAGCATAAATTTTGTGAGGATAGACTGTGAGCTATCTACGTAATGTCGTTCAAAAGATTGCCAGTCTCAAACGCCTTGCCTTTTCAAGAGGGGTTTTTTAATTGGTAGGGGCGAGTATCTGTCGCTATTATTGTTCTTTCATATTACGTACCAACTTACAACGCGTGGATCCGCCACCATGTTTTCTCAGCTACAGAATTTCTTTAAATCTTTGGTTTCTGGCGTCAAGAACAAATCTACTACACATACCAGTACCACGGGTATTCTTTTTAGTTTTCTTTCTTAGTCTTACATTTCTGTTAAAGTTGCGCCTTGTGTCTTGTTAACTCAAAAATATAAACTCTGTTAGATGGAGTACAAGTAGATCCCGATAACAACGATTCCCCTCGGACTTTGGCATCAGCCCTTCCTGTCCAAGTTCAAAAACCAAGCCAGTCTTTCGAAATTGCTACTACTGCTGCTACTGACGGTGACAGCAAAAGAGGAATAAAGCGTACGCGAACAAGGCTGTACGAAAGCATAAAGTCAGAAGGTAAGTAACAATACAACTGTTGCCTTGATTTCAGAGCGAATAATAAAAAAACTTGAAAGTACTGACAGAATGCAACTATTTAGAGAGTGAAAGGGATGGTGAAAACGCCTCTGCTGGACAATCAATCGCTAGTCGGCTACGAAGTCGTCGTAAGTTTGACAATAATGCAGATGTAAAACAAGAACAAGCAACGCGATCAAGTGAAGCATACGTTAAAGAAGAAAGCCAAGGTATTATATAACAATATCAACTGCAAGAAAAGCTCTCTCGAGGCTTACCTATGGCGTTGTACAGGAGAAGAAGGACTCCCAGATACCGACACAACGCGATCAAGTGAAGCATACGTTAAAGAAGAAAGCCAAGGTATTATATAACAATATCAACTGCAAGAAAAGCTCTCTCGAGGCTTACCTATGGCGTTGTACAGGAGAAGAAGGACTCCCAGATACCGACACAACGCGTTACTATTGTCCGTACAAGTCTTGCACTTCTTCATCCATAAGAGTAAAATTTATCTATCGGCATATCCGAACGAAGCATGATGCTGATTTTCCATCAATGAGAAATAACGGATATGATACTCGTGTATATGAACCTAAAGCTGGAACAAGTATATCATTTGATGGTTAGTAAACATGAGACGTCTACTTTAAGCAGTCGTGTTATTCAACTTGGCAAGTCAGCAAATGGCATTTTCAGGTCTTTCTCTTATACTGACTAACATTTTTTAATGTTGATATACATGAAGTTGCATCCCGGAATCTACTGGACGAAGGAGAGCAAATTGTAATTGTGAATCGCAAACTTGACGGTTCACGCTTTTATTGTCCGTACAAGTCTTGCACTTCTACATCCATAGGAGTAAGCCCTATCTATCGGCACATCCGAGAAAAGCATGATGCTGATCTTCCACTAATGGGATCCTGGGGACCTGGTACTCGTGTATTGAAAACTAAAGCTGGAACAAGAATATTATTTGATGGTAAGTGAACAGGAGACGTGTTCTTGAGCAGTCGTGTTTTCTACTTGACACGACAGCAAATGTCATATTTCAGGTCTTTCTCTTATATGACTAACAATTTTTTAATGTTGATATACATGTAGTTGCATCCCGGAATCTACTGGACGAAGGAGAGCAAATTGTATGTGAGAAAGGCACACATGACAGTCCACGCTTTTATTGTCCGTACAAGTCTTGCACTTCTTCATTTATAGGAACACGCTCTATCTATCGGCACATCCGACGACAGCATGATGCTGATTTTCCATCAATGGGATCCTGCGGACCTCATACTCGTGTATTGAAAACTAAAGCTGGAACTAGAATATCATTTGATGGTAAGTGAACAGGAGACGTATTCTTGAGCAGTCGTGTTATTCAACTTGACAAGTCAGCAAATGGCATATTTCAGGTCTTCCTCTTATACTGGCTAACATTTTTTAATGTTGATATACATGTAGTTGCATCCCGGAATCTACTGGACGAAGGAGAGCAAATTGTATTTGATTATCGCAAACCTGACGGTCCACGCTTCTATTGTCCGTACAAGTCTTGCACTACTTCAGCCGGAGAATTAGCCCATATCTATCGGCACATCCGACAGAAGCATGATGCTGATCTTCCATCGATGAAATTGTGCGGACCTCAAGCTCATGTATCGAAAACTAAAGCTGGAACAAGAATATTATTTGATGGTAAGTAAATACACAACTGGTTGTATACAACTGCATCTTCTCTTAGTGTTATGTTAGAAGGTGAAACAACTTTAATATCCATACTAACAGGGATCTTTCATACATGTACATAGTTGCATCTAAAGATCTATTGGAAACAGGAGAAAAATTACAAATCTGTGAAGAGCGACTCCCTCCATCATCAGGTACTGTGAGTGGTGTTGGTTTACGAATGATTGTCTGTGGAAAACCATACCTTATCTATTATCAATCAAATAACATTAATTCTAAATTATCACCGACACTAGATCTAGTGTTTGGGCCAATTTGGCACTAGATCTAGTGCCGTGTTTAACCTTTTAGTCTCGCCCAATAAAATTGCGCATGACATCAGCAAAACGCGAAAAGACAGTAAAGCATCATAAAAATTATTCTGCAGCAAAAAAAATAATAATATATACCTAGTACATTCATTCCCAATTCGAGTCAGAAGATCATGCCTAAAGACATTTCACATCACGCTCCGGGATCATTCGTGTCCTTCTTACCAAGAGCGCTTCAGACGACCAGGGACGCCATAGCGTTAAGAACAACGAAGACAAACAAGGAACGCTTGTATGGAACGGTCTCCTCGGTTGAAACCATCGGTAACTCGGTAGTGCTCGGCATTCGCGTTGTTGGTTTTGAGGGGTCAATCTACAAGATCAAGGCAGGCAATGTCAAACGCGAAAAAAACCTGTCTGGGGAGGATGAAAGTCCTGCTGGTATTGTTTCTGGGATGCAAACAGGAGATACAAGTGCCCTTGTGGATTTGGGTATTGACTATGAGTCGGCAAGTGATGAATCCAGTGACGAAGGAGAATTGGTTGAAGAGCACTTGCAGGAAGGGGACATTGAAGAAGAAGAAGAAACTTGGATCAGTGAACGTGTAACGATCGACAGGCGTTCTACAAGGCCGTCATACAAGGAAGCTGCCATTTTGAATGTGGCCAATTCCATTTTTTTGAGACGCCTCTTACTTTCTTTAAGAGGTTCCTCCCAATGATGTATATCACGACACATTGCATTCCTGCTATCAATGCCCTAGCCGCTGCCATAGATGTCCCAAACTGGCGCGAACTTACCCCCACTGAGTACTTCCTTTGGATTGGACTTTGGAGTATTATGGCATGGCTCCCCTGCAGTGACAGAGGCTTTTATTGGAGAACACATCCAACGATATTGGTTCCTTCTCCCCTTAACTTTGGACGATGGAAGTCAAGACGCCGATTTGACGCCATTCTTGCAGCTCATACACTAGAGCATCCAAATATTATGCAACCAAGACGAGCCGAAGATCCTTTGATCCCTATTCGTGCTTTTGTTGACGAGTACAATGCAAATCTGGTTGATGCCTTGGAACCTGGAAGCGTGTTGACAATTGATGAGAGTATGAACCAATGGGTTGGAAAGGTTTCGCGAATGCCCAATGTCAAGAAGATCATTTGCAAACCCCATCCTGTTGGTCAAGAATTTAAAACATTTGCTGATGCAACGACCAACATCATTATTCGTCTCGATATCAGCGAGAAAACATTTCAGTGAAAAAGTTTGGTGATCAAGGTGCTGTCATCTCCACCGTTTTGCGCCTCTCCGAACCTTGGTTTGCGACTGGAAGAACAGTTCTTGCTGATTCCTGGTTTGGAACTCCTGCATGTGCCGCTGTTCTTTATCAGCATGGGCTCTACAGCATTATGGCAATGAAGAAGAAAGCACACTGGCCGCGCAATGTACCTCGTGATTTGCTGTCTCGACTTGGGGAGGAAGCTGGATCTTCAATTTCGCTGGTTGGAACCATCGATGAGGTCCTCATGGCCATCTGTATTCTTCGTGACAGAATACCGCAGTGCGTCATCAGCACTTGCAGCACAACAACACTGGGCTCAGAGGTGACTCATGTCACGAAGCGGGGAAACCAAAGCTATCTTGCGACCTTCCGTCGTCCAACTGTTTTTGACGACTACAATGCTGGAAAAGGCGCAGTAGATATCAACAACAACAACCGCGATAACATGACATCATACCATGATATTATTCGCACACGTTCCTGGGAGATCCGAGCCTTTTCTTTCTTTTTGGCTTTAGCAGAAGCAAATGCTTTTCTTGCATGGCGATCATTCGGACCACCAGAGAAAAGAAACATTACTCACTTCGCATTTTGAGAGCAGCTCTGTACTGAGATGATATTCGAATATCAATCAAGTGTAGAAATGGCAACGGAAACCGAAGAACAACAGCAGCAGGACCAAGAGAATGAGATACATGATCTGTTATCCATTGGCCAACGCGTTGTCAAGGCAACTGGCAAAAAGTATTCTCGCCAGTGGATTTGCCAAATCTGCAAAGCAAAAAGCACGTTGTACTGCAGCTGCACTCCGACAAAGGGTCTATGCAAAGGTAGTTGTTATAGAATTCACCTACAAGCAAAACAAACACAACATCAATGATAAAACTTATATAGAATAATTTTAATTGTGCCATTCTACTATTCTATCATCTTTTTTCACCTCTTTTCTTTTGTTTTGAAGAATATAAACAGTCCCGAAGTAGACACTAGATCTAGTGTCTAAAATTATTACCTGTTGCCGACCGAATTGAAAGATGTATAACAAAGCAAACAATACGTTCTGAAACATATCCAATGACATGTAGGTATATCATGGCCCTGTGCTGTATATAATGAAATATTAGGAAAAAATAGCGAAAACTGCAACTGCTATAAACACTCAAAGGAGACACTAGATCTAGTGTTCGGGGTGCAAAGATACTCAACACAGTGTAACTTTATATTGTCTGTGCAAAGGATGCATGAGAGTGGACCTACACGAGATTTGAAGTTTTCCAACACATTCGTAACCTGCGGTGCTCAATACTCTACACCATCCTCAATGCCAATATAAGTTTAGGACGCACTTTGGAAGGAGAATTAATATCTACCGATTCAGTGACACTTGAACAGAAGAAACAGCGTGTAACCAGCTCAAGGAAGGGAAAAATTTACGTGGAACATAATCAACGCACACACAAAAATAAATCCTGCAAATTCTCATTGCGAAAGCATACCATGTCAATTATATGATTTAAAGCCATAAATTGCTCTGATAAATACATAAGCTGTTAGTACATACTCTTTGGGACAAGATATTTAAGCGAAAAACGTATGGCATAATTCCACATATTCTGCCTTTTATTATCTTTTTTTTTGTAAAAGTAATATATAAAAAGAGGATGAATATGTAATAATTAAAGTAGTAGTAAGTGTCATTAATCAACAAGTCGCTTGAGATCAGCCAGCCGTTGTCGCAACGTTTCCCGGTCTTGTTCGGAATCCGTATATTTGGACTTCATATCGGCCACCATATTCTCCATGTACGCCATCTGATCTTCCAATGCGGAATTCCTTTGCACGAGAGCCGCGTTCTTTGTGACCAATATTTCCATTTCCTCCTTCATCCTTGCCTCGATTTCTTGCGGCAACGTTTCCAACGCCCGTTTCAGATCCTGAGACTGTTGTCTGAGCGCATCATTTTCATCATTGATACGAGCAATATCCATCTTGGACTCGATCAATTCGTTTGCGACCTGCGCATGTTCCTTACTCAATTCCGTCACATTGCCTTCCAAATTCCGTATCGTTTCAGTCAATGCCTTGTTTTGCTTTTTCAGAGTCTCAATGGCTTCGGCTTCGTTATGTGCTCGTGCTGCTTCTACACGGTATTCTTTGGCCAGTCGATTAAAACGTTTGGGTGCAATTTTGATCAAGTAGGCGTCGCGGATCAATTCGCTTGCATCGCTGTTGTAAGCTTCCAGCATGTCGCTTTTCAAGTAATTGACCAGATTGTCAAATTCGAGGCTAAGGATGGTGGGTTGGTTCTTTTGGATCAGGGCCAGGCCAAAGCTGTACAGTGGCTCAAGGTTGGTGCTGTTGCCCCCTTCGGCGAGTATAATGTCGTATATCCGAAATACAAAGTCGATTGGGAATTTATAGGCAAATAGGGTCATGAACCATTGCGAGGCGTACATGGATGATTTGATGCCTTGGGTTTCAAAGTGTCGATGGACGTGTGGCAAGTGGTCTTGCAAGACGCCATCAAACTGGTATAGTCGTTGGTGGAGTAAGTCGAGTTGTGGCATGAAATGGCCTCGTAGACTGTATTGATTCATCAGTTGCACCAAAACGCAGAATGCTTCTTCTTCAGGCATCTATCATTGACAGCGAATTTTAATTAGGTTTTTCACAATCACTCGGTTTTTTCCCCGAGCCCAATTTCCATTCTACATTGTAAAAGCTTACATTGAGCAAGAGTGGACCAGCAATGAACGAAATCCCTTGGCAATAGCCAACCTCATTGTCATGGATCGAATATGCCTTGACGACGTTGAACAAAGCTTCCTGACCTGCTTTACTCTGGAAATAGGGATGGTTCGGAAACGTCCGAGGCAAATCTCGTGTAATGGCCTTTTCATAAACTGATTCTTCATTGATCAATTGCAGATATCGTTCTTCGAGGTCGGGATCCTTGGATCTGGCAAAGAGTTGCCAAATCATGCCTCGTAAAGAGGGAGGAACGCCTCGTTGAATATGTGCAGAAAGCGTTTGTCGTTCTGATTTCGCTACACTGTCAAAGTCCGAAATTACCTTGGACCAGAATTCTGTGTTTTTTTAAGGTTAGTCGATTTGATACACATGTAGTATTTGGGCCCGACTCAATCCGTAGATCCGTTGATTGTTCTCTTCTTACCCCAGTCGATTTCTTCTTTGCTGCTGCTGTCATCATCATCATCATCATCATCATCATCGTTGTTTGTTTGATGGTCATTATTGCTGCTGCTACTAGTGTCGTTCTGATCTTCTTCTTGCAGTGGCGGTGGTGCAGCGGTCGTGGATGGTGCTTGTTGATGTTGAGTGGCGGGTATGTCTTTTTGTGTTACAGTGTATCCTCTGCCCCGTCGTCTTGATTGTGGAGGCGCTGTCTTTTGTTGTTGCTGTTGTTCTTCTTCTTCCTCTTGTTCTTTGATGGATTGCGGTTGTGGTGGAGTAGTGGCTACGGTTTCAAGGGATGCTTCTTCGGCGGTGGACTGTGCGTCCCAAGACTTGGTGTCGTCGGTTGAAGAGCTATGTACGGATGGAGAGGTAGTTTTTGTGATGGAATCATGATGTGTAGTTGTAGCGGATGTATCATTAATGGGGGCAGTAGCAGTGGCGGATTGTTGTTGTTGTTCAGTGGCGGTCATGGCGTTGATATGTATTATAATTTAGAGAAAACCAAGAAAGATTATGAGCCAAATAAGATAATAAAAACAAAGGGACGGATATGGGACGAAATTTTTATAAAAGAAAGAAAAGAAAGGGGTGGTTGAAGAGTTGTGGAAGGAAAAAAAAGTGCGAAAGGAGAAAAAGAGGAGAGAGAGAGGGGGGTTGTCTTTTTTGCACCCAACGAAATAATTCATCTTGGGTCGGGTTTCACTGGCAACAAGCCCAAAAACTCGCTTGATATGATGCTGTTGCTGTCTCGCCGATGGAGAGTAATAGTTGTAAATGTCTCTATTATGCTCGTCCTTCCATTCGCCTCCTTCTCTTTATTTCTCGCAGATACCTCCTTTCTGATTATCCAAGGTCAGTAATGTCTTTTGCAGATATACTTGCTCCTTATGATCTATCTATCCTTCATAAGCACTATCATAAAAATAAATACAAGTGACATGTGCTTTGGGACATTTATTGTAAGCACAGAGTGGCGGCGGGATGAATGCTAAAATTAGAAAACGAGGCTAACCCATAATGATACACTACACGGTCGGAAGTTCATTCGCCGACACACAATTGCTTTATGATTACCAGGAACCCCATTATATTAACCTACTTATTACCTCGGATAGTTTATGATCTGTACACAATCTGGCACATGGTGCTTGTCAAACATTTCACCTACACCTCGTGTTGCTGTTTTACTTTTGGTGGTAATCTGATGATGGTGATGAAGATATCAGAGAACTTGTCGTATTAAGTAGGGGAAAACAGTTCGAGTAATATAGGGTTGTCCATGGCAACAACTTGTCCATTTGTGCGTTGTCATGGTCGTAGATTGTTGCTATAGCAACCCTCATAGTAAATATGGTAGCATGAATTCATGTTTGCCTGTCTGTCACGCTCCCTTCTGTAAATATAACTCAGCAAGCAACTATATAGTAGGTATATTCTTGCCACCATCAATGATACTCTAAAACTGCTGTGTTTGTTTGCCATATGGAAAAAGGGGGATTCTCGTTCTTTTCCCAAATAAAACTGAAAGAAGCTCTGCTGCTTTTGAAACGTTTTGTATGATTTCTAATGCCATGAAATGATTTGTAGCGGTGACCCAGTACTGAGAGACTAGATTAAAGCTCATGATGATACGGAAAATGTTTATAGGTACAGCTAAAAGCACCTCCATTGCATTGTATGCGTGCCGTTGCGTGTCAAAACGGCATAATGTAGTTTGTGTATGTGAAAGGTAGCATTGAACTCAATTAAATAGCATAATACTCTTTGAAAAAGCTGTCAGATTATCTTTATCTTTCCAGCTCCTGCCGATTGAAAAATTGCATAGTAGAGGGATGATGTTGAGGTTATACATTTAACAACGCATATGCTAGCATGACACTACATACTTTCTGATGCACCCAAAGAACACAACTTCAGACAATAAATCAGTGCGCCATAAAAAATAATCAGTGCGATTGTTTTAACATAGAATGACATCATGCTTATTGAGAATTATATACTATATGGGGTGAGTCTGTATACAAGGTATCTAAGAAAACTGGCTTAAATGTCCGGGGGAGTGTGTATCTTTCGCTTGTGCGTCAATACGGCAATGACAGTGGTATATACAACGATGATTAAAATGCAAACGACCGGGACGATAAATCGAAACAGTTGGACTGGAGAACATGATAATCTTTACTCGAGAAGAGGAGAAAAAAAAACAGATAAATATTTTATGCAAACTGTCCCATTTATATCGCAAACGCTCTTCTGTCGACCTCTCTATCTCAGTTTTTTCCTTACCTGCTAAATGAAAGTGTACTTGATTTCCTGTTATGTTCAGGCATATAATACGGATCTTCATCGTCGTCATCGCTTTCAACATAAGTTGCAAATTCATGAGCTTCTTCTTCGTCTTCTTCGTCATTGCCATCATTCGTTTGTACCGTTGTTGTTGTCGTTGCACTGTAATTAGTTTTACTACTATTTTCTCGTAATGCGATCGGACCATAATCATTGTCGACATTGTTGCCTCTTGGCATTTTGTAAAAGTTATGCAAAACGAGAAGAAGGAGAGAGAAAGTGTGAAACTCCGGTTTGCCCTTGCGTGTGAACTTTCGACGCTTCAACCATGATGCATTGAGTCGTCACGCGTTCAAATAAAACCTACTTTTTTTTAAAACCTTGAACGTTTACTTTTTCTTAATTACTCGTATATAGATAATATATAAAACCATGTCTGGCCATGTTATTTATGCATGCGCCTGCCTTAATATCAAATTGCACTTGGCCAACAAGTATCTATTGGATAACCATCTCAACGATCGAGCCGAATGCTTTGTTCGACTAGACGATCCTTCAGTAGAAGGTCGACAATTCGAGCTTGGCATGGGTGGTGTTCAAGCTGTAAGTTGTTACAAGCATATATGTATAATTGATTGGGTCTTTATTGTTTGAAGAGAAGAGAGAGAAAAAGAAAGAATAACGTGAGGGTTCGAGATTGTTTGTTAATAAACTGACATTTCAAAAAAAGGAATACAACACACTCATGGCAACTCGGTTGATTGGCAACAGCCTTTCATGGATGACAGTTAGTTGTCTCAATTGCTCGACGGGCAATGTCTATTCAATACAGCGAGCTACGAATACCAATGAGCGTTTCACAGAAACGTATCCTGTCGATATTCACTCTCTTTACCGAACTGGCGATCGCGTTATTATCCATGATAACACTGTGGTATGTCTTTTACAACAAGTGCTTCTATGAGCAACAACAACAAGGTCAAAGGTAAACACATAGTTGCTAATAACGTTTACTCTTCTTTTTTTTTTTTGAAAAAAAAAAAGTACGGTAGCGACATTGACAAGATCAAGCAACGACAAAATTATTCACACAACTTCCATATCGTTCTCAATACCGATACAGCAGTATTACAAAAGAAAAACGCAGAATTTGATGGTATGATATATTTGGCAAAGGCGAGAAAATGTATGTGTTGTTGCTAATTCTATAATCCTTTAACATTTCAGACAATAGTAATAGTAGCAACAACATACCAGGCGATCTGTATTCACAACACGGTCAACTTCGACAGATTCTGGAAAAGACGTTAAAACAAATGCAACAGTCGACCGAGCAACGGATTAAACAGTTCCAACAAGACCAACTCCAGCAATTGGAACGTGCATCAACACAAGCCAAATGCGACCGTAATTTCTTATGGCAAAAGATTTTAGAAGCTTCGAGAACGGTGAATGAAGAAAAGCAGTTGAGAAAGCGATTATCTGATCCAGAGCATCAGCTAGCAGAAATCGGTGGTCACGTTCGGTTCGCCGAACAACAACAACAAGCACCCTCTTCCTCGACAGCAAGCTCGTATAATGCAACACGACCTATAGTACAGCATCATCAACAACAACAACCGATTTCGACATCTTCGTTTATTACGCCTGCATCATTAAGGAAATCGAGTTTTGCATTGGATGAACGTGTCATTACGTCAAGTTGGAAGAATACGAGTCATCTTCATCATCAGGGTTTAGGAGGAGGATTAGGTCAAGGTGAGTAAGAAGACGGTTAATCCGAAAAAAAGAGGGCTCATATGGGCGATATAAAAGATGCTGGGTGATCGTTGTTTAGCTAACAAATTTATAATATAGACAACGACAGCAAAGACGTTGATAGCCACGATGCAACATTATCGGATCGCGATAATACCGATGATGATCACGAGGATGATGGGAGCGATGATGGGCTTTTTGATCTGGATGAAGAAATTGATAATGAGGAGGAGAATGAGGATATTACACAAGAATCATCAAATGGTGGTGATAAGCATCATCAGCAGCAAGCCACTGAGAGCAACAATCATAATAATACCCATACTACTGCTACTGCTACTTCTAGTATGAGTGCAAGTTACCAAGGATCCTCGTTTGACTGGTCCAAAAAGCGGAAATCCAATACCAAGTATTTAACAACCTATGAAGAAGATGACGATGAGGAACCAGAAAGTCGGACAAGACGACTCCAAGATCGTGGCAATGGTAAGAGCGCTATCTTTTATTTGTATTATTGTAAACCCCTACAAAAACCACGTGTGGGATTATTAAACTTTTTCTTTTTGTTGGAAGCAGATACGCTATCAACATCCGTTTCAGCCTACGCCACATCCATGCCGATTGCCATCAGCCATAATAACGATAGTAGTTTCAGCGACGCCATGAAAACCATGGCCAACAACGAAAAAAGCAAAGCGGTCAATCCAGCGGATCAAGATCCTACGATCAATAATAGTAGTGCGACAGCAACATCATCCAGTATGCAAAAGAATGATGCGCAACAGAACAACAAGGAATACACCATTCCTACAGGATCCTCTTTGGTATCAAGAACACAGGCATATGATCAATTTTCGCTTGCTGATCAAGAAGCCTCGAAACTGTTTCCAACAGCCTATCTAGAACGACGACGCAAATCGGTTGCGGCGACAGGCGCTACGCCTCGGCCTCAATTGGATAGTCTGATAGGGCAATCATTGGATACACGACAACGACGACGATCACCTTCCATCACGGCAACAGCAGCACGAAACAACCATAGTAGTTATAATAATAATAATAATACCAGCAGTAGCAATTCATTTATTGCATCAACAACAACGGATCAGTACTTATCACGACAGCAGCAGCAGCAACAACAACACCATGAATCAAATTCAGATGATGAGCATCAAGTGGGACCGATGGTGCCGCCTCATATTTTGGCGGCTAGTACCTACACGGACGAAACCGAGGAATTGTTTGGGGCTGTACCTCGTAGTAATACCTGGCGCAAAACATATGATTAAGCGGACAGTTTTCCATATATAAATGCAATAAACACACATGTAAAGACGCGGGAAGACGAGGACTGTCACTCTGTAAAAGAATATATTTACTACTACTAATACATCCTTACAAAAACCCAAGGTTATCTTCTTCTAATTCTTTTCTTTAAACTTTGAATGACATGGGGAGATAAAAAAAAATTACATGTGATTAAATAAAAACTGAAGAAATGGATAAGTAATGATGATATATGATAATTACGATATATATGAGATGTGTGTGCGTGTAGGGTATATAAGGGGGCTCTTCACATGACAACGCATCCACAACAACCGTTGCCATGCTGCCCATCCTCCAAATCAAAATTGTCTCGAAAACTATATCCGTTTTTTCCTTTACCGTTAGCAGCAGAAGCAGCCGCTGCCGCTGCTGCCCGCGCCTCTTGTTCCTTATTAATCCTACGAATCTCTCGAACAGCGTCATGAAAAGTATCCTCCACCCTCACGCGTTGTTTGGCCGATGTTTCACTAAAAGGACAACCAAACGTTCGAGCCAAATCTCGTCCTTCTTGACTCGATACCTGTCGTTCTGATTCTAGATCGCACTTGTTGCCGACCAACACGACGGGAAATAGATCATGGTCCTTGACCCGTCGTACTTGTTCATAGAATGTGCTGATCTCTTCAAACGAGAGACGGGATGTGATCGAATAGACGAGAATGAAACCTTCGCCGTTGCGCATGTATTGTTCGCGCATAGCACTTTAAAAAAAAAAGAAAAGAGATTCTTTGTTTAATACCATCTCTTTTTCTTCTTCCCCACCCAACCCCCTTCGTAAAACACCCTCCACTCCCCCCTTTCTCCTGTTTCTCCTTCCCCCTTTTTTATGAGCCAAAGATGATCGTCGAGTAATATTGATGATGATGCATTGCATATATTTACTATCGGCACCCCCCCTCTCTCTCTCTCTGTGTGTCCGACGAACCCTTACCAGTATTCTTCTTGTCCTGCCGTATCCAATACATCTAACAATGCCGTTTCATTGTCGATAACGCATTGTTTGCGATAAGAGTCTAATAGATACATAATTTGCCCATTATTATTGGTGAATATCTCCTCGTGTGTGTATGGCGGGTGGTGGTGAGGTTGTAATAAAAGAAAGTAAAGGGGGTGGGGGGAGAAAGTTTAAAAGAAAAAAAAAAGTTTCTGTTATGGAATACCTTCAATCGTAGGATCATATTCGTCGACGAAATGAGACTGAATAAACTGAATGGTCAATGCCGATTTACCAACACCTTTTTTTTTAAAAATTGTTCGAAAATAAGCTTTTTTTGTGTTGCGGGGACACCGCGTTCTTTTTTTTTTTTTCCCTTTTTGCTTTTAAAAAATAACTGTACCTCCGCCACCGACAATGACAATCTTGTACCTAAAAAGACACACACATTGTCAACTAAGAAAAAAGCTAGGATTCGTGTGTTTCATTTCATTTCAACAGAAAAAAGGGCCTTACTCTCGAAGAAATGATGCTTTGGACATTGCAGAGTTATTTGGAATCGGGCGAGAAATGAAAAAGGTAAGACACACCTTTGTTGTTGTCAACCCTGTGTTGGTGCGATAGAGTCAGAGTGCAAGGCAAGTCTGGTAGTTGAGGCGAAACAAAAAGAAAAAGAGAAGAAAAAGAAAAGAGGGGAGAGGGGGGAAAAAGACAAAACGGAAACTCATATTAAAGATAACGGATTACAAAACGTGCTTTTTCGAATCGCTGCAGGGTCTTGCAGCTTGCAGCAGAAGCAGCAGTAGTAGTAGTGGGTGGTAACAACTTGTAATAACAGCAGGCAACTCTGGATGATGAATCTCAGCAAAAGGTTTTTTTATTCTTTACTATATGCTTATCACTAAAAAAAAGTTATCGTCATCATGCAAAGTACTAGTTGGTTGTTGTTGTAATAATAGTATATATATATATATATATATATATATATGTATATGCTGGAAATGGTGTTGTTTCAAAGAAAGGGTATACATCTTATGATAGGATTTCAATTATACGTTATTGTTGTAGTTGGATACGGCACGAAATAATTTTGTAAATCATCGCCTCCCGGAGCAGCAAGAGCAGCATTTGACACTGCTGCTGAAGAACCAAACATCGGCATCATCATTGTTGTTGTTGGTAGGATATTCTGATAATTGGCCTGTGTGGTCATTGTAGTGTTCACGACGGTAGTAGCTGCGTCCATCGTACCGTCACCCAAAGTGCCAGTAGTCACAGCTGGCTCGTCCAGAATCATTTCTATAGTTGGATTAAAGTAGATGGGTGTTGCTGTTGTGGTATCCATTGCTTGAGAAGCTTGAGCAAGAAATTGGGTGTTTTGAAGAAATTGCTGTAGATCGTATTGGTTGTACGATTGTTGCTGTTCTCCTGATGCTGATGATGATGATACTACTGGAGCTGATGGTGTCGTCGTCGCCGCCGTTGGTTGTTGATGCTGCGAATCTTGAAAATGCTGGAATTGTTGCTGTGCTTGAAATTGGAATTGCGGGTTCTGTTGCATGATTTCGTGCTCAGGAATAATCGGCTGCTGGTACTGCGGTTGTTGTTGTTGTTGAACAAATGTGGTTTGTGGTTGTTCTGCTGGTGTGATTGATGTTGGAATCGAGTGCGGAATATAGCTAAATTGTTGTTGCTCTCCATTATTACTACCTCCACCAAAAGATGGAGTATCAATGGTCGAAGCAGTCGTAAATACGCTGTTTGAAGGAGACAATGCCGTTGCAAACTGGAAATCCTGTTGTTGTTGTTGTTGTTGTTGCTGTTGTGTGGGTGGCTGTAGTTCTTTTTGTTGCTGTTGTTTTCGTGACGACGTCTGGCAACGTTTCTTATTACGGTGTTTAGCCTCTTTGTTATGTGAGCGACCAACAGATTGTTTTCCACCACCACCACCACTACCAGCAGCGGCAGCAGTTGTAGCAGCTGATGAGGATGAGGATGATCCAGGTGTGACTGCAATAAACTTGTTGACTTTATTGCCGTTTCCGTTGCCACCGCTCTTGAGTGAAGGACGTGATGATGCCATCAAGGGTGGTGTTCTCATAGGTATCGTGTCCCCTTGGGTTTCGCCAGGTTGTGGTTCGTTGAATGCAACGTTGAAATCATTATTGTTCGTTATCATGAATACCGTTGATGATGAAGTAGAACACGAAGATGGCGTTGGCGGCAGCGATGGATCAAACAGAATTTGCTGGAGTGACTTTGACTGTTGTTGGACCGAAAAGGCGGGTGATGATAGTGAAGAAGAGGATGCATTGTCAGGTACCATGACTGTGGCTTGCTGCATCATTTGAACTTGAGCATTCGCGTAATCCGACAAAATAGGGTCAGGTCTTGCTTCAAATTGTCTGTTTAAAATGTCCATGGTTGCTGTAAGCAAGTTCTGTTGTTGTTGTTGTTGCTGCTGCCCGGAGGACTGCAACTTGTTCATCACGACGATGCTTTGCAAGAAGCTGAACTCGCCATGGGTAGCCCATTGTCGATCGGCCGTGTACGACGCGTTCATCAAATGAACACGCGTCGCTGTAAGCAATGTATACAGGATAATCGCCGATCGATTGACCATGTATTGCAGATCCTGGGATGATAGCTCAAAAGCCAATTGGGTGACAATGATGGCTGCTTGTGCGCAAATGTCAAACGACGGTTTCGACTCGCCGTTGCGTTTTGAGGTGCTGCTGTTGGGTACGGCATTGTCCACATAGGGTTGATGCAACAAGACCAAAAGCGTATGCAGCACCAGTTGCTTCATTCTCTCAAATTGCTGTTGCGCGAGATTGGTGATCTGTTCATAGCCTCGTTTGGCGTCTTTGATCAAAGAAGCAACCCATGAGTCCAAAGTGGATAGCATGGCTTCTTGATGCTGATTAAGCAGTGCGGGGGGGGGGGGGAAATTGTGAGTCTTTTGTACAAGTGTATGTGTGAGACAGTTACTTTACCAAAGAGGCAATTCGGTGCTGGCCGGAGTGGGCCGAATAGTTGAACCGTATGATACGACCGACGACTTTGCTGACATCGATCAAAAAGGTAAAGTTCCGCAAGTACTGCTCTGTCTCCGGGTAACTGGTTTTCTCGACAAATGACAGTTTCGGTAACTGCACGCCTCTGTTGTTGTAAATCATCGATTAGAGATCCGACCCCCCATCTATTTGTAAAATGACCCCAATCACAAAAGAAAAAGAGTTAGACTTTACATGTCTTTTTCCTCAAAGGTAAACGGACGGCCGTACGTGAGGCTCATGAGACGATCCGTGGTGAACGCAGCCCAAAAGGCTCGCACAGCGAGTTCTTGGTCAGCCGAGTCAGGTGCGACGTTGCACAGCTTGTGGATACCCAAGTCGGTGACCATCCGGAAGGCCTCACCCGCCAAGAGCCAGGCGTAAGAGACATGTGGACGCTGCCGAATCTGCTGGAGATATTCGACCATCAATAACAGCGCTAAAACGCTCGAGATGCACGGGTATCCAGAATACTCGTCGCGATAGGCGACGGCTTGTTGCATGAATTCGTTGCCCATGGTATGCAGACGGTCGTCTTTGCTAGCGTAGCGCGAGGCAAGGGCAAACAAGGCGTAAAAGAACAGTGGCGACAAGAAGCAGCACATACTGCTATCATTGTTGTTACTGTTGCTGGCACCACCACCGCCATTGTTGTTGCTATTACTAGGATTCGCATTATCAAAGATGGCTCGACAAAAATTGAGTTGTTGTTGCATCGTGATCTTGTCCAGCAAGGGTATGCAAGTGTGGACGTGCTCATAGTACAAGTCCAACAATCGGGTCTGCTCTTCCAAAGTGAGCGAGGTGGGCGGCCAAGACCGTGGTACAGATGGGTATAATCGTTCTTGTGGGTAACCGGGGGTTTTGGTCGGACTGTACGCTGGCTCTTGTATGTACTGACCATAGGGTAGCATGCCGTCCACGTTCCATTTTTCTGCCCGATAAGACTGTTGTTGCTGTTGCTCTTGTTCTTCTGGAGGTGGTGATGGTGGAGACACTCTGCCTCTGCTTTTCTATTTTTTTTTTTTTTTGGTTGCCGTCGTCGTCGTCGTCGTCGTCGTTGTCATCGTCACCGCCGTCGTTACGTTTTTTATCAATAATCGAATCGTTTTTATTCGTGTCTCTCTCTCTCTCCCTCGCTCTCCAAGATAAAACTCACTTTGGACTTATTATTCGGACCCGCGTATTCAAATGTCTTTACATTCAAACCCAAACCCGTGTGCTGCTGAAGATGCTTTTGCCAATGTCTAAATTTCTTTAGCATGAACTTTGCACCCGGGTTTAGTAATTCCTGCGAGGGGAACCCTAGCCGCTTCATGGGAGCGAATTGAGTGTCCATGGTTTACTGGGTATGTTGGGTGGGAAGAGAAATAGACCAGTGAAATAAAAAAGAAAGAAAGAGAAAGAGAGGAGTTGTTTAGCGCGTGTGTGTAAATGTGCGTCTATGTATCAGGATGAGGAGGTCCCACCACCTCCACTCTGTCCATTAAAGTAAAGGTACCACCCTCCACTCTGTCCACTCTAGTAAAAGGTACCACCCGCAGAGAAACGCTCCAGCCAACCAACGAAAAGCAGCGCTCGCTCGTTTGTTACATTGCGCAACGACGCTGTTGTTTATGAAACACTTGGAATTCCCATCACCCACCCAAAACGGTTGGCAAGCACAATAATAAATCGTTTCCGCTTCTTCTTTTTTGTTCCAGATGTAGCTTTTTTTTTTTATTATTTCTTCTAAAAGACTTCGGCAACAGCAGGGAACTCAAAGACAACAGCCTTGCCAGTCAGCTTCTTGTAGACGGCAGAGAAAGTCTCGAGCTTGTACTCCAAAGAGGTGGCGTCCTTGGTATCCAGGAAACTAGAAAACAATTTCCATGCCGCTTCAATATTCCTCGAGTCATGCGCATGATATTGCAATGTAAATATGTATCTATATGACTTACGCCTTGATCGTCTTGGAACCGTCGACCTTGACACGCGTACGCTTGCCAACGAGCTCAGTAGGATAGACCATATCGTCAAGGATAGCATCGTGAACAGCCGTCAACGTACGGGATCGAGGACGAGGTTGCTTGGGGTTTTCACGACGCGTAGGCTTGGGAAGGATGCGGCGTTGGGCAACAAAGACAACATGACGGTCAGAAAACTTCTTTTCCAGTTCACGAGTGAGTCTAAAAGAACGTAGTGGGATGTGTGTGAGAGTTTTGTGTAAGTGTCAGAGAAGAGGAAAAAAAAACCTTAAAAAAAAAAAAGAGAGACGGCCGACGGGGCTGAGGGGTGTGTGTATGCATGATTTTATAAAAGTTGCGGGATCTAACCTCTGTTGGATCTTGTGATAAGCCTGAAGCTGAGGAACAGGCACGAAGATCACAATGGCCTTCTTACCACCACCAAGCTCGACCTAAAAACCCGAAATAACACTTTTATTTTTTAATCGTTTCCTGAAATTCATTCCTTTGTTTATTAAAAGTGCTCTGAGGAAAACATACCTCCTTGGCACTAGCAATGCTGAGAGGACGCAATTCCTTCTTCAATTCAGGAACATTGTTCTCAATGTCAACAAGGGCCTGAGCAATGTTGAGCTCAAATGCGTCGACGGGCTTAGCTCCTGCGAGCTTGGTGATCTTGTACGAAGCCATTATTCTTCACAAATCTGTTCCATTAGTGAGAATGTGTTGAGTAAACAGTTTAACAACTACAACCCCCCCCCCAATCCATCCCATCTGTTTCCCCAATCTCATCCATCCACTTTCATCCATCCGTTCAATCCCATCCATCATCACTTTCACTCCTATCCATCCACAGTGTGTTGCAGTCCATCCGTCCCATCCATTTGCTACATACAGGGTCATACCTTGGAAATGGGGGGTGGTTAGAGATTGGTTTCAATGTGTGTAACTCATTGGCATTTTACCGGACCTTCCCGTTTTCGGTAAATTGGTTTTGCCGCATTAACAAAAAGGCAAACAAAAGCATTACCCCACACATATGCATGGGAGAACAATTACTTGCTATGATATACACACACACACTTTTTTTTTGGATCTGTCTGCATTTATCGGTACGAATGATAAATGTGTAGATACTGTAAGATAAGGAATAAGCAAAACAGTAAAAGAAAAAGGATAACTCAATGTACTACGCTGACCATCGCTTGACATAAGTGGCCTTGAGCTTCTCACCAGACTTGAGTTTGTTTACGCGTTCTGCGTATACACGCATCAACATGTAGTATGTATGATATGTATCGGTACATCACGACAGACTAGAAAGAATAATCATATCATATCATTTTTAGTAAGCCGTTCGGCTTACAGAAATTCACTTGAAGACAAAGCTGACGAGCAACAGTATGATATGGATGCTATCTACCGTATGCAATAACGATTAATTTCCATTAGATTGGAACGGCTTGTCGAAAGCTGTAGCCGTCGGTCGTCGTGTATAGTTCGACCGTGGTCATAACATTACCATTTGTATGCGTACGATGCCTTGCACTCTTCATATGAGCACTACTGTACACTGATCGCAGTATCACCATACTATCCGAATAACCAGCGGCCCTGCTACTACAACTTTATTCAGAACTGAATCTGGAAATGGAATACAGACACTTGGATGGTAGAGTAGATGGACACTTGGTGGTGCTTCAACTAAAACTTGTTTCCCTGCGTGCATGCCTTGTGAGCAGGCAGAACGACTGAAATTCGCTTTTACGACCAAAAAACAACAAACGTGTCACTGCAATGCTTAAAGTAATTTTTATAATTGTCTATATAGCTGCATATAACAGAAAATCTATTGAAACCAAAAGGAAAAAAACTACAAGTCTGTACTAACCCGCAACGTTTCTTTTGGTAGACAACTTTCGTTATATATACATGATTGAATGAACTAAAATTTTGTGACTATATAGTTTGTAGCAGAACCCACGCCGTTTCTACTGTCCATACGAGAAATGCATTAGCTCAGACATCATCAGGAGGAGGCATGTAACGTACCAAGCATCATTATCCACAATTGCCTCTGCAGTACAAAAGGCGTATAACCAGCTCTAGGAGGGAGAAGAGGGGGAAGGTTTCGAGGTTGAGACACGTCAAGCGTCAAGTCAACTAACCCTGATTCATATCGTAAGCATATCGTTTGATCGTGATACTGTACTCTGCTCCGTGATTTTGATATTGAGCTACAGTGATATAAAAAAAAATAGGCCGTCTTCAATACTATCTGCTTGGAGAAGCTCGTATTGGATAGGATAGCAATGTCTATCTTCATTGCTCAAAATGTGCCTTTCCTTTAATTTCAAGTTTACGCTGCTGCTGATCATTATCATTTCATGATCGGAACGAACAATAAAGCAGAGTGAGAGTGCGTGCCTGAAAAATCTCGGGAAATGAGAGAACAAGCTGATACTGAAAAAAACGTTGTGTAATTTACATTAAAGCATCATTTAGTCGAGCTGCTTGCTTTTTTTCTCCTTGCTTTTTTTACTCCATAAAAGTAACAAAGCTGTCTAGAGAGCAAACAAAACCCACAGCGATGGCAACTGACAATCAACATGTAAGATATGTCCTACTCGCCGAGTTCGACATTGACAAAGGCGCATCGCTCAAATACCAGTATCCGAATGAAACCGGCACAGATGAACAGTAAGAGGCATCACACACACACCGAGAATATGTTCCTTCTTCCACCACACACACACACACACACACACACGCACAAAAACGTTGCGTGCTAAAGAGAAAGAGCATCTATTTTTATTATAAAAGTGTCTTGTCAGAACTCATGTTGCCTGACGGCGCCCATTTACGCGCGGAAGATTGGACCATCTTTTGTTTGAATCAGACGATTCCTGATCTCGACAAGGAGCAAGATATTGTCGCAAACAACAACAGTAAAAATAACAAGGACGGTGAAGAAAAACCGTTGCTCTATGTACTTAATCTTGTACGAACCAAACACGACGCTACAGCGCGCAGGTTAGTCAATGGGTTATCATGCTCTCGCTCTCTCCCTAATTCTTTGTATGGATACCCTGCTCTATAATGCTTGAGAGAGAGAATTGATACTGAATATGTGGTCTATGTATATTGTATAGAGGTGCTCACGTCAAAGCCATGGCCATTTGTACCCGCCATCAATTCCTCCATATCTATAAGGTGAGTTTTCCACTAAAAAAAAAAAAGGCGTGGATGGAGATTATCCCCCTTGATTTAAAAAAACCAACATCATCCAATTTTTTAGCCAGTATTACTACTCGCGATGGAGAAATATTTCGAAAACCCGTGTGCCGAAGTCCTTGAATCACTCTACAAAGCCGTCAACTCGATGGACTTGTCACGGATGCCGAATTTCTCTTGGCACGAACGACAGATCCTGCGGACGTCGGATGACAAGTCCATGTTTGAAGAAATGTTTATGGAGGATCCGGATAAAGTGATTTCACCGACCTCCACCACAGGATCTGATTCGATGCGATGGGGTGGTGGTGGTGGTGCGAGTGGATCAGGCGAAGATTGTGAGGATGATGAATCAAGTCGATTACGACGTGGGACGTTTATTGATCTGGCATCCGGACGAGAAGTGTTGCCTTCCTTGGGCAAGGATAGACGGTTTTTCGAGACAAAGATCGAGTATGAAGGTATCAAATTACCTATCCGGGTGCCACTCACGGTCAATGACGAAGAAGTGGGTGATGTAAGTAGTAGGGAGGTGTTTTTTTTTCAAAGGCTTTTCAAAGATGATGTGTTGTGGATGTTAAACTAACGAAAACAAAAACGTTGGCAACTCAATAAAAGTTCTCGCTCATCAATTTGATCCGCACATTCTCGCCACCGGCTCCACAACCTGGCTCACCCAATCCACATCATCCACATCTCGACAGTGCAGGGCCTTACACACATCCCATCATGTTATTGCTCAATGCCCTGCTTACGCAAAAGCGGATCATTTTTCTCGGTTATGGCCATCCGTCCGGTGAAGTGGCTAACTATGTCCTGGCTGCTTGTGCTTTAGGAAGTGGATGTGGTACTGTGTTGCGTGGATTTACCGAACGAGCGTTTCCTTATACCAATTTGACGAGCGTTGATGATCTTTTAAAATGGTAAAAAGGGACTTTTTTTTTTTTGTTTAGTCTAAATATCATTTGTTGATGGCGAAAAAAAAAAACGTGCTCGTACCTACTCCATTGTGTTTCATAGCCCTGGATTCATCGCGGGTGTCACCAATCCAACCTATGAAGAACATACAGCTTGGTGGGATGTATTGTGTAACATTGATACTGGCAAGATCACGGTCAGCAAAGACATTGAATTGACGTGTCCTGGTGGTATACATCACAGTCCTTATCCATTCTCGTCCAGCATTGACAGCGGCAATAATAACATGAGCAGCAATAACAACAACAACAATAACAATAACAGCAGCAGCAGTAGTAGCGGTAGTGGTAGTGGCGCGGATGGTAATCAACAACAACAACAACAACCGTTTGCTTCGCTCTCTTCTCTGGGTCGATCCTCCACAGTCAACTCGCTAAGCAACAGGGTCGATGACAAGGCAAAAGAACGTGACGTGGATGCCGAGTTTATGAACGATGTGATGGCAGCAGTACAGGGACATTATGGGGAAGCGCACGTCCGGGCCAAATTCCAGGAATACGTGGGTCGGTTTGTCCGACTTGCGGCCGTGTATGAAGAGGAGGTGTATCATCAAACCAAGATTGTCTGGCCACACGATGCAGAGGCGGATCCAACCGGTTTATTAGGTCGCGGGTTCGTGTTCCCTGATGGCATGTCCAGACAAAAAGAATTGGCAGTGTATGCTAACAGAATCGAAGGTTGGCGACAAACAATTTCTTATCGATATTACCAAAAGGTAAAAAAAAGAGAAACGCGGGGGGGACGAAACGTTATATGAAAACGTCAAAAGAAGCTGAAATGTCCGTTGAAAAGGGATTCGCATGGTGGATACAAAACTCGACGTTGTCCAATGTGGATGTATATCGACAAGTTTCCAAACTCAAGACGCTACGTAATATCCCAGAAAATGAAGTGATTGCAATTCTCGAGGCCTTGCTTCAAAACATTATATCAGATCGAGCCATGATTGAGGTAAGTTTTCGGAGGAGCAGTAGGTTGGAAGGGCCCTCTGGCTTATTTATACATGTATACCATGTAGTTTCTTTCATTTCTTCCACAGTATCAAGGCGGTCTTTCACCGCTTGGTCTCTGCCTGTTCCATTCATCAGCCACAGTACGTCGATACACCGTTGAATTGTTTAGTCGATTGGCGCGAAATCCGGTAAGTTTTGCCATCATCATCAAATGCTGTTGTTGTTATCAGTAACATTGACTCTCTTTCGTCGTAGACCGGGCACAAGTTCATACAAGGAATGTCTCGATACCAGAAAATCACGTACGAGCGTCTTGTGCATGAAGTAGCATAGCCCGTTCTTTTACTCTCTCTCTCTCTCTCTCTCTTCCTATCATCCCATCAATTGGTCGCATCTTATCTTCCCCTTTGTATAATTACATAGTATAACCCTATATAATCTTTGATTTATTATTCACATACACCCGATCATCTCATGAAAGTACCTGCTATTGACTACTACTATTATTAATTACTATATCTTGGTTATCCTTGATACCAGCAAGGTCCTTATTTAAAACAACACTCTATGGGTCTTTTACATCGCACATATATGAGTGAGGCAGATCAACCATTCATACACTTATTGACGTTGCAAGGAGAAAGAGAGAAGGGCAGACTAATACTACGCGTTATACTAGTCACACATAAGAGTGTTGGTGCCTGAAAGTGCATTGATGTCAAGTTGGTAACACAAGGCCCCGGAGCGAGCCCGGTGGGGTTTGGTTTGGCTGGAAAAAGTAAAAGGTTGAAAAAATTACCATCGCTATGTACGTGCACCGCTTTGAGATGGTTCCTCCCTACCCACTCCAGATTCATTGCACATTAAACGAGGGAGGGCAATGATGATGATGACGTTGTTGTTTGAATGAACGGTATGTCAGGTCCTTGGCTGAGCCATGCACTGAGTAGATTGTCCAAAAGATATCGAATGAAGCACAGGTAGTAGTGGCAGGATTCTCAGGAACGTGACAACAAACAGAAAAGAAAGTGATTGATTGATTGTCAGAGACTTGATTGCTGAACGATTGGTTGGTTCGGCTTCAAGGGGGAGGTAGGGGTCCAGTGTAGAATGGTTTTTTTTTTGGGGGGGGGAAGGGCAGTGTGTGTAACGAGCAAACTTGTTGAAGATCGCAGGTTCGTCTGCAGCAGGGCTGCGCATTTGCAATGATGCCGACACACAACGTGTGCGTGTGTGTGAATGTACGTGTGTGTGTGTGTGTGTGTGTGTGTGTATAATGGGCCGCTGTAACACAACGCACAACGCACGATCCCTTTCTCTCTTTCTCTTTCTCTTTTCTTCCACTCCACACCCACTCACACGACGAGCACTTCTCCAACAACAAGACTTGACCCTTTTCATTCTACTACTACTACTACTACTACTACTAGTCAGTAGTCCTCTTTAGTGTCTCTCACCCTTTCTTTACTCCATCCTCCCCCTCTTTGACTTTTTCACCAACGTATAAGTTCGTGTGCAGAGGTAAACGTACTACTTTGAACGCACAGAACCTCCACCTCTTCCTTTCTCTCTTCTTTCTTTCTCTCTTACTCAATCAACCACTCTTTGGTGCATTTCCAAATAGTAGTAGAAAAATACCGACGAACGAGACACGACAACAAGAACAACAACAACGATTCCCATTGTTGCTCTCTCCCTCTTCCCATTCAACAACAACAACAACAACAACAACACCCACTGTTAATGTCTCGTCTCATGTTGAAACAAGAATACCACCACCACCCACCTACCAAAGTACAACCACAGCCTTCAGCTACACGAGACGACGGTGGTTCCACTACTACTACTACCACTACTACTACTACCACTAGTACCAGTAACACGACTCGACTTGTCAACAATCGACCCATGGACTATGACACCATGGACGCTGAAGCAGGTTCCATCCTAATTGCCTTAGCCAATCAGCAACAAGAGCCTCATAACAACAACAACAGCCGATTGAATGGTAAAGCCGCAGCAACTGCAACTGCAAAGGTATGCAAATATATTAGATAGGTTTCCGGAGCTATGTGTGCTTGCACGCACCAGTGTTCTCTCTCTCCCTGTGAATATATATACATACCCACACACACCCATATGCAAACCTACAAAATAGAGATAGCAATCCCCTCTCTATTCCCCTTTCACTGTTAAAGAAGGAGAGGGGGTGGGGGGCGTGTGTGTAATAGGAAGAAGGGAGGGGGGGAGGAAAAGCAAAAGAGAGCTGTGTGTCTCTTTTTTTCCTACATGGATTATTCACAGAAGAGCTGATATTTATTTGATTTGAAATAGAATAACACTGATGAGGATGGTGATGTGGTCATGTCGAATAACAACAACAACAACAACAGCAGCGACAGCGACAGGACTGACAACGACAGGATTCGGAACGGCAATCGTGATATGCACAATGTCGTCAGCAATAACAACAACAACAACAACAATAGCATCGGCAGTGCAGGTGGCAACGGCCAGCAGTCATCATCATCCATGTCGATTAGTAGCCTACTAGGTGGTGCAAGACAAGGAGCAGCAACGGGTGTCGGCATAAAGCTCAAGAAAAATGATGATAGTGGTAAAGGCAGTCAAGAGGATGCATGTTTGTTTGACGGAAAGGGGAGGGAGGGGAAAAGGAAAGAGGGTGCTTTGACGGTTGTGTTGATTGGTGGGGACTGCGCCATCAAACTTTAAAGGGTTGTTTATCGACTCATCATCACCATCATTATCAACAACAACAACAAAACATAGCAGCATTGACATCGGTAAGTCAAGTACCAAACATGTCTGATGACTTCTTGGGGGTAGGGTTCGGCACAGGGAAATCAAAGAAGGTTTGGCACACTGGGCACATGCCCTTTGCGTAAAAGAGCCGAATGACCTTTTGTGTGCAACCCATTCTCTCTCTTTTTCCAGCTTACTGTTACTACTGCTTTATCTCACTCTCTCTCTCTCTCTCTCTTTCTCTTTTTTATCTATTTTTTGAATGCAACAGAATCGACCTACAAGTAAATATCTTTTTTTTTCCTACGATGGATTTTGAGAGGAGGAGGGTTCAAAGAGACGGCACGCAGAGAACGTTGAAAAGAAAAAAAAGAAAACTGATGTATTGAAATCATAGACGGACATCATCCGCATCGTCCAGCAGCAGAGCAGGAAGTGGTGTCGGATCCAATCATGCTGCTTGCAGCTGCTGCAGCTGCCATTGATGGTCGGACCGAGGAGAGCACATCTGCACTCTACTCGCTTGAACGACAGCAGCAGCAGCAGCAGCAGCAAGAGAAAAGAAGAAGCAGCACAGGTGGACCTTCTTACGGTATGTGCAATTGTATACATTGCACGATCGCATGGATACATGGCATTAACCCATATCGATGAAATAGGCTATTACTCGCAGCATTATACCTCCTCATCGTCTGGTGGTGCCGCCGCCGCCGCCGCCGCCGCCGAAAGACCGGCTGAACAACACTACCAGAAAGCTTCAACAAAATCACGTGGATACTACTACCACTACTACAGCAATAGCAATGAAAAAGACGACAATGGAGATTCTGTTAGCAGATCAGCGAGACACCATCATCATCATCATCCTTATCCGTCGTCGTCATCATCAACACCACCACCAGCAGCATTGAACAGTACTAGTGCTGGACGTAATGGTAGTAATCGTTATCACACTAGCAGCAACCATAATGATTCGGTAATGTCTTTATTATATTTTAGGTTGTGAACGTTGTTCTAATTGTTGCGGGGACATGATTTCATTTCTGTTAGCAATCGGGAGGCCGGCCTGAAGGGACCAATGCATTTTCATACCAATACATGTCCATGGTAAGATATAAATAGTAGGAAATGGAGGAAACTTACCAACGGAAAGGGGGGGGCTATTTTGGGTGCTGGATAACTCTGGGCGCGGGGTATTTTGGGTTTGACATGTACTACGGGAAAAAATTGGATCGCTTGGTATCACACACACACACACAGACCATTCTGATATAACCCTCTCGTCATTCTTACGACGACTTTAGAAACAAAATCCAAGGATAAAACGGAATGCGATGCATGCGTATATCACATACATGATTTACACTGATATGGCACAGCGTGATCGTATGGTAAGACCCCAGTTTGCTTTTTTATTTCATGGAAGAACTTCTATCTTGATAAATTTTTGCATGTATGTGTGTATGTAGAAACCAACAACAACAACAACAGAAAAGATGGCTGTTGGCGGCAGTCGTTCAAACGGACAACCAACACGTCATATTGAAGATGATCGTTACATGTATCAAAACAACAACACAAATGGATATGACCGGCCAGCAGCAGGACCTAAAAATGATACAGTGAATGGACGGTTTGAATATGGAAGCAGTGGCAGTAGGAACAATGGAGGATACCGTCGAGAAGGGAGCTATGCTCCTTCACGGTCATCTGAACTGTACCAACAGCAGCAACAACACCGTCACAACAATAATAGTAGCAGCCAGACATCGCCTGTAGTGCATGGAGGACTCGTATACTCTGCAGATGAGCATCAGCATCATCGTCATCATCGTCATTCTGCAAGTAATGAATCATCATCAGCGTCAACAGCATGGTATACTGCACCTCCTCCTCCTCCTCCACCTACATCTACTTGTTCGTCATCGACAACAACAACAACAGCAGCACCACAATCATCGTCTCACTATCGCCTTTTACCGCCTTCGTCCTCCCCTTCCACATCTCAACCGTCAGCACCAGCTCCAACAACGAGCATGCCTCAGCAGCAGCAGCATGAACAGCCCACACGAAGATCGTCACAACAATCATCACCCTCTGCATCCGTCACATCCGCTGGGGCTAGTGGAATAAGTAGTAGTAGTAATAGCAACCCAATCATGATGGGACGCCCATTGACAGCGTTCTTACGAGATGGACCTCCTCCATCTGATCATCAACATCATCTCTATCATTCCAAAGATAACAACAACAGACGAGGTCTTCTTCCATTCCCAACATTTGCCACGTCCTCATCATCAACATCATCACCCTCATCATCACAAGGACCTTTGCCACCACCCTCATCTTCCACAGCAGCAGCAGCAGCAGCAGCAGGAGCAAGCAATGGCCATCGACACACGTTACTATAAATATATACACACCATCTATCTTTTTATAAATACCACCCTCATTCGTCTTTTTCTACATGTGTCCTTTTCCAACAACACAACACACTTTGTACAATATATGCTTCTGCCCTCTCTTTCTCTCCCCCCCCCCACGCTCCAACCTCATCAGAACCACCGAAAAAAAAAACACAAAAATGCAAAAGAGGTGGACCTTCTACTTTTTTTTTCTTCAGGGATCAAATGTCTTTATTTTCCCCTTCCCCTTCCAACTGTTACAAATGGCTTAAACTGGTAAACAAACAAACAAACAAACAAACAATAAAAAAGACACGCACACCGCAAAACAAACAATTTCAAATACAGTTGCTCACAATGACACACAGACCTGTCTAAATGGCCTACTGTAGGAAGGAGGAGGAGGAGGCATTCAATTGCGTTTTAATCAAAACAGCCATTTGACACGTACCTATGCGGAAACAACAACAACAACAACAGTAATACTCTTTATTCTAAAATTTGCTTATATCTCACTACAACCATGAGTCTATATTCTCTGCTTGCGGAGAAACAGCATATACCAGCAGAGTAAGAGCCATTGTAGTCGTTACCACTGATTCACCAATTAATCTGCTAAAAAAAAGCGCATATCATTCTTACATTTACACACGCATGGCTGGCACACGGGCTTGTAAAGACTTACTACTAGATACTGGAAGAAAGATGATAGTAGCTCATCGTGGGGGGACGGGCGTTAGAAGTATACCCTGACTACGATGAACAAGTCCCAACGTCTCACCATTACATATCATTCTATAAAATCCTGTATACATGTATGACAATTAACATCTTTCTTCGTTCAAATAGCATGGATTTTCCTTTCGAAACGGCCGGTGCCGAATACATTGTAGTATGTAGCAAAGTTGCTGCCAAATTGAGTCATTATATAAAAGGTACTCTGCTTTGGAGCGAAATAAGAGAGCAGCAACGGAGCTCTATTTGCTCTTACATGGCACAATTCACTATTCACCCAAAAAAAAAAAAAGGCAAAACGATGAGGATGCCGTAATACACATGTTTTACGCCACATTATGGTAAATCTGAAAGCTAATAACCAAAAAAATCTCTCAAAGGTAGATGCATATTACATACATACTTGTAGGGGCGTGATCTATCTAAGCGGTTCAAGAGAGAAAGAAGAAGAAGAGTGGTAAGGGGGAAACGGGAGCAAGGGGGTTTCCAGTAGATAGACAATATATATAAAGTACAGACTAATAATATGCACTCCCAACATATTTATACACTAAATGTAGCACTATACATATTTTGGAGAGCGAGAGAGAGAGAGAGAGAGAGAGAGAGAGAGAGAGAGAGAGAGAGAGGATGCTGGTGAGAGAAAACAGAGACGATAGAGAGAGTGTGTCTTTTATACAAACTTTACATAACAATGTACATATGGTAGCTATGTTCATTTATATCTAATGCGTGCTGGAAAGTGTATAACGTTTTGGATTCTACTGCATATCCTATTTATAACTTAACAGAATCAATTCCGTACATATGTTGAATAAACTGCTGTATCAATAATTTTTCTTCTCTTTTTTTTGAAGTATTTGTATATAAAAATATAATACCCCTTAGTTCAATTATGTTCTACTTTGAAAACAATCAAGAAATATAACAGCTTTATTAATATGTGGTATTAAAGAAACAACAGCACGCATAGAAAAGTAGTGAAAGCCAACTATGCTCGTAGAGAACTACTTCATCTTGCCACAAATATGTTGTCCGGGCCAACATTATCGCGCCCAAAAATAATTTTCGTTTCCCGATAATGACGAAACGACTTGTTATTATGAACATCTTTTCGTTTTACTCCGTATGACATTTGTCTTTAACATGCACATACGAAGAGGTTTCTTTTTTTTTATTTTTATACAAGTTTTTTGTATTGTTGTTTCCAAGTATTTTTTTTTGAATCAACAAACTGATTCCTCCAATCACACCTTTTGAATAATTATAGATGTTCAAAAAGTAATATTTTATATCAGAAAAAGTACATGACCCACGAACAGCTACATAATACACTTTCAAGCAACAACAGATTAAAGCAGGGTTGTTACTAGTAAGGTATGTGTTCCATAACAATAGTGTCATTAAGTTATGGTTTCTTTTTTTTTTATAATCAAGATATGCATGAAATTCATAGCACTCACTCGTCTTTTTTTGTTGCCTTTTGGTTTACAGATTGGCAAGGACCACTGCATGGTTTGGATTCCGTTCCATGAGTTTGTCCAAGTGAGCATGAGGAATTTTCATTGTTCGTATTACGTGCAATGAATGTCATCATTAGTAGCGTATGCCTTTGAGCCATCAAGATACCTAACAACTGTGAGATGGCAAGGACCGGTAGGTATTCTTATGGAATCTTTTTCTTCTTCTGACCCTTTTATTGGTATAATCAAGATATGCGTGAAATTCATAGCACTCACTCGTCTTTTGTTGCCTTTTGGTTTATAGATTGGCAAGGACCACTGCATGGTTTGGATTCCGTTCCATGAGTTTGTCCAAGTGAGCATGAGGAATTTTCATTGTTCGTATTACGTGCAATGAATGTCATCATTAGTAGCGTATGCCTTTGAGCCATCAAGATACCTGACAACTTTGAGATGGCAAGGACCGGTAGGTATTCTTATGGAATCTTTTTCTTCTTCTGACCCTTTTATTGGTATAATCAAGATATGCGTGAAATTCATAGCACTCACTCGTCTTTTGTTGCCTTTTGGTTTATAGATTGGCAAGGACCACTGCATGGTTTGGATTCCGTTCCATGAGTTTGTCCAAGTGAGCATGAGGAATTTTCATTGTTCGTATTACGTGCAATGAATGTCATCATTAGTAGCGTATGCCTTTGAGCCATCAAGATACCTAACAACTGTGACATGACAAGGACCGGTAGGTATTCTTATGGAATCTTTGTCTTCTTGTGACCCTTTTATTGATATAATCAAGATATGCGTGAAATTCATAGCACTCACTCGTCTTTTTTTGTTGCCTTTTGGTTTACAGATTGGCAAGGACCACTGCATGGTTTGGATTCCGTTCCATGAGTTTGTCCAAGTGAGCATGAGGAATTTTCATTGTTCGTATTACGTGCAATGAATGTCATCATTAGTAGCGTATGCCTTTGAGCCATCAAGATACATAACAACTGTGACATGACAAGGACCGGTAGGTATTCTTATGAAATCTTTGTCTTCTTGTGACCCTTTTATTGATATAATCAAGATATGCGTGAAATTCATAGCACTCACTCGTCTTTTTTTGTTGCCTTTTGGTTTACAGATTGGCAAGGACCACTGCATGGTTTGGATTCCGTTCCATGAGTTTGTCCAAGTGAGCATGAGGAATTTTCATTGTTCGTATTACGTGCAATGAATGTCATCATTAGTAGCGTATGCCTTTGAGCCATCAAGATACATAACAACTGTGACATGACAAGGACCGGTAGGTATTCTTATGAAATCTTTGTCTTCTTGTGACCCTTTTATTGATATAATCAAGATATGCGTGAAATTCATAGCACTCACTCGTCTTTTTTTGTTGCCTTTTGGTTTACAGATTGGCAAGGACCACTGCATGGTTTGGATTCCGTTCCATGAGTTTGTCCAAGTGAGCATGAGGAATTATCATTGTTCGTATTACGTGCAATGAATGTCATCATTAGTAGCGTATGCCTTTGAGCCATCAAGATACATAACAACTGTGACATGACAAGGACCGGTAGGTATTCTTATGAAATCTTTGTCTTCTTGTGACCCTTTTATTGATATAATCAAGATATGCGTGAAATTCATAGCACTCACTCGTCTTTTTTTGTTGCCTTTTGGTTTACAGATTGGCAAGGACCACTGCATGGTTTGGATTCCGTTCCATGAGTTTGTCCAAGTGAGCATGAGGAATTTTCATTGTTCGTATTACGTGCAATGAATGTCATCATTAGTAGCGTATGCCTTTGAGCCATCAAGATACCTAACAACTGTGAGATGGCAAGGACCGGTAGGTATTCTTATGGAATATTTTTCTTCTTCTGACCCTTTTATTGATATAATCAAGATATGCGTGAAATTCATAGCACTCACTCGTCTTTTTTTGTTGCCTTTTGGTTTACAGATTGGCAAGGACCACTGCATGGTTTGGATTCCGTTCCATGAGTTTGTCCAAGTGAGCATGAGGAATTTTCATTGTTCGTATTACGTGCAATGAATGTCATCATTAGTAGCGTATGCCTTTGAGCCATCAAGATACCTGACAACTGTGAGATGACAAGGACCGGTAGATATTCTTATGGAATATTTTTTTTCTTCTGACCCTTTTATTGATATAATCAAGATATGCGTGAAATTCATCGCACTCACTCGTCTTTTTTTGTTGCCTTTTGGTTTATAGATTGGCAAGGACCACTGCATGGTTTGGATTCCGTTCCATGAGTTTGTCCAAGTGAGCATGAGGAATTTTCATTGTTTGTATTACGTGCAATGAATGTCATCATTAGTAGCGTATGCCTTTGAGCCATCAAGATACCTAACAACTGTGAGATGGCAAGGACCGGTAGGTATTCTTATGGAATCTTTTTCTTCTTCTGACCCTTTTATTGATATAATCAAGATATGCGTGAAATTCATCGCACTCACTCGTCTTTTTTTGTTGCCTTTTGGTTTATAGATTGGCAAGGACCACTGCATGGTTTGGATTCCGTTCCATGAGTTTGTCCAAGTGAGCATGAGGAATTTTCATTGTTCGTATTACGTGCAATGAATGTCATCATTAGTAGCGTATGCCTTTGAGCCATCAAGATACCTAACAACTGTGAGATGACAAGGACCGGTAGATATTCTTATGGAATATTTTTCTTCTTCTGACCCTTTTATTGGTATAATCAAGATATGCGTGAAATTCATAGCACTCACTCGTCTTTTGTTGCCTTTTGGTTTATAGATTGGCAAGGACCACTGCATGGTTTGGATTCCGTTCCATGAGTTTGTCCAAGTGAGCATGAGGAATTTTCATTGTTTGTATTACGTGCAATGAATGTCATCATTAGTAGCGTATGCCTTTGAGCCATCAAGATACCTGACAACTGTGAGATGACAAGGACCGGTAGATATTCTTATGGAATATTTTTTTTCTTCTGACCCTTTTATTGATATAATCAAGATATGCGTGAAATTCATCGCACTCACTCGTCTTTTTTTGTTGCCTTTTGGTTTATAGATTGGCAAGGACCACTGCATGGTTTGGATTCCGTTCCATGAGTTTGTCCAAGTGAGCATGAGGAATTTTCATTGTTCGTATTACGTGCAATGAATGTCATCATTAGTAGCGTATGCCTTTGAGCCATCAAGATACCTAACAACTGTGAGATGGCAAGGACCGGTAGGTATTCTTATGGAATATTTTTCTTCTTCTGACCCTTTTATTGGTATAATCAAGATATGCGTGAAATTCATAGCACTCACTCGTCTTTTGTTGCCTTTTGGTTTATAGATTGGCAAGGACCACTGCATGGTTTGGATTCCGTTCCATGAGTTTGTCCAAGTGAGCATGAGGAATTTTCAGTGTTCGTATTACGTGCAATGAATGTCATCATTAGTAGCGTATGCCTTTGAGCCATCAAGATACCTAACAACTGTGAGATGGCAAGGACCGGTAGGTATTCTTATGGAATATTTTTCTTCTTCTGACCCTTTTATTGGTATAATCAAGATATGCGTGAAATTCATAGCACTCACTCGTCTTTTGTTGCCTTTTGGTTTATAGATTGGCAAGGACCACTGCATGGTTTGGATTCCGTTCCATGAGTTTGTCCAAGTGAGCATGAGGAATTTTCATTGTTCGTATTACGTGCAATGAATGTCATCATTAGTAGCGTATGCCTTTGAGCCATCAAGATACCTAACAACTGTGAGATGACAAGGACCGGTAGATATTCTTATGGAATATTTTTCTTCTTCTGACCCTTTTATTGGTATAATCAAGATATGCGTGAAATTCATAGCACTCACTCGTCTTTTGTTGCCTTTTGGTTTATAGATTGGCAAGGACCACTGCATGGTTTGGATTCCGTTCCATGAGTTTGTCCAAGTGAGCATGAGGAATTTTCATTGTTTGTATTACGTGCAATGAATGTCATCATTAGTAGCGTATGCCTTTGAGCCATCAAGATACCTGACAACTGTGAGATGACAAGGACCGGTAGATATTCTTATGGAATATTTTTTTTCTTCTGACCCTTTTATTGATATAATCAAGATATGCGTGAAATTCATAGCACTCACTCGTCTTTTTTTGTTGCCTTTTGGTTTATAGATTGGCAAGGACCACTGCATGGTTTGGATTCCGTTCCATGAGTTTGTCCAAGTGAGCATGAGGAATTTTCATTGTTCGTATTACGTGCAATGAATGTCATCATTAGTAGCGTATGCCTTTGAGCCATCAAGATACCTAACAACTGTGAGATGGCAAGGACCGGTAGGTATTCTTATGGAATATTTTTCTTCTTCTGACCCTTTTATTGGTATAATCAAGATATGCGTGAAATTCATAGCACTCACTCGTCTTTTGTTGCCTTTTGGTTTATAGATTGGCAAGGACCACTGCATGGTTTGGATTCCGTTCCATGAGTTTGTCCAAGTGAGCATGAGGAATTTTCATTGTTCGTATTACGTGCAATGAATGTCATCATTAGTAGCGTATGCCTTTGAGCCATCAAGATACCTAACAACTGTGAGATGGCAAGGACCGGTAGGTATTCTTATGGAATCTTTTTCTTCTTCTGACCCTTTTATTGGTATAATCAAGATATGCGTGAAATTCATAGCACTCACTCGTCTTTTTTTGTTGCCTTTTGGTTTATAGATTGGCAAGGACCACTGCATGGTTTGGATTCCGTTCCATGAGTTTGTCCAAGTGAGCATGAGGAATTTTCATTGTTCGTATTACGTGCAATGAATGTCATCATTAGTAGCGTATGCCTTTGAGCCATCAAGATACCTAACAACTGTGAGATGGCAAGGACCGGTAGGTATTCTTATGGAATATTTTTCTTCTTCTGACCCTTTTATTGGTATAATCAAGATATGCGTGAAATTCATAGCACTCACTCGTCTTTTGTTGCCTTTTGGTTTATAGATTGGCAAGGACCACTGCATGGTTTGGATTCCGTTCCATGAGTTTGTCCAAGTGAGCATGAGGAATTTTCATTGTTCGTATTACGTGCAATGAATGTCATCATTAGTAGCGTATGCCTTTGAGCCATCAAGATACCTAACAACTTTGAGATGGCAAGGACCGGTAGGTATTCTTATGGAATATTTTTCTTCTTCTGACCCTTTTATTGGTATAATCAAGATATGCGTGAAATTCATAGCACTCACTCGTCTTTTGTTGCCTTTTGGTTTATAGATTGGCAAGGACCACTGCATGGTTTGGATTCCGTTCCATGAGTTTGTCCAAGTGAGCATGAGGAATTTTCATTGTTCGTATTACGTGCAATGAATGTCATCATTAGTAGCGTATGCCTTTGAGCCATCAAGATACCTAACAACTGTGAGATGGCAAGGACCGGTAGGTATTCTTATGGAATCTTTTTCTTCTTCTGACCCTTTTATTTGTGAATTGTTTTTGGTTTCACATTATGCGAGGAAAAGCATGTGTTCTTCAAAATAGGATTGTTTTTCATTCCTTCTTTATTGGTGGCATTGAAGTATCTAACGGGCAAGCACCCAAGTCTCATAGTGTTGTCTCCACGGCCAGTACCACATCAACATCAACAACGAACTTATCCTAGACTATCATTTATTCAGTCAACTGCTTCACGCAAGTTTACAAAATAGCAGTAGCCAAACGAGAAACAAACTAGATTGAATACCCCTTCCTCATGGATATCACTATTTATTCCACTTTGTATTGTCATTTTGTATTAGAGCATCCCCAGCGGTATCGCAAAAAAAATCGCGAAATTTGAGCAAGCTTTCGGTCTCGAAATTTCGCTATTGCTGTAGATCCCCAGCGGACTCGCGAAAGATTTCACTTCCTCAAACTCTCTTTTTATGATTCTTTCACAACTTTGTGCGGATATATATCAGTGGCACTATCAGAAGAACCAGTACAGTACATGTGTTTTTTGCAGATAAACTGACTGTTTCAACTGAAGGAGATGGACGGGGGAAAAAGCACTGCTTCTTCTAACCTACGAGTCCTCCATTAATGCACGGTACTGTATATTTATCATTGCTACTGCACGCACGAAAGAAAAAGCGACGTGGTACAACTCAAGGAGCGAACCTGGAGTGGCAAGGAACACAAAGGAGGCGTAGTGCTTCAGGTTTCAAGTTGTACCGTATTGTGTTATCGATTTCTGTGGGTAGCGACAATACTTTTTGGCAACACTGTATGTCCAGCATTCATCCATCATTCGGTACTGGCTACCTTCCTGAATGCGGTCACCAATGATGTCAAGTGCCAGATGCCAGATGCCACAGGAGAATCCATTGAAAAGGAAACTTATAAATGATACTCATTTGATATGTTTGGCTTACATGATGATGAATTAGTACAAATTGAAATATACATGATACAATGGGAACGTATATTGGAGTGCGGTTATGTATAGAAATGATGAGGTATGAGAAGGAAAAGAATAGGTATTAAATAGTTTTTGCTGCTTTTTTGGGCGACATTGGACAAGGAAGTAGTAGTTCAGGTTTGTTTGTGGTTGTTTCATAATTAGAGCTTTCGATGGGCTTGTCTGCTTCAAGAGCTTTCACAGTGGAACACACAGGTTGCTTGATTTGCGATGTTACCCCGAGAAGCATACCAAAATCGCGTGCAAAAGTTTCGATAGTGGCTGGAAAGTAACATGGTTCGGTTTTGTAGATACAGCAAACGTGTGTTGATAGGTTGTCCAGAACAATAGTACGTAACTTGAGGCCTATATACACGAAACCATTAGCATAATGTATGACATTAAATTATAATCCAAATGTTACAGTTTACTTACCCATCATAACAAGCCTGGCAGTTACTAAAGTACGGCGATGGTCAGGATATACATGCACCAATTTCCACATCTGATCTTTCAGCATTTTGGGTACTTCCAATCCAAGTTGCTTTTACTCTTTGGTTCCACTACTACCTGCATCTTTTTTGCCTACTTTAGTACATCCTATTTTTGCCCTGGAAGCACTTGAGCAATATGTCAGATCTATGCCTATGTCATTTCCTTTCGTTCGGTTCCCTTGTCAAATTTCATTACTCGGAACTTGCAGTGCTCTCCATCTCGCCTCTATAAAGATCGATTAGTAACTTTTTTGATAATTTTAAGAACCTTCACCCCAAATATAACCACATCACTTATATTCGAACATCAAGACTGTATATATTATCAAAAATGGTATCAATAAAAAGATATACTTGTCAAATAATGTCTGATTCTGGTTTGATTCAGAAGATAGTTCACAAATGTATACAAAAAAATGTTTTATATTATTTCTTGTTATCATCTTTATTATTATAGTATTTTATTAAAATTCATTACTATATTCATTATTTTACTTATAATATTCATATTGATTATGGAATTATTTCCATTTTCATACGTACTGACGTGAGTCAGCAGGAAGCAAAGGTAGTCTAGGAACGAGGAGCTCAGGAAGAGCGCAACACAGATCTTTCTTCTTTGGATAGTGACAAGTGATGCGTGTGTCAAACCTCGAACGTTCCAACAGCTTTCCCTTGAAACGAAAACTCCGTAGAGTGAAAGCGCATTGTTACGCAACGATTTGGCCAATTTACTTGGTACTCAAAGTGCACAAAGGAATGGCGGGTGAACAAGGTGATCAATGGAGCAACGAGTTACGCGCAAAAGGGTCAAAAGATGTACAGTAGGAAGTCATCGTTTATGGTGTTATTCTTCTGATCGTCCCAATGGATCTTGAAAGCTGCTAAAAAAAACGTAGAACCCGCACAAAAACAAACGAACCGATTAACTTTATCAGCAGCAATGAAAATCAATGAAGGGTGAGTCAGTTTCACTAGCGGCAGCGTATACTTACCATGAGCGGTCAGCTTATCTGCGGCAGCACACTTGGATAGAGTATGAATTCGGAGTGGATGGAGGGAGGTTACACGGCGTAGTTCAGAGGGATGGCGAAAATTATAAAGCAACAGTAGACAAGCACGCTTCACAGTAAAAGATAACGATCTTTTTTTATATACTGCAGCGTTGGAGTCAAGTGTGTGTTGTATCTATTCCCGCACACAGCACATGCAATCAAAAGATACTGATCAAATGGAATAGTCTGTGGACTACGCTCTATACTCATGCTGTTTACCTTGTTGGGTGAAGAATAGAAACTGGCTGCTGGGAGGATCGTGTTCTTAATGTTTACTAATGCTGGATGAGGAACAACTGATGCCGTAGAATCTGTTAAGTTGTTTACCTTGTCAATCACTCCTGTATTGCCATTTGATTGCTCACAGAAAAGCATTTCTTCCGTGAATCTACATGCTCATTCACATTCGTGTCTTTGTTTTCGCTTGACACGGTGCCGTGCACGGACCCCCTCACAACCAAGCGGCGACAGCATCGGAGGTACAGCAGCCCATGGTGAGAGACACGTACCACTACCGCCGAAGCACGCTTGTCTACTTGACCATCAGGTACCACTCCTCCTTTCATTTCCTTTGGTGCTGTATCTTTTGTTATGCCATAGTAGGCAACCCACAAGTTGATACGCAACCCGTTATCTGGGCCAATGAGAATTCACGGGGATTTGAAGTCCCGAACGAGAAAAATGTCTATATAAAGCGAGCAATTTCGCCTTTCTTTTTTCTCTTCTCTTCAGTTCGTTTTGGTACAGCTTTGGTCTGTAGTACAAGGCACTGTTTGGTGCCATGACCAGGTCATTGCTTGTGCTGGGCTATTGTCATAATTCTTTTGATGATCGGCAGATTCAGTGGTCCGCCCTGAAAGAAAATTTGCAATATATACCAGTGGGAATGTGGTCATATACTCCGGCAGCCGATCGTGAACCTTCGGGTGCATGTGATGCCAACGGTATATGTTGGGATAATTAAAACGAACTTTTTTTTATTATTTATTACACACAAATAAGAAAATGATAAACAAAATAAAAATATATTTTTCTTTTTCGCACTCTTCTTATAAACGTTTTACCGCTTTTGCCTCGCCTTTTTTTTATGTGCACGACAAGTTCCTTTTTCTTTTTTCGCGAACAAAAAGCTAATTACTCCCCCCTCCATCCATTCACAGCTCCGTGCTAAACAAAGCGGGGAACAGTGACAGTGGCTCTGTATCGTAGCCGAAAGTAACACGATCACAATGCTTTGGCACTCTTTTTCACTTTCTGTGTTCGCCTAAATTGCCAAAGCAATTGTCAAGAAAAAAATTGTTATCGAGGATATGGTCGGTTATTTTATAAGAGGCAACGCCAGAGCATACGCCAGCAGACCTGTATAATTGTCAGATCTGTAAAAAATTGGAATGTTTTTTTTTTCAGCTGTTCGTCTCTCTCACTCTTCCTGCACGTAGCTTATCACAACACAATTTTCTTATCATTTTGGGTTTCACCTGGATCGAAAAGCTTGCACTGATCTTTCCGATGTGCCTGCTTTTAAAGCGTGATTCTTGTAACAGCTCTTTCCCTCCCCTTACACCTTCACTTCTCTCTTCCTTTTCTTATTTAACTTTACTTCGTTACATATTTTCAAGGTATGCGTTACCTATTTGAAAGTGATGATCGCTCACCAAAGATATCAGGGGGACCTGTTGAAGATATGATATATTTGCTCTACCAAAACATGCACGCACCCACACACACAGGGATGCTGTGTTTTCCAGGCCAAGCGATTCGTTACTTATATATGACTTTTGCGGCTCGCAAACAATAAACCCGAGTATTCATGGCTTCATCCGCTCCCGCTCAGAACCAGCAGACCAAATTGCCCCCTGAAAAGGACGCATCCCTTGGCGCATCAATTCACGCGCCTCAACCTGGAGAACCCAGGATGACATGGGCGCATATCGTTCAAAACAAGCGCGTCTCGCTCATGCATAATGTCGACGCCTCAGCACCTACAATGGACAACGATGGCTGGACCGTCCTGCAGTCGCAAGTATGGCGCAATGGACGCTTTACCGACTGCGTTCTCTTCGATATTTCGACCCGTCCCGAGCCCCTACATTCAGTCCTGCAAATGGCAGCGGCTCAATTCCCAGAAAATACAGGTGCCTTTACTCATCGCGAGGGATCTCGAAGAGTTTTACTCGAGATGTGTTTTGATCTTGACATGCCTTTACAGCGGGCTTTGAATTCGGGACTCGTTTTCGAAAAAGACAAAACACGCATTCGTGCCATCCGAGCTCTACCAACTGATGCCGACACTAAACGCCTTCGCCTCACGCATCTTCCTCCAGTACGATCTCACCTCTTATGTGAGGGTTTGAAAGAAAGCCTTGCGCCTTACGGGCGGGTAATCGACTGTGGAGCCTTCCGTGAGCCCACCACCAACCTCTTCATGGGTAACGGCTATGCCGTCATCGACTGCACCAACCATCCGGAAGATGAACCTTTCGCCACTCTCCCCCATATCATCGCATGGAAAGGAGAATATAAATATGGATTCTACGCTACCTGGCATAAGATGCCTCAACATTGTACCTGGTGTCACCAACCTGGCCATCATCGCAGCGACTGCACCGAATACAAAATGAATCTAATGTGCTACAACTGCCGCCACGTGGGACATATAGCACGTGAATGCCCGCGCCGCATGACCGCCAATAATAATGAGGATACGAACAAGAGACGTAAAACATCAACAGGGAAGCAGCTGGTAACGACTACGGGGACAAAGGCATCCTCTACCGGCAAAGGCAAGGGTAACCGATCTTCAATGAAGAAAACCGCCACTTCCTCCCAGCAACAACCGCAAAGACATGGCTCTGAAACCAACAGTAACACCGAGGTTAGCAACAACGATGCCGGCGCCATAAAGACCGACGATGAACAGCAAGTTGACGTCGCTACCAGCAGCGCATCAGACGACGACGACGAGAGACGACTTAATGACGACGATAGCACCATCAACGACAGCGCATCACATGACGACGGGAAGGATAAGGACGATCATGCATCGCACGACGATGAGAAGGATAAGGACGACCATGCATCGCACGACGACGGGAAGGATACGGACGACATTGCATCACACGAAGAAGGAAAGGATACGGAGGACCACGGGCCACCTACAGAGGAGCAACATCACCAAGATGAGAATGACACTTTGGATTCACTACAGATCAGTTCAGTTCTGTCCAACGTTATCTCTACCATCGAGGAGGACACTACGATGGTCGACGCCACTGCTGTTAGCGAAGACGTCGATTTCGATCTTCAAGACCTTCCTATGACAGAGGCAGCTCGGAAGTCTCTTCGTACTATGTCAGAAGCCAAGAAATTGCGAATCCAAAAAGCACTACTCGTTCAAGCAGCTAAATTGCCCGGTGTGTCGGCCCTGACCAGCCACAGTGCTTACGGTCGTATTCGCAAACCGTCAGCAAAAGCTCTAGATAACATCGCCAGTGGGCAAAAGCCAGCTGGGCGAGGTAACTCCACCAACGTTAAATATCAATGAATAGGAATTTTAATCTAAAATTCCTATCACTCAACTGCAACGGTCTTGCCAAGATCAGCCGACCGTCTGCACGCCAATCACTCATCCGCCACTTGCGGACCACACACCAACCTCACCTTGTGGCTATTCAAGAAAGTCATGCTGACCGCCTTGCTGATCCACAAACCTTACACCACGAATTCTACGCCCACAATAGTCTATGGACCCAACACGTCGGACTAGTCTCTTTATCTACTGCTATCAACCTTGAACAACTCGCCATCACACCAGACGAACGCGCTCTGCTCGTCAAAATTACACATTCCTCCGACGTTTTCGAACCTTTCTTCGTCTTGGTTCTTTATGCACCTGCCGACACTGCCATATCTCGTCGCAATTTCTACCGCTCTCTCCTCGAATCACCAGTACTTCAGCTACGCGACTCTGAATTTTGCACCAAGCTTATCATTGCTGGTGATTTCAACTACGACATTACCCGCGCACACTATACGCGCGAAGCACCATTCGAATGGCACGCCCTTTTGGATGAATCATTTTCCGACTGTATCACCAATCGTGACGAATGCTTGCCATTCCCGACCTTTAGGCGTGGCGCGACCACTCATTCTACGATTGACTACATTTATGCTGGCTCGCAATTCCGTGGGTCCACTCAAGACTCGACTGTATCCTACGTGAACCCTGCTTGGACCGATCATGCCGTACTTTCAACCACTTTCCGACTATCCTCCCCCACACATGGGAAAGGATATTGGCGGGGTAACCCATCTGTCACCTTCCACAAAGCTTTTCGTCAATCTCTTGCCAAAACTCTCACCACATTGCATCCGCAACTTGCAGCTTTGCCCACTACCCAAGACAAATGGGAACACCTCAAGTCAGTGGTGACACGTCATATGCAAAATTACAGCCGTAACCACACACGTTGGCGCCAAAAACAACTGTGCGCCTTACAGTCAAAACGAAATCGCTTCTTGCGACATCAACCTTCTTCCCC